ATCTTCCCATGTGATGTATCAGTATCACCATCCCCTCGCCGCAGAGAAACCTCACCAGTAGCAGCGCATCGACGATGAGTACGGGACTATCTACGGGGGAGTCGGGGGGCTATTGGACCAGTTCGAAGTGGAGACTGGAGAGGGTTTTCCCGAGTGACTAGTACAGAAGTAGATGTTGAAGAAAAGAAAAGAAAAGAAAAAAGCTGCGCGGGCTCCATGATCCATGAATCCATCGGCATCGTCGTGCCCATAATTCTGGGAGATGTTGGGAAATTGGAAACTTCTCGATTCCTCTCCGTGCCGAAATCTGAGACTTGACGAACCCTTCGCGCAGAGTGGAACGAATGGTGAGGAATTGCTTTCGTGCTGATCATCGATGATCGTCTCGTTCCATCTTGGAACAAGCCTCCATCTTACAATGGGGGTTATTGGTACGGGGGGACGGGATTACAGTTTCCATGGTTCTGTCTGCTCTGGTATCGCGGGTGTGTAAATACCAGGGCTCTAGAGATGGTAATGGGAAGGTAATGATGATACACAGCTGTCAGTTACCAACTTACCAACTTACTGATTTACCACATTTCGTCACCTTGACGGAGTGGAAGTGGCTTGGCTGTGCTGTGGGCCTTAGTCATCTCATCCCACCATAAACAAGTGGCTGTGCTATCACTGCTGTGGCCTGTGGGACAGAATGACTATCTATCTACTTAACTAGTTACTACGGAGTACGTTGTTACTAGATAGATAGATAGTCATTACATTGTTGTTGGTGTTTTTTTTTTTTCCGCAATTTAGAGTCTTTGGCTACGTAGTATTTACTAGTAGTAAGGATAGTAGTAAGGATGTCCTAGACCACATGGTCCCTATCGTACATGTATCGTATCTAGGGCATAGCCGCATAGACTAGATAATCGTGGCACCGGCAGGGCAGTGGAATCTGATCTGGCACTGGGGCAGAGTGGGCACATGACAACTCTCTCTCTGAGTCTCTGTCTCTCGCTAACTCCGAGATCTTGTTGGTTGGCTAAGCCGCTAGCCTCCGCAGGCCGATATCCTGGGCTCTGGGCAGGACACATGGAGATGGGATTTGGCGGCGGTGTCACCGAAGAGAGGGGGGAAAAAAGAAAGGGAAAAAAAAAGGGGACTTTTAGTGTATCGAGGGTGTGGGTGTGGGTGTGTGTTTCTTCTTCTTCTTCTGCTCAAGTTTCTGGCTAGTCGATACTCGATAGTAGGACTCCCTGTCCCTGCCACTCACTGGTTCATTAGGCTTGTCAACTTACTGTGTAGGAGCTGCTGCTCCTCTCCTCTAGTGCTCGACAGATCTGCGGCCCTGTGCGTTCCGCCGTCATTGTGAAGTTGATTTCGGCAACCCCGATCGCTGGTGCTGCAACTAGCTTCCTTGGGAGGACTTGGGGGGGGGGTTTTTTTTCCACTATTGATTGTTAATATCCTTAACAAGCTGGGAGAGAGATTACGGGAGCATTCTGGAAATATGCTGATTCATGAGTTGGTATCAATCTAATTATTATTAATCCTCTGTGCTTAGGAATAATAGGATTAGATATGACCTGACAGTCAGACATCTCCATGATTCCAAATCATGGTGTCGAGCCGAGCCGTGGCCGGAAACGGGAAAAGCCATGGATAGGATGATGATAATGATACTCCATAATCATAGTTAATGCTAATGACTCCAATCCTCCGTGCGAGACTACAATTCAATAGTCTCCTGGGATTCATCACGTAGGGCAGACTGATCGTCGTCCTGTCCCGTGGAGGGATCTCGATGGGTCTGTGGCTCGTATCATAAACAGACATCATATGAATGATGAATGAATGAATGACCATACAGTATCTGGTATCTCCTCTCAACAATATCATCCTCCTGTTATTTTGTTCTGACAGCACCCTCCTTTTGATCGTCGAGTTGATAATTGCTATCATTATTGATCTTGACGACGGGAGTGATTGATTTCCATCCATCCCGGCTCTCTACCCCCCCTCCCCCCTCCTCCGTATGCCTAATCTATTCAGACCACGAGGCAGACATACGTATTACTTCAAGAGCTCATCTCGGAAAATTGTAGCGAGCGCATAACAGCCCATCAAGAGACACAGACTCTCTTCGATGCCCCTTCGCTTTTGGCCGGGGAGATATCGAGCCTATCAGGCGGCATTCAAGCACGTTGAGTTGAGCAATATCTGACCCTGCATGTGGGATATTTTTTTTCCCCCTCCCCTCTTTATTCATTCTATCTCTATCCTCTGTTGTTTTGTTTTTTGTTCTCCAGGTCGTACGGTAAGACGCATGTGAAGTCGGGATGGAATGCATCAATCAGGGTTGGGGGGAGGGTTGAGTTGGGACGCTTTTCGGGCACGTACCTATAATATCTTGGGACTTGAATCTTGCCCGTCCTTTTCCTCCGTACCAAGCACAGACTTCACCGTTCTTTTACCCCAGAAGCTTGTCCGTCTCCATGATAAGAGTCGGTCACTGGGACCGCTGAGGATGATTACTTTTTGTGATTTGATTTGTTTTGTTTCGTCTGGTGATGGAACAGGAGATATGCCCGTGTCTGTGTCTGCAGGTGAGAGAAGGCCTGTGAGGCGCCACTGTATCTATCTATCCTGTGCCGTGGTGAGTGAGTGCATGTGGCTGAGTTTGCTTCTGGAGGAATGGGAGAGATATCAATCAGTTCTCGAGATACTTACTCCTTCGAACGGGGTACGCCCGATACGAGGATTTGATCAGACTGAAGATGTCAGTGACTACCTTAGGTACCTAACTATCCAAGGGGTACTGCATCAACACCACCACCGTCCGAACCAGTTGAATCGATTAGAAATGCAATTCTTGACAAACGAGAAACTGTTGGAAACTGCCTCGTGACTGATTGATCCTTGCGCTTCTGTTTGTGGCTCCCTGTCGTGTAACAGTTTTATTTGTAGACTCGAGACGTTTTTTTTTTTTTTTTTTTTCCCTTCACCACTCTCAACTACTCCGTATCAAATGTCGAATGTACCTTGATAACCCCCATGAGTTGAAGGAGAAAGGTATTGTCTGTCTCTCCTGGTAATACCCATTATCACCATATCAATTCCCGAAAACAAAGGGTTTCGCATCATCATCATCATCATCATCACTAACATCCCAACCAGTCATCCACATGGATTTAACGGATTTACTCGCGGCATGTCAGATCAATCCCCGATATCCCGAGGACATCCTCTACGATTCGACGACGCTCATCTCCGTGCAACAACACCCCAGAAAGAAAACAAACCAAACCAAAAACAAAAATAAAAATAAAAATAAAAATAACAAAGCAGGGAACAAGCGCGCCAGTCAGCCCTATTCCACGCATCGATAATCATCCAGCACGATTTGCTGACTTACTATTACTTGGTCCAGCAACACATCCACACACACAATATTTCCCAGGACGAATCATCCAGCCGTCAGCACTGATTGCTTGGTTGATGAGAAACCCCCAGGAAAATTGAGCCACGTTTTTTACTTCGGACACTCCGGAAGACCTAGACCCAAACCCAGACCCAGCGGCCAGGATCAGGATGTACGAAGTAAAGCAAATGAACGTCCATCCATGTTAGTTTCAGGGATGTCGATCGAGCAAAGAGGGGAAAAAAAAAAAAAAAAAAAAACGGGTACCATCGCACACTCCGTATCTAGTACCTGAGGCTAGAAGTCCTGGAAGACTGGAATCCCTGCTGCGACGGACGGCCAAGTTCAAGTCCAAGTCGCTTCAGCCTCATCCTGCCCGCCGTTGGAATCGGACTTGTCCTAGCTCTTCATGTTCTACTCAGTGCTCTGGCCTCTCCATCTCAGATAGACTATCGGCGAGTACTCACACCATTCCCATTCCACGGGGGAAGCATCACAACCCTCCCTACCAATCTACACCCACCGGAGGGAAAACCAACCCTTCCCCCCCCCCCCCCTCTCCCTCCAATCTCCAGCACTCCAGTGAGTAGGTAAAGAGTAAGTACCAATCCTCCATGCAAGGAGCATACACGGCATCCACCAACAGACCAATAACCATCCCCATCGCACTCCTCACCCACCCAACCTGGAACCCACCATATTAGGGGCCGCAGAAACAGATCGAGCCAATGACCTATCTGAGCCAGTGGGGGGGCTGTCAGCTTCTCTGGCTCAGGGGGAGTAGTAGGTTTTCATCGTCTCCTGGAGCCTGGGGGGAGTCCAATCACTTGGATTCCTGCTATTGTTCATGTTCTTGTGCATATTAGGGCGTGCAGGAGTAGTGCGGACGGGGGAGATCCTTCTGCTGGGGGGCTTCCCTAGTGTGTGGGAGGCTCTATCAGTATCTGCTGACTTTGTAGATGGAGGTTGAGGGTTAATTTCTTCTTTCTAGAAAAGAAAGAGGTTGATGGAAACTGGAAAGAGGGGGGAAATGCTTTGCTGGTTCTTTGGGGTTCTGATTTGACGGTCAATAAACCGTTTTCGGAGGAAAGGGGAGAGTTTGTCTCTCGGAATGTAGTTGTGTGTTGTTCGTAGTATGTCGCGGTGTTGACAGAAGAGATGGTCCAACACTGCCAGTTGAGTCAGAGGTCGAGAGAGACGTCCAGCTTCCGAGAGCCTTCTTCATAATTTATGCTATATCTGGTTTGATGTTTGCGTACTAATATTTGCTTTGATAGTGGCGATAGACTGATGCAGATAAATGAATCCATGTTGCTTTTGTTTGACCTCGTCGTTCCGTCAATATATCCTGCGATAAAAGCTGTGATAGATAAAGACCCCCGAGCACAGGAATTGATGCCACAACAGCCCAATATCAAGGCTATGAGCAGACCGCTTGGATTGTGGTAAAATCGATATTCTCTTGATTGGATATGATAGACTAGACTAGACTCACTAATATAACAAGGCAGTAATAGCAATCCACGGTATAGACGTGTCTCAAAATATATACATACATCATCATACCGCTAACGGAAAGAAGAGTTGAGGCAGGACCTCACTGGATGGCATTCTGGTTGCGTTCCAGGTCACACGCATGCGGATGCTGGAGACAGTACTTGGGCATGAGCGGAGCGGCCTCGACGCCGTTCGCCACCAGGTACTCTCTGAAGTTCAAGATGCGCTGGGTCATGAGAGTCGTGCGCTTCTTGCCGTTTTCATCGCGATTGCCGGACCAGGACAGCTCCGCCAGAGCCGCGGCGCGAGGCCAGAACTTGGTCGAGATGACCGTATCGTCGACTTGCTCGGCCCACAAGGGCGCGGTCACTCCGATAACGTGCTTGGCTTCGGCGTCGGTCAAGTTTTGCGTGAAGTCGTAGTTGTAGATGCGCTGCCACGACTTGTAAGGACCGCACCAGGAGCCTCCATTGCCGCCGAAGTTGAAGTTGGGAGTGTTGGGATCCGGGTTGACCATCACGTTGTATCGGGGATCGTTGGAGACGAAGCCGCCATAGCCACAGTCCAGGTAGAAGAAATCGGAGGACGATACGATAACATCGTAGCCTTTGGATGTTAGTTGCTTGATATATTCGAGGCCGTTGTTCCAGCTCTGCATCACAATGTCCTTCGGCACGTCGTGGGCATGCTCGGTGGACGTGACGACATCCTCCCACATGATGAGACGGCGCTTTTCGCTGACCTCGCGGAACATGGGGACTGCGCGGTCAATCCAGTACTGCAGCAGATCATTGTTGGTGCGCGAAGGGTCCTCTGCAAACCACTCCCGCACGTGGCTGCTGAAGTTGTAACAGTTGGGCTGGATCTCATCCGCTCCGACGTGGAACCAATTGTCCGTGAAGATGCTCGAGAGCTCATTGTATACGTTCTTGACAACCTCGTATGTCCCTTCATAGATGATGTCCAGCTGGCCCGGGTTAGGCTCAACCGCAGTGTGGAATGCCCAGTCGTCGTTCGACCACCACGAGTCGGTGCACGTCACCATCTCCGGATCGACCTGCTGCCAACCAGATGCCGAATGGCTCGGCATGTCAACTTCGGGGATAACGCGAATGGCTCGAGCACGGGCATACGCAATAACGCGCCGAAGGTCAGCGTGCGAGTAAATCTCCCGCTTTGAGTACGCATCTTTGGTCATCTGCGGGTAGGCATCGATATGGATCGGCCACGATTGCGTGTCATCCAGATGCCAGTGCAGGACATTCAGTTTCGACAGCGCCATGCCGTCCAGCTGCTCCAAGATCTTCCGCACGGAGATGAAGTTTCGAGCGGAATCAATCATGATGCCGCGATACGGGTAGAGAGGCGCATCCTGGATACGGACGGGCTGCTCGATGAGCAAGCCTCCGCGTCCGTCCGAGATAATAATCTGCTGCAGAGTGGTGAAGGCATGCAGAGCTCCCCAGACGGTTTTGGCAGTGATCCTAATGCTATCCGAGCCGTCTACCACATCCAAAGTGTACGACTCGTCCACGCCGTGCTGGAGATCCGCTTTGTGATCCTCGACCTGGACATCGACAAACCGCAGCGAAGACGGGCGGCCGCGTTTGCTCTTCCCGGACGATGAAGGCGCCTCCGTGGGGAAAGGCTCGAAGGAGGAAATAGGAGCTTCAGTCGCAGCAGGAACCCATTTCAGCGTGACGATGGACCCCCAGGCACGGTTCCATCCCTGGGAAATTGTGAAATCATGGCCATCGCGACCGGTACGCAGACTCAACTGCCCAGCGACGTACTGTGGGCCTGACGAGCCCCATGTGATCTTGCGAGGAGCAGGCAGGGGATTAACACTGACCGCGGTGACGGACGAGGCGACCGTCAAGACCACGACGCAGATGCTGGAGATGAGCATGATGAGGATTACCGACCACGCGACACAGGCATCGGAGACGTGTCTCCGGATGAGTTTCTGGAGGGAATCCGTTTTGGCGAAAAGAACAACCGAAAGAGACGAATGAATGGGGGTTTAAATAGTCCTGCAGGGTGCTGAATGCTGCGCAGCGTGAGGATCAATCAATAATGGAGATGCAGATGCGCATCTCCTGCATTCCATCCATCCCATCCATTCCTCTCTCCTCCTTCCATCATTTCCATCCAACCAACAATGCGTCGATCAATCAAAAATCAAAAGAAAATGGGAAGCTACAGGCCAAGGTCAGTCAAAGCCCCAATCTCATTTGACAAATCCCTTCGGTACTGATTCCTTTCCTCCTGTCAGTTGCTATTGTGGCTGGTCGATGCTTCAGAATCTGGGGGCTGGACTGTGGACTCATCCTCATCAACCACTCTCATTTGTCTCTTCTCGGCCTAATCAAGAGAATCAACAATAAACAACAGAGTATACCCCCCAAATGACAGAGACCTCTCCGTCTCCGAGATCCAAGAATGCTTCTGTTTCATCGCCAGTCACAAAGGTTACATGCGTTTGTCCTCCACACTGCAACATGGATGGTCCTTCATTTCATTGATTCTTTTCTGTTTTTCTCTTGCAGGGTTGGTATCCGGAACGAAACGCTGATTTGATTAATGTATACCACGCGATCTGGTCAGTGCAGACTTGACAGCTTCGTTTCTCAGAATGACACCTTGCCACAGCTCGCATCTACAGATTACGGTCGGTCACCCCGCATAATTCGATGATCAAGTGGACATTGGACAATATCGCGAAGTGGAGAAACTAGGTTGATAACAATGCGACCACGGAGAGGAGAGCGTCTGGGATATTGCATCTGCGATTCTGTTACTGTGACATCGCTTAACCTTAAGAGATGCTCAGGATATGATCTTTGTGTCTGTGTGATCGCCAATACTGGTCTCTTGATACTGCAGAAATTGCAGTCTGGCGCCACCCTCATTACTTAACAGTCAACACTAATGCTGCATGGTCTGGGATGTGGGGATTTAATCATTTCTCCAAGATGATATCTTTTACATCGTTAACTATGACTACAACCCTGGTTCTTGTCCCGAGATGCCATGACTTTTGATGCAACGCCCTCGTGGAGATATACATCGTATTCTCACACAGTAGGTTGCTTTTCCTTCATTTGCATCTTTGTCGGACCTGGTATCCCTCGCGATATTGGGACTACCTCGGGACTGTCTTTGTCATGCCATTTGAGCAATAGCCATCTCTCGCACCTCCTGGGAGACGGATCAACTTCATGACTAAAACTCCACGACCGAATAGATAGGAAGAAGAATGCCTAAAGTGCTAGGAAGAGTTTGGGACAGTGGATCGACGAGAACTAGCCATTACCATACTTCCCGCAAACAGGCTGCGCGATCAGATTCGCAATCTCTCTGTCGCTACGTCCTCAAGGTTTCGACACGGACATAAGGAGACCAAATTTGTAGGGGATTTCGAGGGGAGACTACCATTGCCGCAGAATATAAACACAGCGCAATATCATACAATCTATACTACTATACAGAACTCAACTCCACTCTATACCATCAATGACAGCTCTTCCCATGCTTGACCAAGCGCCAATAATTATACGGCATAGGTGCCAGAAACCCAGCCCCCATCGACACCAGCGCAGCAGCCCAGAATCGCGGGTCGTCCAGCACAACCACACCGCCAGTGAGATGGAAATCAACCAGATTCTGCACCGTCTCCATGGCCACCATCGAAACGAGACTCATCCCAGTGGCTGTCCGGAACGCCATGCCCCAGGGCAATCCATCCTTGCCCAGCCGCAGCAGAATCGTCTCCAGTAGAATCGAGGTGGTGATTCCACTCGCCACTGATTCACATTAGCATGGCCTCGATAACACCTTCCACGTCTTGTCATGCTCATTTCTGGACACACAAGGGGAAACATACTGGATACACCCATAATCGCACCCATCCCCCAGTCCCCATAGAGACTCTGCAACACCCACAGCGCCGAAAAGTCGCCGAGCGTGCATCCCACCAGACACCGGAGTGTGTTGACTGTCGCGCGCTTCCAGCCCTCTCGCGAAGACCAGAACGAGGCTGTCAGCACAGATTTCTCGCTAGCGTTGCCTTTCTGTTGCGCGGTCTTCGAGCAACATTGGGATTGAGACTGGGACGGTGAGGCGTAGTATCGACAACTCGAAGGTATGCTGTAGAGCAGCGTGAGTGGTCGGCGGGCGACATGGAACGGACGGACGCGGAGCATGGCTGTCCGATAATCTATATTCGCATTTATTGATATACTTGTAGAGTTTCTGGGGGTCGCTGATCTGATCTTTAGTGACGGGGATATGGGAGTCTAGTTAAGTATTTGTAGTTGGGGCTTGCAGGCTGAAGAAGACTAAAAAAAAAAAAAAAAAAAAAAAAAACGCGAAAACCGCGCAATTACATTGGAAGTCGATGACTGTGATAGTCGGGTCAAGGAGGATTGATTTATTGGGAAGGATTTGGACTTGATTGGTTGGGACTTTGTGACACATTCATTCATTCTTAGGTCGGATAGTCATCGTACCTTAGGTAGTAGCCTTGGTCCATCTGGAAATGTAAATTCCTCAAGAGTCTTAAAATGAATGAAGTTCTAATTTTTTCTGAGACGGGAGGGAGATTCATTGGGGTTTGTTGGTGTAGTGGTGGGTTTACTTGGTCGGCGGACGTGGGATTAATTCCATTATTGAAAGGATTATTGGAAGTTAAGAAAGTCCGATCATATTATTTTTTTTAAATAATATATATATATATATATATATATATATACGATATCAAAACCAAATACTCCCCCTCCAGAACACTCAAGCTGAAACCTCCAGACTCCGCTCCACCTCCATACTCTCCTGGAACGCCTCTTTCAGGGCCGCGGCCTCCTCCGGCGAGGGCGCGACACACGGCCTTCGCGGCAGCGCACCGTACCCGCGATACGACTGCAGGGCGCTCTTAACGGCAACAAAGCCACCCTTGATGGCCAGCCAGTCAGCGCGGGCGACGACGGCCTGCAGCTTCTGCGCCTCGTCGAGCTTCCCGCAGCGGTAGAGGTCCATGAGACGCACGCAGGCGCGCGGGATGAGGTTGGCGGTGCCGCCGATGATGCCGGCGCCGCCGGCGACGAGGGTCTGGAGGGTGAAGTCGACGGAGCCGCCGAAGGTGAGGAAGTTGGGTTTTGCCTGGGCGGCGATGCGGGCGAGCTTGCCCGTGTTGCCGCAGGTGAGCTTGACGCCGACGATGTTGGGGTGTTTTGCGAGGGCGAGGATGTCGTCGGAGGAGAGGTCGAGGCCGGCGGCGGCGCCGGGGAAGTTGTAGATGAGCACGGGGATCGGGGAGGCGGAGGCGACGTCGCGGAAGTAGTTGAGCAGCGACTCGGGACTCACGAGGGATTTGTAGTAGCTCGGGGGCAGGACGAGGACGTAGTCGCCGCCGGCGGCGGCGGCGTCCGTGCAGAGCTGGATGGTTTCGCGCGTGGAGGGGGCGCCGCAGCCGACGATGACGGGCGTGGCGGGGGCGTCTGCGGCATCGAGGGCGCGGCGGGTCGCGGCCGTGATGAGCTTGCGTTCCTCGCGGTCGAGGTGGACGGCTTCGCCGTTGCTGCCTTGCACGACGAGGCCAGCGACACCGGCGTTGGCGAGGTAGGTCGCGTGCTTCTCGACGGTGGGGATGTCGACTTCCTCGTCATCCGTGTAGAAGGCGACGGTTGGGACGTAGATGCCGGGGACGAGGGGGCGATTCCTTGGTGATCCGTTTGTCGCCATTGCGTCTTGTGGTTTATGATCTAGTGTCTGGTGCTAGGGGTTTTTCTATTTGGCTGGGGTTTGTTTAGGAAGCGTTTTGGTTCAGGCACGCGAACCAGGTAGGGAGATCCGGTCGATCAGCTTTGGGGGGAATGGATATATAAAGGAACCGGGAGGAAGAAGGAGACGAAGGAGAATATAAGAGAGGAGAGCCGGTGGGACGTCTGCCATGGTTGCTGGAATGTGGTCCAGAAATGCCAATGCAAAAAGAGGGGAAAGTTGAGTTCATGCGATGATGAAGCCGAAGTGCATAATGAGAACTAGGTAGTTATCTGACGATCCGAGTGGGAAACAAAAACCCCCACGTTGCGACCCCACAGAATGACCGTTGGGCCGGCGAGATGCAGAAGGTGAAGCTGTACAGACCACAGATCGAGTATGTACAGAATTGTGAGGGTCACATTGACCGTGAGTGCCCCGGTTGTCTGCCCTCCATACAGTACATGACTCTCTTATTATTGATGCATTGCAACATGAACACAGAGACGGAGTGCAACACTGTCCCTGCAACTGAACATTTCATTAGTTTCATACTGATCTACCATCTACCAAGTATGGAGGAGGCAAAAACCCCCACGTTGTCCTCCATCCGGGGTTTCTACGCCCGAGTCCTTTTTCAGGCTATATTGTCGTGCAGTGGGGGAAATCCTCTATCTACAACTCCACATTCATGATCGGGGAGAATTCCGATCTGACCTGTTTTTCTCTTCTCGCGAGTTGCGACTGGGAGAATTTGAGAATTCGCGTGAGAGCCTTGAGGAGCTGTCTCTCTCTCTCTCTCTCTCTCTCTCTCTCGCTGTGGTGGAGGGACTCGGACTCGGACTCGGACTCGATTCGAAGTCTGTGTGTTGTGCGTTGGACGATCATCTGATGCTGTTGATATGAAATGAATCATCAGTCGATAGACCGTGCTTAACCTTTATTTCCTGCATGAATCAACACTAGTAGTAGTAGAAGCCTGTGTTGTTGCTGAACTTGCTGGCTTCATCTTCTTCTTCTCTATAGCGAGATGCTCCTTCAACCGCATTGGCATGGTAATCTCCTTACAGGTACTTACAGCCCAGACACCACCAAAAAGACAACTGTTCCTTCTCCCAGCCCAGAATAATTGTATTGTCCATACCGCATCCCTGTAATTAAAGAAAGAAAAAAAATGAACGCGACGGCAAAGACAGAAGTCGAAAAGAAGCAGAAGCAGAAGAAGAGGAAGAATAAGACGGAAAGGGAAGATATCAATCAATTGACAAGCACGATAATATGGCTTGAACAGAAGAAAGAAAGAAACAATAAACTTCCATTGAGCATGCTCCTCCTATTATTATACACGTTCCTGTCACTCTCACTCTCACCTTCCCTCCTCTCCCCCTCCTGGAGGGCCATCCCCGTCCTTCAGGCCTCCTCTTCCTTTCCCTCTTCCTCCTCCTCCTCCTCTTCCTCCACTGAAATAGAAAATCATCATGGCGGTTCGATCGAGGTCATCGCTACGCTTCGCCGTGCGACGGGATGATCATGGTGCTGGTCATCATGACGACGATCGCGATGACTTTGACGATGCGCGGCTCTCTTCGCCTCCTGCAAAGCGGCCTCGGCTTCAGCAGCAGCCGTCGTCTCGTCGTCGCAAAAGCTCTCCTGATCTGCTCAATACCACCATTGAGAATCCCAATCATTCTTCCTCCAAAACTCCCCAATTCGTGCGACACGCCACCCACTCTCCGCTCCCTCCGTCGCGCTCCTCTACGCGCCGCCCGTTACCTCTCTCCGCTGTCGGCGACCGTGCTTCCTCCTCGGCCTCCTCCGCCTCAGTATCCTCCTCCTCGTCAGCTTCCTCCGCTCGTGTGCTTCCTGTCGGCACCCCATGCACTACAGGACAAACCAATGACCGACATCACACGCCGCTCTCCACTTCAGCTGCGCTATACATGCGTGGTGGCGGTCGCGAATCGCCCGATCCCTTAGATACCATCTCTCCCGCTCCGGCCACCAAGATCATTCCACCTCGCAGAGCTCCCACCACATCTACTCCCAATTCGACCACGCGTTCGACTCGTCATTCTACCCGTTCACAACCTCATCCCTCTTCGGACGGCGCATCGGAGAACCTCCCCGCACGGTCGCACAGTCGCTCGTCGCGGAAAGCTACAACTGTCAACCATGCAAGCGAATCGCAACCGCTACCACAAGTGCAGTCACCGTCACAGTCGCAATTACAACCGCAATCGCAATCGCAGCCTAATGGAGAACACCCTACTGCCAGTCCAGCTGCGCCGGAGCAGCGACGGTCGCTCCGGTCAAACGATACCGGCTTACGAGCGCGAAGCGAACTCGCGCCGTACTTCTGGAACTATGAGCAAATTTTGAGCCTCGAGCCACCCAAGACGACGGAGCTTCTCACCGAAAACACATCGATCAAGTTGATTGATGATCTATCCAAACCTCTTGCGGCCCTCATACCACCGCTCGAGCCAGAATCACCGTTTGGAAATCCTCTCTTGCAGCTGCATGAGTGCGAGAAGATCACCCTGCCGAAACCAGACCCAGCGTCTGGACCGACCACAGCAACCGCCGATCTCGTCGACGAGGATCCCCTCGATGAAGGACATTATTTCCGCGCTCATCGGAGGATGGAGAGGCAGGAGAAACAGCTCCGTAACATCGAAAGAGAGCGCGCCCAGCACGAAAAACTGCAACTGGAGCGTTTGCTGGACGAACTCAAGGGTCACGACTGGCCCCGCGTAATGGGCCTCACGGGCATCGCCGACCCGGAGAAGAAGCTCTACGAACCCAAACGCGACTATTTCATCAAGGAGATCTCCTCCCTCATTAAGAAATTCCAGATCTGGAAAGAAGAAGAGAAGCGCCGGAAGCTCGAAAAGGAGAAGTCCTCGGCCCACGCGGAGTCCACACCCCCCGCTGCCGCTACCTCCCAACCTCCGCGTCGCAAGCGCCTCTCCGAAGCACTCGATGAGCCCACCGCCAACGGTGCCGGCCACGGTGTCCCGGGCTCAGACGACCCAGACCCCAGCGACGTCGATGCCTGGGCCGCCCACCAACTCCAGCAAGAAGCCCGCTCCGCCACCGGCGGAAAGCGGTCCAAATCATCAACAGACGGCCCCCGGCGCCGCAAATCATCCGGCAACAAGCCAGCGATCTCTACCTCTGCTCCTCCTGCCCATCCTACCCCGGCTCCCGCACAAATACCCACCCCGCCTCCGCCAGACCAACCCTTCACCTCGTTCTTCGCGAAGCCGCACCTACGCGAGGCCGCGCTAGGCCCGCACCGCAAGGGCCACGTGCGCATGGCCTTCGGCCACCCGCTTCCCAAACTCGAGGAGCGCGAGTTCCAGCCTCCAGTAGACATATTAACGCCGGAGGCGATCGATGCCTGTCGACGGAAACGAAGGCGGATGAGGCGGGAGAGTCGGGGGTGATCTTTCTGTCTCCATTTTTTTTTTCGTTTCCTCTCTTCAATCCAATAGGTTTGGTTGTGCTGCGGGCTATACTAATTCTTCTGGACCTGGTTCGTATTTATTTGTTTGACCGGTTTCGAGTCGATCTTTTTTTTTTTTCTAGGTCTGGTGTTGTGGGGGGGGAGTATCCAATTTGTGAATTGGGGTATGGGCATAGCTGGGCATAGCATAGCACGCATAGCATCATATAGGGACTAGGGAGTAGCATTCTGAGCGTTCGGGTTGTCCATGTCCAAATCATATGTATATCAATCACAACCATATCCTATCCTTTCCATTCTTCCTTACATGTTTCATCTTCCTTTGGGGGGGGAAGAAATCGATATCATGGATTTCGAGAATCATATAGTAAACAAAGAGGTATCATGTCTATATCCAGCACCAGCCCACGTATATGCAAGGGAGTTCAGTCGATCACTAGGACCACCCAAACCCCTCCATCCCAGATCTATATACAAGAATATAAAATATAATGATATATTAAAAAAAAGAAGAAGAAAAAAGAAAAAAGAAATCCAAACGCCAATGCCATGTTGTTGAAGTTTTAGAAGCCGGGCTTCCAAAAAAAAAAAAAAAAAAAAAATATGAGCCAGAGGATTTGAGTGGAGGGAAATCGGACTAGGCGTTGTTCGCGCACGAGAAGCTCGTGCTGCTGGGATCATCGTGGATCTGCTTGCCGGAGACGTACAGGCCCAGGCCGCAGAGGATGAGGCAGATGGCGATGCAGAACAGGTTGACGAGCGTGAGGAGGATCTTGCGTGGGGACGAGAAGTAGCGGCCGCGGTTGAGGTAGAGCCAGAAGATGCCGCTGAGGCCGTAGGTGAACCAGGAGGCGAAGAGGGCGGTCTTTGGAAGGAGGATGTTAGTGGGTGGAGGTTGCAGGAGCAAGGGGAGGGGTGTGGTGTGACTTACGATGAGACTCAGCAGGTTGCTGAAGACGGGGATCGCCTCGGCGATGACCCAGGCGATGATCCAGAGGGAGAGGGCGATGGCGACCCAGGAGCTGACGGCGACCCAGTCGCGTTTGTGCATGCGGTCTGTGCCGGCGAAGATGCGAACGTAGACGTATTTGAAGGCGATGTGCCCGTTAATCACGCCCGCGATGATGATCTGGGTCAAAGCTTGTCAGTTTTGAAGTCCCACCTCTGGAGATGAAGGTGATGTGGGATTGGAGGCTTACCGTTGGCAAGGCCATGCCGTAGGCGACCTTGGAGACGATAGGGCTCGCGGAGCCCAGTGCTGGAGACGAGACATCGGCACCACCGTAGACGTAGATGACGGTGGCGGCGATGGTGTAGAGGGAGATGTCGACGGCTTGCAGCAATCCCAAAGCCTTGGGGTAGTCGCGTGGGTCTTTCAGTTCGGCCATGATGCCGAAGAAAGCGGCATGTCCGGCTGCTACGGTTAGCTGGGTTTTCAAGGCATTTATTTTTTCACGGCGGAAGTGCTTACAGAAAGCAAAAACGATGTTGGTAACGGCGGCGAAGCCGTGGACCAGATCAGTGTCGACAGTCGCCATGACCTTCTTGCCGGGGTGCTGGATGCCCACGCCGATCATGCAGATGAAGACGGCAGACATGATGCTGGTGAAAGCTAAATTCAGAGTCAGCGGTCAGGCCAGAACGATGAGACATCGTTGCTACTTACAAACAATGGAGAGCCAGGACATCTTGGCCAGGGTCCGGGGCAGAGACAAAATGAAAGAGGCCACCATGCCCACCACACCAAAGACAATCGAGCAGGTACCATGATCGGTGATCTTGTTCATGGCAATGGTGAAGGTGAGGAGATGGCTTGCCATGACGAAGATCAGGAACAGAATCTGGCCAGTTCCCATGATCTCTCGGCCCACTCTTCCCATCAACACCTCACCCGCATCAGCCATGTTGGTGACATGAGGATACCGCCATTTGAACTGTCCGATCACGTATCCTGTGTAGGTAGCCACGATGCCGAGACAGACCAAGACAATGAGCGAGCTAAAGGCTCTGTTAGTCAATTGACCAAATTGGCTGAGGCGTTGGGGCGATCAACATACGGAACCAAGCCCAGTACAGCCACAGCAGCTGGCAGTGACAGAACGCCTAAAGAAACGGTCTCTGCAACCATGAGCAGACCGCATTGCCTAGAGTGCCCATGTCAGATCAGACAAACCCTCCAATTGGACCACCAGATGCAGTATCAATGCATGACATACCACCACTTCAGAACCTTGTACTTGACTTCCGCGTCCGTCTCGTCACCAAAGGCATCCTGCCTGTAGGTAGGTGTATCGTAGTTCTTCTCGTCGTCCGCAAGAGATGTATCGTCACCCACCACGACCTTTTCCTGAAAGTTCTCCATGTCTTCAAAAGCCGGAGGGGCGTCGGTTATGTGAGGACTCATGATGTTGTTGAAAGTCTGGAGGCAAGCAACCGAATTGATGATAAAGCTGGCGATTAAAGTAAAGAAAAAAGGCAACGCAGAGCAATTCGACTCCGGTGACGAGGCCCAAAGAACGACCTGCACACTGACCCCTGTTGAAGGGTATTATTCGAGAGTATAAAGACACGCAGAACACACAGGAAAAGCAGAGGAGGAGGAGGAGGAGGAGGGGGAGGAAGAAGGAAGAAAGACGAGATGTAGCCTAGACTGGGCTGTATAAGCTTTTTTCCCTTTGAAATTTCGTTCCTCTGGTCGCTAGCGTGCTCCAATCATGCTAGATGTCTGAGTCTGACTCTTATTCTGACTCTGATGGAAACCGCCGAGTCGCCCTGTTCCATGACCATCATCGAACTGTCCGCCACCGGCGACGATCGCGTGGTTACGGTGGATCACGAAAAAATTCCACTTTAGCTGGGTAGAACGAATCATGGATTCCAACGTAACAAAAACTGATCGCAAATGGGGAGCGTCAGAGCCAAGCGACCGCAAAAAAGAACCCGTTGTGGACCTGGGGAAGAAGAAAAATGGAACACGAGGCAATTTGACAGTCCGATGTCGGTCGCCATGAGAGATGCAGCTGTTGCGGTATTTTGCAACAGCAGAACTGGGCCCTTTTGAAAAGCAATTTGGCATGGGAATCTGGTAACAGAACGGGTGGATAAGGAGAATGAGGATGCATTTAGCCAGGAATTAAGAATTGCACTTGAGGAAACGCTGCAAGATCGACCGATCTAGGGAATTCTTGTTCGCAGTTAAGCCTCTTCCGGTGACGCCTCATTCTGTCCATCGAGGAGCCAAGGTGGGTGATGGTACTGCATCATTGCAAGTGTGGGAAGCAAGAGATACAGATCTTATAGATACAGCTCGTCTCGATGATTTGAATCGATTATCGAGGTTCTTGATGGAGTGCAACTGAGTGGTCATCGACCGGATCGTTGAAGCTGGATTGCTGCGGATGTATAATTACATAACCGTCATCTTTATGTTCGAGTGCAGATCTGCCGCCAACGCTAATCATGCTTTTCTTCAACGTGTGCTTACTCCATACATAGTCCATAGTGAAAATTATTCTCAAGATGATTATTCAATACTAAATCCTCTTCTGGAGTCCAACAGTCTAGTTGTTTCCAGTGCCGGAATTTCTCATCAGACATCCTCAATTGTTCGTAACTTCTTCGCAGTCTGGATGCTTCTCTCTCAATCCAAGTGCACATCGTCATCCATCTTAATTCTCAAACTGACGGGATCATCCTCGCTTGTCTGCATCTGGCTAAGCGCAGTACTTTAAATCCATCGGCCGTGCATAATTCTATTTTATCCATTCTTATTCCTGTGATCACACCAATCACGATGGTCATATTCCTAAGTGGCCTATATTCCATTTCAACCAATAATGATAACCTTCATCACTTACAACTGGAAGGTTACATCGAGCTCCAGGCTAGTCAAAAGCCAAAAGCCAAGGGACTGCGGATAAAAGTAAGATATCGAATGTCAATACTCAATAGTTCGATATTCAAGCTGTCATCGTCGACCGAAAGGAGCCGGGTACCGAAGGATATCTCATGGTAACTTTATTCCGAGGAGCACTTGCTGGATGATGAGCAGCAGTCTAGGGAAATGAATACCGGACAAGAATGGAAAGGCATTGACTTGGCAGGACTTGATAGCTTCCTTCTGAGCCAATGGCTGCTCAATCGGGTGATTTACGCGATCTGGGCATTAGGTATCTACCTAGATACCTAGGCAGCGTTGGATGGTGCGATTCCTTGCTTGATATCAGCAGAAGGAGCATACGGACTGCGGATATCAAAATCCGAATCTACATTACCGAACCACCAAGTAATTCATTTGACACGTAGTTTAATGCTTTGGGCCGATAGATCTTGATGTCAACCCTCGACCCTGAACCCCAGATTCTAGCTCCCCAGTTAATCTCTATACTCCAGACTTGACACATCACCATTGTCTCTGTTTCCTGGCCCCTCCCTCGGATTCTCTATGTGGTTCCACAGTCTCCAGGTTATGTCGAGATGAATTCTGGAGAAATAACCGTCTTGAGCCGTGCAAGTGGAGATATATGTCCAAGATCCGGTCTTGAGTCGAGCAGTCGGCGGGCACGAGCCCTTTCTGGATCAACTGGAGCTCGGGAATACTTCAATCCTGCTGCAGCCATACGACTACGGCACTCGGCAATGCGAATCGTATGGAGGACTCAACCGTCTCATCCCGGAACCTGGGGTCTGGAGTCTGGAGATCCCCCAGAGTGGAGTCTCGCCCAAACCCCAGTCGGTTGTTCACGGCTTCCGACGGCTCAATGATGATCAATCGTGCATCTTCGGCAGGACTATCCATTTCCAGTTGAGAGCATCAGATTCCAAGCCACTGCTCACGGCGACATCCGAATTGGATCAGACTGCTCGTAGCGAAATCGGCGTTGAGCTGGCTCTTATGACCATCATAAGGCCTGGTTGTAGGCATCTTCAAATTGGTCACTCCCCAAGTCTGTCTGTGAAGCCATAAAACCAGTTCAATCCTTGACCTTGATTGCCTTCCGATTGAGTTCTTCTGAAAGGTCTTCAGTTGGGTCCTTTTGTTCCCGTGGACACCTTTGCACATAGTCGACTCCAGATTGCTGAAACTTGATTACTCACCTGTAACCTAATTTGGTCAAAGACAGGCTTTTCCGCATAAATGGCTAAGGCGTCATTCAGTGCCATGGCTAGACTTGCATCAATTCGATAGCAATTGACGGATCATTCACAGATAATATGTTTCTGCAGCCTCACTTTTTCCCCGACACTTCTGTCCATGCTGGAGTCCCAACCAGCTTTGCAAGCAGGATGTATCAACAAATCTGCCAAAAAAAATCTTGCAGGCATTGAATAGATTCAATGGCTTGGTATCTGCATGATCAGCGACAATTTGCTCGGTTTCCCCATATCTGTGTTGTACTCTGACAGTGAACGACGACGGGGTCCAACCCTGCCAACCCTTCCCACCAACAACAAATGCCATGGATCAAGAATCCGCCCTGCAGGAAGTGCGTATGATCCATCAGAAGCTGTGCTGTAATAATATGTGTCTTCAGTTCCGGCATTGAGAGGGAATGATGCATCAACACGTTGCTGCATGACCCCCACAGATCCAAGCGTTTTTGCGGGGTGGTTTTTTTTTTTTTTTTCGCTTTACTCAGTCAAGTTCTCAATGGAACCCTCGTGACTGCCAACTGCATTGATTGCAATTTGCATTGGATCATCTGGATTTGATTCAGATATAATGTGTACGTGAATGGTCAGGCAATACGATATACATAAGACCGAACTCACGTTCAGACCCCGAGGAAATGGGTTCTCGAGGATAGCGTGTACACGAAAGAGCATCGGCCTCGCTCCGACTTAGCTGGCCTAGGCGGTATAGCCGCGATAGGCTACCAGTATTACTACTAGTCATTGTGATTTGTGACTCCAGTCAGAGGGGTACGAGAAGTGACGGTCACTCAATCCTGCATATATAGTCACCAATTGAACCAGCATGGGGGGGCCTTTTGAGTTCTTTGACGATGCCACCCCAGGCGAGGAGAATCCGTAGACGAGACTATGGATACATTGAATCAGATTGACACCGGCTCACAGGATGTCGAGGAACAAAGCCCAAAGGATACTTCCTTTTTCGCTCCGAAGGATGCTCGCGAAGTTGTCGGCAGGGTGGTCAGTACCAATTATGCGATCCTGATGGCTGGATTGAACGGTATGTTGTCCCCCGCGACATTGGCAGGAGTAAACTGCGGGCTGATCGATATCCAGATGCTGCAACTGGTGTCCTCATCCCTTATATCCAGCCTGCGTACAATATCGGCCTGCTACAAGTATCCATGGTCTACTTGGTCAATTTCGCCGGATGGCTCGTCGCCTCTTTCGCCAACATCCACGTCTGCTCGAGACTGGGAACCGGCGGGACCTTAGTCCTTGGAGCCACAATCCAGAGCTTCGGGTATGCGCTCATGTTCTGGAGGCCTCCTTGGGGTTTGTTCATGGCCGCTTTCTTCTTCACTGGCATGGGGGTCGCCTTCCAGGATGCACAGGCGAATACCTTCACCATCACCGTCAATAATCCCCATCGATGGCTCGGGATTCTCCATGCTGTCTACGGTGTGGGCACCATCATCGCCCCGCTGATCGCCAATACCATTGCATCCCACACGCCCTACTGGTACTATTACTATCTCGCGACTCTAGCCATGGGCGTGATCAACGTTGTCCTCCTGGCGTGGACATTCCGCAAGGGTCTGTTCCAACCAAATATCTCGAACGCCAAAGACACGGCCAGCGCCGAGATGAAAGCCACGCTCACCAATAAGTTTGTGTGGATCTTCAACGGGTTCTTCTTCCTCTATGTCGGTGCTGAGGTTGCTTCGGGGGGTACGTCGGCTGCCCATTCGCATTATCTTCCGTTATTCCTCAACAGAAGCTAACCATCCATCCCACAGGCTGGCTGGTCCAGTTTCTCGTCTCCGTGCGACACGGTGATCCCAAAAAGGTGGGTTACGTCGCCTCGGGGTTCTGGTCCGGCTTTACGCTCGGACGAGTCCTTCTCGCGGACATCACGCACAAATTTGGTGAGCGACGGATGGTATTCATCTACATTGCGCTGGCCATAGCGTTGCAGGTCATGTTCTGGGTGATCCCCAACATCATCGCGAATGCAATCACTGTCTGTTTCTTGGGTATGTATTCCCTCGTTCATGCATGTGAAGCAGTGGCATCAGGCACGGGTTCTAACACCCACAGGCTTCTTCATCGGGCCGTTCTACCCCGTCGGCCTCTATGTTCTGACAAAGGTCGTTCCTCAAGAACTCCATATCGGCGCCCTAGGTATGTCAGGTCCTGCTTCCGGGGTCGTGAATTTTTTTTTTTTTTTTTGTCTTGCTAATGCGTGCACTTCGGCTAGGCTTTACCGCAAGCTTGGGACAGGCTGGGTCTGCGGCGTTTCCGTTCATGACGGGGGCTATCGCGTCCAAGGCAGGGGTTCAAGTCATGCAGCCCATCATGGTGGGGTTGCTGATCGGTATTGGAATATTCTGGGCGTTAATCCCGAGACCGATGACGGCCAAGACATGAGGTACGACTCGGGAGGGTAGGAGGATGGGCATGAACGGTGTTGGGACACCATGCATCATGAGCACCGAAAAGGGTTCGACTAGTAATAAGATATAATACCAAGTGAGAGAACGTAGAGGATGCGGGGTGCGAAGGAAGGCAAAGCCTCTGTTTGTATACTTTGTACGACCTAGTTTGTCTTATGACTAGACTGGGCTGAACCGGTGTTCGGATCGGCAGCGAAGCAGGACGAGGGATTCGTCATCTAAAAGTTGTGCTGAAATTATACCTACGCATTACCTCTTAAGCCACATGGCAGCCGGGGTTGCATATATGTACTCCGTAAGTGAGAGAGGAATAAGTGGTAATGACAAAATAGAGAGACACACAAAACCAGGGGGGCAAAGGGGTGGGGTTGGATTAAAATTTAGAAAACCAAAAAGAAATGGGATGAACCGGGATTGAACCGGTGACCTTTAGATATCAGTACAATGCAAGATTGTCGAAACTGAAGTTGTCACTTCAGTCTAACGCGCTCCCAGCTGCGCCATCACCCCAAGCGATGGTAAATAGACCGGGAATAGGGCTTTGTCAGTCTAAGGGTACACAGCTGACCCAGATCCTGTACCTCCCACTTGGTAGCGACAATTCCGCCACTATCAATTGAAACTGCTTCAGGTAAAGCGCGTCAGCGTTTCCCTATTATAAGGGAATATTCTAACACATGTCGATAATGACAACTATAAATCTGCCTCGTTGGGAGTAAACGGAAACAAACTGAATATTGAGTGATAGGTGAGGTGATATCCAGTAGTTTGCATTATGTCATGTTGATTGAATTGAATGGGGCGTGGGAAGTAACAGGAGAAAAAAATATAAAAATCAAAAACATAATGGGATGAACCGGGATTGAACCGGTGACCTTTAGATATCAAATACAACCAATTGGCTGTTGAAACCGAAGTTGACACTTCAGTCTAACGCGCTCCCAGCTGCGCCATCACCCCATTGACTTGTTGAATCTTGAGACTTTCTGGCCTGGTCTTCCAGCGCAAGGCCCGTCTAACATCCCTGCTTTAGTTTTACCATTGATTACTGGGATATGCTTCTTGGTCGAACTTATGGTAACTGGCGAGCCCATTATTCAGTTTAATAAAGGCATTCCAGTGGATATCGCAATGGTCTCCCCGTGTACCTGACAGTAATCGAGTGGTGGTTTATTATGTTTTAGTAATGCTGTGCTTCCCTCTACAGAAAGCTGGCATACATACATATATATATATGATATATTGTTGTACCACTACAAACATTCGGTATCGAGGACCGACCCATCAGCGACACAACCAGTATAATAATTCAACGATTACACACATCTCAGGGACAATCATGCCCAGCAGGCAAGCAATCATATCAACCAACGCCCAAACGCAACCAACAAGCAATAGGCGTAGCTATTCTGTTAACCACGACCCAGTACTGCAATGTTCTACACACGGGTAAAGCATGTGCCAAAGTACACTAGAATAGCCACCTAATCCGCCAGCAGTCACTACAAGATGGGATATAGAAGCATAAGAAACAAGTTATACCATCTGATGGGAGCCGGCATGGCCCCATAGGACCGGACACGCAAATCCAGGCACCACATGACCACATCATATAGCAAATCATACGTAGCACACTGACAGAAACCATCCTACATTAAAATCAGTATCAAGTAGGTCAAGATCGTTATACCACATATACTGACAAGACCATACAACACTAAACAAGAGCGTAATTGAGCCCATATGAATTGTCGAGCGACGGCCTAAGACCTTGACTTGCATTATAAAACCAAAACAACCAATTCCTAATATCCAATGGGGTGATGGCGCAGCTGGGAGCGCGTTAGACTGAAGTGACAACTTCAGTTTCTGCAGTAATATGCATCGATATCTAAAGGTCACCGGTTCAATCCCGGTTCATCCCATCTTCTTTTTGTTTTTCCATTTTTTACACATTTCCCAAGTTTCCGGCAATAGGGCACTGTGGATCGCATAGTGGGCCGTTAATAACATCGTCTTGGGGTGATGGCGCAGCTGGGAGCGCGTTAGACTGAAGTGTCAACTTCAGTTTCTGCAGTAATATGCATTGATATCTAAAGGTCACCGGTTCAATCCCGGTTCATCCCATTGCTTTTTTTCGTCCTCGATTCGTCATCCCGTGATGTAACAGTTATTACATCCCGTAGGGCGAAATCATGAGTGTTTATTTTTATTTTTATTTTTAATATCTTTTATGTTATCTTAATTTATTAGTCGTTGCCACAAACCTACATGTAGCCGTAGTATATACCTATATTCACCCACATGCGTGACAGAAATACATACCGTTCCAATCCCAGAGTCATCGAATACCACCGAGTGTGGACTACCAATTGAATGTACCGACCTGAGAGCCAAGGGATATGGCCATGATTATGGTCCAAAGACAGAGACTCGCAAGAGACCAATATAGCTATAGTTACCGGTCACCATCCGAATCGCGTAACTAATATCCCGCGATGCTGGTTGTTTAGCTTCGTATTCTACATGGTTGATTGCCAAATTTGAAGCACCTCGACATCCCCTGCACGGAATGGCGCATGCCCTCGTACTTTGCAAAGTCACGATGCACAAGGCATCGATTCCAGATGCGATATCTAGAAAGAAGCATCAAAAGTGTGATCATCCAGGAGGCCAACACTTGTTTGGCGTTTCGACCACACAAATCCTAAGTCTTCGAGCCGTTAGAGACACAATCCGAACAGAAGCAAACATTTAATTTATCGAAATGAAGGAATTTCAGAGAGAAGATTGCATCGTCATGGCCTTACGCATCCGAAAATGGTATGGCGATCCGACTAAGGATGACTGATACATAGATTTCATCATAAAAAGAGCAAGGACAGAAACAGATGGGTTACTCACCGCGATTATGCGTACCCGTTCGAGATTATCGTCGAGGACCAGCTCATTGACCGCAGCAAATCGAGCTGGCAAGGGACTTGCAGAACGAAGTTCCTATGTGCTTGAAGGCTTACAAGAGCACATTCAATCCGAGATTTCAATCGTCATAAGATATGATCTTGCGTCCAGTAAATTGCGTACTGGTATATGTCTCCCGTGGCCTCGCACCATCCTCACTGTAGTCAAGAGTTTCACCCGGGCGCGTCTTCCCGGACTCCTTCCCCGAAGCATCATGTGCATTGTGTTGCTTGGACTCGCCTGCGCCCTCATCTCCTTGAGACATCCCACTCTCTCGACCAGCGACGTCAGGCACACTATCCCCATTACTCACGGAGATAATATCCCCTGCCTGCTGTTCAGCCTCCATATCACGCAACTCTTCAGCAAGCGCCTCCTCCCGGAGCTCTCGTTCGCGCAACAGCGTGTGGATCTCGCTGTGTCTGAAAATCTCAATCTGCTCGTCCGTAAGGGTACGCTTCACGCCGTCTGGATAGTACCCAAGTCCGTCATCTTCCTCGTAGTATTCATCGTCTACAGTCTGGTTATGGTTGTGGTCAAACGAGGTGACTTGTGTGCTGGTGGGGAAATGCTTTGCTTGGAAGGCCTGCAGATCTTCCTGGAGACAGGGTTGGGATTAGTGGCTTAGCTATGGGTATGATATTGACTGGAATAACTCACGAAAGTCACGATAGGTAGCTGCGAATCCGGCATTATGGTGGAAGCATTTGACCACTACTACTATTTGGGAGCAAACAGGAGGAAGATGAGAAGACGTGTTGATTCGCGTCATAAAAAAGGCGGTGGTATGGTTAACGTAATTTACTGTAATATTACAAACATGTTCCCCCATTCCCTCTTCTGCTTTGTCCTGCAGATGCTAAACGGTATATAGAAGTCACAGTAGCCTTTTCAAGCAAAAAAAGGAGTATATATTGGTAATCGACAGAGATAACCCAGAGAAGAACATCAAATCAAGGAGGCTTAGTGCCACCGTATCTCGTCGAGAGTGGTATGCTTGAGATATTGTTGCCAATCTTTGCTTTCACACAGTCAAAGTGAATTGCAAGAACTCCTAGGCTACGAGGATCCAACCCTTGATTCTGATTCTCCTCCCCCGATTTTGGTTCAGTCAGTCTCCAGGCCAAGGAGACATGGAAGCAGCCAGAGAAGTCCTCGGGAGGCGCATCCGTCTGACTGCTGGGCTGCTGCTTAGGTCGCTGAAGTGGCGCGGTTGGCTTAGCATACAGCGGCGGTTGCCTGAAATGAGCTAAAGAGCGATTTGAAAGGCCAAGGAGTCTGTTCAGGTTGTTGTCTATGGGCCGCGTCACTCGCAGAACGAGAAACCACCGTGTTTTTTCGTAATTGGAAACCCAATCCAGGCTATCTGGCGCGACGGAGAATCTGTAGATCGATGAGAAGGGTGTGCGGTTTACAGATGTCATGGACTTACTCTGAAATCAAGGATTCGTGAAGCGCTGCCTGGAACATGTCCAAGAATGGCTGTCTTTGCTCCGTGCGAAGAACCACTGGTCTTGAAAGACTTATGTGAAGCGGAAGTTGGACACCAAGGTCACTTCGCAGTAAGCTGTGAATGTCCACTTGATGCCCCTCTAGTTTAGATTCAGTCTGAGACACTATTTTGTCCAAGATAGCAAGCTCTGTTTTTGACGGATACCCTGTCTGCATCAGCCGTGAATCACAATTGGGAGTACACGAACACTTACATTCTAGGTATATATGAGTAGGCCAGTTGCCCTCAACATGAGGGATGACACGTTTACGGCCACCGTGCAGACTTGGATCGTCTCTCACACTGATGCGAGTACTCGAGGCATACAAGTCATGGAATGAAGTTGGTAAGGGGGGTAGGGACGAAGCCTGAGGAGTGCTGGGATAGTCATCATGACGAAGCCTTTTGGTTGGTCTAGGCGATATCTTCTCATTCTTATCTATATCTGATTCCGAATCGGAGTATTGCACAAGGCTCATGGCAGGAATGTCAAGCTGTCATCAGCACAGAATTGGTGTTTGTTATGAGGAGAACTTGATTTCTGTATTGGTAATACCGTCTCGGTTCAGACATCTGCCTCAGGCAGATCAATATCTACAGTTCTTACTTGGATCGATTCCACTGCGTCTGCTGCTTCTGCCTATTATTCTGACATGTTTATTTTCCCGAAACCCATGAGTACCATTAAACTTCGAGAACGATATCTGGTTCCAGAAGGCAATCCAACCGACCATTTTGGAATGCAGTACGGGGGTTTGAGATACCAGCAGCTCTAAGTAAGGCATGGAAATAGATACTCAACTCCCCTGGTGCTTTCTCCTCGTTCTAATGCCATCAACATGCTGGACTGCAAATCTAGACCGGCTGTCGCTCCCAATGTAATTATCTGCCATAGATATATGAATCAATGGGTTATTTTTTCCCGCTGAACGATCTTGCCGTCAAAAATCCATGACGTCTGCCCACACGGGTTACCAGTTGACTGCCTGCTCATTGAAGGTCTAGGCTCCAAGGACTTGTCTTGCTACTGGATCAAACATACCTTCGTGGTCAGTAACCCTTCCAGGCTCTTTCGGGGTCTTCCGCACTAGTGATCATGCACGATCTGTCTACTCTGCCTTGCACGGTCCAACACTAGGTCACTGAAACTAGTCGGGTAACCGCCTAACCGGGATTTATTCTCCAGGCGAACTACTGTCGTGCTTCACGCTATGTACTTGCTAGCGATAAGCTTAATCTTAGTCATACTGTGTGGACTGTGGTCTTTGATACAAATACAACCACTCAACTTGACTAACTTGTCAACAGTGAACGAATATAGATAATTTCCGCGCTGTCAATTGCCTTCAAGGACTCAAGTCTGACTGTACCTGAAGAATGACGTGTCCTCAGGTACTATACACCCGAAGAAATATACAGTTTGTGCCTTCACGGTACGTCCATACTTCTTCTTGCAGCCAGCCATAGGAAATCAACTTTCTCAGGCAGATCATTGAGTCATCTCCAGGCACCCAAACGTAATTGCACCGACACCCAGGGATCAACGGCATGCTCGGAAGCTCGAGGAGGCGAATTCTGGCCGGGGGATTGATCGATGATGGGGGCTTCTCGTGGGTGCTCCATTTTGTTTCATCATCGAGTCCCGTGGCCGATGCAACCGAACGGGTCTAGCTCTCCGGCTAGAGCCAGACACTAAACCAAACAGGGTTTAGAGGGAGGGCCGCTAGACCCTGATAGGCGTAGACAGCCTTGTTATCGATAAGGCCTGGTACGCAAGTCGTCACGTCACTCTGGGTCTTACAACTATGGGAGTTGGGGAATTTTGTGTAGGCATCACACTTGTGTCTTCGTCTCTCCAGCTGTCTCTGCTTATTCGGAGCCTTAAAGATGCATCTCACCCCCGGTATCCCCCTTGGGCTTCATCAATATCTTGAAAACTCACCACGTCTGCTTTGCAAACACTATTGTATTGCTCAATCACATTGTCAGACCCCAATCCGATCACGAGCCCCACATCAACAGAAAGTATCAGCTTCAATAGCACTTTGAGACTATTAGAGACGTGCGTTTCTATTGACGCCAGGTGAATCGAGGTCGACAGGGAGAAGGGCCCTTTCTCGCCAGCGCTTCTTCACCGTATCTTGTTCTTCTCAAAACAAAGCAATATGCCGTCTTTCGGCGACGCCATGGTCATGGAGTCCTATCCGTCTCACCCGTCTCACCCGTCTCACCATTCTCACCACTCCCGCTACTCCCACCACTCTCAGCAGCCTCAGTACCCGACAGAAATGGGCATCAATCTGAGCCTGGGAAGCAACAACCCTTACTCTCGCTACGCTTCTCCCACTCCTTCTCTGTCTTCCTCCTCGTCTGCTAGAAAGTCTGTTAAACGCCAGCGGTCATCTTCATTGCCTTCAGTCCAATGGAATGGACAGCTGGAGCATCATCCGCCACACCCACGCCGGGCACAGAATGTGCCGCCCTCCTACTATCCGCACAATCGCCAAAATAGCCCTCGCGGCCCTCGCCCACATCCCAAGTACCCGCGGCAGTCGCTTCTCGTCAATCCAGATATTATCGACCGCCTGGACGACGTGGGTTTCTTCCAGTATCACCACGAGGGGCCCTACGATGCGGTCTATGCCGAAAGAAACCACGACAGCAAATGTAGCCCTATTGAGGCTCTCAGGGAGTCCAACGAAGAGGCTCTCAAGGCGACTCCAAAGGACAAGATAGCCGACTGTCTTCAGAGCCACCGTCCTCTCGACGGAGTGGCATTCTATCCTCCCGGAACTACCGACAAGACGGGGAAGACTTATGAATACGAGGAAGGCGTCAACATGATGAATGACTACGGAAACTTTACTCGTTGCCCTGGCTTGGTAAGTCTCCTATCACTCTACTGGCTTATAGTGAGGTCCGCATGCTAACCGACATGATAGAAATTTACCGACGAGGACTTCAAGGACGATCCGTTCTACAACACTCCGCTTCCCAAGCCGCTTGCTGCTCTCCGCAAGGCACTGAGTCTGCGCCGGTGCAAGCGCAGGGGAACCTCCTGAGTGGAGCACGACCTACGATGATGCCTATGGGCCTAATTTACGACTTACCACTCGACTCACTCATGATGACTTGACGACTCAGAATGTCTACGAACGCGACATACGAAGGAAACGGGATATATACCAAAAGGGTTGGCGCACTTCCTATGAGACGAGGGTTTTTTTTTTGTTCCATTTTCTTGGATTTTCCCCCTTCATTCATATAATTATTCGTCTGGCGATAGGCTTGGTCTACGGACTCCTCGTCAAGACTCGTTTGGGATTATATGGGTTACATTATCATCTCGGGATTTGATTTGTTGCATGTACTTTGGTTCTGTATTTATTTGACCTCTTGGTCAAATTTGAAGCCGCAATCTGGCTCACCGGTCGAAATCCAAGACAACCGAATCAAAACAACAACTCTTGCGTCCCGGGGGGCTGTCGTCCCTTCTGCTCCGTAGGCTTCCCCCAGGAGATAGGCAGCTATCTGCGTAGGCTCCAGCTCGTAGGTCATCATTACCACCTCTTGTCGTTCGATCAATGGATTGTTGAAGCTATATTTAGTGATCTGTCTCCCAGATTTTCTCCCCCTTCCCCTGGATGATATATTTCTTGTGTCAACGAACACAGACAAGAGTCTCGCGTTCTGTATCGCCACCATTTGACCCCCCGTTGCCCCCTGTTGTGATCCTTTTCTAGTTCTTGCGTCATATCCGTCAGTCTGATATCAAAGTGCGCGGAATGCCTGGGCAAACGCGCACCCGTTAACAGGGGCAATATAAATAGCAATGCATTTCTAGAACAGGTGGTTAGAAATGTAATGTAGAAAGAGGAACATGAACTGTTGCCTTAGGCCGTATATTCGTGTTCCTTTGTATAGAATCCCGTGCTTGTTGACCTCCATCGCCATGACTGCCGTCCCGCGCCATCCTCTCCACAGCCTAGGACCAGTCCACCCTCCCCAGGTGGAGAAGAGCGCCACCGAGCCCCCGATCGCAAGACATGTCGACATCCACGTCAGGGATCCGCTGGACCATGATGCGCCGGCTATCCTCCACGAACCGCGCAGCTACAGCACCACCGAGGCGAAACGGTCGGCGGTGGTATTGGTTAGCGGTGCGGGAGGAGGAGTGAGCGGGCCTGCGGGTAGGTGTTCCGTATAACGTATCTGATCTCGCCGATAATCCACGGCAAGAAAGAAAGGAAAAAAAAAAGGGAAGGGCCTACGGACTACGAAGGACTACTTAATCTAGTCTACATATCTATCTAAACTGAGAAAAATAAAAAAACGTATAGGAATCTACCCCTCCCTCGCCGACAAACTCGCTCTCCTCCTCTCCATCCCCTGCATCCGTCTCGACTACCGCCAGCCCGCACACACCGACTATTGCGCCGCCGACATCCGCGCCTCCTTCACCTACCTGAACCGGCACTTCAGCTCGTCGCACTTCGTACTCGTCGGCTGGTCCTTCAGCGGCAGCCCGTGCTTCACCGTCGCGGCGCAGGAACCCGACCGCGTGCGCGGCGTGGCCACCGTCGCCTCGCAGACGGCGCACACGGCCGGCATCCGCCAGCTGAGTCCGCGCCCGGTGCTGCTGATGCACGGCACCGGTGACCGCGTGCTGTCGGCGACGTGCTCGGAGACACTGTACCGCGCGTATGGGACCACGGGCCCGCGCGAGCTGAAGCTCTTCCCCGGGGATGACCATGGGCTCACGTGGCATGCGCCGGAGGTGGAGCGGATGATTCTGGAGTTTGCGGCGCGCGCGCTGGGGTTCGACGTGCTGTTGAACCAGGCGGTGTTGGAGCAGGCCGGGCAGGACCTTGTTGGGAGTCGGGATGAGAGGATTCGTGAGATGCAGGAGGGGCATGATCTGGAGGGTGGGGAGAGATTGGAGGGTTAGTCTAGTTACCAGGATGTGATCGGATTGGACTTTTGGAGAATGTTTATTATGATTTGTAAGGTAGAAAGCGAACTGGACAGCTGTCTTCTTTGAATCCCCTATATTGATTGTTGGTTGATGGAGAATGGCCTGACATGACACGACGGGAATAAGTCAATAATAATAGTAGTGCCTGGCGGATGGAACAAATCATATTCGCAGGAGAACACACAACAAGCACCTTGCTTCAGACTGCTTGGCATGAATATATGCCACTAGTGTTAGGACGTATTATTAACTCCAGACATGCTCTCATTTCGATGCTGGCGATCATCCGATTCTTGCGGGAGCAGTTCCGCCACGCTGGGCAAAAAAACAAAGGGCCAGCTTGTCCACTTCATGATGATTACTAGCAGGCTTATTATTTATCATGCATTCATTCTCTAGAGATACGACTAATAATAAAAGATCCTTTCCCCTGCATTTCTAATCAATGATCTCTTTCTTTCTTTTCTCTCTTTAATATTGCCTCCCTTTGCTACTAGACTGCATTACGATTTCAATTTTCCCTACTCGTTGCTCTATATGATTCGCTTGACTTCCGAGTCTTTAGGACTATGACATTGCTTTGATTGATAATCTCCAAGGCCCACTATTATTGCTGGATGTTTTTCATGTGAAGCAACCAAAAACACAACGTCCATCACTCCATACGTTATCCTCAGCGTATGCACAGTTGCCATTCATTCGTATCAAAATGCGCTCTGCTGCCGGAGTCTTCTATCTGGCTGTGTTCGCCTTCCTCGGGCTTGCCGATGCCCATAATGACCAACCCAATGAAACCCAAGACCTCGAACATCACTCCCACACAGTCTGCGCTGTGAGTAACGATTCCGAAATTCCATCAATTGCATCTTCTGACTGCGATTTCTCCCTAGATTGACCCCTCCGCCACGGTGACCGACGCTTGTCTTTCTTACGCCACCATCGATGACCTCAATGACCAAGTCTACAACACGCTCCAATCCCTTACACAAGACACCGATTTTTTCAGCTATTATCGCCTAAACCTCTACAACGGGCACTGTCCATTCTGGAATGATGCCAATAGCATGTGCGGGAACATCGCGTGTGCCGTCAACACCATCGACTCGGAGGAGGACATCCCGCCAACGTGGCGGGCGGAGGAACTGAGCAAACTCGAAGGTCCCAAGGCCGGCCACCCCGGCCGCAAGCTTCAAAAGGAGCGACCCAGCGATAAGCCTCTCCAAGGCGAGCTCGGCGAGAATGTCGGGGAAAGCTGCGTCGTTGAATACGACGACGAATGCGACGACCGTGACTACTGTGTCCCCGAAGACGAAGGCGCCGGCGGCAAGGGGGAATACGTCAGCTTGGTGGACAATCCCGAGCGATACACGGGGTATACCGGAGAGGGCGCGCGTCTGGTCTGGGACGCGATCTACCGGGAGAACTGTTTCCTGAAACCCTTGCCGGAGGAATCGTCCCCGCACCCGGCCCCGGGCGGCCTGCAGGCGGTCCATGATTTCCGCAACGTGTTGCAGAAGGAGATGAAGCGCGCGGATATGCTGCCGTTTGACAACGAGTGTCTGGAGAAGCGGGTCTTCCACCGTCTCGTCAGCGGCATGCATGCGTCCATCTCCACCCATCTTTGCTGGGATTACCTCAACAAGACCACCGGCCAGTGGCATCCCAACCTGCAGTGCTTCAAGGAGCGCTTGCATGATCACCCGGAGCGCATCTCGAATCTGTATTTCAACTATGCACTGGTCTCCCGCGCGGTGGCGAAGCTGCGCAAACATCTCCAGAACTACACCTTCTGCGCCAGCGATCCCATCCAAGACGCCGAGACGAAGCAGAAGGTGTCGCAGCTGACGGCGACGCTCGCCGAGCGGCCGCAGATCTTCGACGAACACCTTATGTTCCAGGACCCCAGCGCGCCCGGGCTGAAGGAGGATTTCCGCAATCGCTTCCGGAACGTTAGCAGATTGATGGACTGCGTCGGGTGCGACAAATGCCGGCTGTGGGGCAAGCTTCAGGTGAACGGGTACGGAACAGCGTTGAAGGTGCTGTTCGAGTACGACGAAACCAAGAACGGAGAGAATCCTCTACTGCGGAGGACCGAGCTGGTGGCCTTGATCAACACCCTGGGCCGCATCTCCCACAGTCTGGCAGCGGTACGGAGCTTCCACCGAGCCATGGACATCGGACAGGGCGAGACCATCGAGATCACCGCGGGTACTCCGCAGCTGGAACAGAAGTCCAGTGGTCAGAAAACGCGAGTGCTTTTCAAAGATGGGGGCTCGACGTTCTACTACGAAGACGAGGAAGACGACTTCAAATATCCGACGGAAAAGCTACCGTGGGAGAGAAGGGCCCGGAAGGAGACAGATACGCTATGGGATGATTTCAAGGCCGAGTTCGAGGTGGTCTGGAACACCTACGTCTACGTCCTGAAGAGCTGGGCCAACATCCCCAAGACTCTGTAAGTCCTCCCGTCTTCTCACGTTCTTCTTTACGATAGCTGACATTTGCTTGGCAGATGGGAGATTTTCGTCCTAGAAGCCAACCGGGCCTGGAGTTACTGGCTGGGTCTGCCTGTGCCGCCACGGTCATGGAAGATTCAGCTTCCCCAGCGGCCTGAGATGCGTAGCCATGATGAGCTATAGCACACTCCATAAATAATAATAGACCACACCCTTTTTTTGTTTTTTTTTTTTAAAGGTCTGTAATGGGCCATCAGGATTGTATAGAGACCGGGGGTTTGTCTTGGTGGGCGTTCAGTAAGGTACTCGGCGTTGCATTTGGGAGTTATAGGAGCGCATGTATTATAAGGCAATGATAGCCACAATTCATTGAAGCATTTGTCTATATTCTATTCATGGTTTGGATTTCATCCGAGTTGATGGCGTAGAGACGGTCGGTAGAGGCCGATAGTCATACCGGGTGACTGACTGGGTTGGTTGGTTGGGACACAAGCGATGGATGAAATGAATGAATGAATAGTGAGAAATTGAGATGACCATATATACAGCGCAGAGTAGAGACCAGATGGACCAAAAACCAAGCAACGAACAACTAACAGAACAGACGGCGTTCTCCGGCACACAACTCAACTTGTGTCGGCAAAAGCAGACAGCCTCGGCTTCGGCGGCCACATGCGTGCTGGACAGAGTATGTAAGTATGTATTATTACTGTTAGTCTGTCCCTCCCACAGATTACACAGATTATACTGAACTCCACCGCCCGAACTCCAGGTCTTCCCCATCTTTCTTCCCATCTCGTCTTCCTCCCCCGTACTCCAGTCTATCTCATCCCAATCCATCGTCCTCCTCGTCGCATCTCGTCGCATCTCGTCGTCTGTCGCTCTCTCTGTCCACTTTGATCTTGTGACCTAGATGCGAGGCTGGTGAGATCCTCCCTCCCCGCAACTTCATGGCGTCGGTTTCGCCACCCAAACCGTGGGAGAGAGCAGGTGCTGCTGCTGCTGCTGGCGGTAGGTGACTCTTGTTGCTGACGCTTTGGGAATTTGTTCTCTCTTCTTGGTTTCGACAATCACGAATTATATTTGATACTGATATCCTGGTTCACAGGAACTGCGATCTCAGCCTCCCCCGTCGGTAGTTCGACCATGACTCCTATAACCGGCGCTGCGACGGCGCCGACCGCCACAACATCCACACCTGCAACCACCTCAACAATATCCTCCACCGTTCCCGCCTTACCCTCCCGCCCTGACACCCTGAACTCCGTTGTGAACCGGACAGCATCGAACTACTCACCCTATGGCGCCTCGCGATTCGGTGCCTCTCCATACAGCACAGGCTATGGCGGCTACGGCGCGTATTCATCACCGTACTCGCGCTTCGGCACGATGGGCTCCATGTATGGAGGCGGATACGGGGGCATGTATGGGGGCATGGGCGGTATGGGCGGCATGTACGGTGGTGGCATGCCCGGGGACCCCAATGACCCCAATAGCTTGACGAATTCGTTCAGCCAGAGCACGCAGGCGACTTTCCAGATGATCGAGAGCATTGTGGGGGCGTTTGGCGGGTTTGCTCAGATGCTGGAGAGTACCTATATGGCGACGCACAGTTCGTTTTTCGGTAAGTTGGCTTGCCCGCCCAGTGCTGGGGTTGCAATGCAGCGAGCTAACGAGTGTATAGCGATGGTCTCGGTTGCAGAGCAGTTCGGGAATCTGCGGAATACCCTCGGTTCCGCCCTGGGGATCTTCACCATCATCAGATGGTTTCGAACGCTGATTGCGAAGATCACTGGGCGTCCTCCGCCAGCGGATGCGACGTCTCTGACACCCTCGGCCTTTGCGGCGTTCATGCATGGGCGCTCGGCGCCTACCACACTCCCCGACGGCTCGCCCGCGCCTCCTAAACCGTCGAAGAAGCCGTTCATCATGTTCTTGCTCGCCGTGTTCGGTCTTCCCTACCTGATGGGCAAACTCATCAAGGCTCTTGCGCGCTCGCAGGAAGAGCAGCGCAAGCAGCTGATGCTGGGCCCTAACGGGGAGCCCCTGCAACAGGCACCTTTGGATCCGTCGAAGCTCGACTTCTGCCGGGTGCTGTACGACTACACCCCCGAGTCGCAGGAGAGCAACGGCATCGACCTGGCCGTCAAGAAGGGGGACATTGTCGCCGTGCTGAGCAAGTCGGACCCCATGGGTAATGCATCTGAATGGTGGCGCTGCCGGGCGCGGGACGGGCGCGTTGGATACCTCCCCGGGCCGTATCTCGAGACGATCCAACGCCGCCCCGGACAACAGGCGATCACCTCTGGCAGCGACGCCGGCAGCCGCAGCAACACCATGTCGTCCACGATTGAGCAGGCCCAAGCCGTCGACGAGAAGAAGCCGGTCCGGAAGGGTAAGATGGGTGATATTTCACCGGAGAGTTTCCAGAAGGGCGCCTTCTACTCGTGAGGCCCAGCGACATAACATGTCTTTTATACGTTCTTTCTCTAATTTCCCTCCGGGCTGTCCGGAGCATGTATGTGATGGGTTGGATCCATGGCCTTTTTGGGGTACCATGGTCTACTAAATGATTCTTCTTCTTTTCTTTATCCTTATATTGTGTCTTACGTTTGAGCGAGGGGTTTTTTTCTTTTTCTTTTTCTTTATCTATATTATCTATTTCACTTCAGCCTGTACAATTCTACCTTTTTTTTTTTGCGGTTGCAATTGCAACGCAATTGCAAAGACAGAATCACAATCAGAATCAGGATCAGGCTAGATGCATGTCGCACATCAATCCATCCCGGCGATAGACTAGAGTCGACACGGACGCGAACACAGACACGGACACGGACACGGACACGGACACGGACACGGACACATACACAGGCAAAAGTACCACGCCATCGAGGCGAGGATTAAAATCGAACGGCGTCGCGTACTTTTGCCCTTCGCTCTACTATGTACTCTTGTCTTGTATCACATTTCCCTCCCCCTGACCCTTTTCCAAGATCAATTTCAAGTTTCTGGTCCAGTTTCCTTTTCACCGGCCAGAACCTTCCACCTCCATCAGGAATCCATCCCATCCCATTTCACCGGAGCCGAATGTCCTCCTCCTCCGCTGAAATGAGCTGCGCTGCACTGCACCACACCCCTGTAGATATCCATCTACGGACAATTCACGGAGTGACTATCTACCTCCTCTCCACGCGCATACAGACTTACAGAGTCCACCCAGCAGCATCTAGACCTCCGTCCTCAGTCCTCCGTACCGTAAGCAAGTCACCATTGGAAGTTACTATGGCTCCATACACGTACGTAATAAAAAACCGTACATACGCAGTACGGAGTACTCCGTACCAGACACTACCTAGGAAGAGTGGGAGTAGGTACCCCGTAGGTAGGTAAGGTACTTACAGCAGTACTCAACCCACACCCCCCCCCAATGGTCCAGCCCAACGCCCGTTCGAAGAATATCTGCATTCGGCGAGGCACAGCACAGTATCGTGGATAATGATAATGATGATGATGATGATGTTGGTTTTTTTTTTTTTTTTTTTTTTTGTGTCTGGCTCTGGCTCTGGTGTGGCGTGGCATGGCATGGCATGGCGTGGTCTGGTCTGGTCTGGTCTGGTCTGCGCCATGCTGTACTGTATGGTGTTGTGCTGGGGCGTCTGTACGGTTGGACAGTGACAGTGACAGTGACAGTGACAGTGACAGTGACCGAACTGAATTGAATTGGCTACCGCCATCCTGCTATGATATGATATGATATGTTATGATTTGGAATTGAATTTCCACCCATGTCCCCCGTCCCGTCCGCCAGTCCGCCAGTCCGCCAGTCCGCCAGTTCTGATCTCTGATCTACGCGGCGCCCACAGCCTACAGCCCACAGCCTACAGCCCACAGCCTACAGCCCACGGCCTACGGCCCCACGGGCCCCTGCGGGAAAAAAGAAGAAAAAAAAAAAAAAAAAAGAAAAGAAGATCGAGCATCTCGTATTCTTGTATCTAGTTCCTCAGCCATTTTGTACGGGCCTTGAGGTGGTACTCCGTAGTGAGATAGATATATGATGGATGATGGAAGAGGGTTCTCGAACGAACACGAACACGAACACCTGGGGGTGGAATCCGGGGAGGAATTGCCTGATATTATAGTTTTTTGTCTTGACCTGTTCCTGTTCCTGTGCCTGTGCCTGTGCCTGTGCCTGTCCCTGGCGTGGGTATGATATATATATATATGTGTGTGTGTGTGTGTCTGTATGTCGGGGAGTGGGTGAGAGGGCGTACCCCTACCTAAGTACCATACCATACCACACCACACACCAGAGACAGAGTCAGGATGTATGGATAGATAAACTACACCACAGCAAGAGGGAAATAACGGGGGGCTTTAACATATCTCCGTTGCGTTCAAGTTCAAGCCCTGGGATACAGAGAGAGAGAGCTATGGGGAGTATCTTATCTAGCTAGATACTCCGTAGTAGTAGTTCAGAGGTCAGACTGCGAGCGAGCCTGCCAGCCTGCCGGCCTGCCAGGCCTAGATTCGGGGGATTCCACGGAGCCGTGTTATCTATGCATATTTCACCTGTCCTATCCTATTCCACTGGACCTAGTCTGGTCTAGTCAGGTCAGATCCTCCAATTGCTAAGCCAGTGGCTAATGGCTAGAACGGAGATGGATGAATAGATCGGTTGTGGTAATTGGGCTGGGCCACTGGAACGGGTTACGGGGGGGAAGAAGAGGAAGAGGAAGAGGAAGAGGTAGGGGGCGTCTGGACGCTGGCTGACAGGTAGACACGGGACCGGACAAAAAAAAAAGAAAAGAAAACAAAACAAGACAAAGCAGCAAAAGCAAAAGCAAAAGCAAAAGCAACTACAACTTCTACAAGAGCAAATCCCTGTTTGAGTGATTCTTGGCGGGGGTCGTGAATGGCTTCGGAAATGGTTTCCTGGGTGGCTTGGGCTGGTTGGGGAGTGTAGACTGTAGAAACCAGAGGTACCGGAGCTGAGGTGGGTGGGATGATATTGTGTAGGTCCTGTATGACTAGTAACTGCGAGTCCATTGCTGGATTTGATTCTGTAGGGAGGAAAAGAAGAAGAAGAAGAAGAAGAAGAAGAAAGAATTTGGGTGCTACATCGGCCCGGCCTGGAGGATGGAGTTGAATTGTATAATTGTAAACTTCTAGCCTTCTGCTCATGAACTGGTGATGATGATTCTGCCTTGGCAAGGGCTGCCTTTATTGCTCTCACCTTGGACCAATAGACAGTAGATAGTACGTGTGAGCGAGACGATACGCTAGGCGTGCCCCGGAGACAAGATTTTCAATCTCGATTCGCTTCACTCTTTAATCCTTATTCCTCGCATGCCCTAAATCAAACCGTGCATCGACCGCCAAGGTGATACTCTATGTCTACCCACAGGATCTTCCCAAGAATGTATTCGGATCCCCCGTAGACGGTGCCGAGTCTGAACTGCGTGGATATGATGTACGCGGTTGGCAGTCAACGTACCGCCACTCAGACGGCATTGTTGATTGTTGAAACCATCTCGCTGCAGCTCTCGAAGTGTCTGAGATGTTTGCTGGGCAAACAACCTCTATGTGGAGCGTGCCTGATGCATGCAGGCTGTTGAGCGTTGAGTGCGGACGCAGGGGTGGAACATACCACGAAACGTGTCAGCTGAGCCAAAAAAGACATTCAACAGGCGGTGGAATGATATGACTCGACGCCCTTGACGATCCCGATTTTAAATTCAATTGGCATGTGGCTGCTGTACCCCCAAACCGACTGGTGGGATGATGATGCACAATCTGAAAGACAGAAATACCAGGACCTTCTAAGATTGGTTTCCGCTCCAGGGGAGGGGGAAAAAATGAAAGAAAAAAACCCAACCATAAACTCTATGTAAATCATACTGCATGAAATGAATAATGGCCTGGGGAAACACGGATTGGAGTGTTACAGGGTAGGGCAAATAAAAGGGGCGAGTAACATGTCGGTGTGGCGGTCAGTCAGCAGGGACAAGGTCATCCACACCAGCGTATGTGTCCATTCTTCATCTGAGCCTCGGGTCCTCTCGTTGCTTCCACGTTTTTGACTCAAAGAATGCTGTCAGCTGCAAGTGATACGGATGGCACCTGCTTAGCATTCCTCTCCTGGAGTGATGAACCCCGACATGGTTGCCTCCAGGGTCTTTTCAAGAGCCATGAGACGATCCTGGAAGGAATCCAGCGCCTGCCATGGATCCTCAGATGGCAAAGACTCGTCCATGGGCTTTGGGGTATCGTGTGTTGAAGTAGGACTGAGAGTGGCTAACGAGAGGGATCGACTGTCGTCGATATCGGGGCTACGAAGCGGCTCGTATTTGCTCTCATCTGCGAGTCATGTTAATTTTGTCCATTACAGTCATCGCGCCTTGACAGATAGACTAGAAAGGCAAACAGCAATGCGAACTAATAGCTCGAATGGAAGAGGAAAAAAAAAAGGCTATCTCACGGTGCATTGATTGCAATTCTGGTAGAGGAGACAAGGCCGACGATCGATCGTCCGGCTCAGGAGTGTAGCAACTCATATCCGAAGGGGTTTCTGTTGTATATGAGATATGGGATCGATAAAATACTGACCCAGAAAACATACCTGGCTCCGGGCTGGCTTGGTGAGTATCGTTGCGGGTATTGTCCCAGGAGGCACCATATCGACGCACAAAGCGAGCGATGCGCTTGGAGTCGACTTCCTGGCCGCCCACTCGAAAGGCGGTTTGCTTGCCCCGCGCAGCTCGCTTTTGCTGCTTTCGAATCATCACATGGACTTCTTTGGCTTTGATATTCTTCCGAATGTGCCATGCTGCCAGGCGATCCTTGTATTGTTTCTCTCTGTGAAGTTTAAGTTAGGATTGTCCGCATAGTCCAGAATCAGAGGGAGGGGAAAAAAAAAAAAAAAAAAAAAAGCAAAAAGACAAAAGGGCCAGAAAAGGAAGTAGATCTTGTCCTCTTCCCATCCCAGAGGGATAGATCCAGGCAGATCCAGACGATCTTTTGGCTTTCCTCTGGGGTATCACATTGAAAGGCCGATCAGCTCAAAAATGAGAAGAAGCCCCGTGTGATATCAAACCCAGAAGGGGAAAATCACACATGTGAAAAGCAAAGCAAGGTGAAGAAACGACAAGAACACGAGGAAAAAGGAAGGCAGTACGAGGCAACAAAGTTATAATCACGCTCCATAATCCGTTTGACATCTCTCAATTTGAGCTGATTGTCGCGGTAAAGATTCTCAATCACAGTGCGGTACTCATTCCAGTCGTCGGATTTGCGAGGGCGAAAGATGGCCGAAGAGGACGAGGAGGAGGAAGCAGAGAAGTTAGATGACGGGGCGATGGAACTATCCATCATGAGCAGATCACCGGAGCCTCGCCGGTAGGCATACTCCAGAGCTGAGGAGATCTGATACGACGAACAGATGGTTGCCGGAGACGGCTAGGTGGCGTCGTTGATGAGCGATGGAAATGGAACGGATTGGAGAGACAGAGGCCAGAGCGATGCGAAGAAGCGATGGACCAGATGGGAGGAGACGGAGAAAAATCCTTATATATAGTTGAGTGCAAAAGAGATCAGATGGCTGTATATTGATGATCCCAAGCAGGTGAGGATGAAGTTGTCGTCGGTTCTCCGTGGTCGACGGTCGACAGAGTATCCAGTGTATGATAAACCAACAGGTCGTGGTGGAGTACGTCCTAGCTACTACCTAGGCAAACCGAATCACAATCATGACCGTCCGAAGTGGCCAGAAGTCCGTCAGTCCTGAACGGGTGGGAAGGATGATGGTGTCAGTTGTGACTTTATGGAGTTGGCGAGTCCCAGGAGGTCAGTAAGTAAGCATGTGTGAGAGGGAGCGTCTGTACGGAGTAGTAGTGGTAGAAGTGTCCCCAAGTAAGTAAGTAAGTAAGTAAGTAAGTAACGAGTTGGTAAAATAGAAGAGGAGAATTTAATGTACAGAGTAGATAGGTGACGATGATATTATTCTTCCTGGTTTTGGTTTCCTCGTTCCCCCCCCCCCAAAAAAAAGAATGAATAATTGATGCCAGCAGATAAATAATGGATGATAATTTGAAGGATTGACCTGAGTATCCTGGGTAATATTAGGATGATATTAAGGAGAATAATAATAAGACAGACAGAGAGACAGAGAGACAGAGAGACAGCCAATCTAGAATATCATACACATTGGTTCATTCATTAAGGTATCAGTTATACAGAGAAGTCAAATCGATGGATACAACCCGGAGCCTAAAAAGTCAAACTCAAAGCAGGCTAAGGGAATCCACCTGGCGGTCTAAGGACGGCGCTAATTCGCTCTAGTCCTGTACTTTGGTCCTCGGATGAGGATCAAACAATGAACACGACCGAGGCAGGGCAACTGGTCCGCAGGTTATTCTTTTTTTTTTTTTTGTTAACATTGGCAGAGAGAATGGACATACAGAGATACATACTGATCGGAAGGGGATGACTTGACCCCTTATTCCATACACCAAAGGGTGCTCGGAGTAGGTACTAGCTAAGGTAAGTCCTCTGGAAGTACAGTAAGGAAGTACTAACTACCACTAGGACCTCTGCTTGCCCTTTGCGGCCACTTGCTGCTGGAACAACTTGCGGGACTCCCGATCCTTGTTCCCGCAAGCCAATCGGCGGCCACCTGAGGTGGTCCGTGTACTTTTGTTTTGATCCCCCGTGTTCTGGACAGAGGTACGTGCTGCTGGTACTTGTACAGACAGGTACGGACGGGTACGGTACAGATTGGTACAGATTGGTACAGGCAGACTGAGGCACCTCCATCACACCAGAGGCATTTGGGATTCGACCTAGTAGAAGATCAAAGCGATGGACTGTAATAATTACCAGGGGCATTCATTATCAGGCTATCAGCATGTCTACCTAACAAACCACCAGTTCTCCATATAGTGGAGACCTGGACATATTCCGTCTCCATAGTCCGCACGAAGGTTGAAGAAGAACAGATAGTTAGTTAGTTGGCAACTTAGCATAATGGAGTCCTAGACTAATAGTAGTAGACTAGTAGTAGTCTCCTGAAATCACCACTCCGTTGTTAGGCTATTATTCTTTAGTCCAAAGTCACAGCAGCAATAGGGGCTTCAGGGCTCAGGCTCATGAAACAATCTTTCCACGCCAGAACAATGTACCATCTCCCTGGTATTTATTGTTAGCATCCTTCTAATCTTTTGAATCTCCGGTAAGTAGTCGAATGGAAATAAGCTCCGTGTAGTTTATACAGCTCTTGAGAATCATATGAGATATGAAGATGTCACTCCGTCCTCCGTCTATCCACTGCCTGTCTATTATACGTACTTCTCTGGTTACGTACCTTGGTTACGTACTTTGGAGTCTGCCTGCACTAATCCTGCAGGTGTACCATTTCTTACATCCCATCCGATGCATTGACTACTCTATCCGGACTAAGGCGACCAGTTTCTGCTCAGGGATCGTCTTGACTGTATCAGGGAAATTTGTAGGGGAAAAAAAAAAAAAAAAAAGTAGGACAAGAAAAAATAGAAGAAAAAAAGTATTAAACTCTCGATTGTACAAAGTCTTTATAGATAGATAAATAGATAGCCTGCATTTCTCGCGTAGACAGACTCTCTGACCAAAGACGATCCACCACTCGTTCAGATCGGAGCGGCCCTGGTTCGAGTCATGACTGGATGACATGATGGATCACGGACAGGAGGTCTGAGCTCCCTCTCTCTGCTGATCTAAATCTGACAGCCTCCTGGAGCTGGAGCTGGAGCTGGAGCAAGGAGTCTGGAGACTGGAGTCCAAGATTGATTTCCGCCACTTGCATTCAGGTTTCCTGCTCTTCAATCAATCACTTGGGTGTATATTTAGTTCTTTCCACATGGGAGTTGATAAGTTGTCACTGGATATACTCCGTACGCCATAGTAATAAATAATAGATAGGATGGGATGGTCTGAAGTTCTTGGTTCTTGTGGCACACTGGCACCATCCCCGCTAGTTAGTTGGAAGTGAATCAGCGGGTTCTGTTGGTGAACCAGATCGGATGTATCCGTCCGGTTTTTGCTATCCTAGGTAGTGGCAGTAGTAGTAGATAATCCACGAGTACGACACTCTCGTACTCTGCTGTACAGTCCAAAGCTAGCTATCTACTATTGACTAAACCTTGGGAGTTGGGAGTCGGACAGGTATCCAGTCACACAAGCCGGAGAATATCTCTTTCCTCTTCTTCTTCTTTATCGCTTTCTTTACGCTCCTTCCATACATCTCTACATACATCCCGGATAGCATCCCCCGAACCAAGATCTCCCAGTCGACTCCCTGCTCCTCAATCCCAACGTCCTCGATCCTCCTCCTCCTCCGCCTCAGGGGAGGGATGCATCCCGTCGATCAGCCCGGGAAAAGAAACAGGAGCTGCATGATCACTTGGTTCACTAGTCATTACCAGCCCCAACCAACTGTTAAGTGTCAAGTTTAGTACCAGTGTGATGTGCACAGTGCACACTGCACACACTACCCATCGTCATTTATGCAAGATATGCATCCCCCAACCAGCATCATGTCATGGCCCATCCCATGATTTCCATCTCTCCTCCTTGCTTCAACGGCTCGATGATCCTTTGCTCCCTGAACCTTTACTCCGTGGGGACTGACTTCGTGTTCCCAGATCCTAACGGCCAGCTTTCAAGGTCCAGTAAACCCGGGCCTAGTTTCTACTTTCTCTCTCTCTCTCTCTCTCTTGTTACCGAATTGGAAGCATCGGGATGCTCTCTCCAAATCGCCTCTCCTCTCCGCTACATATGTAGACAAAGAAAGGCAGAAAAAAACACCCCTTACCCTACCCTACCTTACTTCACCCACGTAAGCCTCATGTCCTCGCGTGACTGCGTGACCGCCGGAGCCACTGTCAAACTACAGAACCATCCATGTCCATGTCCATGTCCCTGGCCGGGAGCGGCCCGCAGCATCCCTTGTTGGCATGCAAAACTGATCATCCTCTCCTGAATCATGGTCCAGCGTTCAACATCCCCCTGACTCTGAGCTGTAGCGTAAAATTCGGAACGGGGGATTAAAAAAAAATATATATATATATATATAGAAATAAAATAACTCAGGGTCAAAGTCTGAAAAAAAGGAAAAAAAAGTACAGAAACCCGGCGCTGTGGGTCGGGGGAATGCGATGAGGGGAATGGGATCATCATCATTCATGGGAGGACGTGATGTGGCCGGAGCAGATCAGACCAGACTCTCGGACTCTGGGTGTCAGAGACATGTAGGTCATGTCTAGTGTACACTGTACACTGTGTAGTGGGTAAGTAAGTAAGTGAGTTCAGTCCATTCCGTTTTCTTTGTTCTCCCTGCGCGGAGTGCAGTAGTTTAATTTGGGTCCGAGTAAGGTATAGAAGGGAAGACAAAGAAGAGAGAGTGTGAGTGGAAGAAGATAATAATGCAGTTAGTTACTAGTTAGTTGCTACTACTGTCTAGTGTCGAAACTTGGAATTGTCTACAGCGTACAAACACGGTGATGTCTGTCTATCTATCTACCGTCGAGGTCTCAGGCCGTACTTCCTACTCAGTAGATAGATACGGCGTCTATAGTACTCAATCTCAATCCATAGGATGAAGGCTAGGTCGAAGACTAGGACTAGAGGCAAAGACTAAGAGGCCTAGGTACATGACTAGACCGACGCACAACTCCCTGTTATCTGTCACCCTCCAACTAGAATACAAGTGGCCCCGAACTAACTGCTGGATAGAAGGCACTATGAAGAGGGAAGCGCCTCGTCCCTCCACTCCCACCGGACTAAGGTAGACAGACTTAACACTGCCTCCAGTATCTACGGAGTAGTCCAGTACCTTGGTTGGCACTTGGTAGTTGGTACTTTATTATTGTCCATTTGTCCTTCCCCGTAGGAAAAACTAAAAAAGTTACAGGAATCTGTCATCCAGCACTGGCCAGACTAACGGACGATCTCCCGTCATCCTCATATTAACTACTGAGTATTATTGCCAAAATGCCAGAATGCTATGTAAAATTGCCTGCCCCCTGCTTTGTGACAATGACGGAAGAAGGTGGCCACTGGGGCCAGGAAGAGAGGCTAATGCGGCCACTCGAATAGTCAGTCGCCTTCCTCTCTCCTCCATCTCCCTAAGTCCCCAACAATGGATATTTCCATAAGCGTCGATTTGCGAGAAGTGGACAGTCTCGACTCTCTTCGAAATTTTCACCTCAAGCATTTGCGCTATATACTCGCTTCATTACCGACCATGCTATGTCCGAGAATGCCCGTCGTTGGCTTTCCTCCCCCTGGCCATATACCGAGTTGAGCAACACGAGAAAACAAAGATACCAACCACTCAGTCTCATCGCCGTCGAATTGCATTGCACGAATCCGCCATTCCTGCGGCGTTATCGATGATCTATGCTGAAACCGTCAAACCGTCATCTTGAGATCATGGCCTGCTCATCCTATGATCCTCCAGCGTAACGCAAGGGCAAAGGGCAGTGTTTCCCGCAGCATTCACTTCCAGCAAGGGAAAAAAAAAAAAAAAAAAAAACTCGTTAATTCATGCCGGCTGACTTCAACCCATACGTTGGATGGCCGAGGGAAATCGTGTGGCCGCTCGCGTGCCATTTATTAGATCCCAGATAAGTCACTTCCGGATACGTAGGGGTGCTTCCCCCCCAATTGGTATCAAAGCGCTGGAGCAAGAGCTTGCAAGGGCGATGACCACTTCATTGGCCATAGGTAGCGCTTGTCTGGGTGGATTGCAGTAGCCACTGTCTTTCCATAGGCCTGAAAGCAAGTGCACTTTCGCTAAATAGGACTGGTTCTAAAAAAAAAAAAAAAATTCCAAAAAAAGGGAAGAAATTGACAGACAAAGAAAGCCGTATTATGCAGCACATCTCCATTGTTGTCTTGTAAGCTGCCTGTATTGGCTACTTCCTAGTAGGACTCGCCGTAGCGAGCCTGGCCTGTTCGCCGGCTGCAACGGCTGCAGCCGCCACGGCAGCAGAGTTACTGGAGCCAGCACTGGCCACATTGCTTGCATGCGCGAGCAAGAATTTGCAACATGTCAGCGTGTACTTGCAGGCTCGCGTCCAGGTCTCGTCATTCTGGTTGAATCCCAGTTTGATGCTCGCATCGCCGATTTTGTCGCGTTTGATCTCGTACGGCAGCTTCAGGCCTGTTGCAGCAGTGTTGCCGTGACCCCGGCGAGTCGAAGAGACCGGCGGCGGCGTCGACTCCACAAATTCACCCAGCTGACGTAAACATTCGAGAAAGGCGACCATGCCCGCATCGAACCGGCGGTGAAGCCAGGGAAGATTGAGTGGCAGGTCGCCGGAAGAGAACAGGTCGAGCGTGGTGATCTTGGGAGCCGCCGAAGCGTCTGCGGTACCACCCCCAAGCACAGACTGGGCTGGCGACGGCCGAGGATCCTCGATCTTCTCGATCCTCGACATCGACCCCATTGGCTTCACTCGGTATCCTTGAAACTCGAATCCCAATTTCTCAGCGATGGTGGCCAGCAGGAGCGCTGTTTGGCCCCAAGCAGCGTTGATCTCGGGCCACTCCACTGAGGGGTTAGTCAGACGACCCAGTCGCAGACCATTGATGGTCCCAAAGTAGCCGTCATGGCCTATGCAAAAGGCGTCATTGTAGACATTTGTTCGTTGTAGCCGTTCCAGCTGGCGTGAATCATGGTCGTACCGCATATTCAAGGCATCGCGCTCATTCTGAAACTCGGAGAGCGTCAACGCGAACGCGTTCCGGTCCCGCCAGAACTTCTCTTCCTCGAGGTCTAGCTGCTGCGACTGTTCCTCCAGATCAGCAATCTCCTCGTCCAACGCAGCCTTCTCCTTCTCCAGCTCAACTAGTTCTGCGAACGCCGCCTCCTCCGCTTCCAAAGTTTCCTTGAGCGACTTCTCAGCCGCCTCAAGTTCCTCAGCGCTAGGAACCGATGAGTTCAGATCCCTCAGAAATGAGATGTAGGCATCCCGCTCCTTGGTCGCAGAAACAAGCCGCTTCTGTAAACCGTCCACAAGCATCTCCGTGCACTCAACACAGACGGGATGATCGATATCGGAACGGGCAGTTATAACCTCGAAGAGTCGATTTGTCCTTTCCACTTGATCTGAGAAGGCTCCGTCTTCTTGTTCGCGCTCACTGGGTTGAGCGCCGGATGCCCGCTGGTTCCCCCATGCTTGACCTTCTCCGTTTGTGCTCGAAGCGTGGGGCGGTCCAACCTGGGACTCTGTGAGCATCACAAACGACATGTTGCCGCTGTCCCCCCGGCCTAGTCGGGAAGGATGACTCTGCCCATTGCTGGCAGGCCGAGGCGCGGGAATTGATCTTCGATAGACTGGTGCTGTAGCATTCTTGGAGACCCGATCGTAGAGCTCTCGTCTGTCGGGGGGATACGATAGGCGCGTGGAGGAAGTGGCCGTGTTCTCTGGGTTGGATTTGCCCGTTGAGCCTATTCAGCAGCATCAAACACAGTGGTCAGATCGGATATTCCTTGCGACGAGAAATGCAGGCTGGGCCTTACCGACGAGCAAGTCAAAGGCCGCTGGATTGAGCGACTCAAGCGAGTTGTCCAACTTCAACGGGGTCCGACATTTCTGGCAATACATGTTGGCGATTTTTTAATGAAGATACCTGTCCCATTCATTCTGATAAAAGATGGCTCGTCATGTCATGAAGAGCGCGATGATTATCGATGTCAGGATTGATTGTTAAGCGCATGGGGAGAAATGCAGAGTGTCGGCAGGGAGAGCGAGACGTCATGCAGCAACCCGCGCCCAGCATCGCGTGTTTTGGACGTCCGTCTCCGACCACCTCTTTGGGGCGTGGGTTCTTGAGCAACATTCTACAACTTAATCATGAGAATCAGAGGGAGTACAACAATGGATTTGCACTCATGAATAGAGTGGTCATTCACTAATTTTTCTATTTCCTGCTTTGTTTGAATCGCATCCCACCCTCGTTCCGCTCATCTCAATGAACTAATTGTACCACCAATGCCTGCAGCACTTCGACTTCCAGATCTCCTTCGATAATTTCGATTGCAGAGGCCCAACGCTAATTTGACCGGTTTTTTTCGCGATTCTGTATGATCTCTGATCGGGACAACCCTCTCTTCCCCTTCTACTACATCGCAACCACACCTCGAAAAGTTTGAACTCGGCTTTCCCTTGATTCATATGCATCTGCAGCATCTCTACAACTCCGTCAGTCAACGAGTCCAATGGAAAGGCCTCAGAAAAGACCCCGGCTAGCCTTCGCCAGCGATGGCGACACGGAACCAGACGATATCGACCTGCAAGAAGCTCGAGCTCATAATGACTTGCGCCTCAAATCGATCTTCGAAGGTATCTTTGAAAAGTACGGCAAAGACTTTACAGAAGTCGGAGACGAAATCGATCTACAGACAGGGGCAATCGTGGTTAATAATGGTCATCTACGGGGGATGTCAAGCGAAGACGATACGGGAGACCAGCACGGTTGGCTGTTTGAGGAAGAGAACGAGGAAGACGGGAACTTGTTGGCTTCTGCGATGAACTACCGAATATCGGACATTACTATGGAGGGCTCTACGCATGACTCAGGGACTGCGTTCGGCGGTGACAACCCGCAAGATGGGGCCCAAGCGGTGATGATACCATCCCCAGCGTTCGGGTTCGATCGGTCTTGTGAGGAATTGCAGCCACATGGAGCAGACGGCGCCGATTCAGATAGAGACGACGACGACGACAAAAGTAGCGTGGATTCCTTGCTGGATACCGCTCTATGCGTGCAGACCGAGTCAGATGCAGTTCCCGGTAATTGGGTCCCAGCGAACAAAATTGAGGCTATCCCCGGAAAACCAAAAGCTACGGCCGAAACATCCATCCAATCCCAACTGCAGCACGGGAGCACTCGTGCTGAACCAGTTGAGTCCATTTGGCGTGTACCTGAGATCCGCGGGATGTTCTCGACGCCTTCAATTAATAAATTGCGCCAAAAAATCCCCTTGACTGCTGTCCGCTCTGCATCTCCTCTGGGGGCGGGGTCCCTGTGGGCGCTTCCTGGAACTTCGAGGCGCAACACAGATGGCAAAAAGGGGAGAAGCGCAAAAAAACTTGGAACCGACCAGCGCAAACACGAGGCGCACCATTCTAGTCCCGTCCTCCAGGACTGGTCTTTCGCAGAAACCCCGGATGGAAACGAATCGGACGACCCTTTGCAGGAGGATTACCAACCATCGCCAACACCTAGAAGCACTATCAACATCAGGGGCAAAAGCAAGGCCCAAGCCACCACTCCAAGCCGCACAAAGGACAAGAGCAATCACCCTGAACCGCCTCCTTCGCAGCAAAATCCTAGCCGCCAGCTCCCTCCGGATCCTCCCCATGAGGTCACCGAGGCGAAAAGACCAGAGAACCGGGTTTCACAAGCGCAGCCTGAAATTGTCATCATAACTGCAGACCAGGATGATCCATCGATCGAGACGCGTGCAAATGCTGAGACTGAGCCGAAAGCAAGTCCTGTCACAGTCCAGACTCCAAGCCAAACCAGATCTAAAAGAACAATCATGACACCAGATGAAGCAAAACTAATCGTCCGCATGAGGCAAATCGACGGGAAAAAATGGAAGGAGATTCTACACTATTTTCCACAGAAGAAGGAGATCAATCTTATCCAATGGAACCACACGCACTGGAATGAGCGGCAGGCAAATCCCCCTCCGCTATCCAGACCTTGGTCAAAGCCAGAGCTCAACAAACTGCGGGCTCTGAAGGACCAACAGGGTCTAGGTTGGTCCGAGATTCGTGCAGCCTTCCCCGGTCGTTCGCTTCAAGAAGTCGAATTCCAATTGTTGTGTCTTTGGGCTGAATCTGGAAAGGATATCAAGGCGGAGAGCAATGGCCCTTGATAATTAAAAAAAAAAGCCCACAGGTGATGAGAAGGAGAATTCCGTTGAGGATAGCCATTTGGCTTAACCTTTGCCAATGTCTCTGGATGGCATGGATTTCATGCGAAAGTAAACGAAGACATACCCATCCTCACTTCTTGCCTGGGTTATCGAGCGGAAGTTAAGGGGCTGACGCGTCATGACAATAACACAATAGCATAAGCTGAAACGGCCGAGACTGAGAATAAACCGAACTCTGAAGCCATGCTTCATATCATCGTCGCGGTCCTGTTTTCTGTAGCTGTCGAATTTGAGGTCGATCCTTTGCGCCTCGATGAAATACCCAGCCGGCATTTCGCCGTAGTAGTAGGCACTTCACAAAAATTTATTGATCGTCCTTGGCGTTCAGAACATCCTCAAGCTTGGTATCTACCGCACCGCCGACATCTCCAGCTTTGGCCCAGAACCTAGACAGATGTCTTGAGCCAGAGTCGGACAGGACAGTCACGATCCTATGACCCGGACCCATCTTCATTGCTGTTTTGACAGCTGCAAAGCCTGTAGTATAGCGATCAGCCATGATCTAGCAAAGCAGATGTCAAGATAATACTCACAGTTCACTGCACTGCTGCTTCCGACAAAGATACCATCCTTCTCGACTAGCCATCTAGCCATGGCCAGCGCTTGCGCATCTGTCACCCGGACAGCGTCGTCAACGAGCTCCTTCCCTACTTCAAAGTTTGCGGTCACGCGGTTGATCCCAATACCCTCAACAATCGTGTCGACTTGTCTTCGTCTCCGAGTGCCTTCTCTCTCTTTGACATCAAACATGACACCGTAACGCACACGGTTATACAGTCCACTGCCCTGGGGATCGGCCAACACTACACTCAAATCCGGAATGCGCGGCTTCAGAAAGAGCGCGACACCGGAGATGGTCCCCCCGGTTCCAGCCCCGGCAATAAAGGCGTCGAGTTTCCCGTTGCACTGGGCGTAGATCTCTGGCCCTGTGCCGTTAAAATGAGCTCGCCAGTTAGCTTCGTTCTCGAACTGGTCTGCGAAAAACCCTCGTCCACTATCAGGAGACAGTGTTTGGGCGTCAGCGAGAGCTCGCGCTCGGTTGACGAAGTTGTCCTTCTCCACAATCGGCGCGGGAGGAACACGGTCTACTATTGCGCCAAGTTTGAGGAGTAGGTTGGACTTTTCAATAGCTTGGTCGGATGGCATGCAGCTTGCGGGTATCAGCGAGCGAAATGGGACCCAACAATAGCACTTGATCGGTTCTTACATGTGCGCGAGATATCCCTTCGCTCTCGCGAGGGAGGCTAGGGAAATGCCGGTTGAGCCGGAGGTGCCTTCGTAAATTGTATCTCCCGAATGAGGCTTCAGGATGCCATTCTCTTCAGCCTGTAGAGGTCAATGATTGATCACATGGAGCAAGAGTCCAGGTTATCATACAATCTCGATCATGCTCAATGCTACACGGTCCTTGGAGCTCTGGCCTGCCCCATTGAGAAACTATACGACATCAGTATGAATCTACGCATAATGGAATAGGTAGAAATAGCGGTTACCTCAGCCTTTCCCAAAATCTCACATCCTGTCGCATCTGACAAGGATTTGATGCGGAACAGAGGAGTGTTTCCAATACAGCCCTCAATGCCTTCCACAATCACCGGTGGACCTGGTCTAGCAGCCAAAGGTTCTAATGAACTACTCTGCAGGCCAGTGATGGATTGAGAACGGCCAGATTGAGTTCCTCGGAGCCGACGCTCCAGCTCTGGATAGACAAGCTCTGCGAATCCTAGGGTGAGGAGGACACCAGCCACAAAGGCGGTTCCAATGTAGACCCGAGAATGGTCGCTCATCTTGAGAAGAATCGAAAACTATCCAATGTCTTAAATAATCCAGGACCGAAGCAGTCCGACAACGTTGAACTGACAGAGTGAGGTCCAGTCTGGAGGAGAGTCGGAGAAAAGCTCGGGCCACATGGAGGAACTCCTCCGCCTCCAGCATCGTCATCTCTGCCATTTTGCTGTCATGTGCAACCATTATTACTGCACTTTCCATTCATTTCCAATTATCGTCTCATGGACAACCCCATCCTGAGTCAGCTGTTCCGACAGCTGTTTCGACATCCTGCATGTCAGTCCTTTCGAGCGTCGTCACGACTGCCGACTCGCCGAGCAAACTGTGTCCCACTGCCTGGCCCATCTCGTCAACAATGTCGCTCTTTTCTCACGCGACGGTCGCCGGCTAAACGCAAGAGTACGGATGATGGGATGCATTGGCTCAAGCGCGGGGACTATCCCAAAGACATCGAGGAGGAATTGAAAACATATCCGCTTGTCACGGCGAAGGATTTGCGGAACCGTCGTGAGCGCCCGCGGCAAGTGAAAATGTTGACACGAGAATTCATTGATGGTATGTGCTTTCGGATAGGATGACTGTGAGGTATGTGTGCGGCGTACTAACGTAATACTCTGCTGTCCAGATAGCTTATACAATCCTCATTATGGCTATTTCTCGAAGCACGCGACCATCTTCAGTCCGGGAGAGCCGTTCGAGTTCAACAATATCGAAGACGGACCCGCTTTTCATCGAATGCTAGGAGAACGGTATACAGAATTTGAGGACAAATTGGATGAGACAAAACCGGACATTGCTCGTCAGCTATGGCACACTCCCACGGAACTGTTCCGACCATATTACGGGGAGACAATCGCTCGATACTTGGTGTCAAATTACAAGCTGACATTGTACCCCTATCATGATCTAATCATATACGAGATGGGAGCCGGAAACGGTACAATGATGATCAATATCCTGGACTTCATCCGCGACACAGATTACGAGGTTTACCAGCGAACCAAGTTCAAGATCATCGAGATTTCGCCCGCGCTTGCGAGCCTGCAGATGAAGAACCTGACAGACTCCATCAATGCTGCAGGCCATATGGACCATGTCGAGATCATCAATCGATCCATTTTTGACTGGGACACCTATGTGCATTCGCCATGCTTTTTCCTCGCATTGGAGGTGTTCGATAACTTTTCCCACGATGCGATTCGATACGACACTAAGACGGAGCTTCCTCAGCAGGGTAGCATTCTGATCGATGCGGATGGCGAATTCCACGAATACTACAATCCTCAAATTGATCCCGTGGCCTCTCGGTTCTTGCGCGTCAGACAAGCTGCGGCCCGTCGACCGTTCCCCAGTCCGTTAGGACCCAAGCTTATGCGCCAAGTCCGTGGTTCTTTGCCATTCCAGAGCCAATACACCATGCCAGAGTATATTCCAACTCGGCTGATGCAATTCTTCGATATTCTGGACAGCTACTTCCCGGCCCACCGGTTGATAGCCAGTGACTTTAGTAGTCTCCCGGATGCTGTTCCTGGAATTAACGCGCCTGTGGTGCAGACCCGCTACAAGAGACGGACTGTGCCTGTGTCAACCCCATTCGTAAGTTGGCCCTTGCCTGGATATACGTGCAAATATGCTAATGGGACAACTAATAGGTGCACCAGGGATATTTCGATATCTTCTTCCCCACCGACTTCAACGTCACTGAGGACCTCTACCGCGCCATTACTGGCAAGCTGACGCAGGTGATGAGCCATGAAGACTTCGTTCGGCGGTGGGCATATATTGAGGATACCGAGACGAGGAGTGGCGAGAACCCGCTATTGAGCTGGTATAAGAACGCCAGCATGTTGATGACAGTTTGATCACTGTACTTATAATGTAGATAAAATCAAACTATATCATACCCGAGTCTTCTTCTGTCAAACGGGCTTGATCGAAGGGACCGCGGATTGCATTCTACCGAGGAAGCAATGTACTTTCTAACACAGCCGAGGACTGCTGTAGCCCAATTCCTTCTTTGTACTCACACGACCACAAACAAACCTCGCTACCTGACTCGCTCTGCGTGACGGGATCCGGCAGTACAACCTTTCATCCCCTCCTTCTCTTGTCCCCCAACAAGCAAACAGATCCCAGAGATGAGATGTTTTAGGACACGAAGGATTCAGCCTGAGTCGGGCAGAAGACCTATCCTCGATGCATGAGACCTGTATCATGTACGGAATGTGTCCGCTCGCGACTGGTTTAATGCCAACTTTATACAAGTCATACTGGGCATCGAATTGTTTAAGACTTTTCTATATAAAAGACATCTCTAAACAGAGACTCACAGAGACTCTCACCTCGTCTGCCTCCTACTTCTCTTTTTCCCTCACATCCCCTCCGGCTGAACAAATAACTCCTCAGGATGACCATCCCCTCGTGGAAATCAATCGTTCATCGAAAACGCGCCGACCAGCTCAAAGCTATTCCCTCGTCCTGGCGCCTTTCCGCGACAGTCCTCACGCCTCCACTGCCCGATACCCTCGAAACCATCCGAACATGCGGCATTCTCTCCGCCCAAGAGCTCGAGTGGACCGAGACTAACGATGTGGCGAAGCTACTAGCCCTCCTGGCATCGCGAGAGGTGAGCTCCGTGCAGCTGACCACGGCATTCTGCAAGCGGGCTGCCATCGCGCAGCAGATGACGAAGTGTCTGACGGAGATCTTCTTCGACCGGGCGCTGGAGCGAGCCAAGCTGCTCGATCAGATGCTCGAGAGGGACGGGGTGGTGACGGGGCCGTTGCATGGCTTACCTGTATCTATCAAGGACCGGTTTGACTTGCAAGGGGTGGACAGTACGGTTGGTGAGTACTGCAGTATCGCTCTCTTGACAAACTCCGGTTCTTAATTCTGTAGGATGGGTCGGTTTGATCGGGAAACCGGCGCAGAGATCCAGTTCGATTGCCCGACTGCTGGAGTCAATGGGTGCGGTGCTCTATGTCAAGACAAATATCCCGCAGTCTCTGATGGTCTGTACGCCTCGCGTCCAATGGTCCGCACGCTGCTAACACTGCCGGGGCCCAGATGTCCGACTCCTACAACCATGTCTTCGGCCAGTCCATTAACGCGTTCAACCACGAGCTCATCTCCGGCGGCAGCTCCGGAGGCGAGGGCGCCTTGATCGGTGCTCGGGGCAGCATCCTCGGCATCGGCACGGATATCGGGGGCTCGATTCGCATCCCGGCCAACCTGCAGGGTCTCTACTCCATCTGTCCCACGACGGGCCGTGTCCCGTGGGATTGCTCCTTGTGAGAAATGCTTGTACCCGTCCTTGGTACGTAGAGTCATGAGCTAACGCGGGGGATTCTGGGCATCCAGCATGCACCAGCACTACCTGGTCCCTCCTGTCGCAGGCCCCATGGCAAGGAGCCTCTCAACGATCGAATGCTTCATGCGAGCGCTTCTGGACTCGAATCCGTGGGACGTCGATCCGGGATGCATCCCGATCCCCTGGAGGAAGGAGCTGGCGGCTCTACCAAGCAGAAAGCTCCGAGTGGGAGTCGTCTTCGACGATGGAGTGGTCAAGCCCCAACCTCCTATATCTCGTGCGTTGCGGGAAGTGGCTGCGAAGCTCAAAGCAGACGGTCATGAAGGTATGTAACTCTGCGGCTGTCACGAAAAGAAAGGGGGGGGGGAAACAAAAAAAAGAAGAAAATAAAACTAAGTCCTTTAGTACTCGAATGGAACACTTCCCTCCACGAAACCACCACAAAACTCTGGACAAAAGCCATCCTCGCAGACGGGGGGACGCATTGCAAGCACCTCTGCGACATTGTCGACGAGCCTTTGATCGAAGGTATGGTGGTCGGGACTGCAGCAGACCAACTGACTCTCCTTGAACGGGAAAAGGTAAACTCCCAACCCCAGTGGCGCAAAGGCATATACAGCCAAGGTCACGCAGCTTACGATTATACAGCTGGAGGAGGAGAAATGGGCGCTGCAGGAGCGATTCCTCAAACAGTGGAAAGACAGCGGCATCGATGCCCTACTCATGCCGGTCACGCCCTGGGTTGGGTACAGGCCCAAGACGTGGGTAAAGAGTACCCAATGGCTGGGCTACACGGCTCCCTGGAATCTCCTCAACTACGCCGCGGTTACGGTTCCGGTGACGAGCGTTGATCCAGCCCTGGATGAACCCGATGAGGATTGGCTGGCGCATATGCCCCGGAACCAGTCCGATGCATTTAACCACGCTCAGTGTAAGACACAAGATCTACCTTGACTCTTGGCGGTGCATACTAATACTAATACTAATATCCAAATAGACGATATCGAGCTGGTGAAAAACATGCCAGTCTGTGTCCAAATTGTTGGAGGGCGCTTCGGGGAGGAGAAGGCTGTTGCCGTTGCGAAAGTGCTTGATGAGCTTCTTCATCTATGATCGGGAAATGAGACATAATTTTAGACCATATTAGATCATAAAGATTGCAATTTCAGATCAACTCAAAGCATTTCAAGGGCCATTACAGTTTGGCCTGACCCTCATGGGCATTCCCCTGCCAGGCAAACCCGATTTTCTGCCCAATGCCCGGTTCCACAATGACATTGACAACCGTAACTGTATCGCTCAGGAACCCCTCCCGCGTCGCAGTCTCTAGTTCCTCCTCCGTACGGACAAAGTATCCCTTGCCACCGCACATGGGACCTAACTGCTCATACCGAGTCTCATACAAGAGACTGGTTGAGCGCAGGCCTTTCTTATGATCGTCCTGGCCGTCCGATTTGGTGTCGTTGGTCGCCGTCTGAGCCTGCAGCTGTTTCCATGAACTCTCGGAAGCGCTATCGCCGTGGTAGATGCCGGAGTTGTTCACAACGAAGATGAGCGCGGGGATACGGTACCGCGCCATAGTCTCGATCTCCATAGCACTGAAGCCAAATGCGCTATCGCCTTCGAGCGCCACAATCTTCTTAGGTTTTGCCGTGGAGGCTGGAGAAGCGTTGAACGCCTCGTGAGCGGCAATGATGTAGCCCATGCCCACACCCATCGTGGCATACGTGCCAGCGTCCAGACGCTGGCGGGGATGATTAAGTGGGAAGACAGAGCGCGAGATATCCATGGTATTGGCGCCCTCCGACACATACACCACATTTCCTTCTTCGAAGGGTGTCAATGAGTTTAGCGTAGACTTGATGATATGGAAAGCCCGCTGATACGTCAAGGGCGAATTCTTCGGTGTAGGAAGCATCGCAGCCTTCTGAGCCTTGGCCTCGTTCTTCTTCGCCGACTCCGCCAGCAGAGTGAGGTACTGGCTCGGAACCGCAGAGGAAGCATACCGCCAGTTCGAGAGGCTGGTCAGCAGCTGCTGCACAACCAAATCAATGTCCCCGATGATCCCGAGCTCCGCCGTTCCGGCATTCCGGCCAATCTCCTCCGCAGAGATATCGACCTGGATGATCTTCGCTGTGGGCGACCACTTCGGCGGCTCACCGAAATGCAAGATCCAATTCAGCCGCGCCCCAAGAACCAACACCACGTCCGCGTGCTTCAGCGCCGCGCTCCGCGCACTGGACACATTCAGAGGATGCGAATCGGGCACCACGCCCTTCCCCATCGGCGTCGGCAGGAATGGGACCTGCGTCTGCTCGACCAGGCGGCGGATCGCACCCTCCGCCCGTGCATACGCAGCTCCCTTGCCGATGATCAGCAGTGGTGAGCGCGCGGATCTGAGCAGCTGAGCAGCCTTCAAGATTGACGCAGGGTCCCCACTGGCCTTGGGGGGCGCAGGGACAAGTAGAGTTTCCGGCTCCGGTAACCGAAAGCCAGGCGTCGATTTGCCCTGGATGAGGTCGGCGGGCAGGTCGACGAAAGTCGGTCCGGGACGGCCGTACCAGCACGTTCTGTAAGCATTTTGGACGGCACCGGCGACATAGTCGAGCGACGGTGGGCGCACCGCGAACTTGGTGTGCGGGGTGAGGAAGGAGATAGCGTCCATTTCTTGGAAGGCGCCCTTGGAGACGCCTGATGTCTCTGCGGAGCCGGCGAGAACAAGGAGAGGGAAGTTGTTGGCCGCTGAGTTACCAATCTAGACAACAGACAGGAGAGTAGTTAGTCAGTGATTGACCTCAATCCTGCGGCTTGTAGAGCTCCAAGATCTCAAGAGCACTTACCCCAGCCATGGCATGGAGAACACCCGGCCCTCCTACGACAAGACAGACGCCTGGCCGGCCTGTCATGTACCCATAGACGCTCGCTGCGTAGCTGCATGCTTGCTCATTGCGGAAGGCAACGAAGCGGATGCCCAAATCGATGGCTTCTTCGGCAATCTCCACCACGGGGATGCCAACAATGCCGAAGATAACGGTGACGCCTAGATCGCGCAGCGTCCGGGCGATTAGCTGAGCACCAGTTGGGACAGCCATGGTGGTGCTTGTAAATGAGACAGCGAAGATTCAAAGATGAGGAGGCGAAGATAAAGGCTCTACATGCCGCGTTGTTGAGCTTCGGAGGATGGCGATGGATGAAGAGAAACTCTCGCGCACTTCCGAGGCACAACACGCAATGACGCAACGCCGGATAATCCCCAGGCAGCTCAATTCGACATCAACAGCAACACAGCGGTATATTGTTTATTCAAAGCGATCTTAGGAATGCTGATACGAGAGTACGTCTGATTGAGCGATCAGGAAGTGTTTATAGGACGAGGTTGGAGATTGAACCGAAGAGTTAACTTTTAACGACAGCTCAATAGCCCCCCGAATATATTGAACTCCCTCTGCAGTCTGAATGAATATCTACTACTGAATAGCAACTTCTCCATAATAATAAAGCCGAACTCGCTGTATGTTGACTTAGAGATAAAAGATAGATATAAGACCATGGTATCCAACAAATCAACCGTGACATGCAATTAATATCCCCGACGATGCCAGATCCCGACCTTCAGATAGACCTGAGCCGTTCGTTGTATAAAAAAACCAGAATGCATATAAACGAGGCATCTCCCTTAAAACTCGAATTCCTTCCGGAAAACGTTCACGTCCATGCCCGCTACCACCATGTCGGACAGATCCCGTCGTCCCATCTGACTGAAAACCCGCCGCAGCGTGTCGTACAGGTTGGTGCTCTGGTTCTGGCTAATGTGGAGCATCCGCTCGAGTTGCTCATCGTCAATACCACCGTCGCCTCCAACAATCTCGCGAGCACGCTCACGGCCTTCCTGTTCAACGACGCGGTGCATGGACAGCGCACCGAGGAGATGCTGTGCGGCTTCGGGATAACAACCGATGTTGATGCAGGAGACACCAAGATTGTACCGAGCACGGACGAAGTTGGGGTTGATCGTCAGGGCTTCCTCGTATGCTTGGATTGCCTCCTCGGAGCGGCCCGAGTTGGCAAGTGTAGCGCCGAGACGGTTCCACAGCAGATGCAACTGCTCTTTCTGATTGACTGTGCCGGATTCGGTGGAATGCAGAGCAGCGGAGAAGCAGTCAACTGCCTTGTCGTATTCTTCAGCACAGTAAAAAAGAACACCCAGACCAACCTGGACGTCTGGATCCATGTGCTCTCCGGATGGTGACAGCTGGGCCGCCTTGATGAACAAATCGGTAACCCGGTCGTGGAGAACCTGGCGATCAGTGAACCCGAGATCTGCATCAGCCGAGAGATCCTTGGGGTTGATAATCTGCGGGTACTTCACGGAAAGCCAACGCTCAAGAGTGCGGTAGGCTGTCGAGTCATAGCCTTCGTTAGTGTAGGAGACGGCCAGCCCCATCAGTGCATCCAAGCTGTTTGGATCCACCTTCAAGGCCTGCTCTAGTGCCCGGATGGCAGGAAGCTCCTTCTCGTTCTGGGCTTGAGCCGATCCCAGCATCGTCCACGCTTGGACGTGCTGCGGGTCTTTCTGTACAGCCGCCTCGAATGCCAGAGCAGCCAGAGACAAGTTTCCACCTTCACGCATGATCTTGACACCTTCTTCAAAGGGATTGGTCACGTTGCGGAAAACGTTTTCTTCCTCGAACATATAGTCGCCGAGCTGAGGATCCCGGAAGCGCGTGTTCAGATTGTCGAAACCGTCCCACTCGCCCAGATCTCCCATGTGCAGGTTCTCGTTGATATCGAAAGAGGCATCTTCCTCGACCAGTTTCCTATTTGCCGCGGACGATTCAGCTTGGACTCTTTCCCAGACGCTCTCAAATTCACCGTAATCTTGTGAATTACTGGCGTCAGTAACGGGGACTGACCTGTCAAGATCGTTCAACTCCGCCTCCATAGCTGCGGCAGCTTCATCGTCCAGCGTTTGGTTGCCCGCCGTCTCCATCTCGGCAAACTGCGCCTCCCAATTCACGTCGTCTAGCTCGACCATGCGTCCCTTGCCCTTGTCCTGGGTCGTGGCTTCTGCTGGCTGCTGTTGCATCCCCATGGGATTATACGCTTGGTGCATCATCCCCATCCCCCCCATACCCATGTACCCCATATTCATGCCCATGGGCCGCTGGTAGCCGGCCATCATTGGCGACGCGGACGTAACCGGGTTTGATGTCTGTGGCATACCAGCCCGACTCTGTTGTTGGAAGCGAGCAAACTCCGCAGATGTGAATCCAGATCCATTGTTCATGATAGGACCAGTGGGACCGGCAAAGGCAGCCTCCATCCGGGCGTGCTCCCCAGCATCAAACTCGGCTGCCCACCCGGGGGAGCCTGTCCTTGGCGGAGTAGTCTGGAAGTGATCTAGCTCTCGTCGTAGCTGTTCCATTGCGAAAGGTTGTGGTGCGGTCCCGGGGATCTGGCCGGGCTGTTGTGCGGCAAACTCGTCCATCATCTGGGTGTATTACCAATCACTGGTCAGTTTGAACATATGTGACGAGCATCAAAAGTGAAGTTGTTGAACCGGCCATACCTGATCTTGACCACCCATCATACCCCGCGACCGCATGCCCTCCTGCATGCCCCCGGGACCCCGTCCAACGAGACGGTCCCGTTGTAGGGACTTATCATCTTGGACGTGCTTGGTGAATTGTGTGAGCGGGTTTCCCGCCGTTGAGCACTCAGCGCCACCGAGGAACGACATGTTGATTAATCCACTAGAGCCGCTCGTGCAGAAATAACATCAATAAGTAAATGTAAGTGAAGGGGGTATATGATTGTAGTTGCCAGAATGAAAGAAGAAGTGGATGAGAAATGCAGAACGACAGCTCCGTGGCTCGACTCCCCGAAAACGTGGGGTTGAAACCGATCGGAGAGTCGCTGATGCCGAGGTCCGCCGACCGGTCACGTGGGCTAGCTGCTGTGCGTCGCCAATCTCCTAAAGGTGAATTTGCCTGTGGCTAAGAACAGACTGGTTGAACTACGGCTGGACATGGTACCAAGATATCTTAGATTATTAGAAATCGTTTTTTTCTAGATGATATATAGTACAGTTATGAATGCCTGCTGAAGTACACGGACTATGCAGAATGGTACAACGCTAGCCAGAATATTTTATAGTCAAAACCAACAGCGCGACCAGTACTTATTCGGCCGCAGGCTTATTGTTCTCGATACGCTCTGCCCTTCTGTTGGTATGGCTGTAGTCCAGACGCAGCTGTCTGCCGTATGGAGACTTCCGGCTCAGGATCTCAAGCCCTTTCTGAGCACTCTCAGCGTCGATGAATTCGGCATGTGCGAAACCACGGGGCTGACCCGTGCGGCGGTCGATCGATACGCGAACATCGATCACATTGCTGACATCCTTGAAGAGATCGTTCAAATCCCGGTCTGTCATCTCAAATGACAGATTGCCGATATACAACGTTCTCGAAACGGGCTGCAGGGAGCGGTGTCCGTCCATGTTGGTCTGCGCGTATTGCGAAGTGACGCGACGACCTTCAAGGGTCTGCAGATGTGTTCCATCAATTGCCCGTCTGGCCGCCTCGACTGACTCGAACTGCACATAAGCAAAACTAGACAAACATTATTAGCAACCCAGCTCTTTCACAATCCCGGGTTTTCCCCTCCGGGCACGACCATGAAGAACACCAACAACTTACCCTCTGCTCATACCCCGACTATCAAGGATGACATTGGTCCTCTCCACAGCACCATATTTCTCCATATGCTTCCGCAGATCCTCCGACGTCACATCGTAGAAGAGGTTGCCAATGTAGATCGTCTCCTTCGGCGTAGGCGATTTCTCCAGCAGCCGAAGCCGCCTGGCGCGGCTCGACTGCTCCAAGGCCTTGTCGTCAGTCTCCGGGGACACGATCTCCGAGGGGTCGTATTGGTCGTACTCCCCCGCAGACCGGATCGCCGTTTCCACATCCTCGTCCTCAGGAACATTCGAACGTCTTCCTCTCCGAGAGCTGTAGCGGCTCTGGATCTCATCGCGGAACCATCTCGTCTGGCTCAGATTGTATGATGGTACATAAGAAGCCACGGGTAGCAGGGCGCGCGGTGCTACGGCGCGAGATGACCACGCCGGCGCAGCGGCCGAGGAGGTAAGGAGGCGACAGGCTGCTCGACGGAGGAAATGCCTGTGAAGAATGAATATCAGTACCGCCGCATTAGTAAGGCGTAAATCGCGTTCTTTTGGGGGGGAAAACAAGCCAGCTTACATTTTTGTATGTCTTTGAAATCTGTCGAAGTGAAGGTTCAAAAGCCAAGAAAATCGACAGAAAAACGTCCGCGAGAAAGCGGCGAGCAAACCGTCCTTATCGGTAGATAGGATCACGTGATGCGTCAGGCCATATCAAAAGTGTTTATGGGTTAACCATCCTGTGGCAGAGAACAAGTTCGTTCCTCAATCTTCGAGACGCTGGGCAGAAGTATTGTGCTCTCGTACAGGTGGTCCGGTAGAACAGGGTGTAGGTTAATATCACTATGGCCAAGAAACAAGTTTGATAGATACGTGACATTTAACATCGAGTGGAGAAGTTGCGACAAACATATACATTCATGAGAAATTTGTACATCGTTAGGATATCCATGCAAACTACCCTTCCAGTGCTAAAACGCCACGCCTGCAGAACCATTACCCAAAGCGCAAGGAAGCCTGACGGTGGGACTTCAGTTACCAAGAGGAAAAGAAGCGGCGGAGGGGCTGAGAAGTAAAGTGCCCTCTATTCCAGCAACGTATAGTCATAAAGAGCTTTACCCTGTGGATGCCGGTTTGGGTTTCAGAAGAGAATTAGGATCATAAGTTCCGGCCAGGTTAGTACCGTCGTACTTCGCCGATTCCGAAGAGAAGATGTTCGGAAAATGAGGCAAAGGCCGCATCCTGTCTGCTGAACTGCTCTGTTGCATTGCAGGTAGCTGTGCAGGCTGTATGGGGCCTTGGCCCTGATTCGGTTGTACTGCCGGTGATGGTTGTGTCTGCTGCTGTTGCTGCACGTCCATCGACGGCCACCATTGGTTTGGTAAGTCAAGATTCGAATTTTGGATGTAGGTGTCCCAAGTGTCCTGCGTTCGACATCAGTCTGCATATCCCGTGGAGAAGTAAAATCTTGAGACATACCCAGTCAAAATTCAGCTGCGGGTCAGGCATCTGTCCGAACATGGCGCTGAATGGTGATAAAGGCCCTGGAACTTCTGTAGATGGCCCGAATCCTGCCGGAACTGAAGGCGTCTCGGACACCTTGAATCCATTTTCATTGAATGCCGGGGATCCGGAATTCATAGAACTCATCCCGCTGCTCAATAGCCCCAGTGTCATCGCAGCGCTCTGCTTCTCGTCCTGAGGCTCAAATACCGGCGGCGTGGCATTACTCTCCGGGAAGCTGATTTTCAATTTGCCGAGCATCACACCAAGGACGGCGGCAGCCTTCCAAGCTTCTAGTGTCTCATCACTCATATCGTCCCAGATCTCTTTGGACCGCTGAAGAGCGCCGACCATTTCTTGTCGACGTTCCCTGCCCCACGCAAAGGTATCGCCAGAGGCTCGTCCACCAGCTTGCAATTTAAGTCCATGATACAAATCAAAGCAGACAATGCTCGCGGCAAGCAAGAAGTCAGTCGAGCTGAGGGATGTTACCCGATTCTGTCGCGTCCGCAGACGTCCGTTTGGCCTTGTTTCTGTGTGTAGCATTGATTGGAAGCGTAGCAATTCCATGGCAGAATCTATACATGTTTTTCGCGAGTATGTGAAGCGGGAATTATCCCGAGCGCGAACGATATAAGGCCGGTGTAGAACGCATTGCGCTTTATGGTAAACGCTCATTATCTGCCATTCGTTAGCAAAAAGAATGTTTTTTTTTTTTTAAAAAAAAAAGAGAAGTGGTGACACACTGCAAAGCGCGAGATAATAAGGTTTGATGGATCTAGCTGACACTCTTCCATAGGACGAATGATAAGGTGCTCTGGAATCATGTCCCGAGCTTGACGAAGCTCAGCATCCAGTTCCATCACATTGTCATATGATCCACTCTGAACGCTCGAGGTCATCTCGCTGACCCGGCCAAAGACGTATGTCAAGCGTGCCTTGGCAATCAGATACGAGATGGGGGTCGGTTCATTCGACGGCCGCGGTGGGGGTAGTTCCTTGCAGTCTTCACTAAAATCATCGTCATACAGATTTCGCGGAAGTTCCGTATCACTATCCACAGTTCGAATCATGCTTGGCAGTCCAACCTGGAAGGAGAACAGCAGATCGGACTGTCGCACAAAGGTCCATACGCGTCGGCGCATTTCGCCTTGGAAAGGGGTGATATTGGGAAACATTTTCGAATCCCGATGATATCCCATTCTCAAGGCCAACCTCGCGATGACACCTACGAGAACCCAAACTGAGATATCTGCTTCCCTTGATTGTCGGAAGTCCCCATGGAGATGGAATATCAAGGTTTCAATCAGGTAGGGGTATGGTTTGGTATAGTCGGCGAGAGTCAAACATTGAGCTACCAGATTCCGAAAAGTGCCAGCCATGTCCATGGACTTCCCGCGAAATTCGGGTGGCTCGTCTCCTTCTCGATGATATGACAGCATGGCGAGCCGCATCATGGCAAATAGCATACCGACCCACACGATACAGGTTTGAGAGGGATCTTCCCAATGTTTGTGATACTGAATTGCAAAGTTAGAAGAGCGTACGGTCCATGGAGTTGTGTATCTTGCTCACCTGAGCCTGAAATGTAGGGCCATGAAGGATGTCTGATTTCAGAATTAGTGATACGAGCAGGTATATGCGAAGGATCACATCAGTACTTACGGGTCGCTGGGTCGTAACAGTTAAAGTAGCGCGCAATAAGCATATCGGTAGTATATCTCGAGGGGAATGAAGACATGATCTCAGCTCGGCTAGTAGGCTTCATGGCTCCAAAAAGTAGGGTGGAGCCTGGAATATCAGTCGGCGACTGAGCCGTCTTGATCTTTTCGACATGCTCCTCATACTGCTTCTTGTGCGTCTGGAAGTAATTTCGAACTTCTGCAATCTGCAAGCTAGTGTGAACAGCAATCTCATAATCATGGGACCAGGAGTGAAGCTTACCTCGTTGAGAACAGAAGCCCAGTGGCCGTCGCTGATGTAGTATGATTTGTTATTGTCGACTTTCATGACGCCAAATGACTTCGTGACTTGTTCTGTATCGCTCTCCTCAGGGCCATTCAAAGTTTCATCATCCAATTCGATGTCAATTCCAAGTCGAACTGAGCCTGAGCTACTACTAGTTCCCGAGATCGCTGCCAGGGCGGCGGCGGGGCCAGCAGACTGCGACCCGTTGGTCATCAGGGACAAGACCAAACCCTCAAGTCGATCTATCCTGTTCTGCATATCATCCGGGGAACTCGAAGCCGAACTATGGACTGGATTCTTTTTTCGTGTGCTTGCTTGGGCATAAGTACAGGAAGACGCATCGCCTCGTTTGACGCAATTTTCGCAAGGATGGGCGCGATTACATTTCAGCCTGGTTGGGTCAGTCACTAGACGCTCCTGAACGGACAAGTAACAAAGTAAACTTACTTCCTGTGCCGGCAAGGGCCACAGGAGAGCGGTACTCGGTTTCTCTTTCGAATGACTCTGTATTGGCCTTCAGGCGAGACCCCGCCGATACTCGACGAGGTGGATGGTGGAGTAGGCGACATCGTGGAGAGTTTGCGATCCTTGGATGGACCCCTCTGAGAATCGTCGTGCTTAAAAAGCGTGGGTCAAAGGATGGCCCGTATTAACCTGAATATTGAAAACAAAATCGGCGAAAGGTGATCGCGGGATGTTACGGTGTCCAGGTCCCTAGCTATTCCAACGCAGAGCGATCCCAAGACACAAAGGTTTGTCCAAGTGTATCTCGTGCGCAATCTCAGATAGTATCAGACCCAAGACGTAAAAAGTTGTGATATTGGTAATGACGGGGCAGTTCCCTAGGCGATAAAAAAAACATAAACCAGGCACTGATAGGAGTATCGCTAAGTCTCCAATAGCACATCAGCGACCGAAATCAGCAGCGCATATATCTTGTTCTGCTTGGAGATCGTGGTGGGGCTGAATAGGCCGTCGCGCGTTTCTCCGATGATATCGTAGCTATTTTCTCCAGCACCGATCACCTGCTGACAGATGAAAGCGCAAAATTTGAAATATAGGATTGAAACTGGTGTGCGCGGATGATAAGAAGCGCACGGCGCGATCGAGAACACGGAGAATGGCGTGGTTCGGTGAGTGGGCGCGATGATTGACGGCGTCGGAGCGGTTTTCTTTCGAGCAGGGAGGCCAGACGACGGGTTCAAAGGAACGATCTTAAGGATCGCTCATTCTCCGGGGATATGAGGATGTCGCTATGTGATGCAGATGTGGGGAGATATATTTTAACAGTAATGTAACCTCTAGTGGAGGACAGAGATGCGAAACCTCGAAGAAGAGGATATGTAATTAGGAGAAGAAAGGAACGAAGTGAAGAAGAAGATGATGATGATCCAAAGTGAGTTGAGGCATTCTTTATTATTATCTCCGTTATCACCACGCTTGCTGCCTTAGGCCATAAACAGGGTCTATCTAGTATCTACTACTTTCTATGGTCAAAGGGAAAAAGAAAGACAGTCTGTTATTGCTATTATATTTATTTGTTCCAACATATAGCATCGTCAACTGGTTCTTTCTAGTTCGCTAGAAGAAGAAAAAAAAAAAAAAAAAAAAGGCAGGATAGCTATCAAACGCGCTAGTTATCTAGGTAGCAAGATATCTGGTTACGTTCAGACTCTGGCAGAAAACTAGACCAGTGCTCCATGAAGGATACCGTTGGTCTGAGATCTTGCTAATAATGGACTGTATCCGTGATAATTTAACAAATCATTAGTCTGTCATATGGAGTTTGAGTCATCGCAAAGCGCCTGCGAGACAGTAGATACTTGAAGCTTTGAGCAGCATGGCCACAGTTGCTAGTTGTCAACGGCCTATCAGAATGTCTCTCCAACAAGAACCTGTTGGTGTCATAATGATAGGTTGAGGTCTTGAAATTGAAACTATGAGCCCCTGCTGGACACAGTACTTATCACTATGACAGGATACATCTTCAGTCTCAAGCTTATATACACCCTTGAAGGTAGCAGGCCATCAACAATACTGACCTTATAGCTACTGAGAGACACGAACATTCACCCACCTCTGGATTGCATATCACAGGTAACTAAACCCGTTTCGAAGCACATATATCACTCTCTCAGCCTTCTGAGAAAGTACATGCTGGCGATTCGCGGGATCTTCCAGCAAACAAAGACATATCGTTCACCCTCCCTGCGTTGGTGCTGCATTAGCGACCAGTCGATTCCTGTGCCACATTGCCAACTCATACGCCCATCGTCTCACAGAGTGAATGCCGCAGCAGCGGTCTATAAATCTCGGCCTAGTCGTCATTGACCAAGGCCCCCATTAAAGTGGGGTTGCTGGAGTTACTAAAGGCTAAAGAATAGAGCTATTCCCCAGTGGTTAGCCCAATCTCCTCTAGACATATCCTTATTCCTTAGCTTCATTCTTCTACTTTTAGAAGGAAGAGGAGCATCATACTTTCTCTCGGCTTGTTCCAGCTCACTTGTTTGAAATCACCATGTCCAGCTCGAGAGGTGCTGGGGATTTCCAGCGAGGCCGGGGCAGAGGAGGCGACCGTGATAGAGGGCGTGGTGGAGATCGCGGCGGCGGCCGTGGAGGAACCATGGAGCTGCCATTCCGCCCCAACGAGTCTAGAGGAGGTTCTTTCCGTGGAGGAGACTCGCGAGGCCGGGGAGATGGATCCAGAGGTCGTGGAAGAGGCGATTATAGAGGCGGTGGCAGAGGGGATTTTGGAGGCAGAGGGGGGAGAGGGGGAGGCTTTCGTGGTGGTCGAGGGGATCACGGCCCTCGCATCTTCTCGTATGTGATATATTCCCGGGGTATATTTTATTGACATCATGACAGGACCCTGACTGTATGTTTTCTTTCCTGATCTAGTCAGGGTAATCGTGTCCCATCACCCAGTTCGAAGGTCGAACAGACTGAAACCGCCATTGCCAAAGCTCTGGTGGTGAAGCATCAGAAGTCAGCTGGCCAGGCGCGTTACCCCGAGCGTCCGGGATATGGCACACAGGGTACGCCAGTGACGCTCTACGCCAATTACTTTGAGTTGAAGTCTGTGGGGAAGGAGTTGTTCCGCTACAACGTGGATATTCTCGCCGATTCAGCCAGGACCAAGCCCACTGGGAAGAAGGCCCGCCAGATCATCCGGCTCTTGCTCGACGAGCATTTCCTGCAATATTCAAATAGCATCGCGACTGATTACAAGTCGACCCTCATCTCGAGAGTCGAGCTGCCAAGCCAGGGCCAGTACGACGTGCGTTATAAAGATGAAAATGACGATGACTATCCAGAACAGCCCCGGGTGTACCGCGTCGACTGTCAGTTCACTGGAAGACTCAACCCCGGTGACCTTCTTAACTACCTAACGTCTGCAAATTCCTCTGCTATGTTCGAATCCAAGGCGGAGGTGCTTCAGGCGATGAACATAGTCATGGGCCATCATCCCAAAACGGACCGAACTGTGGCATCGGTTGGTGCGAACAAGCATTTTGCAACGCACCCTGACCTGACTGAGCGATACGATCTCGGTGCGGGTCTCGAAGTCCTGCGAGGCTTTTTTGTCAGCGTCCGAGCGGCAACTGCACGCATTCTCGTTAACGTCCAAGTCAAATATGCTGCGTGCTACCAGGAAGGACCATTAGGGAATGTGATCAACGAGTACCAGCGTGGCAACAGCCGGAATATCTACAAGCTGGAGGCTTTTGTGAAAAGGTTGCGCATTCAAGCCATTCATATTGTCCGAAAGAACAAGAAGGGACAGGTTGTACCAAGGATCAAGACCATTGCCGGGCTTGCAACCAGGGCAGATGGCGCATCGCTTCCCCATCCTCCGAAGGTCGCAAGACACGGAGCCGGCCCCAGGGACGTTCAATTCTTTCTCGAGGCGCCGGGTCAGAAGAGCGAGCCCGGGAGTTCCAAGGGGAAGAAGGGCAAGAAGCCTGCAAAGGCGGGCCCGGAAGCAGCTGGCCGATATGTCACTGTTGCCGATTTCTTCTTGCAAGGTAATGTTCTGATTTACACACTGTGAAGCAAAATCAGTTGAGCTGACCATCTCTCAAAGAATACAAAAAGACCCTGGATCCCAACATGCCAGTGGTTAACGTCGGCACAAGGGAGAACCCATCTTATCTGCCAGTTGAAGTCTGTATTGTGGAACCAGGCCAGCCTGCCAAATCCAAACTGACCCCATTCCAAACCCGAAACATGCTGGCCTTTGCTGTCCGCACCCCGCCTCAGAATGCACAGTCGATTGTGTCCAAGGGTACCGATGTCCTGGGACTTAAGGACCCTCTTAACCCCACGCTGGTAAGCATCCTTTATTGGCACCTTTTTTTGGGGGGGGGGGAGCTAAGCTGACAGAGACCACGCAGGAGAACTTTGGCATACACCCAGACCTACAACTTGTCACGGTGACTGGACGGGTTCTTTCTGCTCCACGCGTATACTACAAGGATGCCAAGTCTAACCCACGACACATCGACACCATGGGAGGTAGTTGGAACATGAAAGCAATCAAGTTCTCCCGGCCCACCTCAATGGCGTCCTGGACTTGGCTCTATATCGACAGCGAAAAGACCAGGCCACACTTCGAGAACCCCAACGCCCTGAACGCCAAACTCCAGGAATTTGCGGCCAAATTGAACGAGATGGGTGTCACGACGCCCGCGCCGAAGCCTGGAATGATGATCAAATTGACAGGCAACAACCACGAAGGCGAGATCTACCGGGCCGTCGAGGAGCTGATGAAGCGGCACAACCCCAACCTGATCCTGTCGATCATGTACGGCAGCGACACCGAGGCGTACAACAGCCTCAAGAAGGTCTGCGACGTCCACTGCGGCGTGCGCAATATCAACGTGCTCGCGGAGAAGCTGAGGGGCGCCAACGACCAGTACTACGCGAACGTCGGGCTCAAGTTCAACCTGAAGCTCGGCGGCGCCAACCAGTCGCTGAAGACGAGCGAGCTGGGCATCGTCGCCGAGGGCAAAACAATGCTCGTCGGCATCGACGTCACCCACCCGTCCCCGGGCTCCTCGGCCACAGCCCCCAGCGTCGCCGGCATGGTCGCCTCCATCGACTCCTCCCTCAGCCAATGGCCCGCCGACATCCGCATCCAGACCTCCCGCCAGGAGATGGTCTCGGACCTAGACGCGATGCTCAAGGCGCGGCTGCAGCGCTGGGCGCGCACAAACAAGAACGCCCTCCCCGAGAACATCATCGTCTACCGCGACGGCGTCTCAGAGGGCCAGTACGACCTGGTCATCGAGAAGGAGCTGCCGCTGCTCAAGAAGGCCTGCGTGGAGATCTACCCTCCCACCGACACCAAAAAGAACCTCCCGCGCATCTCCATCGTCGTCGTCGGCAAGCGCCACCACACCCGCTTCTACCCGACCCGCGATGAGGACGCTGACCGCTCCGCGAACCCCAAGAACGGCACCGTCGTCGACCGCGGCGTCACCGAGGCCCGCAACTGGGACTTCTTCCTCCAGGCCCACACCGCCATCAAGGGTACCGCCCGCCCCGCCCACTACTTCACCGTCTGGGACGAGATCTTCGCCCGCCAGAAACCCGCCGCCCCCTTCCAGAACGCCGCCGACGTCCTCGAGGACCTCACCCACAGAATCTGTTACCTGTTCGGCCGCGCCACCAAGGCCGTCAGCATCTGTCCTCCCGCGTACTACGCCGATCTGGTCTGTACGCGTGCCCGTTGCTACCTGAGCAGTGTCTTCGACCCGACTCCCACGGCGACTCCTGCTGCGAGTGAGATCGCGGGCAGTGGCCGGGGTGGTGTGCCTGATAGCGGTGATGTTCAGATCCATGGTAATGTGCGCGACACCATGTTTTACATCTGAGGTGTGGTCTGAGAGTGATATGCCGCATTGGGGGGTATGACGAGGAGAACGAGTTTACATTTGTTACAATCTAGATTGGACATTCTTAGTTTGGTTTTTTCTTTTTGAGTAAATGAATTGACTGATCCTGTGAAAGAATCAAAGAAGTAAACATAACATCTGCGTCTCAGATTGATGCTATTTCATCTACAGAACCAAAGGGATACACGGTCTTGCTACCTGGAAGCATCGGTGTTAGGGGGGAAAAAAGGGAATAAGTAAAAAGTACAGGAGAATAACTACAGGCAGAGGATAGAAGGAAATAAATAAGAGGACCGGCACGAAATAGAAATATCATGGTACATGCAGGCATTGGCCGGTAATTTGAGGATATAGAGTCATAAACCTCGCTCAGCGCCGAAGTACTGGTATCAAATTTGAGGTTGGCAATGGTTCCAGCCGGTTGGAAACGAGTAGAGAACGCTCTACTCATCGCCAAAGGCGAAGTGTCTTTCATTGACACGCTGGCCCGCACGACGCTGGGGCGGAGGAGGTCCAGTCTTGCTCGGCTGAGGGGACTCATCGTAGGCTTCCCACGAGGACTCCATGGCTTTAACGGCCTTCAAGCGGTCCGTCGCCACGGGCTTCTGGTTCTCGTGACTGGCCTTGCCGTCCGCGGGGGAAGAATTCGCCATGCTCCAGTGACTCTCGAAGTCCTTCTTGCGGTTGGAACCATTGTGAGCAACACTGAGTGGTGCCTTGTTCCCATTCTTCTTTTCAGGGGAGTCCCCCTCGCTGTACAAATGATTCTTGTAGAGGTTGAGACCTTTGTTCTGGAACGAGCTGATGATGCGGCTCTTGTGGTTCTCTTCGTCTTTATCCATCAATTGGAAATGCGTTTCCGCGTCGCGTCTGGGCTGGGGCACATGAGGCCTCACAGGAGGAGTATTCTGGAGCTCGGGTTCATCGTCGTTCCATCCGAAATGACGTACCTCCTGACCACGGGGTGCGCGCTTTGGCTTCTCCGGAGTCGCGAAATCTTCAAAGTCCCAGTGAGCGACAGGGCGCGACATGGGGCGGCCGGGTTTGTCCTGCACTTCCCGTTCGCTATTATCGGCGCCGAGCTGAAAGTGGTCAAACCGTTTGGGGTTGGCCTTGTAGGCGATCTGCTGCTTCGCGTCGGCAGGATCATCCTCGTCGCCGGCGAAGATGCGGGACTCAAGGAATGTCTTGTCGGAGCCTGCCTTGGGAGCAATGGGCCGAGATTTGGATGGCGTAGTCTCCGGCTCGTCATCCTCATGTGCGAGGAAAAGCTCACTGTATTCGCGAGGCGGGGGCTTCGCGGACACAGGAGTACGGGGAGCACGCACAGGCGCGGTCCGATCCTTGCCAGGCGAGAGAAGTTCGTCAAGAGAGTCCGCCGCGTACGGATCCTTGATCCGTCTCTTTCCTGGGGAGACAACTTTAGGAGCGGGGTCTTCACGGGTTTCCTTGCTGGACGGTAGTGAGGGCGCATCTCCACTGTTCGCAGGGGCGGAGCTGACGGCAGCTTTAATGAGGCGCGTCTGGTCTTTCGCGTCGCGGATGGGCCAACCGCGCCCACGGGAGCCGATGACTTCGACTTGTTTCAGTAGCGAAGCCTGGTCCCAGTAGATTCTGACATTCTGGATTTGCTTCTCGGAATTGAATCGCACAACATGGACCTATCGAAGAAGAAGAGCATCCGTCAGTTTATTTGATCGCAAAGCACATCCAGCGACACAAGACTAGGTATATTTACCGTGGGGAAAGTTGCGACCCGGTCGGCCAGGAAATTATCATCCAGTGAGGGAAGATAGGCCCCGCCTCCAGACACAAACTCCAGTGTTGTTTCAACATCCAAGCACAGAGAATCGGAGCTCTCAATCGCGCCGATAATCTCAGCCGATTTTCTCTTCACGATGGATTCCTGTTTGGTGAGATGGCTAACCACTGCGTCGGCGCCGTCGAATTGAGTAGTTGTGGTGATATAGATCAGCGAGGCATCGGCGGCCAACGAAGCGGACCTGGAATTCGCGAGGAATTTCTGGTACACGCTCTTGAGCGACATGATTCGTGACGGATGATTCGGTTCAGGCGTAAACGAGTGTAGAGAAATAAAACGAGGGTGATGAGATGATCAAGAAGTGCTCTCGCAGTGTTTGGATGGCAGGAGACAGAAAGAGATCGTTGGAAAGCGTGGAATTGTTGATGGGAAAACAACAATGGACGGGAGCGGACACGAACCACAGTTGGCACTTGGAGGGATATCAACCGATGATTCACTTGCGCATTCAAACAACACTGGAACAGTCTAGATACCAGGGAGACGAGTCACTCTGGCAAAATTGGAGGAAGGGAATGGGTTGTTGTATTTGAGGAATGTGGGAAGAGAGAGCGACCAGAGAGAAGCAAACACCAGCGGACAGAGAGTGTCAATCAAATGTCCGTGTCTTTTTTCCAGGAGTCGCAACTTCACAAGGATAACAATTGCAGTGGAAAAAGAAGTGATAATAATAATAATAATAATAATAATAATACCTAACTGTTAGATAGATAGATAGATATATATATATATATAAGAGAGAGAGAAAGAGAGAAAAAATGCAACGCGTCCAGAGTAAGCCACTCCTAAGCACCGGTTCTGTCTCTGTCTCTTTAGCCAGGACTCCATAGTTAGTTCCAGCCTGGACATATCTCCGTCTTCTCCAGCGATATACCGACCCTGGCCAGGTCTGAGAACCCATTATTAGCGAGTACTCTGTACAGATAGCAACATCATGATAATCAAACGCTGTTAGTCTGCTCCGTTTGTTGGGCCAAGCGGAGGGAATATTAGAACAGTCTTGCGCACGGCTCCATCTTTCAAGAAGGACCACACCAGTGTTTCACGAGTTCGGTTGCAGAGCCACAATCTACGCAGTAGAGCATTAATCTTAGTAGTTCACTATCAATGGAGTATGCTGTATGTCGTTAGTAGTAGGATTGTCTCTCAGGCAACTGACACTACTGACTAAGATTATTTACGAAGGAACTGAGGAACAGTTGGACTAAGCAGTCAGCACAGGTTGGGGTAGTATTGCTATGAATAGTAGATAGATAATGAGTGTCTAACATTTTATATTCCAGGATGGATGAACACCAGACGCGATGAAGCATCAATCCCATACTCAAGTACATTTCCTGATGTTTAGTTCCAGATTGCTCATTGTACAGAGACCCCCTGATTTGTAGTACTTAGTTCAGAGCTTCCACATCCTGATTGTAGGCTACCCGCGCAGGCTCGACAATGCAGACCAGGTAGATGCGATGTGGCTACCTACACCAGTCACACTGGCCTGCAACTCCGCAAGCAGAGTCTTCACATACTGAAAGCTGGGCCTGACAGCTTTGGATTCAAGAGAGAAGAGACATACTCAAGCCGGAAGTTCGAGGTGCCCAAATGCCTCCTCCGCAAGCTCATCCCCTGGGAGAGATTGGTCCTTTGTATTCCAATCGGTGTTGTATCAGAAAGAGAAGCCATGACCGTGAGTATGTCGCTCTGATATGGTAAGAGGTAATCGGTCGCGATGATGTGAGATCTCATTATAAAGGTCTAGTGAAAGATCACACAGATATTAGTCAAAATGCATCTGAGACCTCGCACTCGGAAAGAGTCACTCACCCTAAGTAATCTTCCTTGATTGTCCCGATGGCGTTGATAGCAGCCACATCAGGCTTCACACCAAGGATCTTGAGTCGCAAGCTGGTTCCCTTTTCGATGACTTGATCCGCATGATCCGTATACTGGGGCGGGACCGTGTTCGGCTCCCACTTGATATCAGAAGGAATATTCTTTCCACCCCCCCATCATTAGCTCAGAATGCCCATCAAGCTACGAAATTTGAAGCGACGTACTTTCCGCGCAATGAAAACGGACAGCGGCCCTGCCAGTGTGAATATCCCCGTAGGCTTGACGGATGTGACAATAGCATCGACCTGCGAGAAGTAGAGTCAGAGACAAGACGCGACGGGTAACCATGTTCATCCAAACATACAGTCTCGCCTCTGAACGGCTTCCAGATAATCGCACGGTATTTGATCGTGTACTCGGCTGACCCGCTGCCGGGAAGCACTCGCCCTTCTCCAATGTCTACCATGTCCATTACGCAAATGACAAAGTGATCACCCGTACACCGACCCTCCTCCTCCTCGTTGAGTCTATTGATGAGGTACTCCCGCACATTAGGCCCGAAGTATGATGGGTGCAGCGATATAACTTTTGTCTCTTCCTTGAGGAAAAACATGACGCAGGCTGGTTATGAAATGCGCGAATCGGGAATGACCGAAAGTAAGGCTTCACTCGCTCCGATTGATTGCAGAACTATCTCCTCGAAGGTTTCTGCGATATATTCAATCGTCCCCGCTTTTCGGACCCGAGAACGCGAGTCTGCGCGAGTTTGTGACGAAGTCGAATATCGGAGGTGAGCCTTCAAGAGTTCGAGGCGATTGAAAGTAAGAGGAAGGGAATCCTTGAGGGACTGAGGTTGAACGATGGTGAAATCAGTTGCTCATGGTCTAGGATAGTGGTATGCGAACACTTCAGCAGAAAGGAAAGATGGACCGACAAGAGCGCTAATACCGTAGCATAAAAGAAACAAGAGATCAAAAACAGCGTAGTAGTCGTGATCGTCAACCTGCCTCCCGTCAAGACAGATACTGAAGCTGAAGCTGCTCGAACAGTCAGTCAGGCTACCGTCCCGAACATTCACCCGATCAACATGAAGACCTGGATAAAGACACGTGACCGGGATACTGCCTGTAGCTTTGGCAGTATACAATGACAATACCATACTGATGTTACCGACACTAAGATTGCATAATTATGGAACAGGTACCGTGAATTACAACATCGGCATATCCTCGGCTCTCCCCTCCTCAACACATGACGTCCATAGCATTGAGACGCCATACTCAGAGCATTATTAGGATCTGAAATGTCTTACATCTCCACATCGTAACTGGCCTGATCACAGCATATTTCGATCTTGCATAGGAATCAATATCGTCGTTCCACTATACGACTCCAAATGGCTCTGAACCTTGAGAAGCAACTCCTCTTCGTGAGTCTATTTCTGTACTCCCAACTATATTCGTGAACTGTAAGCTTACCTATGCAGTATGGTGCTTATCACAACAACCCGGTAGGCCGGCAGCAGTCTCTATTTTATAATCAATCATGATGATTAATTATCTCATTCCAGGTGAACGTCGCCATCCACATCACTTGCGTGCCGATACTCTTGTTTACTGGTATAGCCTTGGTAGGTTGAGTGGTGCCCGATCGGTGGCTTCAACAATACTGACAAGCTGGTGTTGCTAGGCTTCAAATTCGCCGCCCCTGTTCAGTCTTCCTGATGTCCTGAGTTTCGAATACCTTCCAGCCAATCTCGGCACAATTGGCGCCTTTTTTTATGCCACCTTCTACGTCCTTCTCGAGCCCGTGGCCGGAGGACTTGTTGCACCACTCTTGATCGCCGGCGCAGCGTACGCAAACTATCTCCTGAGCACCTACGGAACGACTGTCAACTACTGGGCTGGCGGTATCCACGTTGTCTCGTGGCTCGCGCAGTTCATCGGTCATGGTATCTTCGAAGGCAGAGCACCGGCGTTGCTAGACAACCTCGTCCAGGCCTTGCTTCTCGCCCCTCTCTTTGTCTGGATGGAGATCCTCTTCTTCCTTGGATATCGCCCGGAATTGAGGGCTAGATACGAGGCGAGCGTGAAGAAAGAGATCACTGCCTTCAAGAACAAGAAGAACGGCGCCGCGAAGTAAATTGCTGGCGTAGCTTCTTCATGGACGAGACAAGTTTGCCTGATTCATTGGCATGATATTATTGGTAAATGGCCCATGGTCATGGAGGTGCTAACTAAGGGACTTTGATGGAATCGTTTAAGATTTGTGAGAGTTTCGCGACTGAAGGTTTAGTTTGAAAACTATTACTGCGATATTTTAAGAGTCTCAATGGCTCAATGATGGCAGCGAAAGTTAGATCTGAGGTGCGGTTGGAATTAGCAAGATACCCGTGTGTTCACTGTTATGAAAGGAGCGTCAGGGAGCACATTCTGTACGTTGTTGAATGTTGATACGCTTTGACTTGGTCGGTAACGATGTTGCGTTGGCAGGATCCTGCATGGATGTTGTTGCTGTGACGAAAATGCCTATGACTAAGCGACTAATATCCGCAGATCCGAGAAAGACGAAAAACGGAAACCGCCAGGTGTCCCGGACGACCAAGGCCAGAGTAATACCAACATCCTCAACAATATTGAGCTTGATGAAGTAGGCTTTTTTTCAAGAATATAATGTAGACGCTGGAGAATTAGTAGAACCCAAGGGTAGAAGAATCCATGGGGTAAATCGTGCTGTGGGAAACCACAATTACTGACCTTGTATTTGTTCTGGGGCGGGTTGGCGTCCCGTGAACGCACTAGGGCGGCTTCGGAGGTTGCTGAGGCTCGGCAAACTAGGCTTAGTGGCAGTCCTGAGAATCCTCCCAACCCGGACGACAAAGCTCTCCTTCCATCCATCCACAATCCTTTCTCCTCTGCCACCTCCTCCCCAATTACATCTCTCTTTCAGAGAAACCACTCTCCCATACCTCTGAACCCCATTCACAATGTTCAGAAACGCTTTGCGGCAGTCTAGCCGCACCGTTGCGGCTGCCACTGCCACTGGCAGAATCGCCTCGGTGAGTCTCATCCCTACTCAGGTCGACCTCATCGCCTCAATGCGGTCGATTTCATCTCGAGAAACTATCTCAATCGATACTCGAATCGCTTCATCATGTCTCGACATACTTTTTTGAAAGGCTTTCACGCGTTGTGGTTGGGTTGTTCTGACGTTGACAAATTTTGCGTCTCGATAGGTTCGCGCGGCTGTTCCCGGCCCCCTCGCTGGTGCCTCCAAGCAGATCCGTTCCTACGCTGCTGAGGCCAAGGCTTCGCCCACAGAGGTTTCTTCCATTCTTGAGCAGAGAATCCGTGGTGTTCACGAAGAGGCTGGTCTTGCTGAGACCGGACGTGTCCTTTCCGTCGGGTACGTGCTAGCTTTTTTTCCTGGCCGAAAAAATTCGGATCCTGCGACAACAACATCAAAATAGTCGAAAAAACCCGAGTAATCGAAACCGTACCTGTTAGGACTTATCACTAATATGCTTTCCCCGACAGTGACGGTATCGCCCGTGTCCATGGCATGACCAATGTCCAGGCTGAGGAGCTGGTCGAGTAAGTATCTGACTGAATTGGCTTTTTCCTATATATCTTTGCCCACTAACGAACTTCTCAGGTTCGCCTCTGGTGTCAAGGGCATGTGCATGAACCTGGAAGCCGGCCAGGTCGGTGTTGTGCTCTTCGGTTCTGATCGTCTCGTCAAGGAGGGTGAGACTGTCAAGCGTACTGGAGAGATTGTACGTGATATTTCCTGATTTTGATACCTTTTAACCAGCAGTCTTGCTCACGACGCGTGTAGGTCGACGTTCCTGTCGGTCCCGAGCTTCTCGGCCGTGTCGTTGATGCTCTTGGTAACCCCATCGACGGCAAGGGCCCCATCAACACCAAGGCCAAGAGCCGTGCTCAGCTCAAGGCCCCTGGTATCCTGCCCCGTCGCTCCGTCAACCAGCCCGTCCAGACTGGTCTGAAGTGTGTCGATGCCATGGTGCCCATTGGTCGTGGTCAGCGTGAGTTGATCATTGGTGATCGTCAGACTGGTAAGACCGCTGTCGCTCTCGACACCATGCTGAACCAGAAGAGATGGAACGACTCCGCCGTTGATGAGAGCAAGAAGCTGTACTGTATCTACGTTGCCGTCGGCCAGAAGCGTTCCACTGTTGCCCAGCTCGTCCAGACCCTCGAGGAGAACGATGCCATGAAGTACTCCATCGTCGTTGCTGCCACTGCTTCCGAGGCCGCCCCTCTGCAGTACCTCGCTCCTTTCACCGGTTGCGCCATGGGTGAGTGGTTCCGTGACAACGGCCGCCACGCTGTCATCACCTACGATGATCTTTCCAAGCAGGCCGTCGCTTACCGTCAGATGTCTCTGCTTCTCCGTCGTCCCCCCGGTCGTGAGGCCTACCCCGGTGACGTTTTCTACCTCCACTCCCGTCTTCTGGAGCGTGCTGCCAAGATGAACGACAAGCACGGTGGTGGTTCCCTCACTGCTCTGCCCGTCATTGAGACCCAGGGTGGTGACGTTTCCGCTTATATTCCCACCAACGTCATTTCCATTACCGATGGTCAGATCTTCTTGGAAGCCGAACTCTTCTACAAGGGTATCCGTCCCGCCATTAACGTCGGTCTTTCCGTCTCCCGTGTCGGTTCCGCTGCCCAGGTCAAGGCCATGAAGCAGGTTGCCGGTTCCCTGAAGCTGTTCTTGGCTCAGTACCGTGAGGTCGCCGCTTTCGCTCAGTTCGGTTCCGATCTTGATGCCTCCACCAAGCAGACTCTCGCCCGTGGTGAGCGTCTGACCGAGCTCCTCAAGCAGAAGCAGTACTCTCCCATGGCCGTCTCCGACATGGTTCCCCTCATCTTCGCTGGTGTCAACGGTTACCTCGATGGCATCCCCGTCAACAAGATTCTCCAGTGGGAGTCTGACTTCCTTGCCAGCCTGAAGACCAACCAGCCCGAGATCCTTCAGACCATCGACAAGGAGGGTCAGATCAGCAAGGAGCTCGAGACCAAGATCCGTGAGACCATCGAGGCCTTCAACGCTTCTTTCAACGCATAGGTGAGCAAAAGGCAATTGGGTGATTGATCCGCCGTGTACTGTTTTTTTCCTGACGCTATGTGTATAGACAAGATAGCTTGTACAATTTGATTCCACTGTTCTTTTTTCTCGTTCTCAAAGGGTTGGAATGGATGCCTCTAGAGCAAGGACACCTACGACTGGTTCGCAGCCGCATCTTTCCGTAAATTTGACGAATCAGGGTAAAAGTGGATGGTGGAAGAAATCAAAAGACACGATTAATATCCTGTACGTTTAGATCTTTTCGCAAAACAAGGGAGCGGGACTGGAGGGAATTATTGGATGTGCCGGCGCGTTCCTTTAAAAGAGAAGGTGCCGTCCAGTTAATCTTTCTATAAGCGCAGCTTCTCTGTTACCATGTACGCAGCCAGAAATATGATTTCCTTTGTTTCACTACCTAGCTCTCTTGCGCAATCTTCTATTCACGGCTCTGGCACCTCCATCGGTCTAGTACTATGTAGATCTGGGACCATTCCTCGAGTATGATTCTCTTCTCGATAGTCCCATAGAACGCCAGGCCTAGTGCTTACTAGTCAGTAGTTGCCGACTTACCGTTCTCTAGTTAGTGCTCGGTAGTCGGTACCTGAGTAGGTCGTTGTGTTGATAACCTACTTGATATATCTACCCCAGTTTCGGGTTGGAGGCAGGGTGCAGGTTCATCTTCCTAGTACCTACGAGGCCTTCCATGTGAGATACGTGGCACATAACATGACTGACCAACTAAATTCCACCCATCTTCATCTGCCAGAAATATCAGGATAGGAGTCTTTCCCATATGTCTCTTACTAGTGAAGCTCTTTGCTGGTTCTTCATGCTTATTCCCCGCCATCAAGGCAGTGGGCCGAATCCGGCATCTGTTTTTATCGATAAGCGAGCAATCTTTTCCGTCCCAGATTTTTCTCCATGCCCCTCCATAGTTTGATCTCCACACGATAACGACCAGGTCTCCTTCTATCTATTTGATTTCATTGTAATCGCGACAATGGCCTCTACTACGGATTCGATGCCAGCCTCTTGCAAGGTTGTGCTGTCCAAGAATGTCGCGAATGGCCTGGTCGCGGAGGTCCAGGAAGGAGTCAAGACTCTTGAGAAGCCTCCTCACCTTGTCGGATTCCTGGCCAACAATGATCCTGCGGCTCTGATGTACGCCCAGTGGACTGAGAAGACTTGTCAAGAAAAGTGAGCATTCATCTCTATTTCACACCTTGATGCGCCAATTGCTTTGTTGCGCTCCTTCCTTTCTCTCCGCTGCCTACTGCGATCTCGGAGCGAAGCACAGGCATCGTTCATGAGTCACCTGTCCGTAGCTAACGTAGAACTTCGCTCTATACAGTGGTTTCCGTTACTCCCTCCGCGAAGTCTCTCGCGATGACATTGAGGAGGCTATCCTCGCTGCCAATGCCGACCCAGAGGTTGACGGTATCATCGTATACTACCCCATCTTCAACAACCGTCAAGACCAGTATTTGCAGCAGATCGTCGACGTAACCAAGGATGTAGAAGGTCTTAGCCATCGCTATATCTTCAACATGTACCAGAACATCCGTTTCCTCGACCCTGAGACCAAGCGCCAGAAGTCCATCCTTCCTTGCACTCCCCTCGCCACCATTAAGATCCTTGAATACCTCAACATCTATAACACCATCCTCCCCTACGGAAACCGCCTCTTCGGACACACTATCTGCGTGGTGAATCGCTCGGAGGTTGTTGGTCGCCCTCTTGCGGCCCTGTTGGCGAACGACGGAGCTTGTGTCTACAGTGTGGATGTTACCGGTGTCCAGAAGTTCACTCGGGAGGGTCTAAAGAAGGGCAGACACGAGGTTGTGGATTTGGAAGGAAAGACCATCAAGGATGTAGCACCGCTCTGTGATGTTGTCATAACTGGTGTTCCCGGAAACTCGTACAAGTTTGACACCAGCCTTCTGAGAGAAGGTGCTGTCTGTGTCAACTTCTCCAGCGAGAAGGTAAGTTCCTCATCTCTGTACAGACTCGCAACATCGAAAGTCAAGATATCTAACAATATTGTATCAGAACTTTGGACCGGAAGTCAAAGAAAAGGCCTCCATCTTCGTTCCTTCGATCGGCAAGGTGACCATCGTTGTCCTGCTCAGAAATCTTCTGGTAAGTGGCTTCTTCAAGGTGACCATCTCGGAAACAATTCAGGCTAATAACCCCATGACAGAGGCTGATCCAAAACCGGAGATTGGACGATGTGAAGCCCGCTGCAGCCACGGAGCGCCCTGGAACGCTAGAAGCTTCTTCGTGATCATGTTCAATGATATAAACCACCATGGGAGATGATTTCCAGAAAAAGCCACATGACAATGATAGATTTTCTTGCTTATTCTTTTTCTTCAACAAATGTCTCTTCTATGGTTGAGACCATATACTCTTTTGTTTCTTTGTATATGCCATGCGATTGAGCCTGTCACCAAACATCCTTAAATCAGTCAAATATATATCCTGGGTTATCAAACAGCATGAGTTCTTGAGAAGAACAGACACGTGCATGAAACGATTAGCTCTGCAAGCTTGTATATTGGTCATTTGAATCTCGGTCATGATTTCTTTTGACTGTCAATATCTAATCAATTGAGCTGATAGACAAACTTGACCCATAGGGTAGGCGTTCGTCGGAACCTGGCAGCAACAGCTCTTTCTCATTTCTCAATCCTGTGCTAATGCCTGAACAAGACCCAGCCTTTACTTCCTGTTTTTGGAATCTTGGACTCCTACAACGCTCCCAACCCCACCAGTCTTTCTCTCGGTCTCCTTAGCTGCAAGCCGCAGGACCTCAACTTCCGTCGCCAGCCAGCTTCGCAGAGGTTCAGGATGAAAGAATCCCTCCGCCGAGAACCACTTCGTGAACGGAGTCTCGATCTCTTTCTCCTGAAGGACTTTGTTGGAAGGAGAGGTGTACACGATTCGGAGCTTGTACAGGGGAGAGTGCTTCTTGGCAAAGGATTGAATCGAGATCTAATCATATGGCAATAGTGAGCCTCCGTGTGCTGACTAGCTTGGGGTGGTATTCATCGACTGTACCGTTTCACCTGACTTCCGCTTCCCTCGGAACACCTCGCCCGCCTCCACGGCCCAGACCCAGTACGTGAGAACCGAGTTCAGGACGAAGTATGAGAACACTGCTGCTATGATCCATGGCGAGGTTGTTGCTTCCCAGCCCAGTTTGCGATCGGCATAGAATGTGAACGCTGCAATCGCGACAGCACTGTAGCCCAGGATGAACCGGACATTGGATTTTGAGTGATCTTGAGTGAAGGTATATGGTTGAGGAAGGTTGCACAAGTATGGAACGAGGGCGTCATCAGTAGTTGATTTCAAATCTATTGTGCGTGTTAGTAGGGTAGAAGAGAGCGAACATAGATTATCCAATATCGTATGGAAAATATGGGAATAAAGCTGGAGCATAGTTACCCTGGAGAGGTATGGAAGACTAACCATTAACTGAGTAAACAGGCACCTTTGGTGCCGAAGAGGATGCCATTGTGAGCTGGAGAACTGTGGAAATTTAACTCTCAGAAAATGGAAACAGCTAAAATACTCCGGCGCAACAAGAAAATCTGAATTCCAGGCGTGAGAAGTTGTCAAATAAGCGATGCTTTGTTCATTTGGCAACGAGGAGTTGCGGCGAGCTGGCCCTTTCGCGGGAGAGCTTAGCTAAAGCGGCGTGTCAATCCAACGCTAGCAAACCCGCCCAGTCTGACCTCGCGGGGATCGCCGCATGCTTCTCCATAGATAACTCCTGGTAACCTGCTCTCTATCTCAACACCAGTCGAACCCAGCGGCCAGCGCTCGATTGACAGAATTTCTAGCCCGCAATGGCTCTACAAGGCATTGAGCAGACCATCCCTCGGGATCCGGCTCTGTTGTAAGTGTTCTCAAGTATACCTCGACCATGATATGAAACTGACGTATATTGTCAAAAGCTATTGGATCTTGATCCCCATCACAATTGTCATGGTAAGTTTGATAGGACCTTATGATGCTGGTTTAAATGGCGATACTAAAGCTTCGTACAGATCCTGACAGGTATTCTCCGCCATTACGCAACAGTTCTGATGAACAACCCCCCGAAACCTCCTGCGACTCTCGCCGAATCACGCGAACGGCTTTCTCTGCTACGCGGTGTTAATCTGCGCAACAATGCTTCTGCGGTGCTTACGCGAGAGGGATTCGAGGTGCGGAAGAATTATTTGATTTCTGCTTATAAGGAGGGAACGTTCCTTAAAGACCCTGCCAATCGCGGCCAGCCACCTGCTAATCCAATGACCGATCCCGCGGGCATGGAGGCTATGATGGGAATGATGAAAGGAAACATGATGATGATGATTCCCCAAACTCTGATTATGAGCTGGATCAATGCGTTCTTTTCGGGATTCGTTATTCGTATGTCGCTTCAGTTGACCAATCTCGTTCAGATGCTAACATGGTCGGACAGTTAAACTGCCTTTCCCGCTTACAATTCGATTCAAATCAATGCTTCAGTCCGGCGTTATGACCCGCGATTTGGACGTGAGATGGGTATCCAGTCTTTCCTGGTACTTTCTGAACCTGTTTGGTCTTCAATCTGTGTTCGGTTTCATTCTCGGTAGCGATAACGGTTAGCCACACCTTTTGCCCTTACTCCATGCCGTTCTTAAGTCTTAAGGCCTTTGTTTTCGCTATGGTGAATATATTGCTGACTACTTCTACTGTGCAGCTGCCAGCCACATGGCGCAACAAATGGCAAGCATGGGCCCTGGCGCAGCAGTCAATCCCTTCCAACCTGGCCAGGATCCAGACAAGCTATACCAAAGTGAGGCAGAGAACCTGGAAGTCACTGAATTTTTCAGCATTCTGGATGGTATTGAGGAGAGAGTCCTCCATAACTATGCCTTTAAGGAGGTTCGCTAGGGGTGTTCTACGTTTGCCTACTATAGTTCTGGTTGTTTCTGTTCTGTGAAAACATAGAAGAAATACGGACTGAGAGCGTCTGACGTTCTTGGAAATGACATCCGAACATTATTGCTATCATGGGCGTTCTCAGCGCAACTGGGACAAGCTATGAAGGAAAGTCGTAGATGACACATCTAAGCTCTAACAATACTTACAGGTTCTCCAGGAAGATAAAAGGGACTCGGAGAGAAACAATCAAGATACACTAACTGTCATATGGCGCATAATTCATTTATCCATCAAACTATATATCAATCCCTTCGGATCTTGGACCTTGAGAGGTTGCAGTCACATGTTGATAGAGTAGCTTTAATGGTAGTTGATGATTCCGTTCAAAATCCACAGCTCACCGTTAGACACACTCTCAGCAACATTGTCAACTTCAATGTTCCCTGGTTGGATCTAGCACATGTCAGCAAATATACAAGGACGAACCTGGTAAAGAAGAATATCAACATACATATATTTTATCACCTTCCTTTGTCCACTTCACCTTGTCTCCCCCAAGTGTTTCCACTTCTTCACCTTCCCTCCATGGGCTCACAGGGACAATGTGAGCTTCCACGAAGCGCCGCAAGTTCCGCTTTGCTCTGTCTTCCCCTTCCTGGCCTTCATATGCGCTCACTTCCCCAAACTTCTCATAATCCTCTGGATTCTCCCATGGCTTGCGCGGCAAGTTCTGGATGGCGTTGTTCCGAGGAGCAAGAACAGTGATGTTGTTGGAAGAATCGTTCAGACGAGATTCAACGGGCTCGAACTGTCGAGTGAGAGACGCAAATATATTGATGGCCCGATTTTTGGGAAGCACATCAGAGACGACCGGCTTATCGCCGTCGTTATCACTGGGGTTAGATTTAGCCGAGAACATTCCCGTAACTGGCTGTTGGTGCGAAAGCCACTCTTTGACTTTAGTATTGTGCCCTAGACGTTGCTGATTCCGTAAGTGAGGGACATCAACCAGTGCACGTGGAAGGCGCTTGCGAAGACTGAAGCTTGGGGGCAGATCCAGATTTGCTTGTACTAGGGCTATTAGAAGAATGACGAGATATAATGTAAGGAACAAGCGTTGCATTTTGATAAGTATTGTCGCCGAGAGACATTAAATACCATTATCGACAACGGCATCGCATGTTGAGCAACGACCCATGACGCAACTGGCGAGATAACTGCAGCCCCCCACGTGATGTGGAGATATTGTAACACGTGATCTCTATCGATAAGGGCAATCGCAGCGACCACAAAAAGCGTCATGTCCCGATTGCGGAGGAGGGGACTATCTCGCCTGCCCCTCATTCAATTCTCGGCTGTTAAACGATTGCTACAATGTCGGCTTTGCAGACATTTATGCTGGCTGTGGACCACAATAAAGAGGAGGCCAAACAGATCGCTGAGAGGGTTGCTCAAGGTATCCTTTTTCCGAGGCTTGTTACTAAGATATCTGGATACTGATTGTTGGTGCCAGATGTCGAGAACAGGAAAACAAAGCTCATCGAAGTTGTGCAGTCGCTTAGCGAGTATATAAACGATGAAGATTTGATTCTGCGAGGAAAGGCAGTTTCCTACCTCACTGCCGTGATCAAAGCTCTTCCGCCGAAATACCTATCACGGCAACAAATCCAAGTCCTTACGACCTTCTTCTGTGACCGGATTGAAGATGGAGGTGCTGTTGCTGGGCTGGATACCTTACAAAGGTTGGATCGGTTCAACAGCCAGTTGGCTGAGGAGGTAGCACAGGCGTAAGTCCACCTTTGTCCTGGAATTCTATTCACGGCTATGCCATCTTTTATTCTCAATTGAACAAAACGGGGAATAATTTGGAGCGCTCGAACTAGCTAACACTCTTAACAGTATTTTTGGCCGCTTCCAGGACCTACAATCTCGGTCACAGTCACAGAGATTCCAAGTATATCAGCTTCTAAACGAGTTGATGTCGAGTCATCGAGCTGGTAGGTCGTCCAACGTTTAGTCAAACGACACTCCTGTGTTGACACAACCTAGCTCTTCATGAGATGGGAGATGTTTCTCTTGTTGGGATTGTCGATCTCATGACTGGAGAGAAAGACCCTCGCAATCTGATGCTTGTCTTCTCAATTCTGAAGGTGGTCATGGTCGAGTGGGATATCTCAAACCATGCCGAGGTATGATCATTCTCTCGCGTTATTGAAGAAAGCTATACTGATTTTCCAAAGCTTCTTTTCGAATCAGTATACAATTACTTCCCGATCACATTCAGACCTCCACCCAACGATCCCTATGGCATTACCGCGCAAGATCTGAAGGATCGTCTACAAGATTGTATATCCGCTACCAGTCTTTTTGCACCCTATGCTATTCCTGCTCTGCTGGACAAACTCGATTCTACTTCACAAAATGTCAAGGTATGGCCCCTCCAAGACTTAGAAGCTATCTAAATTTCGCAACCAAAATCTAATAATCCTTTAGAAAGATGCTCTCAACGCCTTGATCGCGTGTATCCAATCTTACGACCCGAACACCGTCTCCAAACATTCAATCACAATATGGGATGTTCTTAAGTTTGAGATTCTCAACGCACAAGAGGAATTCCTTTCAGAACTCTCTCTTCAAGCTCTCAGTGGCATTGCTAAGAGGTTGTCTGAAGGCGTCATAGCAGTCTCCGAACAGTCACCTCTTGCACAATTCTTGCGGCCCATTACCAAAGAGTGCAACGATCAGCTACGGGAACCCCAGCAGAAGCAGGCGAAGCCTGCTCAACAGATACTACGCTCAACATCGGCTGCTTCTATAGCCTCATTTACAGTGGTTGTACAGACGGTTGTGGCTCCTTTATTGACAATCTATCAGGAGGCCGATGGTATCGCCAAACAGAGAGCTCTTCTGGAAACATTAGGTGTACTTTTTGATTCAGCCATCAAAGTATTCGGGGAGTGGACATCGAAAGGCCCCGAACCCGGTGCTGATAACGCTTTATCCGAATTCAAGGACCAATTCTCGGACATATTTGGTCAAGCATTGATGGGAGCAGCGCATGAAGAAGTCTCGTTCCGTGTAACCGCTCTGAAAGGATTCCTGCGTCTTTCAGTCTTGCGCAGTTACTTCCAAGACAATGAGATCGGTCTCTTCGTTCAATACTTGGACGAGATTTTGCTTAAAGAGGAGTCCGTGGGCAGAGGTGAACTGAAAGCAGAGGCCATTAAGGCTTTGGCCGAAATTTCGAAGCACAAACCCCGACTGATCATGGATATAACTTTCCCTGCCTTTGTGGCAACCCTCCCGGATTCTGAAGACGGATCAAATGCCGAATACCTGACGACGCTTGAGAACCTGGCGCAAATTAGCGTCGAAAAAGATATCTTTGAGACTCTGGTGCGACGCTTGCTCAGCAAGCTGACCATATTGCTTCATAGAGAGCAACCTGGATCAGCAGCATACCCGCGTGCAATCCTCATCACCATACTTTACGTGATGCAACAGAGGGACATGGAAAATGATCCAAACCTGGACCTTTATTATGACAAGATCGTTGTAGGTCTTTGCCGTGGTGTTGCCGATGCTGCAACAGGCGGATCTAAGAACAGAACTCTTAACGACGCGACCGTCATCGAGACTCTTGGAAGACTCTGTAATCTGATCGTCAGGTGTCTTCCAAAAGAAAAGCAGGAAGAAGTTGCAAAGAACGTCTATACCTTGTTCGCTGCCTCAAATGACTTCGCTCCGGTACCGTTCTCACAGTCTCCAAGTGCAGACCAGCTCCGTACGATGATTATCTCCACATATCTACTTGCAGGGCTCTCGAAGGATTGCTCAGATATCCCGTACACCAAACCCGATATGTCGTCTCTTCTTTCCGACATTGTGAATCGCTCAGTGACAGAAAGCGAACCCGCAACTCAACTTGCCCTCCTTCGTCACTCGGCTTTGCTTGTGAATAAATTCCTCCCGAAATCAGAACTGAGCATTGCCACTGCAGCACTAGAAAAGCTTCTATCCACCGGGGCTGAAGAGAAAAGCCTTACTACCGGCACGATCAAGACGATATTCTGGCTCTCCAAAGCCATGATCCTGCGTCTTGCACCAACAACCTCACAAATCCTGACCTCTCTCCTATCGCTTCTCTCGTCCCCCGATGAAGCGACCAGCACCACCGCCGCCCGCGGCTTCGCCATCCTCCTCAAAGACGACGACGTCCTCTCCCTCGCCAACGGCGCCAACATCAGACTCCTCGCAAAGCAGCGCGTCTTCACCACGCTGACCCCGCTGATCTCCGCCCGCATCCGCGAAGTCAATGTCGCCAGCGACGCCTCCTCCACCCCCGCACACATCAAACCAGCGCATCTCACCGCCCTGTCAGGCATCCTCTCCACCATCTCGCCGTCGCTCGTGATGCCCGAGCTCCCGACCCTCCTCCCGCTCCTCCTGCAGAGCCTGGACCTGCAAACCGCAGACTCACAGGCCGTGAGGGCCGCCACGCTCGAGACCCTCGCCGTGATCATCCGCGAGAACGGCGTCGGCGTCATCGAGGAATGCGGCCACGTCCAGAGCCTGGTTACCCGTCTCTTGAAGACGGCCGTATACAGCCCTGCGGCTCCTGATCAAGCAGGCCCCGTGAACGGGCCGCGCCTGCGCGCCGAGACACTTAAGTGCCTGTATCTGCTGGCTCAGACGCCGAGCTCTGACGCGCCTGCTGTTGCCAGAGCCGGCAAGCTATCGCCTCTCCTCCCAGTCAAGAACCAAGTTGTGCGCTCTCTGGGCTTTGTCTTGGATGATCCGAAGCGAGACGTGCGGAAGGCTGCAGTTGATGCCCGGGGGGCCTGGCTGCGTAACGTCGACGATGCACTGGATGAGGAGGACTAAATGATCCCGGGATTTGATGTTTAGGCTTTGTCACTGTTGCCAGAGCAATGGCGCACTATATCTTTTCTTGGGTATACATGATATTGCGCGATAGCTTTATCTTGAAAACATATAGATTGTTGGGCGTTCGAGAAGTTTAGCTACGAACCCTCGTAGAAGTCAGTCGATAGAAAAGAACTATTCCAACAGGAGAACATATTCGTAGTCATGGAGTCAGGTCATTTCATTGCATTCTGTAACTAAATCTAGAAGGCTGCCTACCTACGTAAGATAGTACCGAGAAAAATCGTAGACAAGCAGAGCATCAGCGCCAATGGTTACCAATAATCAATCTCAAGCTGTTCTTTTTCTTTCGCGGAAGACTCGGCAGAGGACTTCTTCACCATTGCACTCGTCATGACGCTTCCTACTTCTTTGATGCTCTCTAAATCAGCAAAGTCTAGGCTCTTCCGCTCGTTCTGAAGTGTCCCCGACGATACAATGGCAGTACCACGAAGAGTTTTCATCGCGGCAAGAGAGCCGTTGACTGCTGCCATGCGCAAAGCATCGGCGCTTGGGCCATAGTTCCAATAACCGATAGCGTCAATCTTCTCGACGACGGTTTTGGCCAACCGGAGGAGATCCCCAAGACCAGCGGCGCCAATGGCTTTGGCAACAGGGCTTAGTGTCGTGGTCATTGTGGAAGGATCATCTGTAAGCTTATCGAGGAGAGTGGCATCTCTACCAAGCAGGTCAGGACTTCGCCATTCGTCTGTTCGTTCTCCAACTTCATTATCCACGTTTGCCCGCAGGATGGCCTCGACTGCAGGGCTAATCAAGGAAATTTCGTACCATTGACGACCTGCCTCAGCCATCTCAGACAGCGATGCACAATGAGCGGTTACCACATGGTCGTCCGACTGGCTCGATCCGATGGACAAGTCTTGGATCTCCATGACCTGTAAGAATAGGTCTTGGTCACTGTGAGTTGGGCCTGTCGAGGGACGCATGAAACGATGGCGAGTCCATCGCTTCATCAACACTTTCTCCACGACAATATCGTTCCCTGGAGGAAGTCGGGTAAAAATCCAAGGGAGGGATCTATTTGGCTGAACCCAGAGGTGGTTGACAAGATATCGCACTGCTTCCTCAAATTCAGGGCCCACAATTGCATTGCCCGTAGTAACACCGTTGAGAATCACCCTTGCATCCCATATTTGTCGTGGAAAGTGTAAATTGACTGCCCCTAGTGTTGAAGTTGGCTTTTTGATGGTGAACTTCCCATGTTCATCAACTGTGACAATAAGAAGTTGAGCAGCTTTGGTACGACAATAAAACTCGTAGAACACGCTGTACTCGCTATACTCCTGTTCAAAGATGCGATGCTTTCCTTCAGATGCAGGTGTCTTCAGGTCAACTATATGGTCAATGTCATGGCCGGACGTCGTGACTCGACTGATGAACTTGGTCGTCGGAGCAGGGATGCCGCTTCGTGGCTGGAAGATTTTTGTCCATTCCTTGAAAGAGATCATCGAGCCTTCGCTGCAGGTTTTAGGTAGTAGCGGTATCAATATGAGCCCAATCTGAACCTCCAGGCTCAGAGTCCCTGGGAAATACTCAGCAACTTCTAATGTTGGCTTCAATGCAAGGTAAAGCCTCATGATGTCCTGACTTATGCTGGTATCTGCCGTCTTCTGGGAGTGCCCATTGTCCCCGTCTGCTACTTTGACAGTGCTCGTTGTGCTTCCTTGTGTGGTCTCCTCAAGGGATGCTGGAGTTTGCGGGGCCTCTGTCAACAGTTTTTTCGATGGCCTTTTCATCATTCCCCAAGCATCTTCTAATGTAGCCTGCCTCTTTGCCTTGATCTCGGCTTTGTTCTTCCCCTTGTTCCTTCGCTTTTCTGTCTTATGGCCCATTGTGTAGAAGAACTCTCTGGAGTTAATTTCATCAGATGCCTGTCGTTCGTGATGTTTCTGAGCACCCTCCAGCTCAGCCACTTTCTCATTTACTAATAGCCGGTGAATGTCACGTTGAGAGATATGAGGTCGATTGCTGCCAGTAGGAATGGGAGTCTGTTCCCTTCTCTCATTCAGCGATTGCTTTAGAGAAGCTAATCTATTCTTTTGGTCATGGAATCTGTTAGTATTGTTCGATGTTGGATCAGAGGCGGAATCATTGCTGGTGGCTTCAGTCGGAGAGACATGGCTCCTGAGATCTGTGATAGCGAGACTGCGCATGCTGCTTGTGCTGGTATTCAGGTCAAATTTATGTTCTAGGCATATATCAATCTGATTAGACATGGTTGTGGGAACAGAATCCTGAGGGATCAAAGCGGGCTGACTGAACGAGAACGGGGGGAGTGTGCTAGTAACACTATGGCTCGCCGGTAGAAAGACGTCGACAAGAGGATTGAGGTTGCTGGATCTCTTTTTGAGCGTGCTAGGCAGTATTCTTCGGAGACTTGGGCTGTTTTTCGTATCACCGATCGTTTGCCGTTGTGATCTGTTGAGTCCATACTTGCCCGCATCAAAATTCACTGGAAGTCTTACTTCCTTCTTTGGAGTATGGGCTGTCGTTGGCCACCAAGAGTCGCTGGAGAGCTCCAGCATGTCCTCAAAGTTCGGGCCTCTAGTGAGCTCCTTGTTATCCTTCGGGGCGACCTGATCCACGTCAGGAGTATATTTCATTTTCCAGCGTTTACGCGGAGTCGCGTCGACCTCATTGAACTTGTCGCCAGTCGGCTTCGTGTCATTTTTCGGAGGTGGCTCCAATGGTGGTGATGCATTACTTGCCACCATTGCAGCTCTTCGTGTTTTGATACCAGGAGGTCTTTTGTTCACGGGCACAGTTTCTGGTGTATGTGGAGTGATGGACTGGGAGAGAATGGGAAGCCCGGCCTTGCGTTCACATTGGGGCTCAATCTCGTTCTCATACTCGGCAGATACTGGCTCCAGCTCAGGCTCGTCTGATTCAATTGCAGCTCCCTCCACAACCCACTGGTTGACTTGCTTGGCCTTTTCAGCAGTCAAGAATGGATGCGGAGGTGCAATTCCGGAGATGATAGAATGAGGATCCGCCGGAGTGTTCTCAAAGATAGAATCGATATCGAAGAATTCGTCCCCTTTCCCAATTTCCTGAAAAGTGAAGTCACTCCAGATGCGAGATTGTCCCGTTTCCGCATTGCCATGTGGAGGATTGAGAAAGTTGCTGGGGACAACAAGCGTTTGGGACTCATCGTCGAAAGACAAAAGCACGGTGACAGACATTTCACCAAAATCAGTAGTAGCATTCATGTTTGGATCAGCAAGCACACGGCAAGGGGCATTAGGATTCAAACTGCAGTAGCTTTGAATACGAAAGCGATCTTCGTCTTTGTAGTGGACAACCAAGATATTAGTGATCGAAGGAGTTAAAAGCAACGACTAATCACTGTTTGTAAGTGATTCATCATAACGAGCAATTGAGGAGTGAGTATCAAGTTTACTGACCAAAGACTTTTCGACATTGGAGAGCTTAGCTAACGCATCGTCGACATCACTACTTGTTCCGTACACCTGAATCCCCTGAAACTCGCCGGAGATTGCAATTTCTGTTCCTGTGGCAGTCGAGACATCAAGCAGGACGTCTTGGAAGTCGTTCGAGAAGCAGCCCAGACCACCATTAGACGAAAGCCAGGACTTGGTAATGCGATCTCTAGAGATCGGAATGAGCTCCTCATCCGACTCATCATCCAATGCTAGAAGGCTTGCTCCCTGGCTTTTCTCAGGCGTGACATCCAAAGGGACGGTTCCCTCGTCCTGCACGGCAGGGACTTCCAGTTGACAAATCCGCGGCATCTACAAGGCCAATAACAGTAAGCATACATCACAAGAACATTCTATTGCTGTGAATAGCACAGTAGAGGAGGAGGAAGTCTCACATCCAAGAGATCCTTAATCTTTTGTTCTTCGATGAAATTTGAATAAATCGACGCAATTTTCGAGGCGAGGCTTTCCGCAACCCCCCTGACAACAAGAGCCTGGTCCAATCTTAGTCAGACACATCAGATGAATAGAAAGGAAAGACCAACATCATCGGCTTTGAGATACTCGATCGAATCAAATTGTGTGATTGACTCCCTTGATGCGTTTGTGTTAGTATGATGACGGAACCGCGTTGTGGACATACGCACCTGAATTCCTTCTCGATGTCTTGAATCTACTCAGTCCTCAATTAACGATGTTCTCAGCATCAGCTCCTAAGATATACTCACTCCGATGTCCTCAAATGCCCACATAGAGGCTAAAGTCAGTCGTTGCTTAGTAGCCATGGCGATTTTGTCGTAGAACCAGTAGCTGTGCCTGCACAGGCTAAGGGCTGGTTGTGGTCTAGCGGAAGCCAATAACACGATGCAAATGATTTGCTAGTTGTAAGCTCAAGTGTTCCCTCGACAGAGGATGAAGACTGAGGATCAAGGGGTATGATAGAGGTCAAGATGGTCGAGTTGGTGATGGTTCCCAGATTCACGAATGTCTTAAATAAGAAAGAGGAAAGGGGGGAAGAAAAGGAAGCACCACCACAAAAGAAACTTGGGATACTTCCACTACATCCACTGTATAATCCAGATTGGAAACAGGAGACAGTGAATGGTCACATTGTAGTCTGTTGAGATGAATAGAGGATTTTAGCCAGCTCAAAGGATGTTGGCAGCTAAAATGGGAATGTTTCAATCAAACGAAGAGCGGATAGATGCAGATGAAAGATAAGTGAATACACCTGTTTTCCTTAGCTTCACTCCGTCTTTTTCTTGCTACTATGGTCAATAATATGGATGGTGAAAGAGAATGGTATGACGCAGTAGAATCAGTGAATGAATAACCTCCTTTGTGCTTCAAAAATGAGACCGTAATGCGTTTTTCGCGTTCAATTCTTGAAGGCTCACTGGCCAACAGTAATCTATGTGTTCAGGATGGCTCTCTCTTTCATGGTCTAATATTTGTGGATATCATAAACTTCCGCTAAGCAGTAAATAAACAATGTATGTAAGGGTATCAAGCACTCCGGAACTCCTGACAGTATCAAGGAACCCAGGAACACTAGAAGGGAAAAAAAACAGGGGTGAGCATGGAAATTTACAGAATGACAGAGCCTCCAGCGACTTACGTTTGCTGCATATAATTGTGGCATAAGGTCGAGCTTAGAACGGTCAATCCATCCAAGAGTCGGGGATGAATAGGATGACGCTGCAGAGAGCGAGGGGGATTGATCCAATTCGCATGACTTCCAGCGAGACACGGTTTGGTGAAATGTATCCTCGAGTGCTGCATCTGCTGGCTGGTTGTGGTGTCAAATGCACAGGTATTATAAGGGTGTTACTCCTCATTGGGCATCTTCGACTTCTTTTTTGACCTGAATGGCCCACTTCATTTTCTCTTCGGTCTCTTTCAAGGTCGCAAGAGCAGCGTCAAGATTCGCCTCACCCTGGTAGCTTCTTTCAAGCAGGGCTCTCACCTCCTCATCGTGAGCCTTCTTGTATGCTTCGTAGTCCTCGAATAATTGATCAAATCTTTCCCGACCAATCTCAATCTCACGATTTTTCTGCGCCATGACTGCGTCTAGACGTTCTAGGTGCACGTTTTTCTTCTCGTGCTCTGCCTTCAGCGCCAGAAAATCGTCCCTGATTGTCTTGAATTTCTTCTGCTGGTCTGCGCGTTCACGCTGCCCTGATTTGGCGAGCACATCGTACTGAGTCCGAGCATGGTTCGCAATTTCTTGCAGCTCTGCACACTTTCGATTGAAACCATCTCGGTTCTCGTTCATCAATTGTTGGAATTTGTCGGTTTCCCCCTCCGCTCGCAGTCGCCGATCCTTCTCACTCTGGATTTCTGCCCGCAATTCCTCGATTTTCTTATCTTTGCGCGAGATTGATTGGAGATTCGTTTCATTGGCCTGCTCAAGATTCCGGAGACGCTCGGTCATGTTCTGGACCTGTGTTTTGAACGCGTCGTTCATTCGTTGTGTCTCCTCCGCCCGGGACCGATACACACTGCACTCCCGGGTTAAACGCGCGATTTCTTCTTGGAGATTATGGATAACACGACCGGATTTGCCCGTAGCGGCGTGTCCCACGGCTGATGACCATTCCGTAGTTGACGCATCACCGTTTGTAGGATTGGAGGAGATCGGGGATGTGGACTCTGTGTAAATATAGGCAGGATCCAATTAGCATACTCAGAAACTCAAGTCGCCATCAACGCGGGCAGAAGCTATCGTCGTAGTGGGGTAAGACGCAACAACCAACCTGAGATATATTCTATGCTCGTAGGCGACTTTTGCTTCTCGGACGAATTGATCTCAAACAAACCATTATGTTGATGCATGTTCAAATGCGTTTCCACATGGGGAAGTATGACACAGGGGGTTCTTGGATGGTCTGGATTCGACGACATAAATGCATCCGAGTTAGCACTGTCATTATGCTCCGTCCTTGCAGCTTTCTTCTTCGTCCGGCCAAATCGGGCCATGGCCGGAAGAGTGGGGAGTGGAATGCGGGGGAGCCTGTGAATGTGATCCAGAAATGGCAAGCTTGAAGCAGCAGACATCGGAGCTTCAGCGACCATGCCAGGGGAACAAGTAAGCAAGCCCGACAACGGCGATTGCCTGCACGGTGGCCCAATGCAAGCAATTGCTCACCGAGGCTATCCCTGATCCCCGGAGAAGGTGCGTCAAAAGCGAGGTGCAGATGGGCGGAGCCAATAAATCGGAAGGCATGGGATTGTGGGAATTGTAGAGACAAATGGATTGAACCATATTCAGGCCGAAGAAAAGGAGAAAGACGTACCCTGGTGGAGATCAAGGCTCGAAACGGAATGCGAAGTGGGTGGGCTGCAGCAGAAATGACTACGTTAACTCTATGTATGCTTTGTCATCGCCGAGATTCACAACAACAACAAAAGCAAGAAGAAGAGGAAGAAGAAGAAGAAGAAGAAGAAGAAGAAGACTGGTGATTGATGGAAAACATGGAGGTGAGGGAAAAAAATCCACTGCGAGGAGATAAATACTACTTACTCTGGATATTGGCACTAACAACGCACAGTATTTGAGGCTGAAGAGCGTGAGATGGATGGAGTATAACTTGATGGGTGTATATTAGGTATATATAAGCGAAGACTTCAAAGAGAGATAAAAATAACAGCTGTGACTGAGGAGATAATGTGCTGAGAAAACAAAGGAAGGAAATATCTTTGAAGATGGGGAAAAATGATGAGATTATGAAGTGGTCAGGTAGAATTAAGCAATCAAGATGCCCAGAAGAAGCAAAACTTGTGATCTGTATGGAGGAGAACCCGGCCGCTAACAGCGGACACTAACAGGAGACTCCGTCCAAGAATAGTCTTGCCGAAGGTGGTACTATACATGACCGCACAGGTTCAAAGATCTCTTAAAGCTGAAACACGATCAGGTTATCAGAGTACTAATGCATAATAATGAGACTCGATTTCTGAATGGAACTCTGGCCCCATCTATATTTAAACCGCAATCAAAGAAACCCGTTCGATGAGCTGCCAACTTTTCTCCCATCATCAGAGAGACTTGGAAAACATCAAGGTCACAGACCAATGGTGCTGACGATGATGGAATAGTGTTGGGATCATTGCGAACCGGAAAAGACTTATGAATACAGAGGGCATTATATACAGCGAGCCAAAGAATAGCCATTTTCCTTGAGGCACAGTGTCCATTCCGCTCACTCATTCGATCGTAACAGAATAAATGGTCGAGGATGGTTCGCTCGCAGTCCGCACAGCCCTGTTTCATTGAGCGAGATAAAACAACGCTCCTACCGAGGCGAGAGCCCAGCCAAGGCGAATTCTTCCGACAGGAGCATCGTTGGTTTCCAACTTGGCTGCCATCGCAGTCCCGTAAGTGAAATCCGTCGATCCTTTGGACATGTCATCCACACTAGCGAACTGGGCATTGTTCCCTTTTGCCACTTCGGTGGGCCAGACATCTTCATGAGGTGGCAGGTTGGCGGGAGTCTGTGGCTTTGCGTTTTGAGTCGTGGGCGACGGAGGACCTGGCTTCTTTCCATCGGGATTTCCAAGTGTCAACAAGCCGGAATAGTTCTCCTGTCCATTCTGCTGGATTTGCAAGGCATAGTCTGAGCCGTCAGGCAAGGAATCATCAGGGACGAAGGTGAAGGATCCTCCTCGACCGTTTGTCGTCAGGACTTGGACGTGGTCAAGATTGTTGGCATCCCCTTTCCGCAGGTAAATCGTGACGGGCTAAACACACCTGGCGTGAGCTAAGGGCCTTCATGACAAAGTGGAGACATTGGCTTTTCTACATACAACATCAGGTACTCCCTGCCATTTTACTGTGGCAGATTCACCATGGGTAAGGTGGGCTGGCCATTCTGTGAAGGCCACCATTTGTGCAGCGCTTAGTTCAGCCAGGCAGACCCCTGCTGCCAGAAGAGGGTTGAACCAGTACATTATGATATGCTGCGGCTCTGCTTGACATCAGCATGAGAGTGGGACTTTGTCCATAGGCAAGACGGTGACTCACATCAGAGCAGATCAACGGCTAAGTAGTCGTTCTGGTGTTGGCGATAATAGTGATGCACAGATAACTATATCTTTGAGCCCCACGAGATAATGCAGAACTTTGGATGGGTCTCGAAGACTGGCTGGGCTTATATGGCGGTACACCCAAAACCAACGGAAGGCACGGTCGACTGAGTCTTTCTCTCAAGGATTCTAATACCCTGATCACCTGGATGGCCCCTTCCTGATACAAACTGGCGAAATCTGGAGGTTGAACCAGGAAAAGCGTATTTGAGATCTGGGGAGAGGGCAGCCAGAGTTAATTGACGAGGTATGGGCACTCTTTGCTCCAGACTGCCGAATCGCTCGGTTTATGAAGAATTGGTTCGCATTCAGAGGGCAGAGGACGCGTCGCGCAGTTGGAAAGCATTCCGGTCAACGGAGGATGCTTTATGACATCGGTGTTTCCTTTATGTGATGATCAGGAATGTACACAACTTCTGAGTTCTGACTTGTCGGATGCCTGATTTGCTTCGCTTGGGGGGGTGGTTATTTACCCAGACATTCCTAAGCCCATCTCCATGGGGAGACTCACTCTCTTTCGACTGTCACAGCGATTTTCGTGCATTGTGTCTACAGGAGAGAAAAAGCGAATTGTATGGCAAGTTCAAAGTGTTCGTTGTATTGATTGCCTCGCGGTCGTAGGAAAGCACAAGGCTATCATGTGTGTCTTTGAGTAGAGATGGCTGTAGGTCTTCAACCAGATTCTGGATTTATGACGGTAAACAGGATAGTGCCCTGTCCATGGAAGTGGCAGTGCAGCACTTTGTCGGAATCTGCATCGTTTATGCCGTTTACTCGATTGCCTCCAGTCGCTCTGAAGAACTGGGTGTGGCATTCTCGACACTGGTGACTGCGAGTCAGGTTTGTTTACCTGCAAGGGGCGGTCAAGCAGACATCGGGAGTTCAAAAGAACTCAGACGTAGTAGTCAATGCCGATCACTTATAGGGAACTCTTGATCTCATTGGGATACGGAAGACCAGGCCCTGGGATAGTCGTCTAGTACATATTCATTGGCAGCCATAGTGGTGTCCTTCGCTTATCACTACGTATCTAACCCTCGATACGGTACAGCAGCACACCAGACTCCCGACAATGCTCTCTTCTCGAATGTCTCCATCAACGCTATCCAAGACTCGCCTGGAACTTCTAAAAATATAAATCACCTTCAAGATCTCTTGTGGGGATGGCCGTGATAGCAACGGTGACACTCGAGGGTCCAGTGCTTGTTGCTGGATGATTACCGAAAGCGGAAATGATATCAATTCGCTTGAAAGACAACCAGAGAGCGTCCGAGCAGTCATCACAGTCTTATGGATCTGTCTGAATAGGACTCGCTTTATCTCTTGTTGGTGATTGACGGATTCACATCCGAATGCATCTACCATCCAACGCAGCTGCGCTTTTCTGGAACTTCATCTGCCACAATCAAAGCTCTTCCATGCTCCTTCCATGCTCCTTCCACGCTCGAGCTGTATTGTACACTCCACACCAGGTAGGAGATCAGGATGTCATCAACCCTGAGCGCTGGTAGTGATGGAACTTGGCTTCTTCCAAGTCTCTACGCTCGCTATTCCACATGCGCTCATTCATTCATGTTCTTCAATATCGCTCGCTTCTATTTTATTCCTGACATACTCTGTCAAAGTCATTCGTTGAACAATCAGATTTGTTGAATGAAATCACCTTCTTCGCTCTCATTTTGCATCATCGTTCAGAATTCGAACAGTCTCGGCTCCCCTGTAGCCTTTTGATTTTTCGCCTGTTACACAGTTCCTCACTGAGGAATGTCGCAACAGAGTCTCCCCTTTATCCCCAAACACAGTGATCAGGCTTCGCAAGGCAGTCAGGAACGCCACCCCCCATCAGCTGGCACAACATCGTCAGATGTTGGCGCACCACCGCCAGAACGATTCTACCGTGCCAAAGGCAAAGCGAATGCACGGCAGGAGTCAAGTCCTGACAGGGTCCCTCCACAACTCTCGCAGCATCTGGTGACTTTGGAGGAAACGAAGGAGGGCGCACTGCATACGCTCGCGCTGTGTCGCAATGTCATAATTACTCTTGAACTGACACGCCTGCGCAAGTCACGGACCGGATACTCCTACTGGCTGACCTTCTGGGGCCGAATATACGAGAGAACACTCGCTCGCACTCTCTGCTCTCGAGTGGCCACGGCATTGACTAAGATTGATGCGCTGTTCCGGGCTGTCTCTCATGAGCTTCAACAACTGACATCGCGAATGGAGCATGCTGTTTCTGTTGCGTCCTCGGAGAAGGAGATTCTGCACCTGCTTGAACGCATGGAAGAGGAAGTCAGTGCACGCCGAAGACGTAGGCGCAAAAAGGCTCAAAGTATCATGGAGAAGATGCGTGCCAACATAGAGGCCATACCCGTTAGGGTCAGTGACGAGCTTTTCGACGATTTGAAGCGTGGCGTGTTCGCTCTGGATGTATTTTGTGACTACCACCCGGGGGATCCCGAGGCGGAAGCAATCGAGATGAGATGCCCGGACATTAACCAGCGCTTTATGTCATCAACACCGATTTCTCCGTACAACTACCGTCGATTGCAAGAGTCTCTTGCGTCTGGGGCATATATGGATCCGGGGTATTATCCCAGTAACACCTATTTTAACTATGCTGAAGATCTGATGTACGAGGACGGTGATCATCCGGTTTGGAGAGCAGTCGAAAGTCGCTCGACCTTCGATTGGTGAGATTCAAAAGGCGTTAATTCTGGCAGTTTATGCTGATATTTTTGGGCGCTTGGGTATGTGTATGGATTTGGATTCTTGCGTGGCTTTCTGCCAATTCGGAACATGGAGTGTCACAGTCCTTAGATAGTATAGATTGCGAATTTTGCTTTTGCCATGACCGAGCAGTTTGGCATAGAGGTCTATAGACATTGAATGGATTAATGGGGTCAAATTACAAACGCTAAAACAAAGCAAGATACCTGAACCGCCAAGCAGAATTTTTTGTCCAAACCCATCATTCGAAGCTCCACAATCCTCTCATAAAGTTGCCAGGTGCTGTATCCTGGCCCCCATCCTCCTTCAGCATTCTGTCTGTGAATATTCGCTTGGGGATATGATACTCGACGACGGGAATCCTCTTGAAGGGCTTGTTTTCTGTACCCAGCTCCGCCTGCAGCATGCCCTGGTAGGTATAGTCCAGGAAATCTTCCAGACTGTACGCCTGTTTTGTGAATTGTTCGGAGATGATGCGGGCGATCGCCGCGACGTTGGGGTGGTAGTGGGATTGCAGGGTCTCGAGTTCCCACAGACTGCTCTCGATGGCTTTTGTGCGCGTTGGGTCTGGCTCGTTCATGTTGAATGGGTCGTCCATGCCCTCTGCTTCGAGCTTGGCCGTGGCGTCATCCCCGCGGACGGTGCGGTGCAGCATGTAGGTGCATGTTGGGTGGTTTTTCAACAGGTTGTAGATGAAGGGGACGATGACCACGATGGCAGTAGGTGGTGCGTTCAGGGCGAGCCGGGAGAGACGCTTGATGAAGCTGGCGATCAACGCGGCTGGAAGATGGGTAGAGGAGAGAAAGGTATTCATCAGGCGGAAGAAGCGGGAGCGATGTTTGGAGTGCAAGAGGTCGGCGTCGAGGAGGGAGTACAGTTTGTGGTAGAACTGGGGATAATCGAGGTTCTTTTCCTCAATCAGGTAGAAGAGACCAGAAAGGGCGAGTAAGGAGGTCGCGCCGCCGACGTTGTACGAGTCTGTCAAAAAGTCCATGAGCAGCTCGGGGCGGTTGAACCACGGCTCGATGTTGTGGACCATGTTGCGCAATAAGACTTTGCGTTGCGGATGGGACAGATCGCTTCGTAAAATAGCCAGCCAGGCATCTTGTGCTCGCTTCTTGTGGGCGGTTACGGAGAGAAGCTTCTTGTTCTGCCTGCTTGACTTCGAATAAAAATTCTCAAACTTGTGTTCGGGCCCCGGAACGGTATCGCATTCTGAGAGCATCGAAATCAGGGTATCAAGGATCTCGGGGGTTCTTTCCGTGGCTGCATAGTCACTGATTCAGAATGTTAGCAAATGATCATTGGTGTCTGCTCATGAAGTGCCATAGGAAACGCACGGTATTTGCACAAATGTATAGTATCTCACGTCCTCGTATACCTTGGCGAACTTCTCGAGGAACTCTGCCCGTAAAGTCTGCCCATTTTTGGCCTCGATGACTGCCTCAAAGACACTCTTGAATAAACCAGACAGCCAGACCTGGGTATCGTCGCCCGGGAGGTGTGTAGCACGTTCGTTGACGATGCGCATACACAAGGTCAAGGCAGTGATCTAACATCGTATTAGAAACTAGGATAGCGGCACAATATCTTGCTGGGCAAAAAAACCTGCGAGGAAGGATCTCCTTCACGAAGAATCGAGACCAGCGCCTTCTGATACTCTCGACAGCGTTCCTTCAACCAAGCCACAATGATTTTCTCATTCTCTGCAGCGCGACTGGTTTCGGTCAGGTTTCCAACGGCAATCAATCTGCTGAAGACGCGGCAGAGAGACACCGCGACAGCAAGGTTTGGCTTGCCATCCGCATTAAGCATCGATATCAGCGTTGCGATATTGTTGTAATATTTTCGCGACTCCGAGATCTGATCCTCCAGCTCTTGGATCCTGGCCATCTCGTCCTCGCTCTGCGTCTCTGCAACGGCACGGCGCTTGGAGGAAGGGATTGCGCTTTCTTTGGCGCTCTTTCTCTTCTTAGAGCCCGTGGCTCCGTTCATAGCGACCGGCATTTTGTTTGAAAATGTCTTTCTCTTGAAATTCGCGATCAATGGTGCTCTGCAATCATGCCTCTTCGTCCTCTTGCCATTAATTTTTTGGAAATTCCTCGGCTAACGTTTTTCCGTTAGCCGCACCAAGCCCAATGTAGCTAGCGTCTTCCGCACCGCCCAAAGCGCCATTCCGACCTCATTCTCCTCCGTTCCGTTCACCCATCACATCTGTCAAGGACTTCTCATCGACACAATGGCTTCGCGTCTGGCTAAGAGCGCCATTGGTATGCCGCACTCGATACTTCAAAAGGTTGTGAACCGCCTTATTATAGTTGCTAACCCCAGCTAGGTGCTACCCGGCTCCGGCCGACTCTTCCCGTGCGCAATGTCGCTGCTGTCACTCCCAACCTGACTTCGTCTCGTTCGGCCTCCAACGTTCCCGTCGAGGACCCCAAGAAGAAGGCTCAGTCCATCCTCGACGCCCTTCCCGGCAGCTCTCTGGTCTCCAAGACTGCCATCCTCTCCGCTGCCGCCGGTCTTTCTGTCGCCGCCATCAGCAACGAACTCTATGTTATGAACGAGGAAACCGTTGCCGCCTTCTGTCTTCTCAGCGTCTTCACTGCCGTTGCCAAGTATGGTGGTCCCGTCTACAGCGAGTGGGCTCAGGGTCAGGTCCAGAAGCACAAGGATATCTTGAACGCTGCCCGTGCCGACCACACCAACGCTGTCAAGGCTCGCATGGACAACGTCAAGGAGCTGTCCGGTGTTGTTGATATCACCAAGCAGCTTTTCGCTGTTTCTCGGGTAATTTTTGCTCTTCGATCCAACTCCAGAGACGACAATCTGTGCTAATATTCCTATGAAGGAAACCGCCCAGCTTGAGGCTAAGGCCTATGAACTTGAGCAGCGCACCGCTCTGGCTGCTGAGGCCAAGTCCGTCCTTGACTCGTGGGTCCGCTATGAGTCCCAGGTTAAGCAGCGCCAGCAGCGTGAGCTTGCCGACTCTGTCATTAGCAAGATCCAGAAGGATCTTGAGAACCCCAAGGTTCTCCAGCAGATCCTTCAGCAGAGCGTTGCTGATGTCGAGCGTAAGTCTTGTTCCTCCAATCTCTTATGCAGCCACAAACTTACCTTATATTCTCAGGCATCATGTCTGCCAAGGCCCAGTAAATGGACTTTTACATGAATAGCCTCGCCACTAGCATCATGTATAAAATCATTGGCCTTTTTACTTTTGTGCTTGACTAGACATATCAATACCATTTTCTTTGAAATTCGCAGCCCTACATAGGTCATGACAAGATGCTTCCAGTCACCTTCATCATACCCCCCATGCAACAGTGAGCTCGATTTTGCAAATCCATACACTCGAGCCGTCTGCTTGTTCGCGATCATTCACGCCTTTCACCTTCACATGGTCAATGTTCCCCTGCCCAGTTGCAAATCAATAAGTCTCCTCTAAAGCACGGCAGATGCTTTCTCGAGCAGACATACCACCTGCGCTCCATGAATATCAAGAGCCCCCAGTGTCAATCCAGTAGTCTGGTATGGGCCTATTATCTCCTACAACTCCACGTAAATCCAGACTGTGATCATGTATTGTAAACTCTTCAAAACTCAACGAGGATCACCAAGGGCATATGACTAGATACAGCGCAACAAAGGCAACCCCGCCGATCAAGAGTAATTAACCGGTCCTTTTCGAACATAATATCGAATATTCAAAAGTGGCCAAGGGCCAAGACACCAACCAGGGTAACAAAATCAGGCACAACAATAACAGGGAGTATTATTATTATACCATAGGATGCGATGATGCTGGGTCAAACCAAAGGATAACGGCAACACAGCCACTCTCCTTCCCCAGCCTCGTATCACCTCCCATGACAAGGCTGAGATCTGGATGACGGCGAGTATCTATACGAAAATAACGCAGAGAGTTATATCGCGCGAACTTCATCCTAGTCGTCGGACTACCAGTTTCTGGATCTCTGTCGAAAAGCACACAAATAACACCTCGGTAAGGAGTGCCGAATATCCACCCCGCAAAGACCCTCTCTGCGATAAGCCACCGGAAGCATCAAGATGCCTCTGCGCGACATCCTTCACAAGAAGGACAGGATCAACGAGGCAGAAAGCCAGTATGCGCCAAATGCATCCTCAAGCCCTGTCCCCGAAATCAAATTCATCCGATCCGATACGCTGTCCCACCAGCTCATCACCCCACCAAGCTATGAAGGCGATGAGAATATCGCCCATCGCGCACAGAACCAAGCGGAATTTCTAGACCCCGCGCGGCCGTCTTCCTCTACGCACAGGAGATCTCTGAACATATTCAGTCGCTCATGGTCGCCGTCCGATGCCTCGGAGCCGGCCTCGCCGACTCGACCGCACGGAGAGCGACGGCTGTCGCATCTACTAGGCCGCGATCGCGGGTCGCGGAGTACCAGCGCGAACTCAACCATTATCCCCGCGGACCTTCCGCAGATCAGCGATGACAAAGGCGACGAGCAGGAGCGTGAGGCGCAGTGGGAGAAGAGAGCGACAATTCTGGCGCAGCAGAGCCCGTTGTCTGGATCTTCTGCACACTCGGCCCATGCTTCGCCTGGTGCGCTTGGTACAAGAAGCGTCGAAGAAGGACGGTCAAGAAGCTCAAGTCATAGTCGGATCAATGATCCGCAAGGCGATGTGAGTTTCATGACCTGCTGAAGCTGTTGGTGGTCGGGCTATCAGTGTCTAATGCTGGTCTTAGGTCAATATACAAGAAGCAATCCGTCTTCATGAAGCTGGTGGTAGGAACTTCACTTTTGACAAGTTCTTCGATAACTTACTTACTCTTCTTGTCCTGCTCTAGAGCTGGAGAAATCGACAGACATGTTCCGCCAGCTGGCGGATCCAAATGGTGCGAACAATGCGCTGAGTCAAGTGCTATACGGACTCGCGCTGAGGTATGATACTGTCTTCCACAAACCCCTTAACCAACTTGATGGAACTACTTGTTGTTGAGAGTTGTTTGATTCTGACTACTTCACAGACATGGATGGGGATGCCCGCCAAACCCGAACCAGGCCGTGACATACCTCTCTGCTGCCGCCGCAAACTCTGCTTCAATAGAGTCAGAAGCTCTACAGGCCGGGATGAAGAAAGGTGGTGCTGCGAAAGGAGAGCTAGTACTAGCCATCTTCGAACTGGGAAACTGCTATCGTAATGGCTGGGGTGTCAAAAAAGACCCGGTAGCGGCCCGACAGTACTTCGAGACGGCGGCGAATCTAGGCGACACGGATGCGATGAACGAGGCCGCATGGTGCTATCTAGAGGGCTTTGGAGGTAAAAAGGACAAGGTACGTCACTGTCCAGTTCTGCCTTGCTACAGAACAGCCTTGTGCTTCCATATTCATCCTCATCTACAACTCGAGTCATTCATCTTTCGGGCATCCATGCTTGCCATGATTGCCGTACGGCCTATTGTACTTTTGAACGCTCTTTGAAGGACGTTATTGACCCCAGCTCTTTCGATATCTAGTTCAAAGCGGCCAAATACTACCGCTTGGCTGAAGATAAAGGAAACAAATTAGTGGGAAACTCATGGTATGTTTGGAAATTGCTTCCTTCCTGGCTCTTTTCCCTCCACCTATATACCACCCTCAAACCCCCATTTCCCCTCCAACCATCGCTTCTCAAGGCATGATGAAATCTGTTATCTCCTTACAAACCATGCAACGGAGTACTACTGCTTTGTTCCACATCAGTCAGCCGCGGTTGAAGCGATAGGCCCTCACGGCCTCTCTAGCAAACTGCGCCATGCGAGCCGCCGTCCAGCCGCAGCCAACCACATTGACGCCCACACCCTCCCAGACACAGGAACCCATCAGATCAGGCTGACATCCAGGACCACAGGATCTGGAAAGAAAAATACAACTCGAAATAGAATAAAAAATCAAAAACAAAAGGAAGAAACCCTCCTCTAATTCTGACGAAGAATCAACACAGCCCGCCCTTTCTGTCAAAGCCAAAGGCCTGGATCAACATCTCATCATCCGTAGTTCCATCCAGCCCCCCCCCCCCGCCTGCTTGTACAGACCACAGACCACAGGAGGTATGTTATAGGGCTGCCTAACCGACGCATATACCCACCCTGCATCATGCATAGCGCCATGGGGGTGCACGAGCACGAGCACGGGCACGGGCACGGGTATGGCTACAGCCTACAGGACTACGGGTACTCTCGAACTGCTAGTCTACCTACAATCTACCTACCTACCTATCCTACCTGCACCCTCTCACTCACCTTATCCGTTGACGCCATCTGAGTGGGTGGAACCGGGAAACGGGCGTGAAGACCCAATGCAGCCTCATCTTTTGTACTGCAACCCAATCTCTGGCTGCTCACTATCTGTGTATGCATGTACCTGTTGCCGTTGCCTTTGCCGTTGGGTTCAGCTGTGTGGCTTTTGGTTCTTTTGATTATGATTATTATTTTTTTTTTCTGAGTGGCTTGTGTGGGTTGGTGGGGTGGTGCTGTCACTTGGGTGGTTCTATTTGTTCGGGGAGAGCGAGGGGGATTCGTGTGTTTATTTCTGTGGCTGCCTGAGGTTTCTTCGGGGCTAACTATACGCATAAGGACATGGGTGATTTCTTTGTTAGATGAGGGACGGATATCTATACTCCAGGTGTGTCGACTTATGAATGATTACTGCTTATGAAGAGGAGATGAAGGGCAAATGCCATCGTAACCCAGTTCGGTTCGTGTCGTTTTCATGGAGATAGTGGACAGTGTTTCATGGCCACCACTGTCCAGCATCATTATATACATTATCATAGACATCCAATCCACACATATCACATTCCACATCACGTTCAACAAAGTAAATTCGTCATAAAGAGTGGACGGGTCCGAGCCAGGGCCCAAATGCCGGGTCCATAAGTAATCCTTATGCGACCCTGTCAGACAAAAGAAGGTAAGAAGGTCAAGACCAGGTGAGATGACCCTGGTCTTGAGCAAGAAGGATCGTAGAAAATCCAGCCTTGTCGAGAAGACAGCTGGCAACCAAAGCAGAAGAAGGAGAGAAACAAGAAAAACCGCTCAAACGGCCACATCGTAATTGCAGCCAGACTGTTCAAAAAAGCAGACGTGGAAGAAAACATCGAGGAGATAAAGTAAAACACGCTTCAGTCATATACATCATATCATAACAGTCGTAAACAGAATGACCGCCCTTCGCTCAATCATGTCCACACCTATGCAATGGAAAGATCCAAGAACCAAACGAGATAGAAAACAAAAATAAGCCCGAATACAAACGTAGAATTGCAGTTTCTGTCGATTGCTCGACAAAGGTTCTCTCTGTCCTGTTGTGCCGTATGTTCGTTTGAGAATTGGTAAAACCCGCTTAAGTCAACTGTGTCAACCCTGCTGAGAGACAGATGAGGAGAAAAATAACAGAGATAAAAGAGAAAAAGAGAAAAAGAATACACAGATGCAGTGTCTTGATCGTTCGTGAGAATCGTTCCCAAGCCCAATGCATGACGAAGATGAATCGCAAGTACGCCGATGAAACCCGAAGACCGCGCAAATCACAAGAATCGCTAATTTCGTCAGATCACGTCAAATGAGAGCTAGTTTTGTAGAATATATCCAGTCGAAGAAGAGTTGATAGGTTGTCTATGCATGTATACGGCTAAAGTCTGGCTTAAGCTGGTTGAAAGTCGTGTCTCGTACTGGTTTGAAAGTTCTGGAAGAAGCAGAAAAAAGAAAATGCCGAGAGAGGCGAGAAGTGAAGTGGCAGAAACAAACAGCTGATCAATCTGCTTTGGTGAAAAGTCAAGCAAGCTGGATGAAATGACCTTGCGGTTCAAGTTTGGTGAGAAGACGAAAATGGACACGTAGTGTCTAGAGAATGCGGTGAGGAGCGAGCTATCAGATGTGCTACTCAGGACTGAGCAAAGCCGGATTGCTCTTCCTTGACGGGAGAAGCGCCGTACTCCTGGACCATGCGCTGGAAATCCCGGATCACCTTCTCAGGAACTCGATCCCACATCAGCGATCTGGTATAGACATCAGATGAGGCCTTGTTGGGAAGCTTGTTCTGAGCGGCATTGTTCCGCATGGCAGCCAAGGCCTGCTGCAAATTCGAAGGCTGAGACTTGTAGTCGACATTGGTCTCGTCGAACGTCGTCAAGGCATTGTACTGTTCAGCGTTCAGCGAAAAGACTTGCTCCTGTTCTTGCTCTTTGGTCGGCATCGCGAGGGTGTTGTGGAGTTCGTCAAGGTTGGACGGATGAGCAGCGCCGGAGGTCATTTGGGCCATCTCCGACCCTGTGATGGTCGTTGGCATAGGGCCAGCCGATGCGGAGGCCACCACGGGTTGGTTCGTCATCTGCGCAAGCTCTGGTGGCGAGGCAGCCAGAACAGCCTTGAGGACATTGGCAGATTCATTACGATAGTCCTCTGACAGCTGGGGGATAGCACGAGCAGAGAGCGCTGAGTTGTTGGACGCAATGAAGGCACCAACGAGCAGACACATGTAGAAAGCATTCCAGCTGAAAGGATAGTCGGCGGTGGCAGCGTTCTTTTCGGCAGCCCGGTCATTTGTGGGCAACACCATAGCGGATGACTGCATCGAGCTGGCAGGAGCAGACTCGGGATCGAGGGGCAGGCCGTTCGTCATAGTAAAGTCTTCCCAGGAGTTGTCCATGGTCAGGCTCTCAAAGTCGGAGAAGTCTGTGCTGAGATTGGAGGCGGCGGACGATTTCACCTGCCTCTCCAGTTTCTCCACGGTCTCCTTGAGGATGTTGTTCTTCTTCCGGAGTTCAGCCGTTTCCAAGGTGTGCACCCGGATCACCTCGTCCTTATCCATGTGTAGGCCCTCGATGTACTGGTTGATCTGCTGTTGAGCAGCTATCCACTCGCTCTTCTCACGAAGGAGCTCAGACTCGCGCAGCTTCATGTTCTGCAGCGCTTCCTCGAGATCGTTGATCATTTGGGTGAAATGTTTCTTTTCCTCCTCGAGCTTCTCGGTGTGCAGCTTCTTCCGTTGACGCGAGTCCAAACTAAAAATGACATTATGATGTTAGCCAGCTGAGAGGAGAAGAGGAGCAGGATGAGAAGATTCCCTAGGCGACTACTTACGCAGCTTGACGGTTTCTCAGCAGGCGTTTCTGTTGCTTTAATTCCTTGATCTCCTCCTCGTTCGTGGATTGACTGATGAGGTGATCAATGTTGCTCAATGTCCGCTCAGCAGGAATTTCGAAGCGAGCGTTCTTCTTCCGGATCCCATCCCGTCGGATACTCAGAGGCGAGCTATTGCGGTAGGTCGGGCTCTTGGTGGGACGCGACATGGCGTCAGGCATGTCCGTAGACGCCGGCATCCAGCCCTGACTGGACTGCGGAGACATTGCAATTGCACCCGGGGGCGCAAAGGTCATGCCAGGCCGGTAGGACATGGACGCAATGTTGATGGCGCTTACTGGACCCACGGCCCCGCCGGAGAAGGGTGCAGATGAGCTGTGCTCCAGGTCCGGGTGAAATTGCTCGTACATGGCAGTCGGGGTACATGAGCCAGAGTCTCTCGACAGGGACCAGGGCGCATGATGACCGTAAGCTGAAGCAGGATGGACGCCATCCACTGGCATGAAAGTGGGATTGGAATCATAGAGGCCATGGCCAACTTGGGAGTTGTGACGGGACTGGTTGCTGGAGACAGGGTGCGAGAACTCAGACCAGACGGAATCCCGATGCGAAAAAGCCTCTGGCGCATGATCATATGAAGTACGGCGGTGATCGGGAATGGAAGACAGCTCGGGAGAGGTTGAGTCCAGGATCTTGTCATCTAATACACTCATCTCGTCTTCTTCCGGATATGAGGATTTTGTCTCGAGAGTGGATGTGGGTTGTTGGTAAAAATCAAAAGAAGGTTGAGAATATCTCGCCATGACTGCGAAATCTGTGCGTATAGCAAAGTTTGAGGATGGAGTAGATGTGAAGATCGAGAGCAATCAAGAGGCGGTGTGTAAAATAAAACAGGTCAAGCGGGGCGTTGGATGATAATAAGAGGACAAGAAGATGAGACAAGAGATGGTATGTTGAAGTAAGAGGATCAAGTGTAACCAGAGGGTACCAGAAGAGAAGTAGATAGAGAGGATAATCGAAGAGGATGAACAGGTGAAGCAAGCGTATATGTAGTAGTAGGTAGCCGTAAGTAGGTGGGGAGAGAGAGAGAGAGAGGACGTATAGTAAGGAGGATAGTGGATGGGATGGGATGGGATGGGAGGATAATGATATAGATAGATGATAAAAGAAGAAGAGGAAGAAGCTCTTGGACAACCTGAGACGTTGAAGCTAGTTTGTTGATGATGATGTTGTTGTTGATGAGAGACAAGGACAAGCGATGAGGGAGGGGGAAGTCATATAGATATCTTCCTGATGATGAGTAACCTGACGATGTCGACCATGATACACTTTTTGAATGAGACTTTAATAGGATCAAAATCAACAATATCAGATTCTACCCAAAGCAAGACTAGTCGTAGTAGTAGCAGCAGTAGCAGCAGCAGCAGCAGCAGTATCATCTAGTGGTAGTTTCAAGAAATTTAATCACAGGAATAGGGCATGCAAAATAATTCCAGAAAATCCCAAATCCCAAATGGAATGCCCACTAAACAATCCCACTCACTTCTGCCTTACTACTACTACTAGCACTAGATACTACAGAGAGGACTCCGGGACTATGGAGTATGGAGTATGGGCTATGGGCTATGGACTATGGGTATGGACTATGGAGCCTTTCCTCTGGTCTCATACAATCGTCTCGCCCATAGAGAAATCACCTCCAAGAAAATCCGGCGGTCAACGGGAAAAAGTCTAAGACAAGGGAGATCGATTTCTGGCCGTTCCCGAGTTTAACGAGATGCGGTCATTGGATGCTTCGTGCGCATTTTGGGCAGACGTGCAGATGGCAGAGAGGAAATCCTCAGTGCGATGGGATGAATAATCAGGTCTTGGGGGGCTATTCCTACTCGAGATTGAGCGTTCCATCATGACTGTTTTGCTGAACGTGCTTTTGTCTTTATTTTTATTTTTATTTTTTTTTATATTTATTTATTTTTTTTATGAACCAAGATAATTATGATAAAAAAAAAGGGAATAGCTGAAGACATCCAGATTCCAGACCTGTAGTACATTCTATCTACCTACATAGTGATATCCTATCGATGGTTTCAATGGTCGTACCATGTTTGAGAGAAAAGAAAAACATGGTAAGGTATCAATACGGATCAATCGCCCCACCATAACCGAGCAGTACATCCAATACATCTATATTTCCTCTGTAGGTACGTATCTAATAATAATGACTGATGTACCTCTACCTGCCTATGCTTGTACATACAGCTCACATACTCTCTTACCGAGACCATATGCGATGTTCATTGACATACCGATTTCATCATCGAGAGAACAGCACTGAATTCTGAAACTTCATGACATCCATTGCACCATGGTACTGGACTGCGGATAGATGGCCCCATCTTTGTTTATCGATAGGTAGATAGGTACTTCCATGATACCTTGGGTACGGGAATATCAGCTGTACGGATTACAGTACCCGATACAAAGTACATAGAGAAAAACCGCCGGGTTTCCCCTCAAGAGTCATGGAAGACTCGTCTCGCCTCAACCCCCCCTGCCCAGTACCTAGGTAGGGACCATGGAACCATCATACCGTGTGGTAGGAACCAACTGCTCAACCAGATCCCACCAGCTCATCAAGGTAGGTACAATATCATTGCACCCTGTTACAGCCTTTGTGAAGAATCCCCCCTCTAGCACTTGCAGGACTTTAGACCATCAGCCAGTATTCTAGGAAACGCTTCCACCTTAGGGTTCTCGGCCCTGAGGTCCCTAATGATGCCCAAAGAGTAAAGGTAGTGGACTGTCTGTGCGTTCCCTGTATTTGTATTTCACGGCCCACCACTCCCATAATCAAGTTAGAGTCGATTGTGAATGGAGGACTCCCTTCTATTTTACATTACGATTACCTTCTCTTACCACGGCGGACGTGGGACTGATCCTGGAAAAGAGGCACCGATCAGTGATCACTGACCTGTGATCAGATGGTCAGATTGTCATACAAAACAGAGTCTACCTAAGATATCATGCTTCAACCATTTCAGAGCGTCAGGGCCAATCATTTGTTCATCAAGTAGTGTGACATCCTCACGGACTTGGCGGAATAAACCTACAGTGTATACTGAACCATCCTGGGAACTTCCTCATCAAGGCTTTGGGTAGACCCTCAATTCTCGATCAGAAGCACCGGCCTCAGGATCAACTTCCATCCACCTCCAGTCAACTGTCTTTGTCTCTCAAAAACTGCGATACAGATGTTACTGGCAACTTCACTATTCTATTCTGTACACAGAACAGAGTGACCGCGTAACTGACCTTCCCAGTTCTGGAACAGTAGGGCCGGCCCGCGGGGAAGATCCACCAGCAAAGGCCTCCTGTGAGTCCTGTTGCTCATTTGTGGTTAGCAGTGGATGATAGATCCCCTCTTCTCTCTGTAAGTCTTTATTTACTACTTACTAACCACAGTAGTATCTAGTGGGTGCAGTACATAGACTCAAGTGGAGGACTGTTAGGATGTCCATACTGCTGCGGAAGCAGCACGGATGCACGAGAAGAGCACAGACAAGATCGGATTCGATCTGCTACTGGCAGCAGGCAGCACAGACATTACAATCATGATCAATCGCATTGCTTTTGTGCATGCTGCATAATCAACTTGGCAATGTGTGATGGCGTTTATTTTCTTTTTTTTGCCTGCTTTCCATCTCTCCCCTTATTAGTTTGCCTGGCCGCCGGGACACTCCCCTGGAGCTCCCTTACTGTCTGACCATCGTGAGCAGGTGACTCTTCAACCAACCCGCTCTAAACCCCATTAGCATATTGGAACACTAGCCCAGAATTATTGCGACTGGAGAGTAATATACTTTTATCCGGTTTTGAGCTCTAAACTCGAATAAGGCATCACTGCCTTGCTGCGCGGAGCTCGGAAGATTCATATTGCCAGTCTCCTAGGTAGGGAGGACCTTCTTGGAGCAGCCAAAGGTATCGAGTCGGCTTCCGTCAATCTGGTTCTCATGCAGAGAGACAAGGCGAGCTTGGGTCGAAGTGTTATCTTCCCCTCGTTTCCTGGACCACTTGGCTGACCTCGGTCGTAGGCGAATACCAATTACCATGCTTTCTCATGTCAATCCTAATAATTGCGCCGTATCTACCTTCCTGCAAAGCAGGGTGACCACCTTTTACCCGCTACGGAGTTGCAAGTATACCCATCTGTATGTCCTGCAGATCCCGCTGCACCTGAGGATCGGTATCAGGGGATTGCACTACTGTACCTTCGTCGCTGGCATAGGCTCGTGTTACCACCTAATCGTATCTACCATTAACCGTCTCTATCGACAGTTCGGTATTCTTGATGGAGCAACAAATCCCGTACATGCACCCCATAACCCCCCCCCCCCCTGGCTGACTTGTTGGTTTCCGAATGGTGATCCAACACTGGCATCGGCCGAAAGAAAAAGAGAACAAAAGGGACAACAGCATCGTGTCCTGAATGCTCGCCTCACCAGATATTCTCCCAGCGCCACGAACTGGGCCGATCTACATCCACCTAGCACTGACATCCAGGAAACGTGCACGGGTAGCGGTGTTGAGGCCCACTTTCTGCCAGCAACCCTATTCCATCAACCTGGCTGCCGGCCTATTGGCATCCAGCATGGCAACATGGCACGTCTCTATTCCCAGAGCCAAAAGATGAAACAAAGAGAGAGACCCCACAGCCCCCAATACAGCAAGTATGACTCACTCTTCTCGAAGAATTGTCGTCGATTTGGTTTCCGAATGAGGAAGCACGGCGACGTCGGTTGCTGCTTCAGGAAGCAGACATGATACTAGCAGTTTGGCCCGGCACTGATATACACTCTACTTGCGATCAAGTGACGCGATGGTTCGCTTGCTACTCCATTAGATCGCTACCGCCGGCCACCACCATCATTCTCTATGATTGTGCCACGCTTCTCCAATCTTCGTGCGAGCAATCGCAACAACAATTCCGATGAAATAGGACTTGGAGCCGTGATGCAACACCTCATGACTCTATCTTTAAATTGCAAGAGGCGAAGAGCTAAAGATACCCTTCAATCATCGCCGAGGACTTCCTGGCATGCTGTCAGCAATAGCACACCCTCAGAATACCGCCATTGAGGCCCACTCGCTTCAGACACTCAGCAATCAGGTTCCAGTTCCAAATGGAGAATATGAGATTCATTCCTGATTGAGCTAGACATCTCACCATCGCCTCCTTGACATGCAAATCGAAGCATATATCCACTCGATTAATCCAGCCATTCGCCGAGAACCAGGTGAGTTTCATACCAGCCCCTGAAACACACGTGCAATTCAGCATTCCCAGAGCCCATCGGGTCTCCATCTCTTCTCGCATCTATCACAAGCATAGGCCTGTCCGGAGAGCATGGCGATTTTCCTTTCTTGGGAGCCGGTTGATGACGCTGGCGGAGATTTGCCTTTCTGGCGGTGTACAAGCGCGCTTGACCCAATTGTAAAGCGAGAAGGAGACGCAGTGGAGAGCCTGAAATTGCGATGGAGTTTTTTTTTTTCTTTGTATTTGATATCTTTTGACGAAAATTGTCATTTCCTCTAGACCAGGTAGTATTCTGTCGTGATGGAGTCTTGTTATGACAATACCTCGGAATGATCTGATGTCCAGTGTTAGTTGTCTTGCTTGCAATGCTACTTAGGTACAGGAAGGAGTGGGATGTTGGACTAATCGGATGCACGCAACTCAGGCTACGTGGTTATTCACCTATTGGATTTCTTTTTGTAAAAGTACCGACTGTGCAGTATCTGCTATTTTCAGGAGATATGACTCATGGCTATGGGTGGTTACTACGAGATTCCGATTTCGAGGTTCACCCAGATCCCCCCCGTCAAACGGCCAACCTAGAGCAGATCAGTTTGACAGTTACAGAGCAGCGATTAAGCATATTACCGAGGGAAAAAGCAGACAGGGATGCTGAGGAGCTTAGACGTCTCTAAGCATTAATTCTCTATGAGATCAAAGAAAAGTCTAGCCAGAAGGCTTCAACGACACCGTTTGGCAGACTTGAGCCATCCGACCTCACGTCTAGCATAGACATCTACAACCAGCTTCTACAGCATCATCTACCGAAAGGATGCCGATTGTCACCCTGCTCTACGTCTAGAGGCATGACAGAAGTTTCCCTCCACCACTTTAGAACAGCATCAATATCCTCAGCGGTAAGCTACCATCCCTCCATCCCCCAAGAGCCAGCATAGAAGCAACCCATCAGACCCCCGATGTTAGTAGGACCACCAAGACCTCAAACCGACACCTGCCATACTCCCAGACGCAGACGCAGACGCAAACACAAAACGCAGACATACACCTTCACAGGAAGAATAAAAACATCGGTGTGGGGATGAAAACGCTCCCAGACCAGATGCCCCCCCCAGCATCACAACGCAAGGCACTCAACTAGGCGGGTGCTCAACAGACTACGACTATGGGCCATGGGATCATCAGGCACAGCACCTCCGATTCTCGTCTTCACCGTAGCATAAACCTCCCCCCCCGTACAGGATAATCCACCTCCAGTACCCCGGTCCGGTCCGCATGCCATACAGACCGAAGAGAGCAAAGATACCGACTTTTTGCTGGATGCTGTGACGCAAGTCCCTCGCCTCACATCACATCTCAACTCCCCAAATAGGCCAAGAACGTTTGAAGTGTGTCTGTTTCAGGGGCGATAAGGTACTGGACTTGTTTTGGCCAGTGCGCTTCCACGGGGAAGTGCCAACTGCCAACGGTGATGCTGTCAGCGCCCTGCATTATTGTTGCGGATTGCATAGTTAGAGGAGGGAGGAGGAGGAGGAGGGGGGGGATCCGCATGAGTGGGGCAGTCGGATTTACTTCCATGATTTCCATCGGATGTCTGTCGTTTCTTCCAGAGTCCACACTTGGGTACCTGACGTACTGCCTAGACTAGTGAGGATTAGGGAGACCTTAGTAGTAGTAGTAGTAGTAGTAGTAGATAGTACGGTGACTACGGTCTTTGTTGCTGCTCCTGCTGCTGCTGTGACTCATTTCTTTGCATGGTATTCCAGTCGGATGGGTAGTAGCCAGTTCCCCAGGATTAGGGAAGAGCGTGGAGATAGCAATAAGCGAGTCTACCATGAGCGGATTCCGAATATTATCATGACAAGGAGGGAAAGTAGAGAACCGCGACAAGTCATTAAACAATAACAATGCAGTTCATTGTTGCTATCTACTCATAAGAATATCGAATAACCCTACCGACGCAGACTCGGAAAGCAATTTCAAAAAGCAAATGCAGCCAAACCAACCCAATTCTGAAGCATGAAAAATTCCATCCAGCACACTATGGGTATCATCCTTCCTCCTCCCCCGCTAAACAAGACGCTGCGTAACGCATAAGATGAAAGACATGGTCGAACAACTATTACGTTGGTCAAGGTGATGATGTCGGTCACGTCGTCCGTGACACCCTCAGTGAGAATCACCGAGTCTCCATTTACGAAGTGGCTTGCGCGTATGTGCAAGTGAGTGTTAGCATATACAGTCTAGACGCGGATGAAGTCCTCCTGCTGGAAGAGCGTCGGATCGCCGCTGTCAGCTCCTTCAACAAATTCCGGTTCATCCTCAAGCGCGTCCGAGTCGACATCATCAGAATCAATGGCGTCATACTCTTCTCCCTCGCTTGATTCATCAGACTCTTCGTCGTCCGCAGCTTCTGACTTGATGGACGTGTTCTTCCGGATCTGTCCAGCCCGGTCAACATGAGGCAGACGACAGCGCTTTTTGTGGCAAACGCCACTGTTGGCATAGTCTGGGCATTCATGAACATGTCGTTCCTCGCATTCAGCGCCCTTCTCACAATACCCTAAGGTTGCAAAGGCTCTGCAGACTGGTGCGCCAGGTGTCACCCGAACATGGGAATACCGGCAGTCTGGATTCGAACAACGATTTCTGAGGAAATGCACGCAGGCAGGGGACCTGTGGGGAGATGATTCATGGGAGAGGTCGCAATCCAAACCTGCGCTGCATGTACCAGTCTGTAGGAAATCTTTGCATATGGCAACCTTGTTTGGGTCGTGGATATAGGGACAATAGGGGCCTTTGACACAGGTACCTAGTATCGAAAGAGCAGGTTAGTTCTGACCAAACACTCGAGGGAGGCGAAAGACAAAGACTAGGATATAGCGGGCAGAAATGTGTAAGGGAAGAATAGGCATAGGCCGAAGCCTGGTTTGAGGGAAGTTATGGTACCCGTCGAGGTAAATCTTTTGCAAAGCTCGTTCTTCTTCCTGACTGCTGCTGGCTTTCTGTGATTACTGTGAGTCTCCAATCCTTCATATAGAGTGACATCGTAGAACAGCACCTTTTCGAAGTAACCGCCCCAAGACGATGAAGATTGCCGTTCTTGCTTCGGACAAAAACCACGCCGGCAACTGTGACTTTCTTTGGCGTAATATTGGCAGTATTCGGATCATCTACAAACTGTAAGCCGATTCTTTCAACCGTGCTATGTCCAAGAGTGTTCGCACCAGATACTCGAACCAGCTTGCTGCCGCCTTTGCTGATTCGGAAAGGAATATCGTTCAGATAGACCAGATATCCGCCCTGCGGTTGAGCAGTGGCGGGGACCTGAGGAGCGATAGAACCGCCATCATATGGTCTGCCGAAACCCTGTGCGTAACGAAGAACTTTCGCCTGCTCAACCCGTGTCTTTTTCGCGGTCTTAGCCTTGCGAGTCTCTTCCATAGCCTTTGCTCTTGCCTGCGCCTCCTTGTCGTATATGGCCGAGTTGATCAGCTGCATGTGGCGGTCGCGTTTCGCAACCCACCCGTTCGGCGTCGCCGATCGCGAGTCAGTCTTGGTGTCATTCTCGTGTGCCGGACCTGGTGTTGGACTGGCGGAGTTGCTAGGCGTCGCGTTATTAAGGACGAGGGTACGGTGGCGATGGGGAGCTGCGGGACGTCCTCGTCCATAAGGTCGGCCGCGATACGGCGCCCACCCCGCACGCGCCCGTGTGTGTCGCGATACGTACGGAGCAGCGTGAAGCTCGCTATTTGAATTTGCCTGGACTTGAGGCGTTTGGTTCTTGTGTCTGTTGATCTGGCCTGGTTTGGATTAGCTACAAGTGCTTCTGTGAGCGGTATTTATATGGCAAGAGAAGAACTCACCAGCAAGCTGGCTGATCTTCGCCATCAACTCCTGGTCTTCTGTCATGTTGGCCTAGCTGTATCAGGGGTGAACGTAGTTAGTCGTCCGCATTCAATGAAGACTGGTGTCTCTACTATGCAGATGAGACAAATAGATGCAGGAAGCTGTGTTGTTGTTCTCAGTATGGAAGGACCGAAGCTGGTCAATCTGTGGCGGTAATCTTGTCACGTGAGTAGTAGCTACTATGTCAAATGCGAAGCTTCACTTTCTTCACTCAAAGTGCAGCCTTAGAATATGGAATAGTTATTGAGTGGAAGGCATTCCTTTAATTTTGTAAAATACTGTAAACTCAATCTGGTTTATTCACATCTCTGAATAGTGATATATGAAACCTGGGTAGATAACTCCAAACATCCTTTACATGTCACCCAGAAACCCAACAACGCCAGAACCCTGCTTTATGCTACATTGATATTCACCTTCTAGACAACAGTTTCAAATTGCATCTCATCGTTATCTGTAACCATGCCGGAAGCATTGGCATCTTCTTCGGAGCCCTCGTCAAAGTTGTAATCAGTCCCGGGAGGAAGCTCCTCTTTCGCATTGCCGTAGGACATCGCATTCGCGTAGGTGCTTTCCACCGCCTCGGGTTTCAGTTCCCAGGTCATGGCAAAATCGCCGGACTTGACCAGGTGCGCAACCATCTCCAGAGTCTGCTTGAGATACGCCTCTGGCTGTTGAAGTCGCGCCTTGAGGGTCTTAAATGGCCAATACTTGTATTCGCGGAAGCACTGGTAGATAAGATCCAAAAGCTCGTTCTGGGGCATACGGGTGGTCTTGTTTTCTTGCGTTTTCGCCTTGGCTGTTTTCGCAGCTTGCTGTATTTTGAATCAGTACAAGGCGAAGAAGAAATGAATAACCAAGGAGGCATCGTCGACTTACCACGAAGGCACCCTTGTCTCCCGGCAGCGCATTTCTCGCACGGAGAAGCTTGCCTGGCACCTTGTCAATGAAGACAGTCTCGCGTTTCGGTTTGAGAGCCTCGAGGGCCTTCTTTTCCGATAGCAGTCGGAATTCCTCGTTTTCGACTGGAAGGCAGTTGAACTCCTCATTGACACCGCCCACGAGAGCGGTTTGTTCTGTCCAAAGTCAGCTGGATCCTATGGTGTGACCCGAATCGGGGGTACGTACTCGGTATTGTCTTTCTAACGTAGGGCTCCCATTTCTTCTTGCGCTCTTTTTTCCTCGCATCGCGCTTCATAGCTTCGTACAGCGCTGACCGGGCTTCGCCAAAAACCACCATGCGGTTCTCATGACCGGGCAGATCCTTCTCTGTGAATAAATATGTGTTTTGTGTTGCATGTGATGTTATAGTTCCAGTATCGATGGTCTGGCGCTGCAGAATGTAGTCCTTAGGAATATCGTGGTTATCTTCTCGTTCGTTGATACGCAAGCTGACCTGAGGAGCGCATAGAATCAGTGAACCCGGATCGCGCCAATACGGACAGGTGTGCCGAATCTATTCAATCTTACCCGTTTGATATCGTTCGGTTTCCCCTCTATTCTCATTGTTCCAATCTGAATCTCTTCATCGTCGTCGAGGCTCGCCCAATGTTCCCAGAGTGTGCGGGGAATACGTGACAGCCACACGTTCTGTGCGGCGTTCGTAAAGTCCAAATCCCCATCATCGTCAAAAATGTCTTCGTCGATATCCTCGAGAACCGCGTCTTTGTTGTCAGGGTCCGGTTTGATGTAAGGCGTCGGGGCGTCTGGCTCCTGCTTGACTTGAGCGAACATGATGCGGAATCCTCCCCAAATAAGCACGAAGGTCTCTCAAAGTCCTCGACCTAGCAGTAAAAAATCATGCGACCGTGTACGATGAGCTGAATGTGTAACTTATTGAAGGTTCGATGGGGTATTGGTGTCTCAAGTGACGTGATGTTGTAGCTTCTCTGCCATGCAGCCGCTGAGAGTAAGAAAGCTACCGAGGAGCGGGTCCGCGAAGGCGGTGGCGTTACTTCATTCAACCACAATCAGTCGATGTGTTAAAAGAAACAAACACCTCAATCAGCATTTCAGCATATCTACACTGCAGAATATTTGGCATCGCCATATGGATAGCTTTGCACCAAGGTGTCTCAATTCTCCAGAAAATCTGAAATTTGGAAGAATAATGATCAGTCATGGTTGGTAGGATAGGCATGAAGACGCCATGTTGAACACCACACCAGCACTGTGGCATTCCAGCAATGATGTTGGGCTTTGCATGATCTCCAAGGGACAGAACTTCCGCTGCTCTGGTCCTGCTGCTCTCTTTTCCCTCGGGAATTAGGTGTCTTCAGTTTCCTTGCGTCAGGGCTGTTCACTCCTCAAAGCCACGGATGGATCGGGCATATCTTCCTGCTCGGAGCTTCAGGCGGGACCAGGCTAGTCAAGGCTTCAGAATATGAAGTATCTCAGTAGAGAAAGATATTATGTCTTCTCGTCCAAGTTGAGATAGCCACTGAAACGATGGCAATGCACCGGATGATTCTAGAATGTTTCACTTTCGACATCTCAGTATCAATGAGACAGTGCGCTCCAGTGGCTTTCTTATCTATTTGCTGCCTGTTTTTCCCTAGTGCTACAGACTGCATTAAAGGATATTAGAAACCCGGAGCGTGTCTACCTACAAGCGGGGCATATATTCATACTCATGCGTGATGCGTGCCGAATCATGACTTGAGCTTTTATTGATCCTTATCACCCTTATAATGTGGCTTTTGGGCTTAGGGAAATGCAACGGGACTTGTCAATGCTAGATACAGGATATGGCTACCCTCGTATCAAGAGGACGTATGACGGGAGCAAATCTACTGTCGACTACTGCACCCAGAAAATCTGAGTCCCTACGTATGAGGAGTACACTGTTGAAGTAATCGATCTCGTTATTCTAGGACGTCAAATCTTCCAGTAGAGGTACCCAGTCGATCATTTCTTGGTGTCCATCCTCGCCATTGCGCTGGGGTCCCAAGCATCATCGTTGATCATATGGCCAAGAGGGCGTTATCGATAAGCGGAGCTTCCTCCACCTCCACTTTGTTCAGCCGAGCATCACTTTCAACCTGATCATCGATTCTGCTCTTGCCATCTGCTGCATTTAACAATACTCCATTGCTTAGCATAAATCTCTTATATCCATCTTATTGAATTTACAACCTCCCGCGAGTGAGAACCCGGCTCATGGCGTCGCAGAGAATCACCTCCGCTCTCGCGGAGATCGAGGCATCCAGCAATCCCCAGAACAAGCTCCCGCAGTACAACAACCTCCTCTCCGAAATCGTATCCACATCCTCCGAACACGAGCTCGGTCAGGACCTGATTTACTATATTGACTCGGTACTCAGCGAAGAAATCAGCATTGTAGCTGCGCGGCCGCTCCTCGACTCCTTCATCGGTGTCCTCCAGAAACTCTCACCAGAAACCCAGATCAAAGTAGGCCAGCATGCAGTGACGCTTCTTCAATCGCGCTCTTCCTCCGTCGAGGAGCAAGACTCACAGATCAGGGAAATCCTCGCCGATGCGTACGAGTCAGAGGAGGACTACACGGCCGCCGCGCGGGCGCTCCAGGGTATCCACATTGACAGTTCCCAGCGCCTTGTCTCGGACGCAGCCAAGGTGCGGTTATGGATTCGGATTGTACGATTATACCTAGAAGAGGACGATACCACCAGCGCGGAGGCCTTCCTGAACAGGATCAAAAACCTACCCAGCAAGATCGAAGACCAGGAGCTGAAGCTCCACTTCAAGTTGTCTCAGGCGCGGATCCTCGATGCCCGACGACGGTTCCTGGACGCGAGCCAGGAATACTTCAACGTCAGTCTGGCCGCAGGAGTTGATGAGAGCGATCGGCTACAGGCGCTTGCTGCGGCAATTCGATGCGCCGTCCTCGCCCCCGCAGGACCGCAACGCTCCCGGATCCTGGCTACGCTTTACAAGGACGACCGTGCGACCTCCGTCGATGAATTCGGAATCCTTGAGAAGATGTTCCTGGACAGGTTGCTGAACCCCGCGGAGATCGCCGCCTTCTCTGAACGGCTGGCTCCACACCAGCTCGCTCAAACGGCGGACGGCACCACGGTGCTCGACAAGGCTGTGGTCGAACACAACCTTGTCGCCGCCAGTAAACTGTACGAGAACATCACGACTGACGCACTGGGCGCTATTCTGGGGCTTACGGAGAGCGGGGACCTGACGGCGGGCGAGAAGGCGGAGGCTTACGCGGCACGCATGGTCGAGCAGGGCCGGTTGAATGGAAGCATTGACCAGATCGCGGGCGTGATCTACTTTGACTCGAGTGTGGTGGGGTCGGCGACTGCCCCGGGACGACATATCAGGCAATGGGATGCGGGGGTGCAGGGGCTCGCGGAGGATGTGGAACGGGTGGCGGCGAGTATCACGGACGCATTTCCGGTACGTGCGCTTCTTTCCTGTAGATGGGATTGGGCTAACTTTCTCTTGTGACTATAGGAATTTGCAGTCGGACAGATGGTGCGATGATGAGAGATGCAGGAGCCGCTATTTAATGAAGAATGAACGAGTGAATGTTATCTACAATTCTACGGATGTATGATGACAATGAACGCCCTTGAGGGATAAAAGTACATTTTGAATTCTGAGTATTAGTCCCTCGGTATATTATACGGCTGGGTGAAAGGAACGTAGGCGATGGCTGATATCATATTGCGTGTTGGTCACATGAAGGAAGGAACAGGAGAGAATGACTCGGTATTATCGAATGACAGTGGGATGGTTAAAAGTGAGTGAATGAGGAGATAAACTTGTCCATATGTATGTTAAGTTGATCATCTGTAACGCCCAACCATCGGTGTATGGCTGGCGCAGGGAAGAGACTGATAGTGCTTAGCACTCCAATCTAAAGCAGATGTGCAGAAACGACAGGAGTCGATACTATATCGTTCTCAGTTCGCAGTGCAGGGCTGATTCTTTGCTAAGACCTTCTCCCTTGGCTCCTCGCCGCTCGGGAGCGCATTTTTTCGGGGGGGTTGATCCCGGTCGTTTGAACCGCTAGCGAGGGATTTTCAACAGCCAGGCGCTCAACTGGGCAGAAAGATCAGTCTGTCAGTCGATGCTGAAGAAAGTGGGGGGGTTCTCCGGATGAGTAGAGTTTGTGTGAATCTATTGCAGACAGCCTCAAGTCGCAGACTTGAGCGACGCGGCGTCCTGGCTGATCTTGATATCGGTACGAACAGTGATTTCGTGGGGGTTGAGGTAATTCTCCGGCGGGACCTCAGTGTCAGTGGTTGCGCGGGAGATATGACCCTCCTCCATCTTGAAGTAGGCAGAAGCAGGGGACTTGGGGCTCGACTTGGCAAAATGCGAGCCACTGATATCAGTGTTGATGTAGTAAGGAATGGTGGTCTTGCGGCTACCGGCCAATTTCAGCTTCGGGAAGAGGCCACGGATGATGGGTAGACAAGAACAGATCAGACCAATGGAGGGCTCGACGTGCGTCCAGAGAGTGGCTTGGTAGACGGTGTAGGTGGTATCGTAGGGCTTGATCCAGAAGAGTACGACGATGCGGTAGATACTGGCGAAGCAGACGAACGTACCAAGAGCGAAAACGCCGTTCAAGGCGAGTTTGTCCTGCCAGGCTCTCTGCAGGCCCCAGATCATGGGGACAGGTAGGGCTAGGATGACGAAGTCCATGACGACGTTAAAGGCCTGGTTAACAATGAAAAACTCGTTTCCATCGAAGCAATGGCCATCAATTCTTCGATCCCAGTAGGCTCTGAGAGGACGGCACTGCAGAGCACATGCAAGGAAGATGGCTGCTCCCCAGGCAGCAATCAGATAACTGAGAGCAAGGGTCACGAGGTGGAATCTCCTTGTGTTGAACAGCCGACGGTAGAAGCAGATGATGGATATCTTGATGGCGGGACATAGGACGAAGTATGTGAACTGGTTGGCCAGGAAAATCTACAATAGACAAGTGAGCAAAAGGGTTAGGGCAAGAAAGCAGGGCAAGTGCGACATACCTTGCTAAAGTTCATCATGGTTTGCATATCCAAGTCCGCTTGATGCTGGCCGTTTCCTCCGATAGCAACCCCTGTGGCACGGTCAGCATTATGCAGGATCCATGGAGGAAAGGGGACTTACAAAGGATCAATTCGATTTCCATGGCAATCAACATAACAATGGATAGGAAGCAAAGATAGTCATCGGCGCCAAGCTTGACTCTTCTTTTTTTTCGAGCAACGACACGTAGTATGACGCTGATTACCGACAGTCCAACCAGCGTCGACACAATGGCTATCATGCTCTTTCCTCGAGAAGTGAGAGCCATTATGAGTGGGTTGTGAAGTAAGGAGCGACGAATAAAGACAAATCAAGACAAATGTTGGTAGAACGATGGAAAAAGTGAACTGTTGTCGGATTGGACACTGGTGCTTCGATGTGCGTATGGTAAGGTCTAAATATGCAAATAGATCTAGTACGCCTCATCAAAAGAATGGCAGGAGCAGCAATTAGAATGAGACCGGGTATAGCCCCAGGAAAACCAGCAGCCAATATCTCCACTGTACTCAGGCTGGAGGAAGATAAAGATCTTGCGAGAGAGAGAGAGAGAAGATCAGCCCACCGAATGAGGCAAAGTGTATTGTTTTATGTAGTCTATCTCATAGTCACCGATTGCACAGGGTGCAGACTGCAGAACCGTCGCAAGATGACCAGATGGAGCCAAGGGGTTCACAAACGGATCCCCAAGAACCAACGATATAGTGGCATTGGGGTATCATTCTCCTTCCTGATCCGGGTGGGCATGATTTAGATGACTTGCACCGGCGATCCACAAACTGACGAGAAGCACGCACGCACCTAATAGGTTTGATTATGTAGCGGATTCAAATAATGCATCATTCTAAGGTGGTAAAATCAGTAGACTGAAAAAGAGTTTGACCTCCCTGCTCTTAGAACAGTTGTGACTTGCGAGTTGCGACTGGACCGATTGAGTATCTGGCAGTGGAGCCCAGCACGATCTGATTTGTGACATGATAACATTCCTGGAGGAATCAAAGACAGGAATTGCTGATCTGATTTGAGATGATCACTCAAACCGCCCCTCCATTGAGACTAATAACCCAGTATCCTCGTGGCAGTGGATGGACTGAAGCGTGTTTTTTGGACTTATTTGAGAATGAGGAGATGCTCCATGGCTGCATTGGAGCGAGGATCGTCACGCAAGTTGAAAGTCTGCTGGGGGTCCAAATTCTTCATGGTTCAGACAATCAGATTGAATATGACTTTGCAGATCTGTATTGGTTCGGATTCCGAACAATTGATAACTTGCGTTATTTGCTCATAAGAGGGAGCTTTCTGGAAAAGCCGAAATGTCCTTACGATCCATGGAACCTGCATCAATATCAGACGTCGTCGTTCAATTCCCGCTATTCCGTGGATTCGCCATTGGTGGGAAGCTCAGGCGGAATTCAGGTTGCTTTACCAGCAACGTTCCTCCATGAGGTCTTCTTCCTCTGATTGGATTGGATAATCACCAACTTCATAGATGCGAAGAGTACCGCGGTTGTCTCTTCTCCAGCGCTGGATGACGGTCCTGCTGTGGCGAGACAAAAGAGCTAGAGACCTACAGTACTAGCAGCCTTCCAAAACAGCATTTCATTCTCCATGTTGGGAACTTGGGTGTCAATGTCAATGTATCTTTGATAAGGAGGCTCCGCCGTGATGACAATGGGATCAAAATCATCAAACTATGAGGCCGATGATCAACAATCTGCATAGAGACAGAAGAATCAATAGCCTCTGAGTGATTGACCCATTCGGCACTTAGCAGGGCCCATAGTCACTTCCATCCTTTCCCATGTGGCCTGAGAGTGAAGTCAATCTTATCTCCTTCTGGGTAAAGCACTCTCCAGTGCCACAGGCCCACAGCACGAGTCAAGAGGCAGCGGTTGCCCTGTCCACGTTCATCCGCCGTCACAGATCGATATGGCATTAATCATTGGAGAGTCGATTCAAAGAAAATCTTGGAGAAAGACTGTCTTCCCGGTTCCAAATCGCACTGTTTGCCCTCAAGTGCCTCAAGTTCTTCGACTCCACTAAGCGGGTCTCTATCGAACTTTGTCACTCGTCGTTATTCCCAATTGTCTCGGGATTTCGTGCTGCTTTTTTGAAGGGTTGAAAGCCTCAATAGCCATTGCTCACGAGTCACGACGGCGACTTACGCCATGTCTCCATCTAGAGTGGGGATTGGGGTCAAAATCATCCAGCTTCGGCAATCAATAACTTGCCGGGAACCGTGGATAAGGATGGCTTGCCCGGCATGATCGACGTCCAACGATACTAAAAAGGGTAATTCTCAGCTAACCTCAGTGAAAGAGGGACTAGGAGGAGGAGTTTGGGCTAGGAAAACACGACCACTGCGGAATGGAAATTCTCTCAAGACTCAAGAGTCAAGAACTCACAAATCAATAGTCTTGTAGGATCATTGGCTTTGACAAGGAATCATGCGTTCTATGGACGGCGCTTGACAACTCGCTGCTGTGGAATGCAATCCGTAGACTCCATGTTAGCGATGTTGTTGGAGAATGGAAAGATGACATGCATATCGCACAGGGAACTTGGAGAGCAGTGCTGCAGCGCCAGCAAGAGCCCACATGCCACGGTGCCTTGCAGCACCCTGGAGTACAGAACTCACAGCCAAGATGGGAGTAGCAACTCGTGTCCTCGTTTGTAAACTACTATCCAGCAGCGAGGTTGGAAAGCCATGAATGGCTGGTTTTGGAGTGACTCCCATGTTTTGACCCTCAAATCAGGGATTGGATTATTCCTATGGAGTACTCCATATACATGGTATGTTTCTCATACTCGGCCCATCTGCCCCTCGACCACTCCATTGTCCAGCACTTATTTATTATCCATCGGTCGATCTCTGATTCAGGAAATCCATGTCATCCTTTATTACACATACTTAGATTTATACGACATTTTGTTTTGATTGAAGTTTTTTGCTACCTTTTTCCTTCTATAGCACACCAATCTCCAGCCGTTCTACAGAATGGCCTCACCAAACGATGCGGACAACGCACCCACCCCTCCATCAGTGATCCCCCTGATTATCGACGGCAAAGAGGAATTCACCCCTTCTACTTTTGATGTGATCAGTCCTTATACCAATGAGCCCTGCTGGGTAACATCCAGTGCCACTCCCCAGGACGCCATCCGCGCCGTTGAGGCCGCCGAAGCAGCGTTCCCCGCATGGTCGCAGACAAAGCCCACTGTTCGCAGGGATATTCTGCTCAAGGCAGCGGATATTTTAGAGACTCGCTTAGTCCAGAATGCGGAGTACATGCGCACCGAGATGGGCGCGGATGTCGGCGCATCGCAATTCTTTATCGCTCCGCTGGGTATTCGTATGCTAAGGGAAGTTGCGGGACGCATCACTTCGATTTGCGGAAGTGTTCCTGTTGTTGAAGAGGAGGGCCAGAGTGCGATTGTCTACAAGGAGCCTATGGGCGTGATTCTCGGAATTGTACCATGGTATGCTTGTTCTCAGGGAAGAGCATTTCTTGCTTTCTTGACTCCTACTCACTATAGGGAATGTGGTATTATAGGAATGCGCCGTATGTCTTTGGGATTCGATCTGCGGCGTGCGCACTCGCTGCTGGCAACACTACTGTCTTGAAATCTTCCGAACTCTCCCCTTGTTCATACTGGGCGATTGCTCGCGCCTTCGTTGATGCTGGGTTGCCCGCAGGCTGCTTCAACCTCATCTCGTGCCGTCCTCAAGATGCCGCTGAAGTTGTCAACGCGATGATTGAGCATCCGGCTGTGCGCAAAATCAACTTCACCGGCAGTACGGCGGTGGGAAGGAAGATTGCCCGAGCCTGTGGTCAAAATCTGAAGCCTTGTTTGATGGAGTTGGGAGGAAAGAACAGCGCCATTGTCTGTGAGGATGCGAATATCGAGACCGCGGTCAAGGCGGTGCTGGCCGGCGCCTTCTTGAATGTGAGGACTTCGTCTCCACCTGGGGCTTTTTCTGCTTCGATCAACTGACATCTTCCATTACTTAGTCTGGCCAAATTTGCATGTCCACAGACAGAATTCTGGTCCACTCGTCCATTGCGCCGACCTTCATGGATGCGTTGAAAAAAGCTCTTGACTCGAACCTCGATCCTTCAGCTCCTCCCCCCACCTTGGTGAACGTTGCCTCAAAAGCGCGCGTGGGAAATCTGATTGATAAAGCCCTCGCGTCCGGCGCTCACATGATTCACGGTTCGGTTGAGAAGACAGTCGGGGTATCAGGAGTGCGCATGGCACCAGTACTTCTGGGCGGGGTGAAGGAAGACATGGAGATATGGCAGGAGGAGGCGTTCGCCTCTGTCGCATCATGTATGGTCGTCAACAGCGACGAGGAAGCTATTCGGATCGCCAATGGCAGTGGATATGGACTGTCCGCGGCGGTGTTCACTGAGAACCTGAGAAGGGGACTTGCGATCGCCAAGAAGATTCAATCAGGGTAAGTTATTTCTCATTCCATATGCCGCTAGTTGTCTGGCTAATCGGTCGCAGCGCAGTACATATAAACAGTATGACGGTCCATGACGAGCCCGTTCTCCCACATGGTGGAGTTAGGAACAGTGGATGGGGCCGATTCAATGCTGCTCAGGGACTTGAGGAATTCCTCGTTACCAAGAGCGTGACATGGATGGATTGATTGAAGGAAAATCGCGTGAATAGCAGCGTTATGTATTGATACCATTTGACTTTTCTTTTTGTTGTAGGCCCTCGAGGCCTCGAGTAGCCCATCCGTCCAATGTACAAGGGACCAAAGTACTCCGATGGTTCTGAAACCAGAGGCATATTCATGTACTCTCAGTCTCTCAGTCTCACTAGATACATTCCGACTTCCGAGTGAACCTTTCCGAGTCCACCGTAGCTCTCTACCAGTAGCAGGATTGCGGAAGAAACCCCAGCGCACAACAACTGGGGAATCCTGCCGAGTGCCGACAATATCCGTCAAGATCTATCGGCCGACTCATTCACACCAGCCCGAGAAAAGCGTTTGGTCTAGTTTCCTGAGTACTCTCAAGTCTCAACCTCGAAATCTGGCTTGGGAGATATCATACCGAGTCAGACGCGAAGCGTTTCTATCTGCGATGTTTCTATATTGCTATAATTATCCAAAAGCTATACAATCAGACCTGAAATCATAAACATTAAGTCCAGGTTCTTGTTACTGAACATCTTCCACGAAGATCGGCTGTTGAGTACCCAAAATGGAAACTTCAATGAGCGGCCTGATTATGTCAGGTACTTGGTTCGGATTTTGAAACCCCGCATTTGATTGGTGGCAGATCCAGTCTATGAGGTCATTTCCTGGCAGATCAAAAAGGGACAAATCAAGTTGCCGAGATGTGTCCACGTGATCAATTGCCATGATCCAAAGTTCTCTCTGTATTGTAAGTGCGCCGTATGATCTTTGCCATTATTATGTACAGCGTGGAATGTTGAGCTTACTCTGTAGAATTCTTAGGGTCAGGTCGTAGATGCCGTCTCGAAAGACGTTTGTCTGGGGACATAGGGCGGTTAAATGGTTGATCTAGGCATTGCTTGGTATCCCGTGTTCTCCATAGTGGTGAGGACGGACTGAGGAGATCATACCATATTGGAGAACCGTCGATGCTCGGTCCGAGGTACATGACGAATGCATTTTTTGCTATCTGCCGCTTGGCTGCAAGGTTGCATTGCATAATTATTAGATGGAGTACTAGTTAACTGGCATAACAATGGTCTACTAGCTTGGTACAAGGCAGGACTTGGCAGACAATCGGACATGATAGAGATCTATAGCTTCCTCTGTAGACGTACAAATTACGACTAGATACCTAGGTATGGAATAGTGGAATTCACGTTGCGCTTTCTATTACCCACGGCCACCGGCCACCAGTTATGGGGACAGTCCACATTTTATCGAACTGTTGCACCCAACAATTCAAGCAAGTGTCATTATTATTAGCAAGCAGTCAACGGCCCAAAACTCTTAGCGAACTACTCTAAACACATTCTCCATCAAGAGTAGCACAAAAAGAGGTTAGAAATAGTCGTACTAGTTGACAGCTGACTTTGCCCATACAGAGCATGTGAGAGTTCCTTGAAACTGGGGTATGAGGAGGAAGATGTGGGGGAGCAGGATCAAGCCTATAGAGTACAGAGTACAGAGTATGGAGTACCTAAGGTACGGAGTAGGTCAAATACTCCGTAAGTACCAAGGTAGCTAGTATCTATCTGGTGACTCCAGATGATGATTACATGGCCTGAATTCTTGTTCGCTCCTGAGTCTGTAACTTCAGCATGTGATAGACAGTTAACTGCAGGGATAGTTATGATGATGATGAGATACACGTGTGTGTATTCACTCTGTTTGGACTTCCATTTTTACTGTAAGATATGTAGATGATGGAGATGTCAAAAGGACAACTGAACCTCATTATCCACAGTCAATAATGAGCATGAACAAACCAGAAGGACTCTAATTCAGCATTACTCCTTCTAGACCCATCTCATCCATCATCCATCATCAGCCCACCCCCATAGGTTAGCACCAGAAATGGAGTCTTTCGTCGGTCGGATATCAATGGATGGATGTCAAGACTCAAGACTAAGGTAGGTAGATGGGTCTGTAAGGTATCCGCAATACGATACATACTGTCTGTGCCTCGGCCGAATAAAGCGACAAGCCAATGCTCTGTCTGTCCTGTCGGCTTCTGAACTTCTCCCCCGGATCTCTCTCTCTCTCTCTCTCTCTCTCTCTCTCTCTCTCTCTCTGCTTCTCTCATACTTTAAGAAGATCTCGCCCATCTTCCCTCCTGGATTCACCTTCCTCTCCCTCTTTTGAAACTCTATCCCTCATTCTCTTCTTTCCGTTGTTGTTTAGTTTCATCTTTCCCATATACACATCAAGATGGCCACTTCCCCCAGAGTCATCGTGGTCGGTGGTGGATGTAAGTGACAGCTTTCCCCGCATATCGTATCGGCTGTGGTCCGCGCTCCTCTTGCTGACCATTACCTCGTCTCTCAGTGTCCGGCCTCAGTGCCGCCCACACCGTCTACCTCAACGGAGGCAACGTGCTTGTTCTTGATAAGCAGGGTACGTGTCGGTCTCTTTTGAGAATGACGAACCATCCAGACTAATTGGATCAGCCTTTTTCGGTGGTAACTCCACCAAGGCTACCTCCGGTATCAACGGTGCCCTCACCCGCACCCAGGTCGACCTCGGAATCCAGGACAGCGTGAAGATTTTCTACGAAGATACCCTTAAATCCGCCAGAGACAAGGCTCGTCCGGAGCTGATCAAGGTCCTCACATACAAGTCCGCTGCTGCGGTTGAGTGGCTGCAGGATGTTTTCAACCTTGATCTCACTCTCGTTTCTCGTCTTGGGTGAGTGGTCTCTACTTCTCTGGCGCTTTTTTTCTGGAATTTTTCCATCGTGCTAATGTATTCAAAGTGGTCACTCCCAACCCCGCACACACCGTGGTCACGATGCCAAGTTCCCCGGTATGGCCATCACATATGCTCTCATGCAGCGGTTAGAGGAGCTCAGCGAGAAGGAGCCCGAGCGTGTACAGATCGTCAAGAAGGCCCGTGTCACCTCCATCAACAAGTCTGGAAACACAGTGACTGGTGTCACTTATGAGTTGAACGGCGAGACCCAAACCGCTGACGGTGTGGTTGTCTTGGCTACTGGTGGTTATGCTGCCGACTTTGGCGATGGCTCTCTGCTGAAGCAGCACCGTCCCGATACTTTTGGCCTGTCCAGCACCAACGGTACCCACGCCACCGGTGATGGCCAGAAGATGCTGATGGCCATTGGTGCCAACGGTATCGACATGGACAAGGTCCAGGTTCACCCCACGGGTCTGGTTGACCCCAAGGACCCCAACGCCAAGTTCAAGTTCCTTGCCGCTGAGGCCCTCCGTGGCGAGGGTGGTCTGCTTCTCAACTCCGATGGACAGCGATTCTCTGACGAGCTGGGCCACCGTGACTACGTCTCGGGCCAGATGTGGAAGGAGAAGGAGAAGGGCAAGTGGCCCATCCGCCTGGTCCTCAACAGCAAGGCCTCCAATGTTCTGGACTTCCACACCCGTCATTACTCCGGCCGCGGTCTGATGAGAAAGATGACTGGTAAAGAGCTGGCCAAGGAGATCGGCTGTGGTGAGGCTGCTTTGAAGAAGACTTTCGATGAATACAACGCCATTGCCGATGGCAAGCAGAAGGATCCCTGGGGCAAGCGCTTCTTCCATAACCTGCCTTTTGAGATCAACGATGATTTCCACGTTGCTCTCATGGAGCCCGTGCTGCACTTCACCATGGGAGGTATCGAGATTAACGAGCACGCCGAGGTCTTGAACTCGGAGAAGGCTCCCTTCGACGGCCTCTATGCCTGCGGTGAGCTTGCAGGTGGTGTTCATGGTGCCAACCGTCTCGGCGGCTCTTCCCTGCTGGGCTGCGTCGTCTACGGTCGTGTTGCCGGTGACAGTGCTAGTGAGTACCTGTTCAAGAAGCTGACGTCCGGCTCCACTGCCCAGCAGCGTCTGGGCCAGATCTCTCTGCACATCGATCCTTCCACTCCGGGCAAGATCTCCGTTGAATGGACCGGTGCTCCTGGCGGTGCCGGTGGCGCCCAGCTCCCCGCTGCCTCTGCTGAGGCCATACAGACTGGCGGCTCTGGCGCTCCCGCCCCTGCTGCCGAGGCTTCGAAGCCCAACGACATCTCCAACTTCAAGATTCCCGAGAAGGAGTACTCGATGGAGGAGATCGCCAAGCACAACAAGAAGGACGATCTCTGGATCGTCGTCAAGGGCGTCGTCCTGGACGTGACCAACTGGCTCGACGAGCACCCCGGCGGTGCTAACGCTCTCTTCAACTTCATGGGCCGTGACGCCACAGAAGGTATGTGCATGCCCTCATTCTTTCCTCACCCATTCCAGCCTCTAACAATGTCACAGAATTCGCCATGCTTCACGACGACGAGGTCATCCCCAAGTACGCCAGCCAGACCGTCATCGGCCGCGTCAAGGGCCAGACCCCTAGCCTGGAGTTCTAAGCCCCTGCGAATATAGATGTGGAAACGAAATTTGATCCTTTTGTTATATCCGGGGGGGGGGACAAAACTCCCTTACCATCCCCCTTCCCCCTCCAATGATACCGCTGATTTGATACATACCCCTGCTTGAAGCCCTGTCTATTTTGTGCCCGCCGTTTATGTCATGACATGCCGGGGTGGAATGCCCGCTTGCTTTTATGTGATTTAGTCTTGGTCTGTATGATATAAATATGGATATCTTGAGATTCTCATCTGCTCGTAGTTTAATTCGTGTCTTGTAAGATTGGCTGATGACCCGTAATACTATGCAGCTCGTTCTATCCTATTCAACCTGCATTCTATTGCAAACACAACTACTTCCCAACTAACCAAATATGTATATATATAATATATATATATAAGTCCTACCACCAGTTTATCTTTGCATATGCCCCAAAATCATCTTCAACCGCCGAACCGCCGGCCCATCCTCCACCAGCGCATCCCGCCCCTGCTCCTTCGCCACCTCGATCTCCTCCGCCGCCGCCTCCAGCGTCGGCCGCAGATACCCCCACACTTCATCGTGGTACCTCTCCTCCACGGCAATCCAGTCGGCGGCACCCGGTAGATTCGTCAGGACGGCGTCCCGCAGCGCGGTCACGTCTGTGGCTATGCTGGCGGGCACGCTGTCGAGGATGGAATCGATGTCCGGGACGAGGCTGAGCGAGGTGAGTCTGTGCGGTTGGTGCGCGGGGGTGGAGGGATCGACTGTGGCGGAGCGGCGGAAGGAGTCGAGCATCTCGATCTCGGAGGAAGTTAGTTGCGGGGGGAGGGGGTCGGTTTCGACGGGCTCGAAGGGTTCGTCGGCTGTTTGGGGGAAGTCTGGGTTGAAGGATGGGGAGGAGAGGAGGGAGATGACGGCGGCGCCGTCGGTGGGTAGGGTCGTTGCGGTCGTTGGGAGGGATGATTGCCATGTGTGGGTGTGGTGTTCGCTGTCTGCGTGGGCACTGGTAGATGAGGGCTCGTTTGTTGAGGTTGATGTAGAGTCGCTAGCTTTTCCTTTTCCTTTTCCTTTTACTTCCTGGCTGTCGATGCCTATCGCGGACGCGGAGAAGTCGATGTCGCTGCGTAAATGCGGTTCGTCGTATGTGCGCTGGAACTCGTCCTCGGTGAGTGGGGGCAGCTCGAAGGCACCGTGCTGACCCGTTGATGCCGATCGAAACGAGTCTGCCGGGAGATGTGCGGATTGCCCCCTCGTCGACGAGGCCGGCGCAGTAGTATCCCTGTGTTGGTCTACCGCTGCGAGGGCTGCGGTCGCTGGCGACGACGGGCCAGCTTTGCTGCCGCCGCCGAGGACTTGAGCTGCATTCGCCGAGGGCCCGGTCGCGGAGAAGGCACTTCTTGCCAGCCCCGAGGCCGAGCTTTGGATCCGACTGGCGAGCGACGGGGAGCTCTGGTTTTCAGTGGTATCTTTGCGCGAATTGGCCTGTTTGCTGGGGTTGCTGGGGGGTTTCTCGCCCGTGCCCCGCTTCTCGCTGCTGTCGGACATGTCGATGGCGGGGGGGTTAGCTGTGTGACGTTTATTGCACAATGCACATCAAGTGGTTGCTTTTTGACGCACGGCGGAAATTAAATCCTGGTCTTGGGGTAAGTCAATCGGAAGAGAATCCTGATAGGAATTCATGAAGTAGAAGTCGATTGTGACACTTGAGAAGGCCATCGTCTGGGCCGTCGGCTCAATGGCGTCGGAATGGACAGGAAGGCATGTGAAGAGCCTCAGGCCAACAACAACTGAGGGTGAGGGAGGGCAGCCAGTAGATAAATCCCATAGTTTGCAGACAACAATTCTTGGACGTGAGTTTCTAATGGGTTCCTTCGTGTAATTCAACGACCAAGATCATTCAACAACATGATTATGTGGTGGCATAAGTATGCATTAGGTCGTCCCCATGTGGGCTGGCTGGATCAAAGGGTCCACGATGATAAGAAGCAGCAGCACGAACAAGCTCATGGGAATGTCAGGAATGCACGCCGTTCCTGGAAAATGAGATCAGGAATGACACCAGACTGATCGATATCATTCTTGACCTTGACAATCATGAGCTCAACCACACCTTGTGAACAATAACAAGATACCCTTCATAGTAGCAGAGACTTGTAGAGTTACAGCGCCAGTAAAATGGTTGATGTCAGTAGTAGTAGTAGTAGTTGTTGGGCGCTTTTGCGTTGTTCGTGCTTGGAGAGCCAGTCAGTCTCCACCGCCGCCTCACCTCAACCTCTCTATTATTATGCTTCTCTCAGGCTTCCCTTCCCTTTCCCCCCCCCCCTCCTCCCACTACTATCTATCTACTACTGCTTCCTCTTGGCTTGTGCTCTCTTCCTTTAAGCTTCTCCTGCAGACCGCCATCGTCTGTTGTTTCTTTACCCTCCCCTCTTCATCCCTTTTCACCACCAAAAATAAAAGACAAAGGAGAAGAGGCATCAAAAATTACACAGAAGAGGGTTAACGGCAGAAAGCACTTAATGTACCAGGATTTTTCTCCACTCTCACCCCTCCTCTAAATCCCAATCCAGCCCCAGGCTGTCAATCTTTATTCATCTCTTGTCGTCAATTCCAACCTGCAAAAAACCCCCCATCGACGAGTTATTCCTACAGTTCACACGGAAAGACGGTCTCTCTGCCTTACCGATTCTTGTCTGACGTCGCGATCCTTCCGCACTTCACTTTTCTCCCCCCCTCTCCTCTCGTTCTTCGATAGCTTCCTAGACCACACTACTACTGTATACCTTCAGTCCCATCAGGTTCAACCCACTCCTCATTGATTTCCCCACTCGAGGCTCGCTTCTCGTCATTCCTGCTTGCTATCGTTCCTCGCCAAAACAACACGGCGAAAATATATCGAAAATATCAACCTTCTCGCTCCCGATCCCACCCCCCACCCCCCAATATCGAGTCCTATCCCGCTTCCCGTTTCGTCATCAATCGATATCAAGATCTCGGATCCGAGGGTCTTGCTTTTTGTTTTTCATCTCTCTGATCAACGCTCAGCTACCCAGTCAAGGGTGGTATTCGAAGGAAAATGGTAGACCGGGAGCCAGCTACACCTACCTGGAAGTTCACACAGTGAGTCAAGCGCCGAGGTCCCTTATCTCATTGATGACTATCCTTGGAAGAGGCCGTCAAGACTTGTGATGCCGTGATGTCTGGTCTGGTTCGATCTGGGATTCCCGTGGGACAATGGGCAGCCGTCCCGGAGAGTTGATGGATTACCACCCTTTAGTCAACACGAGTTCATTTTACGAAACACCCCGCTGATGTTCTGACAATAGATGCTTCGGTGACAAGGGCGATGTGGAAGATATCACAGAAGGTATGTGGAGCACCTATTGCAAATGCATGGATTGTGTGAACGGTCACGCACAACAATGGTTGTCATGATATTCTCAAAGGCAAACCGACTAACCATCCGATCAACCAACTATAGCGGATATCATCTCTACGGTCGAGTTCGATCACACGGGTAACTACCTAGCAACAGGAGACAAGGGCGGTAGAGTAGTGCTGTTTGAGCGGAATGAGACGGTAGCGATGCCCCCTGCACTGACCCTCATCTCGATTGAAGGTTCTAATGAATTGGTCAGAAAAAAACCTGCGAGTATAAGTTCCACACTGAGTTTCAGTCGCACGAGCCGGAATTCGATTACTTAAAATCTCTAGAGATCGAAGAGAAGATCAACAAGATAAAATGGTGTAGACGACAGAACGCATCGCATTTCCTCCTTTCGACAAATGACAAGACCATAAAGCTATGGAAGGTGTTTGACAAGTCGCTGAAGGTGGTTGCGGAGAACAACTTATCGAGCGAGCTGACACCGGCGGGTGCGGTGGGTGGTGGAGGGGCGCCGCGTGCGCCCCGGGCGGCCTTCAAGGATGCATCGGCCTTGAAGCTTCCCAGGATGACACATCACGATACAGTCGTTGCCGCCGTGCCGCGGAGAACATACGCCAACGCCCATGCGTATCACATCAACAGCATCTCTGTGAACAGCGATGGCGAGACTTTTATCAGCAGCGACGATCTCCGTATCAACCTGTGGAATCTCAATATTCAGGACCAGAGCTTCAACATTGTCGATATTAAACCCGCAAATATGGAAGAACTGACGGAAGTCATCACGGCCGCGGAATTCCATCCCACCAGCTGCAACTGGTTCATGTACGCGAGCTCGAAGGGCACAATCAAGCTTGCGGACATGCGCCAGCGGGCGCTGTGCGATGAGCACCAAAAGCGTATGTGACCTTGGATATTCTCACAACGTTTCACCTTCTCAAGAGCTTGATAAAACTAACTTCACTGCGATACAGTCTTTGAACAGGAGGAAGACGCCTCCTCTCGCTCCTTTTTCTCCGAAATCATCTCCTCCATCTCCGACGTCCGCTTTTCGCACGATGGCCGGTATATTGTGTCAAGAGACTACCTCACGGTGAAGATCTGGGACGTCAACATGGAGAGGCAGCCGGTGAAGACGATCCCAATCCATGAACATCTGCGACCGCGCTTGTGCGACACATACGAGAACGACAGCATTTTCGATAAGTTCGAGGTAGTTTTCTCAGGTGACGCAGAAAATGTGATGACTGGAAGCTACAACAACAACTTCATGATCTACCCCACCGATCCGGCCAAGGAGACGGAGATTGTGTTGCAGGCCGACAAGTCTGCTTTCAAGGCTAAGAAGGTCGGCGTGCCGACTCCCATGAACAAGGGCCCTGGCAAGAAGAACGGGTCCCGAGCGGGCAGCCCTGCTGGTCCTGGCAGTCGGATGAAGAAGGAGACCGACGCGGACCAGATTGATTTCAACAAGAAGATCCTGCACATGAGCTGGCATCCATACGAGGACAGTATTGCCATTGCCGCTACCAACAACGTCAGTGTTATCTCTTGCCCTTGGTATTATGTTTCGATTGATACTGATTTCATCCCCCAGCTGTTCGTCTTCTCCGCCCTATGAGAAGGGGTCAAACCAGATCGGTTCCATGTCAGGTTGGACAAACGTGTCGGCGTGAGAGACTTTTGAGGGCATACAATACACATCTGAACCAGTTTATAGCGCAGAAGCAAGAAAGAAAGAAAGAAAGAAAGAAAGAAAGAAAAAATAAAGGTTCCTAGCAGCTTCCACAGTCCCACAATCCAAGTTGCCAATTTCAATACCAGAGTTCTATTTCCTAGCTTTCTGTTGGAGTTTGGTCGCCCAGGGGTTTTGTGTCTGCGTCCCCCAGCTTCTTTCTATTTCCTTCTCTGATGATGATATACGAAGCCCTCGCCTTTCCTTCGGTGCGGCTTCTGCGGAGATCTTTTCTGATATGCTATGTGAGGCGTTCCAGGTGCGAAGTCCGATAGAGGGAGAAGACGCGCGGCTACCAGATGATGTTTTTGTTTTGAGTCTCTCTTTTTGCTTGCACGCCGCCGCTTACGATTTCTCATCCTTCTGTATCTGCACTCTATATTGCTCATGTCGCGGTGTCCGCTAGCTATATGTCTCTATTGGGAAATTTCTATAGAGGTCTAATAGTACTACATTCTCGAGATAGCACCTGAACTCGCTTAATGTTGTGGTTCAAGCTGGGAGGGAGATGGGGGTGACGTTGGCGTGCCTTTAGCCTTGGAAAATATATTGTTTCCGATGTTACAGCGTAAGGGACATGATGCTCCATACGCCACAGGGGACTCATCTTGATAGACCAGAGATACAATGAATGACAAGAGATTACCACCAGTTAATGTAACCAAAAATCGAATACCAGAATATCATGTCAATGTCCAAGCTTCGATGGTCGGGTGGAATACCAGTGCATGAGCCCTTGGGATGTCAATGACGTCGGAAGCCATGAGACAGTGACACTTTTTTTCCCGTTAGCGCCAACCAAGACAGTGAAAAAAAAACCCACAGAGCGGCCAGAGCGAGAACAAACAGTGACAAACTGTGAAAAAGACCGGCAGAAATAGCCTCACTGGCCTCAGGCAGGAAAACTCCCATGAAGTGATGAACGCTCACCCAATCAGCCCGATAGGCGGTGAGTGCACAGCTCGGAAAAGCTTCATTCCGGGACAGGGACTCTATGAACCAAAAGGGGCTTAGCGGCGTGAAAGCCTCCGCCTTGTGCTGTTGGAGACCAGCCATGAAGCCCGTCGCGCGCAAACCATCCTCCCTGATCAACTATCTATCTATCAGACGAACTGCTACGCTACTGCTGGAGTTTGGCTGACGCTGTTTTGTCAGTAGCTTTCCTGGCTTCTCCTGTATTGCCAGTCTGTTCTGCCAGTCTTTCTGGTTTTTCCCCCTCCTGTCCTCTGTTGTCCTTGTTCTACACTTATTTCGAGCATCTACAGCACAGTGATGGCTCTGTGAAATGAACCAGAAGGCAAGACCACTGAACTAATCGAGAGCATTGGCCGCATTACCTCAGCCTTTCACTCTGCTACTTCTTTTTCTTTTTCTTTTATTTTTGTCTTGACTTCATATTTCTCTGATCCTTGGGAGCAGGACTCTACATACATGCAGTGATCATGAATTCCTCTGGCAACGATAGCTGGCACCCTGCTGGTGGCCCTCCGCACCCGGGGATGGATCAGATGAACCAACAACCTCGGCCGTTAGGGTCGTTCAGGTATGTCTTCTTCGATGAGGATATGTCATAGTTCCCTTATTGGAACTGCTCGTCGCTGACTCTCTCTTGAATCTACAGTCAGAACCCGCCGCCTCAACAGGGCCCGTCCTCGCAGTCCACCGGACCCGTCCTTCCACCCCCAGCTGGTTAGAGCACACCTTACATGCTATACGTTGGCACAGAGGAAAGAGCCTGGAGTGTTGGCTGACCCGTTACTGCTTCAGGTCCTTATCACCCTGCTGGTCAGAACCCCGGCCACTCCCTCCCCGGGCTAGCGGAATTGAGCCAGACACACGGTGGTCCACATCAACCTCCTGCGTACGCCCAGCACCCTTCGGCCCCCTCGCATCCTGCAGGGCATTCGTTGCCGGGTATCGGCCAGTCAATGCAACATCCGTCGCCGCAGTCGCTCAATCGAGACCGCGAGCGGGATTCTAGGGAACGCGAGTTGATCGAAAGACAACGGCAGCAAGAGGAGATGGTTCACAGGGAGCGCGAACAGCGGGAGCGAGAACGTGAGCAACTCGAGCGCCAGCGTGAACAGGGACATCACCCCGTGCAGAGTCATACCGGGTCGATCCCCTTGCATCAGCCCGTGGCGTCGAAAGTGCCGAATACCATCCACGGACCCAATGGTTTGTTATCTCATCTCGGGTCGAATCCTCCCAACGGCCCGCAGGGCCCTATGCAACCCTCTGGGGCCCCTGGTGGGATCTATGGTGCCCAGATGCAGCACGGAGAAGGCACTGCCAGGACGTACATGCAGCACCCTGCTGGTCCTCCCGGACAACCCATGATGTTCAATGCTTCGGGGGCTCCGATCCCTGGCAATGTCGCGGCGCTTGCGCAGGGGCAGCAGCCGATTCTGAATGTGAGTATAGATCAGTTCTTCTGTGCATTCCTTTTCCGCACCTCAGGTCATCCCATGCATATCCCTGAGATGACTTCTTTTCGTCATCAATCGGAAGTGCCGTTTACTGACAGCACTTGTTAGGATGCGCTCAGCTACCTAGACCAGGTCAAGGTTCGCTTCGTTGATCAGCCGGACGTATACAATCGCTTTCTGGACATCATGAAGGACTTCAAGAGCCAGGCGTGAGTACTTCGCTCTGACACTTTATGATTTTCGCTAATCCGCTCTAGGATTGACACACCGGGAGTAATTCAACGCGTGTCCACTCTTTTCAATGGCCACCCTGCCCTCATCCAGGGATTCAATACTTTTCTGCCGCCAGGTTATCGCATCGAATGTGGTACGGAGGACAATCCGGATGCGATCAGAGTGACTACTCCTTCAGGCACGAATACTCTTAACATGCCCCGCCCACGCCCGTCGATGGACTCCGGCGGCGATATGGGACCCGCTGGTGGGATGGGCGCGCACGGCCGTCCTGACTACTACGACCAGGCGCGCCCGGGCTGGCAGCAGCAGCAGCAGCAGCAGCCGCTGCCGCCTCAGGGCCAGCCACAGCAAGGCAACTTGCCGGGCTCGTACTCTCCCGGATCTCGCATGATGGGACCTGGCATGTTCGGACAAGCCGCCCAGGGTCAACATCAAGAACATCACTTTGATTATCCCACCCAACAGGAACAGCAAGCGGCAGCAGGCGCCGCTGCCATGGCCCATCAGCAGGATCAGCGTGGCGTTTCACAACTTCAGGGCGCGGCGGCGGCAACTGCAGCGCTTGGACGGTCCGGGATGATGCAGGTATCCCCTGCTTCCGGACAAGCCGCCGCTTTGAATCAACCTATGAACAACCTTGCAGGCATTGGAACGGGTATGCTGCAAGGCTCACCGGCAGACTTGAATAAGCGTGGACCAGTTGAGTTTAACCATGCGATCAGTTACGTGAACAAGATCAAGGTTGGTATCCATATCTCCTCGGTCGTATCAAATTACAATTTTACTGATACCGCATCCTTGGGCGGGTGATAGAATCGCTTTGCCAGTGCCCCCGAGATCTACAAGCAATTCCTCGAGATTCTGCAGACCTATCAGCGCGAATCGAAACCGATCCAGGACGTTTACGCCCAGGTCACTCAATTGTTCAACACCGCGCCCGATCTTCTGGAAGACTTTAAACAATTCCTGCCCGAGTCTGCAGCACACGCCAAGCAACAGGCAGCCGCTCGCCAGGCGGAAGAAGCGATCCCCATCAGTAACGTGCGTGGTGAGGGTGGATACCCTAGCACGGGTGCCGTCCCTTCACAGACAGCTAGCCGGGACATGAAGATGCCCCCCCTGGGTCAATTTAATGTCAAGGACTCTGCAAAGGAAGGGAAGAAGCGCCGGGGCGGCCCAGGTGCTCCCTCCACTATGAGCTCTTTGATTTCTGGACAGTCCGCCGGTGCTGAGGCTGCAAGAGTTGCTGATGCCCAGCGTCCTGCAACCCTACAGACCGGTAATGCTAATAAGGTGAGCAAATTCAATCCGCTCCATTTTTATCCCTACCATCATCCATACTCCATTCGCTGGATATCTTTCCCTCCCATCCTTTCTTTTACCACCCCCCTTCGAATTTCTAAACACGTATCACTTGACTTCTCCCACACTTTCTACGTTTATCTCCTAACTTGGAAATCTATCACTCACAAATCTTGTTCAGAGAGCCAAAGTACATCATACGAAGCCCAATCAAGCTGAGGTTCCCGCTGTCTCACCGACTCTCGTGCCTGCTCTTCCTGAGCCCATCCAGCCTACCCAGATGATGACACCCAGCCAGGAGGAGGTCGCTTTCTTCGACCGTGTCAAGAAGTACATTGGCAACAAGTCGATGTTCAACGAGTTCCTCAAGCTGTGCAATCTCTACTCGACCGATCTCATCGACCGGAATGTCCTTGTCAAGAGAGCTGCGCAGTACATTGGCTCGAATCCGGAACTCATGGCGTGGTTCAAGCGCTTCATGCACATCGAAGAGCCCGAGGACAAAATTATCGAGACCAAACCGAAGCAGGAATTGGGTGTTGTCAACTTGTCGCACTGTCGCTCCCTTGGACCTAGCTACCGTCTTCTGCCCAAGCGTGAACGGCAGAAGCCCTGCAGTGGTCGTGACCAATTGTGCTACAGTGTTCTCAACGATGAATGGGCTTCTCATCCCACATGGGAGTCTGAAGACTCTGGGTTTGTCGCACATCGCAAAAACCAGTTTGAAGATGCTCTGCATCGTATCGAAGAGGACCGACACGACTACGATCACCACATTGAGGCCTGTACTCGCACGATCCAGCTCATTGAGCCCATCGTCCAGCAATTCCTTGTCATGACCGACGCGGAAAGGGCAGCCTTCAAGCTCCCCCCGGGACTTGGTGGTCAGAGTGAAGCCATCTATCAGCGGGTGATCAAGAAGGTTTATGACCGACAGCGCGGGGCCAGAATCATTCGTGAGATGTTCGACAGACCATGCCACGTTCTTCCCATCGTGCTCTTCCGCTTGAAGCAGAAATGTGAAGAATGGAAAGCTAGCCAGGTAGGATATCACCCATACCTTTTCGCCTTGATTGTGGACTGACGAGTTCGATTACAGCGTGAGTGGGATAAGGTTTGGCGCGAGCAAACGCAAAAGGCGTACTGGCGCAGTCTGGATCACCAAGCGATTGCCAGCAAGGCGATTGACAAGAAACTGTTTGTCGCGAAGCATATCCAGAATGAGATCCAAAGCAAATTCGAGGATGCCCGAGGACTGCGGAAGAGCGGGTTCCCCGTTTCCAGATATCAGTTTGAGTTTACCTTTGATGATCCGGCTGTTCTTATCGACGCCACTCAGCTGCTGCTGCTCTTCATTGATCGAAACTCGGCCGGATTCGGAGCCGATCCCTCCAAGGTGATGGCGTTCATCAAGGACTTTGTGCCGATCTTCTTTGGCATGGACCGTGACACGTTCCACATCTACATGAACGAAATCTCGAGTGGAACACCGCCGGCCGAAGATGGTGAAGACGAGAGCATGATGGCGGAGGACTTCTCCAACTGGCGCAGTAGGAAAGGTGTCAACGGCAAGAAAGTGGATCTTCTTCGCGACGTTCTCGAGCGGCGCAGTGAGAGAGCCAATCGGTCGGACAAAGATCGCAGTACGCCCGCTAGTCGCGATGGAACCCCAGATGCTGTCCCAGTTCCGTCGCCTCCCGTCCCCGACTCTGCCGAGTCGTTTGATGTGGCGGAGTTGAAGTGGATGGAGCATCCCGGACAAGGGAACTTCAATCTCCAGCGGGAATATGCGCTCAACGAGTCCTATGTCAAGAAGGTCCATCATCTGTACGCGAACTTGAACATCTACTGCTTCTTCCGCACGTTCGAGATCTTGTACTCGCGTCTGTTGCGGGTCAAACTGCATGAGAACTATGCTCATGAGCATGTGCGACGTGCGCTGATCCCCAAGCCGGCGCGAGACCTTGGTCTCATTGACAAACTCCCGACCGAGTTCTTCTACGACTGTGATCCGAAGGCGAATCTATATCAACAGATTGTCCGGATGTGCGAAGAGGTCATCAAGGGCGACATGGACGCGTCGCACTTGGAGGAGACGCTACGCCGATACTACTTGCGCACCGGTTACCAGCTCTACAATCTGGAGAAGATGTTTGCCGGGATTGCCAAGTTCGCGGGCTCGATCTTCAACGGTGACTCCAAGGATCGCAGCACCGATATCATCAACCTCTTCTTCAAGGAGCGGGATCGGGAAGAGACCACGCATAACCAGGAGATCCAGTACCGGAAGCAGGTCGAGAGGCTGGTCAAGGACGGCGATATCTATCGCATTACCTATGTGAGTGGACCGTGGATGGTGGTGTAGAGAATTATCGTGACCCCGTTGCTGACTGACTCTCTTTTCATCCAGAAACCCGAGGGCAAGACGACCACCGTGCAGCTCCTCACACCCGAGGACGCGACACTGGAGAATGAGGAGCTGAGCCAGGAAGCGCGCTGGTCGTACTACGTCTCTGCCTACACGATGCGGGATCCGACCGAGGGCGTCCCCTTTACTCAGATGCGGATGCCCTTCCTGAAGCGGAACTTGCCGCCCAAGCTTGAGCAGGAAGAGGAATACATCCGCTACTACCGGCCACTGGTGCATCAGGACGGGCTGATCATCCGCATCTGCGCCAACAGCTACCATATCCTGTACGAGCCCGGCAGCTGCGATTGGTGGTGGCGGCCCAAGGCGCCGTCGGAGGAGGAGTCGGCGGAGGAGCTTGTCAAGGAGGAAGAAGCGGCTGTCAAGGAGCGTCGGCACGACCGGTTCATGGAGAAGTTTGTGAACAACCCCAGCTGGATGCACGGGCTGAGCAAGGACCAAGTCGACGAGTCCAACCAGCGGTACCGGTCGTGGATCAAGGGCCCTGGGCGTGAAGGCGAGAAAAGCCCGGCCGCAGCAACGGTTGCTTCGGCGGAAGAGGCCGGCGCTGGGAAGACCGAACAGGACGATGCCGAGATGCCGGACGCGGAACCCACTGCAGCCGCATCGACGACAGAGACTAAGGAGCAATGAGCCATGGATTGTTTTTCTTTTCCTTTTTTTTTTTTTTGGGATAGGGTTGTTGATTTGATGGTGTTGGTTTTCTTTTCCCTCATTTTTTTTTTTTTTTTTAAACACATATTTTCTTCCATTGCGCTTTTTTTGCTCCTTCTCTGCGGCGGTGTTTTCTCACAGCTGCATGGTTAGCGATACAAGATCTGTATGGTATTGGTTGCACAAATAGGTTCACTACCACTGCTTATGAGGGTTATGGGGACGGGTGTAGAGGGAAATATGGGATGGTGAGCGTGGTCGAGGTGTATTTTGTATTTGTATCTTAGGATGGCATTTTTTTTTTTCTCTCGTGCACACATGATGGTTACTGTCTTGTCTTCATCTTCTCGCAGCGAGCAGTAAGTACTTGTAAGAGTAGTCCTCGTACCTCGTAGCGATCGAGAGATGCGGGATCAACCCCAGGATTCGCTCTCGGTGTGTCACTAGTTAATTCCTCCTTTGCCTCTGGGGAATATGGGAATCTCGAGTTACGAGTATGGACTATGGAGTACCAATTACCGTTGACAGAGATTTCCCACTTTCCCTGGCCCGTGCAGAAGCGACTAGTGAAAGCCTCGAAGTCGAACTAACTAGTTACTCCATACGGAACAGATGGTCCAAAGTCCAAACCCCAAACCTCCGTGTGGCCGAAGCCTCATAACCGACCCAGCCCGAGACTCCGCCGACGGATAAGACTCGGAGATTGGATTGTGGAGGTTGTTCGTGACTACGGAGGACTCGGGAGGGCATTTAAGAGTCTCGATGGACAGCCAGCAAATGCAGGTCTCAATTAGGTTTTTAAAAATTGCTGGAATGTCGTGCAAGGAATGTACGGTAGGAGGATATAGGATAGATGGCACTTCTGGCTACGTTTCTGGCAGATTGTCCCATTTCCGCATGGGGCATTCTTGTCGTTGTGAGAAAAGCACAAAGATCGAGAAACGGCCGAGAGAGGGCCGTTGTGACGTCAGCGTGAGAGATGGTCATCCACTGGGAGGTTTTTTTTTTTTTTTTTTTTCTTTCCCTTTTTCCCCCCCCCCGGAGAGTCTACTACTGTCAATCTGTCGCAGTGTGGCACTTGCGAATGGAAAAAGAATTGACCAAAAAAAAAAACAGTTCGAGAGGAAAATCTGGGGAAGATGCTAGAGGAGAGAGGATGGAGTATCGATAGACCAGAGTAGTAGTAGCTAGCTGGTTATCCATACAAGTATGACTGTCAATGCCACATCGATGAGATAATGAACACACTCTCCCCTTCCCAGCCCACAACCAGCATAATACTACTACTACTCATTAATCACTCAAGGTGCTCAATGAGGGAGGATTTCTCCACCTTTGGCAAACCGTCCTGCCCGTGGGGGAAGGTCCTTAGTCTGGCTGGTCTGTTGCCGTGGCGGACCTTCGACGGATATTTCTATCTTTTTTTTTTCTCCCTCCCCCCTCCTCTTCCTCTTCTTCTTCTTCTTCTTCTCTCTTCCCCCTTTCCTCTCCCTCTCTCTCTCTCTTTGTATCCTCTCCCTCTCCATTCTCTCGACCTCTTACTTCTAATCTCCACTCACAATGGCTGCGTCCGCTCTTCTGAAGAGTCGTGTTCGGCGGCCTTCTTATCTCCAGAAGCTGGCCAAGGCTGAGGACCTCATCGACCTCTTCCCCCACGGCACCTACATCGGCTGGTCCGGGTTCACAGGTGTTGGTTATCCCAAGTATGTTCCCCCTCCCCCCTTTCCGAGTACTTTTCGAATAGCGCAATTGAACCCCATTGTGCTAATATGCGTTGTTTCCCGCCGCCAGGAAAGTCCCTACTGCTCTCGCCGACCATGTCGAGAAGAACAACCTCCAAGGAAAGCTGAAGTACTCTCTGTTCGTCGGCGCCTCGTCCGGCGCGGATACTGAGAACCGCTGGGCGGCGCTGAACATGATTGAGCGTCGGAGTCCGCATCAGGTCGGCAAGGAAATCGCCAAGGGGATCAACAACGGTCAGATCAACTTCTTCGACAAGCATCTGAGCATGTTCCCCTCGGATCTGGTTTATGTGAGTATTTTCTGGAGGCCCGGCCGCGTAAAGGAATTTGGATGCTGATGCCAAGGTAATACAGGGCTGGTATACCATGAACAAGCCCAACAACAAGCTGGATATCGCCGTCATTGAGGCCTCCGCCATCACCGAAGAGGGTGGCATCATTCCCGGTGCTTCCGTCGGCGCGTCGCCCGAGCTCATCCAGATGGCCGACAAGGTCATCATTGAGGTCAACACGGCCAGTCCCTCGTTCGAGGGTCTGCACGATATCACCATGTCGGACCTTCCTCCCAACCGCAAGCCCTACCTCATTATGCAGCCTGAGGACCGCATTGGAACCCCCCACATCCCCATCGACCCCGAGAAGGTCGTGGCCATTGTCGAGTCGGACTACCCCGATCAGACTCTGCCCAACGCGCCTGAGGATGAGAGCTCGCAGGCCATTGCCACCAACCTGATTGAGTTCCTGAAGCACGAGGTCAAGCACGGCCGCCTGCCTCCCAACCTGCTGCCCATCCAGTCCGGTATCGGCAACATCGCCAACGCCGTCATTGGCGGCCTGAGCAAGGGCGGCGCCGACTTCACTCACCTCAAGGTCTGGACCGAGGTGCTGCAGGATTCCTTCCTGGATCTGTTCGACAGCGGCAACCTGGACTTCGCCACGGCCACGTCCATCCGCTTCTCCCCCGACGGCTTCAAGCGCTTCTATGACAACTGGGAGCGTTACGCCGGCAAGCTGCTGCTGCGTTCGCAGCAGGTGTCCAACTCGCCCGAGATCATCCGCCGTCTCGGCTGTATCGGCATGAACACCCCTGTGGAGGTGGACATCTATGCTCACGCCAACAGCACCTGCGTCATGGGCTCGCGCATGCTCAACGGTCTGGGCGGCTCCGCCGACTTCCTGCGCAACTCCAAGTACAGCATCATGCACACCCCCAGTACCCGCCCCAGCAAGATCGACCCCACCGGTGTCAGCTGCATCGTGCCATTCTGCACCCACATCGATCAGACTGAGCACGATCTCGATGTGGTCGTGACTGAACAGGTATGTTTTGCTCATTAGAACCATTGGCGTGACATCAAACTAACAACCACCCAGGGTCTGGCTGACGTGCGTGGCCTCTCTCCCCGCGAGCGTGCTCGCGTCATCATCAAGCACTGCGCCCACCCCGACTACCAGCCCATCCTGACCGACTACCTCGACCGGGCCGAGTATGAGTGCCTGAAGAAGGGCATGGGCCACGAGCCCCACCTGCTCTTCCAGGCCTTCAAGATGCACCAGAACCTGGCCGAGAAGGGAACCATGAAGATCTCCGGCTGGGAATAGGTGCGCACGCCTCAGCGAATCGCAAACAGGAAAAATCATATAAAGATATAAATTGGGTCATGGCATCGGCCATGCAGCGGGGTTTGGGTTCTGGGGTTTCGGGAGTCTTCTTGTATCTTCTTCGATCATGTCTCTGTCTAGCGGTTTTTAGTGTTCTGTAGTGTACCCATCCATTTCATTGCATTCTGGATAATCTTACGTCAGGTCTTGATTCGTAGCGTAACCCTTGCGTGTCGCATGATGTATGTGATGTCGTACGATCTCAATAAGGCTGAGATCTGGAATATCGATCCATAGTGAGATCTGGTAGATCGTGCATACCGCCCGAGTCTCTATTGATCTTGGAATCTTGCAAGTATGCAGTGTGCACCAATCACAGCACATACCTGGAGTCCATATAGAGTACTGTATAGTAACAGAGTGCACGAACTCTTTCCTCCAGTATTTGTCGATATCAACATTGAACCTACGCGTAGTCCAAACTACTCCAAACTCCCCATGCCCAAGTTACATACGTAGTATGTAGTAGTCTACGCCCTCAACCCAGTTACCCCTAAGCAACACACCAACAACAACAACAACAACAAGGGCGAGAAGGGATATAAAGATAATAATAATAGCCATAACAATAATCATGATTGCTCGAAACCGCTAATTGCCAATCTACTCCACAAAAAGTACAAACAAACAAATAATAAACATGGTATCATAAAAACTTCCATCCCGATCCCAAATCGATCTAGTTCGGCGATGGGGGACGGTAACTTCCACCAGTGAATCTGGCATTTGTACGTTAGTGTATTGGTTTTTTTTTATGTTTTTTTTTTGTTTTGGCAAGAGTGATAAGGCACACTAGCCAGGCAGATTGGCTACGCCAGCGGTGCAGTGGTCCAAACATACCGGCTCAGAAGCAACCCAAACAATCCCGGCGACTGGTCTGGCTTGCGCTTGGCCCAGCCGTGGTCGACGTTGTAGTGCTTGACGTCCTGGAGGCCGGCGAAGAGGCCGCGGCCGGCGGTGGGGCGCTAGAGTTCTTTGTTAGCTGTGTTGTTGTTGTGTTGTGTTGATGCGGATATACTCCGTAGAGGGCCAGGACGGGGGGGGGGACGACATACGCGACGTTCAGCGCCAGAGCGAACCCATAAGTCGGCGCCGTAGTCGTTCTGGAGACGGGCGGAGGAGGAGGATTCGGTCATTTTTGCTTTGCTGGTTGAGGATTGTTTTTTTTTTTGGGTTCAAAGTATGCGACTGGCAGAGCTGAGGACTGGTGGAAGATGTGGTTTATTTAATATTGAACTGATGAAGATGTTGGTTGATGCTGATGCTGATGATGATGCTGATGATGAAACTAGGATACACCACCCAGCTCATCTCCCATCCCTTTATACCTAGCACACACAGCCCATCTCATCAGTCTCGATGGTGAAGCCATACCGGAGTACAGTTGCATCCGAGTCACCTCACCTCACCACCTCGCCAGATATTCTGAGGCCGCTCAGCTTTCATTTAGGAAGAACACGGAGGGGTTGGTAGAAGGGTATCCAACCACGAAGCCAGGATTATCGAGCTTCGAGCCATTCCGAATGCAAATGGCGAGAGCGTGATAGGATGGCGTGGTCACAAGCTCGGTGATGAGGGGTGGTGTGGTTATTGTTTGCGGGTTTTTTTCTGTATATCTACTGCGTACAAACTGGCAGGAATGTTTCTATGGCGGCGGTGCGGGTGGCATGATCCGATCCGATCTGATCTCATCTGCCCGGATCCCCCCCCCCCCCCCTCCCCGCGGGCCTTGGGTTTGCGAACGCTGAACACTCAACAGGTAGATAGATACGGAGTAGATGATGTTGGGGTCTTCGACGAGGCTCCAGGATTCTGGTTATTGGGTCGCGATGGTTTGATTCAGAGACAAAAATTTTTTTGTTTTTCCCTATAGTTCTTGAGCTCGGTTGTAGATTCGAGAGTCGGTGCCGGGCGAGGTTATCTGCACTGACGTAGTTCGGGATATCTAGGAACGAAATCTACTTCCCGCGAACACGTGCTCGCCGTAAGATAGTGGTTCCGTGGAATAGATGCAGAGCTATGGAAATCAAATCATACAGTGTAGATTCTACTTAGATATTATACATAGCTCAACATGGATCAGATGTAAGGAAAGGGAAAGAAAAAAAAAAATAAAAAAAAACAAAAGAAGAAATGACCAGTGCCGGGCTCGATCCGGCGACCTTATCGGTGTTAACGATACGTGATAACCAACTACACCAACCGGCCATTGTTGAAGAACGGAGGCCATTTTTGATCTTATAAGCCTGCTTCAAAGTCTGGTTTCGAACTGAACATCAGATAGCCTGCAATATTAAGTCTAGGCAGTCAACCTTAGATGGGTATGTTATTGCCTTTGCGCAACTGCTCTTACAAGTTACATCCTTGGCGAACCCAACGGCACAGACTGGCGTCTCTGGGACAACTCCCTAGTCCTGACTCCTGAACATGTTCCCTTCGATTCCAAAGTTAAACCCCTGAGCGTTGCTAATCTTGGGCGGACTAGGTCGTTCAGGGAACGCTCTGTTGAAACATGTCTTAGACATGGTCGCTTAGGACTCTTTAGTGTTTTTCAGAGAACGATAGTCGACAGCTCCAAGGTACAAGACACTATTTATACGAATGTATCAGAGTATCCTCGAATAGTCATCGTGCTTTCGATGAGGGAGGATCGCTGTTCAATGTGACAGCGCGCCAGGCTAAGCGCCATTAACGAATAGTAAGTATGCTCAAGTTGAAAAGTCAAAGAATGAAAGTAGCCAAAGTCTAACATCACGTCTCAGAGTCAGGGGTAGCACGGCGGCCAGCACGAGAGAACTGAGAAGATGAGGCTAGTCCCGTGATTGTAAGGAGACATCCCCGCAGTGCTTCGGACTCTCCGGACTCCGGAGCCCACATTTCGTAGTCTACAGATCAGATCCCAATGAAGAATATGGGGACTGTCACATTCCGGCAGTTTTCGAAACTACTCCGTATGTCGTTGTTGTTGGGTTCTGCACGAGTTCCAATTCCCAGAACACCCATGACTGGGAAACGGGGATGCTGAGTCAGGGGCTGCGAGAGCACGAGGGGTAAAAGCCATCCCGGAGCATAATGAACCGTCAATCTCCTCCTGAACTATTTGCTAGGCACGGATTGTACTAGCGAAAATTAATATTTGAAGTGCTGCCAAGCAGTCTCTAGGTTGGATCAAGGCTCAAACCTTTGATACGTGGAAGCTGAGATGAACTCAATTCTTGACATCGAGTTGGCAGAGTAACTGTTGGGATCTTCAGTATTTTGACTCTTGACTCTTGAGTCTTGACTTCCTGGAACGGTCATGATGAACAAAAGATCTCAAGCAAGATCAATAGTTGATCCGCCTCAGGCGTCGATCAGCAGTCTAAGCTCAATAGTGCGATGAAACTTCGAGTTAGGAAGATGTATCTATCAATGGAAGTTTTGTTCAGCAAAAGGTAGAGAAAATCCTCAAGACCCTGAGCATTCAGGCACACATGGAGCCATACTACGTACTACGTAAAATGGCTCATCGTTCCGCTGTCTGTTGCAGGAGAGAATATAGTATGCCTGGAGACCAAATCGAATGATCAGATATTTGAAGACATGTCTTGACTTTCAGTTGTTGGCTACTGCAAAGGGCTGAAGTCTAGAAGATCGAGTTGGTGCGATCATCGTGTTTCAGGTGGTTGATTTGGTAATCGGTACTTAATCATTTTAGCAAGGGTGTACATTGCACTGCACAAGGCATAACGGCCACCCCAAATAATAGCCAGTCCATAAGATGTCTGATGCGTAGTGTTTCATCTAAATTAATGGTGCTTGCGGTCTCATCGCCCATCGTCTTCTCCATGATTACTATTCTTGTTATGTTCAAGCGATGTTACCCTGGTTAAAATAATAATAATGAAGTGGAAAGCAGTGGCTGGAGGACTCCGTTGAAACAAAAATAAATGCACGAAAAATAGAAAATCAGATGAAATTACAGTGGATTGCCGGAAATTAAAGCTGAAATTTACACCCAATAGAAAAGGAATAATGCAGGGGTAGCACCACCCCACCATTCCAATTTCGATCTAGTGATACCCTGGTAAGAGTCAGATCCCCACATGGCTGAGATGGCGGAGATGAGAGCAGCCTTGCAGTTAGTTAGAACCAGGTTGCCTGAGGGCACCAGGATAACTCATGATGGGAGAGGAGTTGGAGGATGATAGAAATCAATTAGGAAGTGCGAAGATACAGACACTTGGGGATGAATCATCTCATACCTAGGCCCTGGTCAGCCTGAGACAAGTGCTTTGTTGGCAGGATTCGAAGATACAGGCCCCAATCTGACTGTGCTGTTGTAATGTTGTTGGGTAAGAATGGCGCTCAGGCCCGAATACGGTTCTTGCAACGAGATTGATATTATTGTGTGGAAGAACCAGAGTAACAGAGTGCGATACTCCGTAGACTGCTTGACAAAAATCTATCCGAGTCTACTGCCGAATTGATGGGTTATGGTTACCTATGGAGCGGTTATATTATCATTGCAACACCTTACAATCCAGACAACGATCGAACCCGAGAAACATGTTCTAGATGACAAGATCTTCTGCGCTATGGAGAAAGAGAATAGTTACCTACTGTGTAGACTCCTGAGTCCTGAGGCTTGAAGTATGAGTATGACAGCTAAAAGCGTGTACTATGCACAGAAATAATGAGACTATTCCCCCTTAGGATCGAGTGGCCAGGAGATGAAACGATCAGCCTGGGCTAATCTCAAAACTGCCAGCGAATAAAGACAAAAAAAAAAAAACATCTCCCATTGGCCAATTTCCTTGATTTCGATTGTTTTTCATTTTCCATCAACATCTACTTTAATTTTCTCCAGATCCACCAACCCACTATGATTCGCCACCACTCCACCCCTATCCGAGCCGTGCGGACAACCACTGGACCACTGCGTCTGGCACCATCCCTGCCACGCCCCAGCCTGGCTGCCAATCATGGTCCACGGGTGCCTGACTATGGTGGGCTAGCTTTATACACCGCTGGTGATTGAGTTGACGAGATGCCCTCGACGCCGGCTCGACCACTGCCCCCTTTTTGGCTGTTTGGGTGCTGGGTAATTATATTAGACCAACTCGGCCAGCTAGTCTAGTCTAGTCTAGTCTAGTCTAGTAGTAGTAGCAGTGCCGCCTCCCCCCCGAAAATCCCAGAATCCCAGTTCCCGCTCATGATTAACAAGTGATTAGAATTAGATACTCCTGCTAACTAGTAGTTACTTAGCCTACACTAAGTCACTCAAAGTCTCAAACAGGCTAACAGTTCATCGCCCCCTGGTCGCTCTTTTTCTCCCCTTTCCCTTCTCTTCCTCCTCTTCTCCTTCTCTTCTCTCTCTTTCCCCTGTCAGGTTTCTATCTTGCACTTTCTCCAGTCTCTTCCCTTCAAGTCCCACAGAAGAGGCCTTTTGTGCCCCTCCCTGCCATATATTGACCACCGCTTCACTCTTTCAGCGGGCATTCTCTGAATTTATTCGCACAGGAAACCAGAAAACGCTTTCTCAGCCAATCCCTTGAACTTCTTATCCACCATGAGGGGTGCATTCCTGGCCACTGCGGCTGCCATCGCCGGCACCGCTATGGCTGATATCGCTCACATGCGTCGTCACGGCCACGATTCGTTCCACCAGCGCCGTGCTGTCGAGCAGCCTGCTCCTGAGGCTGATGCCACCTGCGGCTGCACCACCGAGGTCGTCACCTCCTGGGGTCCTCCCACCTGTAAGTACTCAGCAGCACACAATGAGCGTTTGTAGATGATGAACCGGGAAATCATAGCACCATGTGAAATGGGTGCTGGTTGCGGACGTCGAAGAATGCTCGATTGATTGTCAATGATCAATGCATACTGACCAAAGCAACAGTGATCCCCATTGCTACTTCTTCCCCCAGCAGCACTGTCACCTCGGAGGTCGTCACCACTCTCCACTCGACCAGCTACAGCACCGTGACTCTGGTGGTCACACCCTCCGGCGCTTCTCCTAACAGGGAGTCCGCTCCCGCTACCCCTGCGGTCACTCTCCCTACCCCCGGTGTCACCAGCTTCTCCACCACTGGTACCTACACCATTCCGGCCACCACCCTGACCGTCACCCACTCGACGACCGTCTGTGGCGCGACCACCACGGAGCTGCCCAGCGGCACCCACACCTATGGTGGTGTCACCACCGTGGTTGATCGTCATACCACCGTCGTCTGCCCCTACGCCACCGTCGAGCCCTCTGGCAGCACCGTGACCAGCGTGATCCGCACCACCACCTATGTCTGCCCCAGTGCTGGTACCTACACCATTGCTCCCACCACCACCTACGTCCCTACCAGCACCGTCATTGTCTACCCCACTCCCGCCACCATCACCCCTGGTACCTACACCCAGCCTGCGCAGACCATCACCGTGACCCGTGACAACTACATCTATGTCTGCCCCTTCACTGGCCAACAGCTGCCTACTACCGCTCCCGTTGCCCCCGCCACCACCGCTGTTCCTGCCACTACTACCGCTGTCCCTGCCACTACCACTGCTGTGCCCGCCACCAGCTCCGTTGCCCCCTCGAGCAGCCCTAGCAAGCCCGCCGCTCCTTCCGGTGCCGTCAGCGGCCAGATGGGTATGACCTACTCTCCCTACACCAACGAGGGTGGTTGCAAGGACAAGGCCTCCATTATTTCCGAGGTCGCTCTCCTGAAGTCGAAGGGATTCACTCACGTGCGTGTCTACTCGACCGACTGCGGCAGCCTGGAGTTCATTGGTGAGGCCGCCAGAACCTCTGGTCTGCGGATGATCATTGGTGTCTTCATCAAACAAAGCGGTGTTGCCGGTGCTCAGGACCAGGTTACCGCCATCTCCAAGTGGGCTCAGTGGGATCTGGTCAGCCTGATCGTTGTCGGTAACGAGTCTATCCAGAACCACTTTTGCGATGCTTCCACTCTGGCCGGTTTCATTGTCTCCGCCAAGCAGAGCTTCAAGGCCGCCGGCTACTCTGGCCAGGTGACTACCACCGAGCCCATCAACGTCTGGCAGGCTAACGGCGATGCCCTCTGCGGCGCTGTCGATATCATCGGTGCCAATATCCACCCCTTCTTCAATGCCGACGTCTCCGCCGCCGAGGCTGGAAAGTTCGTTGCCCAGGAGTTTAAGACCCTCAAGGGCATCTGCCCCGGCAAGGATGTTATCAACCTGGAGACCGGCTGGCCCCACAGTGGTGAGGCCAACGGCAAGGCCATCCCCAGCCGTGAGGAGCAGGCGATCGCCATCAAGGCTATTGCTGATGAGGTCGGCTCTATGTCCGTCTTCTTCTCCTACTTCGATGACTTGTGGAAGCAGCCCGGAGCTTTCGGTGTTGAGCGCTACTGGGGTTGCATTGAGAACTTCTAATCAGCGCCCGTGGGCGCGTGCCATGTGAGACTTCCTTGGGAGGATTGGAGTTTTTCTCGCTTTTCTGTCGGCCTGGAATCTTATTGTTGACAACGACAGTTTTTTTCCTTTTTCCCTTTTTTTTTTTTTTCTCTCTTCCATATACCATTCTCAGTATACTTCCCTGTTCGCGTAGTAGATATAACCTTTTATTTGACGTGTCTACCGACTGAGCCGCCTGATCTGTTTTCTTTGTCATTAGTTTTGTATATGCTGCAATTCTACGGTTCTGATGATCACTTAACTTGTCTGGTAGCCGAGGTCATCTGCTCGACCTCGGTTAGATGTATCAATGCCCTGGTTTGTAGCCCCCAGCTGAACTATGAGCTTAACTCTGCCACCAATGCTTATCTCGAACCTCGAACTACTACGAACTACTCCATATGCCCACCACGTTCAAGTGTTTCAGCAGAACACTTTCTCCTCCAACACCATAACCACAAAACCACTCAAGCAACCCAAGCAAGCAGGGTATAATTAATAACAACAATTACTACGTCGCATTATATTAACAGCAGAACCACACACCTCCACCCACAAGCCATAACCGCAAAGCCCCGAACCACCCAGCTAATCATACACTCAACCACTCCACCCAGCCAACCCACTCAATGAAGCCGACGAGGAGGAACCTGACAAACCGGTCTCTGGGCACCCATTAGTATCTCTCCCCTATGTATAATCTACATACCGCAGTCGTTTCCGAAAGCGAGGTTGAAAGGTTGATTGCAAGTGGAGAGGGGGAAAGAGAGCACTTACCACGCCAGGCACACAGACGAGAGGAACACAGCAGTCGTACGCGGTAACGGTCGCATTGCCGCAGGGGAATCCGACCTGGTTTATTTGGACGGGTTAGAAGATGTATTCCCGGCTTGGGATTGGGATTTGGATTTGGCAGTAGGGGAGGGGAGAAGGGGAGGAACATACGCCCGAGCAAGCCTTTTCGGCGGCGGGGATGGCGGCGGCGACGGCGGCGAGAAGGGAGAGTGATAGGAGGCGCATTTTGGTGATTTTTTTGGGGGCGGTTGGGGGTGGTAAGTAAGTTGCGTTACTAGATGGATGGTGAGGTGGTTGGTGTTGGGATTGGGCTGGTAGATATCTGTGTTGGTTGGTTTGTGAGATGTCAGTTTTTTTTTTTTTTTTTTTTTTGGTCCTTCTTTATCCCTTGATAGATAGTAGTGGTGTTGGTTGTCTTTTCTTTGTAGGTAGAACGACGCGTACATCCACGATATGTATAGCTATACCCTATGCATAGCATAGTCCATAGTCCATATCCATACAGCACACAGAAGTTCAGAGTCCGACACGTACGTACCGTTGAAACGAGACGAGAGCACGAGATCTTGCCTTGTCTTCCAATGACAGTGGGAGGATATCCGAGAGAAAAACGTGGGCTGGAACAAGGGGGCGTGAGGGAGGGAAGGGGGAAAAAAAAAAGAGAGAGAGAGAGAGAGAGAGGAGTGGAAAGGGATCGGTGTGGTTTTAAGAATTCTACGGGGGAGGACGATTTTACATGATTGATTTCGAGGATTGAATATTAATATTGAATGGGGAAGTCTCCACGCCACATGTCATTGTGCTTGTCCTTGTTCACGTAATCATCGTTCGCCCTTTGTTCTTGTAAAACGCGATATGCCTAACTGCCGGTCATACAAGGAAAAAGGAGGCTGGGGGCCCTGGGGGGACGTGTGGGTGTGTTACAGCAAACTGTCTTACGATCCTATCGGACTATCACTATGAGTAGTGAGTACTGACTAGACTAGGCAACTAGCTACTTTGTTCTTCGTGGTGGGGTCAACTAGGAATGATTTGTGATCTGGTGGGTGCTGGATAGCCACTGCCAGTATCTCTACAACGACGATATTTATACTTAGATTCGGCATAGGATGGCCTGAAACAACAATCGGCGGGATCAGCATGGGGGCCCTGGATGATCGCGCAAGCACCAAGAGTCTATTGGATGCTAGCGATGGGCGGTCCTGGGGCGAGGGTGTCTATCCCATAATCTGCAGCGAGGGAACTGCATAGTCCAAGGGTCAGTAATCATACTTCATAGGCACTTACAGAGAGCAGAATGACCAGGAGTTGAGTTTTGTGTGTGGTTGGGGCGCTGCAATGTGGTGTATCGTGTACATAGCAAGCAAGTAAGTGAGTAAGTGATATCTGCAATGCAGACTGCAAACATGATCTTACTGCAAGGGGTGGGGATCGGATACTGATACTGATACTAATAGATGCTGTATAGCCTGGAGAAACGGATCCTGGGATTGAGAGAGATAGATGGGTAGTTACATCCTCGGCGCTTTACGGAGTATTTCTGTTCCAATTCATGGTGAGCACTGAAGGGTCTCGGAGAGGTCGACATACCGACTCCATAGATGTCCTGCTCCCCCCTAATCAGTCTATATACCCGTCTGCTTAAATGGTGAATCTGTCAAAATATTCTACTTCGGCATCTTCTCAGCATGAGCCAAACTGCCTCAGCCAGAATTCTGAAACAAGCACCCATCCACCGAGTGTTGACTCGCGCCAGCGATCATGCAGTCATGTTTCGAATGTGATTACGACTGAGACAACCTCACGAGGGAGCACATGAGTATATTACTTGTGCAAGTATGATGACAAAATCTTGATGACAGAAAGAATGGCTGTCGCTGATGCTCCATCAGCACATGCAGTGCCAACCTATTTACACGCAAATGGCTACAAGAGACAGAGGCCCAAACCCCCAGATTCCTGTATTATGAATATGTCCAGAACGTCAAAAATAGACCTGACCCTATATAAACGAACGAATGAATGAGTAAATGACAGACAGAATGCCATGCAGTGCGGAATGGCTCAAACGCCCAGCCAACCCCGCTAATGAACCGCCCAGAAATGCCTGAGACCCGAAGAAAACCAAATGCCAATAACGGTGATTACTGATGGCAGAAGAGAAATGAGAACGAATTCGAAAAGAATGGAAGAGCTCAAATGCTTGCAAGTGAGGATGCTAAACGCTAGCTGGCGTTCTTGAAGAGGATCCCAAATCGGATCATGACGCATGAATGGACGAGGAAGGGGACATATCTTGAGTCAAGAACGTGGCTGGAGAAGCCCGTCTCTTGACCAGATCGTTATACTCTTGATTACCTTCAGCCATAGAACCGGCAAGGTATAGGCCGCGAGCCAAGTTGATTATATGTATGTGGGTGCATTATGTATTAATCTCATCGAGATATCATGCTCGTATAGACATTCTGAATCGAACGCAATGCTGGAGTCTTCTCGCAAATCGCAAATGATCGATCACGAGCCTGTTCAAAATATGGTGAATCGTTTTGACTTGCCGGTTTTTCCGGCGTCTGCCCCTTGTCAGTCTGATCTATGATCCTGGCTAAAGTGATGGCTTACCGAGAGATTTCTGCTTCTCTTTCTGTCCATTCTGAGAAGAGCTTGCACCGTCCGCAGCAGCTCGAATGGTGGCAATGCGATGCTTCGCTCGTTCATCGCCTTGATCCGCCGCTCGTACGTACCAGACGTTGGCTTCGAGAGGGTCGCGCCGGCAGCCAATCCCCATCTCGGTGAAGTATCCGACTGCGTACTGCGCCTTCGCCAAACCTGCACCGAAGTCAGTAAACCACTAGAAATCCATGATAATTGTAAGGAAATCTACCAAGTTCGGCAGCGCGCTTGGCCCATTCGTAGGCCTCTCCCTCGTCCTTCTCCAAAACAGGCTCTGCACCAACCAGGTACCAAGCACACAAAGCCATCATGGCCAAGACATGTCCCCCTTGTGCAGCGTTGGTGTAAAAGTGTATACTCAGCGCGGGATCCCGAGGGCACTCCAACTTTCCATGCTCGTAAGCATCTCCCAGACGATAGCTCGCCTCCGCATGACCTAGATCTGCGGATTTGGTGAACAGCTGTGCCGCGTAGGCCGGGTCAGGGAAGACATCATCGCCGTAACCCGTCTCATGAAGCAATCCGAGCTCGTACGGGGCGGAATTGTACTGCGCGTCAGATGATTCCGCCGCACGCTTCAGCCACTTGACACCTTCACGGTAGCGTTTGCCAAGGCCCATGTCACCTGCCAGGCAAGCCTTGGCCATGCGTAACATGGCCCCGGGATGATTCTTGGACGCAGCTTGCCGATAGAACTGCTGTGCTCGGGCCGCTTCCACCCTAGTGCCCCAGCCGAACTCATAGCAGAGCGCGGTCCGATAGCATGCCTCAACGTGCCCATGTTTGCTGGCTGCGACGAACAGAGGGAACGCCCGATCGTAGTCCTCCTTCCCCTTGCTGAACAGTCCAGATGCATACCCGTCGGCCAAGTAGTACTGTGCGAATGGATAGCTGCGATTCGCAAGGCCCTGGAGGATCGACTTGGCTTCCTTCAAGAGCCCTTCGCGGGTAATTTTCGTCCCTTTCGGATCATATACCGCGCTCTTACGTGTTTCAGGATCTTCCGGCGGCATTTCCAGCATCGCGTTGACCATGAACACCGCAAATTCGTACTGTATCGCCGAGCTATCCGTCTTCTTTACGTTGGCCAAGTACATATCGAATGTTTGCTTGTGACTGAGTAACGACGCATTGTTACCAACCCAGGATTTCAAATGCGAGTTGTCCATTTGTGCTGGGGCGGGGCCCGGTTGGGGGTAAGATGTATTAAGGAGATCGACAAAGGAGAGCGGACGAACGTCAGGGGATGAGGAGTCTCTAGGTGAAGCGCGTGCATGTAGATATGGCGAGGCGTGGGGGGACAGGTTCCGGCCGTCACCGCCCATATCTGACATGATCGAGTATGTCGACGTCGGTCGCGCCAGAGTCTGCCGTCTAGCAGAGAGATGGCCGTTGGGGGCTGCGAGATTCTCGGCAGACCCCGAGCCCGCTGGCGACTTACCCGCACGGGAATTCCGGTAGGGTCGATGGTGGTAATGCAACGGTTCAAAGTTTTCAACATTCTGCGTCTCACTCTCCAAGCTGCCACTGGAGGAGTTCTTCTGGCTACCACCAGGTACAGTGGGACCAGCAGACGATGTGCCTGGCTTGGGAGAGTCCCCCGTCTCATCCTTGAGCTGATGGTCTATGACAGACCAAGAACCGCTATTGGCAGGGGTATGTCCATGTCTTCTGGATCCCGGCGCTGGTGGAATAGTCCCGTTATCGGTCTGCCTTGGTTGCGGTTCGTCATCGAGCGAGATGTTGGTGAAGGCCATGGTGGGAAGAAAGTCTCCGCCATTGCTGCGTCGCGTTCTTTCGATTGTGCTGTTTGATACCTCTGCCGAGTTTGTCTTGTCAAGAACTTGGACTGGGGGCGATGCAGGATGTCCGGACCCTGGCCGAGAGAAAGGCACTGCTTTCCGCGCGATGCTTTGGCTGGGGCGATGCGAGGGGATAGATCGGGGAGTTGATTGACTCTGAGACGGAGAAAGCGGGGGAGAGGACCGAAGGTAGACGGGAGGAGGTGAGGATATAGGCTGAGGGTATTCAGCTGCCACCGGGCTTGCCATTTTCGCTCCAGATGTTGTAAAGGCAAGCTGTCGGTCAGAGATAGGAATTCGCTGTTGCGATAACAGCCAGATAACCAGATCGGATGAATCTCTAGAGAGTGGATCTAGCTGCAGTAGGCGGCGTTCACAGTGGGGGTCTATAAATCAGACATCGAAGAGTGCGATGTAAACGCAACAAATTCACGGCCGAAAAAGGGGGTGAGATTCAACACTGAAAAACTGTTGGAGATGTTGCAAGATTTTGCTATCACGACAACAGATATGTGTAGCAGTATACGTGCTTGAGGGCTGGGGATGAAACCACCAGATCGCGGAGAAACGCTGGAGTCGGGGCTGGGTCCACTGCTTGGCTGTAAGTACCTTATGAGAGGCTGCTGGGGTTGGGATGGTCGGGAACGCGTACCTTGAACTCAAACGATGGAAAGCGATGGAGCAACGAGTGTTCGGCACAGCTATGTAGAGCGAAAGACTTCTGTTGATGATAGAAAGCGAGAGAAAAAAAACCTCAAATGCCTGACAGCGAGAGAGGGAAACCTCTTTTTTTTGGAGAAGAGGAGACGCTCGGAGAACACCAAGTGGTTCTAGTCTGCTCGTTAGTACGGACGGTGGACGGAGTATGGTACGGTATGAGTATGGGTCTGACCAGTCTTGACCGGTTTACACTTTACTGTATCCAGCATACGCTCTCCTTTCGCTTGAGGTATGAAAAACCCCCCACCTGAATCAGTCTTTGCAAGGTCAGGTGGTAAGTAGTGAACTATCTTGCTGTCTTTTTCCATCGCCTTCTTTTCACCCCACGGTGCTATAACTACTTAGTAAATAATAGTTGATACTTCAGAGACGGAAACATGGTAGCATTGATTTTATTCCATGGCCCTGGGGAACCCCTGGGATATTCCCAAGGACCAAAAGGTGTACCAAAGGTCAAGCTAATTCGGCATCAGCCAATACCTCACAGCGTATGATGATGGGCTTGGTTACATCTATTGCCTACACAGCCCATGGAATTTAGGCTACAGTACACTCAACACTACTAGAACGCAAGAACTGTCACTAGGTAACTAGATATAAATTGCAGTCATTCAATGAATTTTAGCATCAAATTGCAACCTCTCCTGAAGACATGATCAACTCCCATATTGACTAGATCTTACTTGGTCCTAGGGAAAACCGCGCCGGTAACTCTGTATGAGTAGGTACAGGCCACAGAGTAAGCCGTATTTCGCGGTATTCTGGCTTGAAACTACCCGCCAATAATACCTAGTCTTCCATACACTGAGCATGACGATCGATCCCAACCTACCTAGGTACTACTCTGTATGTACTCCGTACAATGCTGGTTGTTTCACTTCTACTTCGGACTACGGAGTACCTTGGCGTATGATGAAGGATCAACATCAAATGTTGTACCAGCACCATTCCTCATAAAAAAAAAAAAAGAGAACTGTCATGACATTGGGTGTCCTATTCAATCGTCTTCAAATCGCATCCTCAGCCCAAAATAGTCGTCAGCTTGATGTGTTGTCTCTCAACAGCCGCAGGCTCCGTGGCATATACAGCCAGCCATGTGGCTCATCAATCTTGTCACCGAGCGCTGCTACTCTGTATTTACTGATCGACCTACATGTTCACCTCAGGCCCCAAAGGACCGAGGAGATCATCCATAAGTTGCCAAGCCTTTCCCCTAGAACTAATCCTAAACGGCAAAGCTTTAATGCTGGCGATGATCTTTCTAAATCTACAAGCTAGTCGCTGTAGGCTTCACAGACGCTCAGTCTCACGTCTACTCTGAAGAAGTAAAATTTTACGCAACAAAGACTTCGTATTCTGTGAGTTCCCTTTGCTTGATTCACAGTTTTCAAGCCTGTTACAAGGCTGAGGAGGATCCCACTGGTATCCCCCTGAGTATCTCGTATTCCAGCCGCAGTCTAATATGCACCATGATCGAAAATTGTCTATGCGTTTGTACAGAGCACACAGCTCAATACACTCACAGTCCTCGGCTCCAGCAAGGGATCTGTGGCTATTGAGTAAGTATTGGCCTCTTCAATAGTTCAGGAGTCAGGACTCTAGCTTCCTGAAGTATCAAGTTCACTAGTCAGATCATTCCCCACAGCCAATGCGATGCATCATGCCGTCGGTCTGTTACCTTGTACTCCACATGGACGGCATGAGTAGGTCGTCCACGAAATCGGGACGGAGTCGCGGCTCATGGATCATTCTGGACTCGGAAGTCGGGACACTCATGGCTGTACAAATGTGGCTGAAACAAGATGGCATATTTAAGCAGGCGGTTTTCTTTCCAGCCCAATGCATGGCATAATGGTCATCAATGGATGGGCTTTGTGCGCTCTGACATTGTAGACAGTCTTTCACACTTTGATCTTTGAATGGTAAATGGAAAGCTGAAGACAAGATTCGAAGTCTGATATGTCATAATATGCAACTGTATTGGTCTCGATGCTTGCTACCTATTGTACAGCAAGGTAGTTGATTTTATAAAAGTCTATCAACGTAGCAGACAGCACTTGAGTAGGTCAATAAAACTCTGATACTCTGCATATTGCATAATGCACCCAGGCTTCTTTCCTTGCTATATACAACTCAACCGCGCTGATCATATCTAGGAATGGTGCAGAAAAGTGATTCCTGGGAGTTTCTCTTTGTTCAAAATGATCAGGAAAACTGCTGGAAAAGTAACTTGTACATCTGGTCATCTACAAAGCATCCAGACTTCATATGGATCATAATACAACACAAAGCAGGATGTATTCAAGCAACAGGTTGTTGCATACCTTGCACAAGTAGTAGTACACAGGGGTTATGGAGTACCTATCAGATTGAAACATTGCATAGCAAGAGGATTCGAAAGTAGGGAATGAAGCATCTTTACTCTTCCCGGTGCATTAAGCGAGCGGTAGACTAGCAAGCAAATCCCAACTTCCCTGAATGCGATTCAAATTAAGTTACGGCGAGCTTTGAGCAGATCAAAGCTAATACATACCGGTCTTTGATTATTTGTCAAGAGTCATCAATCTACTGCATGGGGCTGATCATTCTTCATCATGATCTGGTATCGAGTCGGGTGTGTTACCCTGACAGTCTATCTGATTGCATCATCTAACAACAAATTCTGCCATCATCACCATGCATGAGGAACAGTGTATTAAATACCACTATGGCCTTCTTGACTAGTTTCTAGTGTGATGGCCAAATCAGACGCATTTACAACCCTATCGAATATGCATACTCCATCATGGTGCAAGGCGAGTCCTGGTTGGAGTTTTGGTCGATCAATGTACAAGCTGTGAGGAGACAAACCTTGTCATCTATAATTGAGAGTGTTATTCTTCAGGTTTAGGTGGGGTGAGACTGAGAGACGAAACTGCCGAAGCTGCGACAGATCATGCGTGGTGGGAATCAGGGTTAACCTGGAGAGGACGAAAAGCAGCTACATATGCATCTATTTATATCTCTGTCTACGCAGCCTAATAGGTATTGAGTGATTTTAATATAAGTAGATCGGAAGACACTCTGCTTTACATGCAAATAACTTCCATCATGGATATGTACATATCACCTACATATCAATCTTCACAGGCTGCGGCAATAATACCCTGCTCTTTCATGTCCATCCCTTTATTGCTTGATCTAAAACAGGAAGAACAAAACAAAGAGCAGAGCCACTCCATGGAATAATGATACCCTACCCAGTACCATCCTTCGTGTCTCTCATGCTTGTTCTCACTCTGTGGCTAAAATCTCCTTGTCATGCCCAACTGTCTGACAAGCGACAAGTGACAAGCCTTAAAGGCTGAGACATCAAGCAAGATGTGTCGGATCGGACTTCGGAGCGTCCGAAAATAGAACACCAGCCGGGTGCTTGGCGCGAGCAGATTCAACAAGTTTCATGTATGGAAGAATCTGACATGGCGCTAATGTAACGACGCCTGCAACCCTTTTCCTTTCACCGCGTTAGATATATCAGTGATCCGGCTTGGGACTGAGAGGAAAAGACACGCAGGATTACTGTGTATGTCTCTGTCCCGACTGCATACTGGGGATCCAGGATTTGGGACGGGAGGTCTTGAGTCTACCTAGTTCTCGACCCAAGATAGTAGTAAACTAGTAAGTAGATACCTCTCCTGACTGACCTGGAGAATTCTGATCGGATTCTCAAGTCTAATCTTTAAGATCGACTGAGGGGCAAATTAGTACTCTGTAAATCATCGACAAACTGAGGGAGCAAAAAAAAAAAACTCTAAGGAAGTGCACCTGAAATTCATTGGCTTGGAACCTGGGAGACTAAGCCTAATCAAGCAAAAAGCAAAATTTCCCGTACCATGATCCAATCAGAATTGAGACTGCTTGACCTTAAGCCGATTTGACAAGGATTCGGGCACACCTCCAATTTTCATTCAGTGCAGAAAGTCAAAAAAGCTCCACATGATTGGTGGACATCAAGACACCACCGGCCTGTCTAGCCCAACACAGTTAGAGCCATTGGAGATTGCCCCTAGCGACGATAGCACATGGCCTTTATTTGTGTACAATTGGTGGGCCCTTGGAAAGTACCTAACAATTTGGTAAGGACTCCCGGAGCACGGTAGCAGTAACTACCTACTGTGTACTCCGTACTGTGGCAGTCGCTATGGAAGTGTATCTACAGAGTAGAAGGGAAATGTACCGCCTTTTTAGCCCCTTTACCACTGGCCTCGATACAGTCTATATGACCACTCTAATAGGTAATGATCCTTCATCCTGTTTTTGTGCAGGTTGAACGTCCAGAATAATACATACATGGAAGTGCTCATATTGTCAGTTCACAACCAGTCTGGATATACATATCCTGGTCCCGTGATGTCCAGCTCAGGCGCCGTAGGTAAGGGAGGAGATACAATGGTGCTCTCAAGTTGCATAAACATCACCCCATACAGTTCCTACATCAGAGACGAGAATCAGGTAATAATAATCATAGGTAATAGGTAATAGGTAATAGGTAATAACATACAGAGGCGGTATTCGCTACGGAGAACAATTGTAGTCCTCCGCTCCTTTGTCACATTAGCTTCACAGTCGGCGTATTTTTCTTTACCCCTTCTTAGTCTGGCCAGCCTTGCTCCGCTGTGCACAGTCCGCACCGTTCAATCGTCTCCATACAACCTTCTCTTGTATCCTCATTTCCATCACAGGATGATGCCCTTTTTCTAAATTCCCTCTCCAGTCTTCACTCATTTCACACAACCTATCTATCTAGTGTCCACCTTCGCTCTAGTATCTATCTACCCGATTTTCCATTTTCATTATACCATCATGACCGAACTGGGTCGCTTGTTTCAATATCAATAGGGATATCTGATCAGGCGCAGCCCTCCCACACTCTCGCCCACGAGTTGTTGACACTCGTCATCGCCACGATCCACGATCCACGATTGTTCCCACTCTTTGAGACCCGTGCCAAAGTCCATCGTTTGCGAATCTTTATCCGATCGAATTATCTATTATCCTTCGTTTGACCTAAAGCCACCGCATATCGAGCTGCTACAGAATATCGTCTGTCCCTGGCATTCCACCACATCGCTGCGCCCGCATTCCGACCAGCAGGAGCACTCAATACGATATATAGAGAAATAGTTCATTATTATTTATGCTGGGAGCCTGGTAGAGGTAACTACTCTTCCAGACACTTTCCCCGACCGGGCGTTGTCATTAGCGCGCGAATCCAACAGATCACGAGTTACTGATAAAGCTATCCATCATTTAGCAACACGATGTCTTTACCCCAGAGGCCGGGGAAAGTTCCTCCGCGACGAGAGGAAGCCCAATCGTTCCGAGATTCGTCGCGCAGACGCCGTGGGGACGCCGAGTCAGGAAACCACAGCGAGACACTTTCAAGCCCCCATCGACACCGCCATCGTCGCCATTCACACAGTTCACGGCGAGCCAGAGATATGGATGAAGAGAGAGTAGAACCCGGTGGAGAACTGAGACACAAGAAGAGTCTGGTCAAGCCGGAGCGCAGCCGTATCGATGAGAGCCATCCCAACTATCACTATCGCCAAAAGTCCCATAATATGCCCACGTACCCTTCGACGACCGGTAATGAACCGTTGATCGAAGGCGATGCACTCGACAGAGACAGCTCACGGAGCACGGAATCTCGAGGGCGGCGCGAGGACTTTGCTACCCACGGAAATATTAATAAACCTATGGAGCGGGCGCCGAGTCGACATCGTTCGAAGAAAAGGAAATCGAGGAAGATTTCGAGGAAGGCAGCTGCAGAGGAGAAACGGCGGCAGAAGGCGCTGGAGCAAGTTCGTCCACCCAGTCCTTGGAGCGCTTACTGTGCCATTATCACTTTCTGGGCGCCGAACTTTATTGTAAAGTGCTTTGGGATGCCGCAGAAGGCACAGAGGGATGCCTGGCGTGAGAAGATCGGCCTCATCAGTATTATCCTGCTGATTGCAACGTTTGTCGGTTTCCTCACTTTTGGATTCACGGCCACCGTTTGCGCATCGCCCCCGTTACGGCTGAAGATCAACCAGATCGATCGTGGCTATATGATCTTTCATGGAGAGGCGTATGACTTGTCTCGATCGAAACATCCGGCGGCTGTCGGTATTCCGGATAATGCCAACGTCCTTTACGACCTGCCTCACAAGTACGGTGGCCAAGATGGAAGCTTTTTCTTTCAGAAGGTCAATGGGGCGTGCAAAGATCTTATCACACTCAAAGAGGGCTCAGACATCCCTACGAATCTCGATGGGGAGCTTGCATGGTACTTTCCCTGCGCACCCTTCAATCAGGATGGTTCGTCGAAGCCGAACTTCACCACCTCATACTACCCCGGCTGGGGCTGCCACACCTCAGGGGTCGCCCGGAGTACATTTTACGGATTGAGCAATTCAGGCGATGTGTACTTTACTTGGGCTGATACAAAGAACAAAAGTCGGAACCTTGCGGTATACTCAGGAAATGTCCTGGACTTTGACCTCCTCAACTGGCTCGATCAGTCGCAGGTCAACATTCCAGATAAATTCCGCGAGCTTCAATCGAACCCCAAGATACGCGGTGTTGACCTGACTTATTATCTTCAGACCGGCGAGGACAAGAAAATTGGCAAGTGTCTGTCACAAATCATCAAAGTCGGCAGTATTGACACAGACACTGTTGGTTGCATTGCGTCCAAGGTCGTCCTTTACGTGTCCTTGATTTTCATTCTGTCCATCGTTGGCGTCAAATTCGTCTTCGCTTTGTTTTTCCAATGGTTCATCTCCCCGAAATATGCGGCCTCGAAGACAAGCATGGGAACCGATTCCAAAACTCGCAAACAGCAGATCGAAGACTGGTCCAACGACATCTATCGGCCTGGGCCCCGTCTCGCAGATCAGTCTTTGCCCGATCGCCCCAACAAAAGAGCCAGTTTCCTGCCGACAACGTCCCGATTTTCCAGTCCTTATACTGTCAGTAATGGAGGTAAACAGCGACCTCACTATGTTACGATGGCGAGTCAAAACTCCACATCTCGACTTCTTCCGAGCGCAGCCAACTCTATGTACAAGCAGAGCCACAACAGCAGCAACGGAACTTTAAGTGCAGACCCCTCGCGTCTGAATCCCTCTGCGAGTCGTTCAAGTCTGGTCGTTGGGGCAGAGTCCGACGGCCTCGGTTCAGCCGGATACATTCACGAATCCGTTGTTCCTCAACCCCCACCCGAGTGGCAGCCGTATGGATTCCCTCTTGCTCATACTTTGTGTCTGGTCACTTGCTACTCCGAAGGTGAGGAAGGTATCCGTACCACTCTGGACTCTATCGCCATGACAGACTATCCGAACAGTCACAAGACCATCATTGTCATCTGTGACGGTATGATCAAGGGTCAAGGTGAAGAATTTTCGACACCGGAAATCGTTCTTCGGATGATGCGGGACCCTGTCGTCCCCATGGATGAGGTCGAGGCATTCTCATATGTGGCTGTTGCCACTGGTTCCAAGCGTCACAACATGTCCAAGGTATATTCTGGCTTCTACGATTATGGCGAAACCTCTGTCATCCCACCCGAGAAACAACAGCGTGTCCCGATGATGATCATTGTCAAGTGCGGTACACCGGCCGAGTCCACGCAAGCTAAACCGGGAAACAGAGGCAAGAGAGACAGTCAGATCATTCTGATGTCTTTCCTGCAGAAGGTTATGTTCGATGAGCGGATGACGGAGCTGGAATTCGAAATGTTTAATGGGCTATGGAATGTTACCGGAATACCGCCCGATTTCTACGAAGTGGTTCTCATGGTTGATGCCGATACCAAGGTTTTCCCTGACAGCTTGACCCACATGATTTCTGCCATGGTGAAGGATCCGGACGTTATGGGATTGTGCGGCGAGACCAAGATTGCCAACAAGACCGACAGCTGGGTGACAATGATCCAGGTTTTCGAGTATGTTTCAGCGTTCCTTCGTTTCCTTTTGTCTAGACTTTGCTAACTTCGACAGATACTTCATCTCGCATCATCAGTCCAAGGCCTTCGAATCAGTCTTTGGTGGTGTGACCTGTCTGCCCGGTTGTTTCTGCATGTACCGCATCAAAGCGCCTAAGGGAGGCCAAAATTACTGGGTTCCCATTCTGGCCAACCCGGATGTGGTTGAGCACTATTCCGAGAACGTGGTTGATACTCTGCACAAGAAGAACCTGCTTCTCCTGGGAGAAGATCGTTATTTGTCAACTCTGATGCTTCGGACTTTCCCCAAGCGTAAGCAGATCTTCGTGCCCCAGGCAGTGTGCAAGACGGTGGTGCCCGATCAGTTCCTGGTTCTTCTGTCTCAGCGGCGTCGCTGGATCAACAGTACCGTCCACAACCTCATGGAACTGGTCCTGGTTCGGGACTTGTGCGGCACATTCTGCTTCAGTATGCAGTTCGTTATTTTCATCGAGTTAGTCGGAACCCTCGTGCTGCCTGCCGCCATCGCCTTCACGTTCTATGTCGTTATAATTTCCATCATCAGGAAACCGGTTCAAATCATTCCCTTGGTCCTGCTGGCACTCATCCTGGGTCTGCCTGGTATACTCATCGTCGTGACCGCACACCGCTTGGTGTATGTGTTGTGGATGCTAATCTACCTACTCTCGCTACCCATTTGGAACTTTGTCCTACCGACGTATTCCTATTGGAAGTTTGACGATTTCAGCTGGGGTGATACTCGCAAGACGGCTGGTGAACAGGACAAGGGCCACGAGGCTGGAGAAGGCGAGTTCGATAGCAGCAAGATTACCATGAAGCGTTGGCGAGACTTTGAGAGAGGTATGATCCCATCCGCCCTCTTTATTGAGGAATCATTTGACTAACATGTTCTTAGATCGCCGATTAAGGACGCAGCAGAGCGGATGGGGACAATCACCGTATGGTGGAGGGTACCCGTCCCAGTTTGAACCATACTCAGACTACTGAGAGCCGTGAGATTCTTATACTTATTTTTTCTTCATTTGGATAATAATCATGACCCTGGGGTTCTTGTAAAATGTTGCGTTATCATTCATTTTCATTTTTATTTATTTATTTTTTGTTTTTTGGGAGCGAAGTCTCAAAAATGATTGTCAATACATTATTTGGGGAGCCTATATGGAGGTTCAAAGTATCTGTATTTTTGCCTTCAGCCTGTCCATCAGCGTCATTGTCCATATTTTCGATATTGTCATTCTAGAGTCCACTAATATCTAGCTCACCTGTACATGATTTTGATGGTTTGCTTATAGCTGTTGGTTCTGCGTGGTCAGCAAAAGCTGGTTGGAATGATAATTTTCTCTGTGCTTGGGCCTGATATCCGTTGTATGTACTCCGTACTCCGTAGGATATGTAGGAGAGCACACCTGAACAACCAGTCCTCGTCAAAATGGCTCCAGATGAGCGAGATCATCGACTCTTTCCATTGTCATCCTCTTCTTCCTCTCTGTTCCTCTTTCTCATCACTATGTTGATGTCTTTGATCAAAGCAATGTGGACATCGGCAGAGGCAGGAGGTCCAAACCGCAACTTTTCGGACGTTTCTCGGCTTCCCTGACTAAGGATCCCAGCTTCATCATTATTCGTCTCCAGCAATCTGAACATCGCCTTCCTTTCATCCCGTCACTTTATTAAGTTATCTCTTTCTTCCTTTGATATTAAGCTGGTTATCATTTCCATCAGCTGATCCACTCGAGAAATAGGATAGCTGCTGTCTGCTCCATGTGACGGGTTGTCAGACCTCTCTTGTCTTCGCATTGTTCGTTTCATTGTCTTCTCTCGATCTCCTTGAGTTCCCTCCATTCCAAGAGTCCAAACCTCCTTGCCTATCCTCTTTTATCTTTCCCATATAGGGAATAGTATCATAGTTATTCACCTGTCACCTCTGACACTCAGATCGACAACTACTCTACTAGATACATCCGGGTCATGCACGTTGTTGTGCCCAATACGCCGGCCATGCTCAAGTGCGCCATTGTCTTTTCCCCCCATTTCTACCCACGGTTATTGGTGCTCCGTGCTGTGCTGACTTTCACTCTCCAGCATTATTGTCACCTCTCATAATCCGTCTGCCGTCATTGTCTTTGACGCATTGTGAAGAGCCACGAATTGGAACAGCAGCGACACTTTGAGCTTTTCTTGCTATTTGCCATCTCCACCACGTTGGACCTCATTGCTGACCCTGGACTTTCGATATCCTATTTCTAGTCTATTGTTGCAAAGTACCAGGGGTACTTTTTTCTCCTTCTTCATTTTATCCCCCCCCTCCCCCCCTCCCCGTTTCCCTAACCGAAAAGAAATAAAAAAACAGAGATTACATACAGGCTTACGGCTGGGATTATTGCCTATTCTGTTCATTCATACATACATACAACACCACCACCACCCGTCTCCACAGGCTGGGTACATCCAGCAACACCGCCCCTCACCCTTTTGAGATCAGTCACTTTTTTCGGCTCGTCGTTGTTTTCTGCGAACTTGACATCCCATCTTATTTTAGAGCCGCAATCCGTCTTTGCATTTGGTTTCTATCTGGTGTTCGAACCATCATCTCCCTACTCGAACCTCCGGCAACACCTTCTCGTCGCCGCGTTGTGGGGGTGGAGGGAGACTAGCTGCAGGGTGACTGGTGGCTGCAGAGTGCTGGAGCTGTAATCCCTGAACCCGATCGAGGGCAACGTGGTCGGCGGTCCCTCCGCCTCTACAACCAACCCTTGTTACCAATCAGCCCAGATTGGAATATTCTTTTGCTATTCCCTCGGCCTGATCGGCTGGAGTTTAGCCTCATCCTTCTCCCAGTCGGCTTGTTAGAAAGGGATGCCTGGCCAACAAGACTTTGGCTCTTCTACCGTACCGTCCTCCAGTCAACCGGCGTATCCTGGTGATCGCGGCAATCCGACTTCCCACCTTACGTCATGTGATGCGCCTGGGTCAGCACGACCGCAACACACGGACATGTCGTTTGGAAATACCTCTTCCTACGACGTCTCGGACTTTGACAATACGCCAGACGCAGAAGCTCAGCGTGCTATGCAACGCACGGATCTGGATGAGCTCCCTGTGTTGGCACAGATTCCAGACCCTCGCGACGCACGCTTGATCACAGAGCATGGGGTGGACTTGACCGAAGCTGGAGTTTCCGCCTTTACTGCTGTGTCGCAATATCCGAACGCTTACGCGGATGAGAATGAGTCGGCAACTTTCGCCGTGTCAGAAGTCGTCAACGCCGTGATTGCTCGGGAGGATTACTTTCGCGCCGGAGGGAGACATATTCAGACCGCTCCAGTCGACCGCTCGTCATCTCCGCCGGCAGACGTGTACATGTCTGACTCTGATACGACGGATGTTCTAGGGTATCCAGGTGGCGTGCCCATCGGAGCATATATGAGCGGTGGTAGGATGGGCATGGACAGCCTTTCGCATCGGCTTGTGGCTGACCCGGCCTCAGGGCATCTATTTTCCACCATTGCGGAAGAGAGCGATGAGGACGAGGTAGGGGACCTAGTCATGGACTACGAGTCGCCAATGGCAGGGAATGGGTTCGGTATGTCTGATCGCGAGGACGATCTCGATGACACGCAAAAGTTCTACCTCGACCATGACGATGAATTCTACGAAGATTATGTCGATCGCATTCGAACTCGTGAAGCGACAGGCCATCTTTCCGACGTCGATTTCAATGATTTCTACAGGGCCTTTGATTATGGTCAGATTCCGTTGGTCACGGAAGGTGGTACTACTGCTGAGCCCGACGAGCACAATGACCATATTCCTGAAGGCGAGGAGTTGAACGGGGAGCAACTGGCGGACAATCACATTCCTGCATCTGTGATACACGGGACAAGTAAGCATCTATTTGGTGATATCTTCGGTGATATGTGGCACCGAGCTAACGCGCTGTCTCGATGTAGCCCATGAAAGGAATTTTAACATTGACCAGTTCATCAGTCAGTGGGTATTAGAAGCCTCCGGACTTCCAGCATCGCGCCCACCCGTAATATCCAGGTTACTGCCCTCGCATCCCGTATCTAGAATCCTTGACTGGACACCGCCAGAGAGGATCGTCCGGCCTAGGGGATATAAGAGAGAGTTCTACGATATCCAGCAAATTCCCTGGTGGGACGCACTTAAGATCAAGCGCTCGGATGCTCGCGAGCTACGAGATCTCTGGTATACCTCCTATCACAATGTGGAATATCCGCATCACCCAACAGGAGCCAGGCTTCCGCAGAGCGAGTGCTATTTCCGGGAAGAATCCATGCACACCAAACATCGCGCCACCATTGAGCACTTCCAGCTTCGAAACTTGATGTCCGTCCCCGCGTATAATACCGTTCATTTCTCGCACGAATCCAAGGTCTATTCATGGGTGCCTGGGTATGATGACCTGAGTTGCTTGGTCGATCTATCCAAGCCAACGATAGCCTCCGGGTTTCACAACCCGGTCAAGATCTCGAGCATGAAATCCGCGCATGATATTTGTATTGCGGGCGGGTTTACCGGAGAATACGCCCTGCGACGGTCAGTGATGGAGGGCTCAGGGGTGGAAGGATATGTGACCAAGAATCCCAATGGCATTACCAACCACATCGATATCGTTCCCAGCCGGACGAGTCACGCTCCGCTGGGCATCTTTGCGTCGAACGACCAGCATCTCCGCGTACTGGACAGCGAGACGAACACATTTATCGCGGACCACGAATTGTCGCGAGCCATCAACTGCACTGCCACTTCTCCTGATGGTCGGTTGCGCGTGGTGATCGGCGATTCCCCAGACGCCTGGGTCGTGGAAGCAGACACGGGGCGGCCGGTGCATCCGCTCCGGGGCCATCTTGACTTCGGATTCGCGTGTGCGTGGTCACCGGACATGCGACACATTGCCACGAGCAACCAGGACAAGACGGTGATCATCTGGGATGCGCGCACCTGGCAGATCCTCCAGCGGATCGAGTCGGACGTGGCGGGCTACCGCTCCGTCCGATTCTCACCCGTTGGCGGCGGGCCGCGCACGCTGCTGCTGGCCGAGCCGGCGGACCGGATCGCAATCGTCAACGCGCAGACATATCAAAGCCGACAAGTGCACGATTTCTTTGGCGAGATTGGCGGAGCAGACTTCTCGCCGGATGGCAGCACGATATGGGTGGCGAACACGGACGAGCATTTTGGTGGGTTCATGGAATTCGACCGCCGACAATGGGGCCAGGCACACGGGCCCCGGGGACAGCCGAACGAGTGGGTGCGCGAGTCGGAGCTGGATGAGGACGAGCGATGTGTGCTCAGTGAGCGGGAGCGGCAGATGCGGTTCTGGTGGAACCTGAGCGACGAGGAGCACGAGGCATTGCTGCTGTAGCTGCAGCCGTAGGCTGTGAGCTATGAACCGTGGAGTTTGTGGCTGCTCCTGTCTGCACTCAGCACTCAGCACTGTGGACTGAGACTCGTGGACTGTTGTTAGTTGTCAGTGGTGTGGCGCTGGCTGGCTTGATTCGGTATTTTGCGGTATTTACCACTATTTACTTGGCGGCTTGGCCGTCTGCTGTGGCTGCCATCGTGGTTGTGCTGTGTGGCTGTGCCTATAGTCCCGGGAGGTGTTCTGTTTTGATTGCAGCGAATTATGATACCAGGTACCCAATTTATTTGTCGTTTATTATTGCAGGGTGAATCTTCTTCCAGTCTTTAGTAGAGCAACGAAGTTCAAATGGTCCCGCCGCCCCATACACTGAGGTCTGAGGGACTCGTCGCTGTGGCTGTGGCTGAAAAATGGATCCCATCCATATTCCCTTGGCTGTATTGTTCACCTTCTACGGAGTTTCATTGGGTGGGGGAAGCTGAGAGAAGAAGGATGGTGTCAGGCTCACTGGTTGCTATCCACGGTGTTGATTGATGATGGAACCGCTGATGAGTTTCATGGGCCCGGATTCACCTGAAGGAGGACTGAAAATTGAGAAATGAGGACTATCAGCAAACCAGACTACCTACAACGGAGTAGACCGTGGGCTGTGGTCCGTGGGCCACTACGTAGATAGTCTGCCCCGCCAGATCTGCTCCAAGCCTCCACGAGATTCATCATTCATGCGATACGATCATCGACCGACCTTGGCATGGTCATTACCCCTCGTCTCCTTTTCACCAGTTATAAAATAAAACTATCGAGCTCTCCTCCATCTTCCATCCATCCTCCCCTATATATCTCTCATCTGTCTTTCTACAGTCTGCATATTTCTCATACCTCATCCACCAGCTCCCAGAATGTCGCTCTCCAACTTCATCCAGGACGCCATCAGCGGCGCTACCGGCCACAATAACGAGAACAACTCGTCCTACGGAAATAACCCCTCCTACGGCAACAATCCCTCCTACAGCACTAACCCCCCTCCCTCCCACAACCCCAACAACAGCGCCCCCTTCGCCAACGACGACTTCAACCCCGCCCTCCGCTACGCCGAATCCCACTCCAACACCTCCTCCAACGACTCCTCCCTCTTCACCTCCGCGCTCTCCTTCCTCAACGAAAACAAGCACCGCTTCTCCGACGACCGCGCCGACCTCAACGAAGCTGACGTCGTGCGCGCCCACCAATCGCTCTACAACAACAACGGCGGCAACGAAGGCCAGGGCCAGGGCCGCCACGACGCGGGCTCGCTGGGCGCCGGCGCCGCGCTGCAGGCGCTGAAGCTCTTCACGACCTCGTCGGAGGGCGAGAAGAGCGGGATGAGCAAGGATGCGTTTATCGGGCTTGCGATGGCGCAGGCCAAGAGGCTGTTTGAGGAGAAGGAGGGGAAGGGTGAGGTGGTATGTTCATTATTTCTCTTTACTCTCTTTCCCCCGTTCTTCTGTTTTGTCCCTGGTGATTTTGGGGGCAGGGTGATGACATGCTAACGAGGACGGGTGTCCACAGAGTGGTGATAAGCAGTCGGCGATCAATTCGGCGGCGGAGATGGCGCTCAAGATGTACATGAAGAGCCAGGGCGGTGGAATGTCCGGGACCGGTGGGCCGGGCGGTTTGTTGTCGCTGGCGAGCAAGTTTATGTAGATTTGATGTTTTTTGAGTGTACGATGTTCTTTTTGCCTTTAACAAATGCTTTGTTGTTGCTGTTGGGATGGCTGGATGTTTGAACTCCGTATATAGTACCGCAATAAAGGCCAAAGATCACAACCACACGCTTATATACGCTCTATACTGTAGGATCTCATGCTACCTACAAATCAATCGATCCATGCCGCCGGGCATCTGTCAAGATCGGGGGGTATGCAAGCGCCAAAACAACGAAGGTTCCGCTTTTGGTATCAGAAAGCCAGACCCACCACGAAACCAACTTCAAAACACGCAGAAATCGAAAGTATGAAGCAGAACAATCTACGGTGTGGTAACTGTCAAACGGCAAAAGAAGAACAGGAGAACAAAAAGGTAAAAAAGGGGGTAAAGTAGAGAAGGATAGGCATTCAAAACAGAAAAAAAAAGCAAGGGGATGAACAATCACCAATCGTCATCGTCGTCATTCTTCCCCTGCATCGCATGTTGTCGCGCTCTCAGTGCCTCCGCAAGTCCACCAGCTAAGCTGGCATTGGATGCGCTGTTCGGTGTTCCACGCCCGCTTCCTCCGGATGAGTCGTGCGAGTTCATGCTCACCGCGCTATCGCGAGGAGCCGGTGGCGGGGCCGGAACAGCCTTGCGTCCCGCCATGTTAGGTCGCTTTGCTGGTGGTGCGGGAGGTGCTGGCTTGGCCTTTGCAGCAGCCGCAGCTCCGTTGACCGGTGTTGGGGTGGATCGAGGAGCCGCTGGTGGCGGAGGGGGAGGAGTGGGTTTAGGTGCGGGCGCAACTTGCTCCTCGAGATAGGCTTCGGGTGTCCAGCCTTGGGAGGAGGTCGCCATATTCATGCACAGCCACCAACCTGCGTTCGTCAGTATAACGCGATAACTAATGCCATGAGCGAAAGTAACATACCGTTCCCTTCCTTAGACACAATCTGTACAATCTCGCCAGCCTTGATAGACAGTTCGTTGGGCTGTTGGCTGTTGAAATCGTACAGAGCCTTTGCAGTTGGTTTCTTCGGCGCAGGAGCAGCCGCAGGAGGGGGAGGCGGAGGCGCTCGCACAGAGGCTGTTGAGCCCGTGCGAGCGTGGGAAGCTGCAACAGCCGCAACAGGCTGGGGCACAACCCGCGCGGCTGGCTGAGGGGCGGCCGGTTGAGCCGCTGCTGGCTGGGGGGTAGCTCGGGGCAAAGGCTGAGCTGCCGGAGTAGGTCTGGATGCCAGTTTCGATGGCCCTCCTCCAGGTCCACCTGGCCGGAGCAACTTGCCTTTCGTGACAGGACGTGCGCTGACTGGTTTCGGTCGGGGTGTGGGCTTGGACACCGAGCTAGCGGGTTCACCAGCACCGGTATGGATAGTACTACTCTTGTAGGTGTCGTCTCCGGTGACGGCCGGATCCTTGACAACCTTGACGGTGGCCATTTTGCCGGGCTTCTTGCTATATTCAATGCTATTTTTTGGTTAACGACGAGAGAGAAAAAAAAAACCAGCGTCTGGCGACACTTACTGGTCGGCAATCTTCAGGTTCAACTGGCCACGAAGCGCGTTGTTCAAGTGAGTGAAGAGTTCCGTTTTGAACACGCAGCTGAGAAGAGGATCGGGCTCTTGCGCACTGCCAACCACGATCGAGAACCAATCATCCTTCAAGTTAGACGCGCTGATAGCCTTAATGGCCCCAATGGGAATCGTTCTTTCAGAGGAGATGACGAGCTGGTTGTTGAGAATGTTTTGCGCAATGATGTAGATATGGCGATTCGTCTGGGAGGGGTTAGAAACAAATAGGGGTGCAGGGCAGAAAACTTCAACGACGTACCAAGACAAGTATGCGCGGAGCAGGTTTGCTAGATCGACCGAACTTGGAGACCAGAACCTCGCCACGGCAAGAGAAAAGAATGTCCTCCGATCCTATTAGAATTAGTGTTAGCAACCCTTTTAAACCTCGACTCTCACCACTCAAGCACTCACCACTGATGCCTGCACCATTTCGGACCATCTCGCCAGGACCACCTTTGTTGCCGACTCCAATGTAATCGCCGAGGAATCGACGTGAGCCAAGCAAACTCATTCTACGGCGCTCTTTGCGGCCATTCAGCAGCTGGTGTCCCTGGTCACGCAGTTTGATGAATTCAAGACCACCGGTCGTACGGCGCCAGAAGCGTTGAATGCGGGTGGCACACTCGATACGGTAACGTAGATAGTTTCGCCACGCGCGCTGGATCCGAATGGCCATGTTGTGCCAGTAGCGGTCACGCATCGCCTCCAATGCGAAGAGTGTCTCGGGAGTCTTGACAAACACCTTTGTGATACCCATCTGGTACTCCTCGGCGGGGATACTGGTATCCTTCAAGATCTGACGAGCACCCGATTCTGCACTGCCTGTCCAGGTGTAGTCACCCGCGTAGGAGGTTTTGGGCGACAGGAGGTAGAAACGTTCCACGAACTTGTCGAAGGTCTGGCGATAGGCGAAACCAGCGCGCCTGATTCGAACGTTTTCCTGTAGACCCAGGTACTTGATCTGATGCAGAACGTTACCAACATTATACTCCCTGGGCGCCTTGTTATCGTTTGGCTTGATCGTTCGAATGTATGACGGCTGCGCCTTCATCAAGGTCGCTACCAAATCGTTGGCGGAGGCCTTGATCTTGTCGCTTGCGGTGGGTGGCCGTCTCTTGTCATCCTGGTTGACTTGCTCCGGGAAGAGAGTGTGGACAAACTGGTTGCCACTTGACCCAACAAGGTTCAGGAGATCTTTCAAGAGCTGATCCTTGTTCTTGTCCGTCATTCCGGTAACAGCGTAGCTGACATCACCGGCATAATGCTTCACAATGAACTGGCCCTGGCGGTTCTCGAAGTTTGGATTCTGAGAAAGGAAGTTCAATCTGCCAACAAAAGTGTTGTCTGCAGCACCGGAATCGGCGTGCGCAGTGGCACAGGCGTCGTTCAGAGCGGCGAAGACACCAGGTGGGCGTTTATCTTCGATGAGCGAGCACACAACCTTGTTGTCAAAGTACTTGATGGGGGTCCACTGAATCTGCTCACGAGCATACTCATCCTGTTCGGCCTTGAGCGTCAATTGGATAAAAATCTGCTGCAGCTTCTCGTTAACATAGTTGATACAAAGCTGTTCGAAAGAATTCTTCTCGAAGATCTCGAAGCCGTAGATATCCAGGATTCCAATCGAGTTTGCAATCTCTCCGCGGGCAGCCAAGGAGGAGTTGACACGCTGCACAATCCAGTCGAATAGATTGAAGTAGATGGCCTTCGCCAGCGCATCACGAACGGCGAGAGCCTGGACAGTGTTCAGTGGAACCTCGTAGATGGATCCTCTGCGGCCGCCACGGGCCGTCTCCATCACGCGAATGGTGAAAGCCTTGTTCACTTGAGCAGCATCGACCTCCAACAGATATGCGATGAAATCGACCACTGACTGGTCTGTGATAGCGGCGTTGCCGGAATCGTCCTCGGCGAACTGGACGTTGCCAATCCACAATATGGCGGCTAGCATACGGAAAACATTATCCTGCTCGCTTTCCGTCATACCGATGACGTTCATCGCATTGACAGTATCGCGGAACTCGGCAGAGTCGTCAATGCCCGGAACATCGTAACATTTCGATCGGCTCGTGTAAAGGTAGGATTGCGGCTGCTGGATACCGAACATATCTTGTGATTCGGGTTAGTTGGAGGATCTCATCCGGGTATGAACATTCATGCCTACCTCTATACTTTTGCGGCGCGGCTTTTGTAAACTGATAGAAGATATGGAAGTTTCGCTCGTTCGTGATCTGTCCTACTACTCTGGACTTCTCTAGCAGGTAGTTGGTGATGTTGGCACCCACGGGCTCACCGTTGGTGTTGAACTCCAATTCCAGGTATTTCCCGAATCGCGAGGAGTTGTTGTTGCGCAGGGTCTTCGCGTTACCGAACGATTCGAGCAGCGGGTTGGTAGCCAGCACCATCTCCTTGATCTGTTGAATGGACGAGTCGGTTCCTCCGGATACGCTAGCGATGTACTGCATGATGCGCTTCGCAGCTTCCGTCTTTCCTGCGCCCGACTCTCCGGAAATGATCACACACTGGTTATCTTTGTACGACTTCATGTTGTAGTAGGCGGACTCCGCAACCGCAAAGACGTGAGGCGGCACCTCGAGTCGGTTCTTGCCTCGATAAGACTCGAGGACATTATCGGTGTATATACCCACTATGAGGCAGAGTAGTCAGTCACGCGGCCCCTGGAAGTTGCTTTTTTTTTTTTTGTTCTTAAAGGACAAGACTCACAATCTCGAAACGGGTTGACGGACACCAACACATGTCCAATATATGTCTGTTGTCCAGAGATGTGACATTAGCGTCCACCCGTAGGACCGCATCGGCCACGAAGCCTCCTGAGCGGCGGGATGCTTACATAGATCTCATCATGTTCAAATCGCAGCTTCAGATTGTCGTTGATCGCCTCGTTGGAGATCTTGCTGAGCAATGTAAGATCCGAAACACCGATCTCCTTCTTCTTTGTGCTCTCGAACACCGCCTTCTTCACTTGCGGCTTGCCCGCTTGTCGCCCATCGCCCACATCGGCGGCCGCCTTGGACCGACCGAAGCCTCGACTCTTCTTTTCTCCGCCAACAGGACGTCGTGAGTGCCCCTATCGCAATCGCAGAATTAGCAAGTGGTCCAGACACGGCTTGCGAGTATCGCAACTGTTTTGCTTCCAAGCAGAGAGGTAGGAAATGCGAAGACGTACCATAATTGCTGTTACCGACTTCCCCGGATACGGCGCCCAGGCGACAGGATATCTGACCTATCAGTTTGACGGAACACGGCAAAGAAGCGTTCCAGAAAATGTGAAGAGTGAAATTCAAAAGACAGGACGCTCAATCCAAGCGAAATACGTGGTAGATGGAGTGAAATGATAGGTATCAATGTTAAGGAGAAGGGAGGGGGGGAAGAGGGGGGGGGAGTTTGGGAGTGATAGTAGTAGTTAGTAGTAGGAGGAACTTAGAATGACGATGGTTTGTCTGTGGAGGACTCTGGACTCTCTCTCTCACACACACACGCACCCTCTCTCTCTCCTGGCCCAGTTGATCCCGCTGATGGGCTCTGCGCCACACTGCGCACACATGTGGCACCGTTGGGTGCCTTTTGTTAGGTCGACAACGCGCAATCTCCCTTGGCCCCTTGGTTAAGTAATAAGTTGGTTGTTGGTTCATAACGGGATCATATCCGACTCTTCCTAAAGGCTAAACTTCTTCGAGATTTATTTTTGTTCGATTCTTTTATTCTGGTCGCCCGCTCGAGCATTATTTGGGCCTCCACGGGCGAGTCACTCGTGGTCCCTGGCACTAATTACTGTCATTGACCATTGTCTCCAGTCTTGGCCTCAGGCAGTTCAGGCCAAAATAATCGGATCATCAGCCCTCATACGTCACTGCTGCATCTATGCAATGTTTCTGCCTTTTAGTCGAGGTGAAGTTGTACTTGGGCACCTCGATATGCACCATCATGCATTTTCTGGGAAGTAACTGGGGTTTGAGAATGAAGACTTGGAAGTAGTTGTGCGATGGTAGTTGTGTTGGGTCATCATCTAAAATATGCAAATATATATCTATACCTTTGTTCCGAGCATCTTCAGACATTCCCAGGGCCCACTTTCATGAGGAAACGCCGACCCAAAGAGATGGAAAATACCGTATCCCTACTCAACAACTCTATCGGCCTCCCAGAATTCCAGAATTTCGCTGGCTTGTTGACCGAGATATTCTCCAAGGAGAAACCTCCCCTCCGAGGTGCGGACAGACTGGCTTAAGGCGTTCAAGGACGGAAACAAATCACTGAGAACATTCGCGTCCTGCTCGGAAAGGGAAGCGGAAGACGGCGTTCGCATATGATATAGTAACGACACAGTGTCTGCGAAAGGCCGAGTCATAGACGGTAGATTCACAAGACCGCTGATATACTCCTGAATGCAAGCCACAAAGCACGAAGACTCGGTAACCGGGATAATGGGCAATGGGCCAACCTGGGACTCCATAACGCTGTACAGATTAATTTACGATCATGAACTTGCTTTGAGACCTCAAATATGTTGGAAGTCTAGGATTGGAGCGAGCATACAGCACTTGCAAAGCCATCAATCCGTCGAGGCTATACTTTCCACTCGCGCTGCTGAATGGTTCTTCGGTAAGGAGAAAGGCAATGGCGCGACTGTGAGCAGGTGTTGCAATGTGTTTCCGGAAGTCACTCAGTCGCATGAGTGTTTCCTGCTTGAAAGATCGAATGGATGACTGGGAAAGAAGGAGGATATTCAGATGCTTCGAGTGGTCGAGTTGGATATCAAAATCAGGCCCGTGTAGATCACATTCTATGTGCTTCATAGTAAGAAAAGCATCCGCAATCTATGCGTTCGTGGGACTAGCTAGGTGCGCACCTTGAAGTAGTGGAGCAGAGGCTGTGATGACAGGGCCCATCACTCTCCAGAGAGGACGTTTTCTAAGAGAAGAGCAAAACGTCCCCCGAAGAGTCGAGGCCGCAGGATGGCTTGACATGATAGTTTGTCTCGAGTCTATGAAAGATCCGGAATAAAGATTGGGGAAGTTATATACATTGAGATTGATTGATCATCCCATGGAAACAGAGGGGAGATTAGTTAAGCCATGAGATAGACAGGCTCTCGCCAACCAAGCAAAGAATATGCAACAATAAGAATAGTACCAGCTCATCTATCGACCAAAGACAGAGGGTATCCTGGAGACTGTAATGCAAATGCAAATGTCAACACCAAACTCCGAAAGACATGACACCTTCATGATATAAATAAATACTGGTAAGTCTGTATCAAGACCAACAGACTCAGTGGTTCTTCACTGGTGACGTCTCATTAGTGGCCGGACTTCACCGGAGACACTGATGACTGTTCAGGCGTGGATGTCTTCGGGGGTGATCCTGAAGCTGTCGAGATGGCAGACTGGGATTCTACTGCCGAATCCTGCACAGGGTTCGACATGAAAGGCAAATATGAGGTGATACGTGACCACCAGTCCTGATCTTGAAGATCTTCAGCCTCTCCCTGCTCGACTTCCCACACCTCCCGCGGCAGAATTCTGGCATGCGACTTGACCGACTCCCCAGCCTTGGCTTTGAGATGGAGGACCTCCTTCTCCAAGGCAATTAGAGCCCGACGGGCAGCCTTTTCGGACTGTTCTAGCTCGACCAATCGGGCTTCGACATCCTCTCTCCGTGTGTTTTCCTTTCTTCGCGACCTCCATGACTCGAAGACGATCAATCCGCCAGCGACAAGAAACAGGAAGGTTTCACTGATGAAAGTGGCACCCGACTCGATGGCTTTTGATTCGGACAGCGGGCGGATATGGGGCGCGGGTGCCGGCTTCGCAGTCTCCGTAACGACCGCTTTGGCCTTTGCGATAGCCTGCTCCTCAGCCTTTGTCTCTGCTTCCGTCTTCACTGTTGGCGTCGTGGGTTTGTGTTTGCGGAGTTCGGCTTCCGCGGCTGCGCGTCTTTGGGCCGTGGCACTATCGCGCAAGGAACCTAACCGAAGACGCATATCAACCCGGTGCAGGCCCTGCGCGATCGAGATGCAAAACTTCCTGAACCGTTCATGTTCGCGAGCCTGTCCCTTGATTTGGTTCTTAAAGGCGTCAGCACGGATCATCCACAATTTGAAAACCGACCGGTGATCCGAGACATACCGCGATTGGTTTGGAGAGGGTGCGAATAACGAGGGATGACAGCTTTAATGTAAGAGACATCGTGACAGTTCTCGAACCAAATCGAGGTCCAGTAGAGCAGGAGAAGCATTGTCCTTCGACTTCTGACTGATAATCAGGCACTAAAGCTTCGCCCGCGCGATGTCTGAATCAGGACTAGCCCCTGCGTCATCTGTACAACTGCATAATTGCATTACCTGCAGATAGTGCAAGCTTATGTCATCAATGCACGTTGTTGCGGCAGTCGGATGAATGTTTATCGATTGCCCGATGCGGTAATCCGTTTTGGATGGTCAGTTCATTCTTCTCTCTGCAGTGTTTCATTAGTATTCTCTCCATCTCTCCATACTCATCCCCCCACCTCGCGCCGTTGCTGTCAGTTTTTCAATTTTGAGTGGTGGTGTCAATTGCATATCATTGTTTTGGAGAGCTGTTTTTGTTGCATATATCTTTTTTTGTTCACTTGTTCTGTGGTAAGTCGGATTCTCCATGCTTCGACACCAAACTCTTCTTTGTTCTCGGGACGGAAAGTTGCCTCTGGACCACTATTTCCAGGGACTTGTCTCAGATGGGTTTACTGACTTAGTACGACGACAGTTCCGACGAACAGCATTGCTATTATACCCTTTCCCGCGCTATCCTGCTATCGCCAATTTTTATCGTAATCCTTGATGACTTCAGCGCCTGTTGTGTTCCATTTGCCTGCCTCCCCGCTCGGTTTCGGTGCAAAAATCGATATCTGTATACCACTTCTTGTTTGAACCCAAGGCTGGAAACAAAGATGGAAGCACTGTCGCCGCGATCGACGAATCACATAATTAAACCTAAGATTGTTACGATGGAGAGGAAGGTCCTCGACAAAAATGCCGCCGCCGCCGCAGTAGCACAGAAGGCTGCGTCGTCAAAGATCCATGCAGCACCACCGCCGTCGCTTGTGGCAGAGCCAGAGGAAGGGGGTGAGCGGTATTCAACTGGCGCTTTCCTGGGGAAAGGGGGTTTCGCAGTTTGCTACGAAGGTACTCTCTTGAGAAACGGCCGAGTGTTCGCAATGAAGGTGGTTAAGTCTGAGATGGGCCAGAAGAAGATGCAAGAAAAGGTATGCTTCTGGATCGCGCTTGTCTTTCATCGCATTCAGTACTGCTTGCTGACGATATCTTTCGAGCAGTTTCGTACCGAACTTCAGATACACTCGAAGATGCGACACCCCCACATCGTCGAGTTCCATCGCGCCTTTACATTTTCCAAATGTATCTATGTTATTCTAGAATTGTGCCCTAATGGGTCGGTAATGGATATGGTGAGGAAGCGAAAATGCTTGAGCTTACCGGAAGTCCGGCGATTCATGATACAGCTTTGCGGCGCAGTCAAATACCTACACAAAAGGAGTGTTGCACACCGAGATCTAAAGATGGGAAATCTGTTCTTGAACCGAAACATGGATATCAAGGTGGGGGATTTTGGACTGGCTGCAATGATCGTTTCCGAAAAGGACGAGAAGAGACGGAAAACGCTGTGCGGAACGCCGAATTACATTGCTCCGGAGGTTCTTGATAAGAGCAAGGGTGGGCATACTCAGAAGGTTGATATCTGGTCATTGGGCGTTATATGGTGAGAAGTGAATCCCATGCGGCTATCTCCGAGGAACCTGCACTAATAGAGATCTTCAAGTTTTGCGATGCTCACCGGCTTTCCACCATTCCAGTCGAAAACACAGGAGGAGATCTACAAGAAGGTCAGGAACCTGGCCTATGTTTGGCCCAGTAGCCCCGATTTTGCGAACCACATTCCGGAGGAGGCGAAGTCTCTGGTCAGTTCTTGCCTCAATCTCGCAGAGAACGAGAGACCCGACCCGGACGACCTTGTTGAGCACCCGTTTTTCAGCATGTACGATGGCTGCATACCCCGACGGTTGGATCCAGCATGTTGTACCTCAAAACCTATATGGCTCAGATCCGACGAGCCACGGGGCGATCGAATGATGCTTGGCCATAGTCTGGAATATGACGACAAACTCTCGGCCTATATTGATCATGTCGATGACCCAACACAGCGATATCTTATCTGCCGAGCAGCATTCTACAGTCTCTGCGGGGTTGGGCGTAAACCAGACGGAAGCGCTCGCAAAGCGGTTGGCAAGAATTGTTCCAAATCGGCATTTGCAGAGTGCGTGGCCGAAGAGGAAAGGGGACTTCAGCCGCTCATGCCACTGCCGGAGGATATGGTATACAAATACCCTAATGACCTAGATGGTGACTGGAGTGCCCCCCATTCTGGACTCGCCGTCCGTAAAGAAGACTCGTTGCTAGACAGCACGGCCCTTTCTGGAAGACGCAGTGCGTCCGTCAGAAGCAACGCCGCGTCTCTCACTAGGACGCAGGCTGCTCTGGTTGCAGCCCAGCAGCGACGAAAAGAGCCTCAGAGTCACGCCGCAACACTTCGTCAGCAAGCAATGGGTGGTCGCGGCTCAGCCCGGAAGATCGCAGCTATTTGCGATCCTTCGGCGCCAGCAGTGAAGTCTTTTGCCGACGGGGAGGAGCCTGAGTCTGCAGCACTCGCAGTACCTCCTCCACCAACTGGTGGGCTTGCAGAGAGGCCTATTCGTGCGCGGCGCGGGGTGGCAGTATCCTATTCTGGATCATTACGTGATCTGGACAGGAATATAGCTCCCCCAAGAAATGGGGCAGGAATGCTGACTGTAGGCAAGACACGCTCGCAATCCAAAAGACTAGAGGCTGCTAGTCTTGAAGCGGTTCCTAATGCTGTCATTATCAAGGAGCGAGCTGCTTCTGCGGCTGTAGAGACAATCCCTACTAGGCTACGGCATGGCTCCGTACGGTCAGCCTCCACAGAAGAGATTGTCCCAGCTTCCAAACCTAAAGATCGAGAGCGAGAACCGATGGCGAAGAACGTACCGAGTGGCGGTGGTCAGGTACCGACAGAAGCCAATGCCGCAGCCATGAGCCGTTCCAGTAGTAAGACGACTTCCACATCGAGTACCAAGCGGTCAACCTTGGGATTGTATCCACTGTTCCATCTAGAGGACCGTTGCGAAATGATGCCTAGGACATCTCTTGAGGATGTCAATACAGATCTTCGGCTTATGCTCTCCAACCTGGTGCCCCAGGCAACTATTCGCCGGCGCTCGAGCTCCAGGAGGACACCGCACGCGTACGTCATCAAATGGGTTGATTATACCAATCGCTATGGCATTGGGTATGTTCTGGATGATGGCAGTGTGGGATGCGTGTTTAAGGCAGAGAATGGTCGCCCGGCAAGCGGAGTATTGGTACGCAATGGCGAGAGGCATATCCGCCGAAAAGCGCGTGCTCTCAACAAGCAGAAAGGTGGAGATTATTTCTACTCTGAGGTCGATCAGCTTGTGCCTCTCAAGGGGAGGCCGGTGGAGTTCTTTGAAAATTCTGACAATGAATCTTCAAATAGCCAGACTGGTGTAAGACGCGCACTGATCTCGCCCTCGCTTTTCGAGGTGAAGGCCTCCTCTGACGGCTCCTCTGGTTCTGGGATCAAAGTGCGCACAAATTCCGGACTGGAGTGCGCCCGCGCTGATGCAGAGAAGATCAAGCGGGTGAAGCTTGTCGATCAATTTGGCAAGTATATGATTGGGTCGTTGGGTAGACACGACGACGATGCGACACTGGAGGATGATAAACCACTAGATACCCCTGGCCAGTTTATCAAATTCTACCAGCGACTAGGCAATGTGGGCATCTGGGGATTCGGCGACGGCGCTTTTCAGGTAGGGTTGATGATTATCTTGATATTACTTTTTTTTACTAAAATTGTGTCAACAGTTCAATTTCCCCGATCATACTAAGCTTGTTATCTCTCCTGGGCGCACGCGGGCCTCGTCTCCGTGGATTGACTTCTACCATCTGTCACCCTCCGCAGCCCGCTATCTCAGCGCGAAAGGCAAGATGCATCCATCTGGGTTCGATACCCGAGCCGTCGCCTCGGAAGAGGCCACGACGTTCCTGAGCATTGCACATGGCACGGCAGTGAATCCCATGGATGATCGTATCCGCGACGTTCTGGAGGCCAATTCGTTTCTACGCAAGATCAGTTTTATTCGAGATGTTGTGAATGGTTGGATCACGAATGGGCGATTAGGGGGCCGAGCCTCGCACGATCAGGCTTCTAGCGTCCCGGAAGTGTTTTGGGAGGGCGCGCAGGAACAGGCGCAAGCTGGCGGCGGCAAGTTCGTATGGGTGACAGTGGGAGCCCCTGGAGGGGATGGTGAATATCGATCTATTTCGTTGAAGGACAAGGATGTGGCAGAGAGATCTGATCCCGAGATGGAGGCGTTGAGAGACCGTCTACGGGGGCTGGGCGCGAGGTCCTAGGTTGCGTGCGAATTCGCCTACACTTTTACGATGTCATGACTTTGGTTCTGTACTTTGTTGGCTCAGCGATCGCGCATTTCATTCCCTTTGTGATATCCAGCATTAGTGTTGCGTGGTATTTTGGCTTAGCCTGAGGGTAGCAGAAAGCCCCATTTTGAAGTCCAATTGTTGATACAAGTATTCCGATAGCGTTTATGTATCGATACCCAGGTCTGTGCCAGAATATGCTTGTCGTCCACCACAGATTACATCCTTCGGTCCTGATCGATGGTATGATCCCTTCAGGCATGGAGATATCCATCTCTTCTGTCCGATGAAAACGAGAAGAGAGGCTTATAAATAAAGCAAGCCAAGCAAATCCTCTATACTAAACTCAACCCAAACCCCAACCTTCTACCTCCCCCCTTCCTCCCATCTCTATTCTTTCTACACCCTCCTCAAGAACCACCCACCTGACTCCCCCCAGGTTCCCTCACCATATACCACTGCACATACCCCGCCGCAACCTCCCTCACCTCCACCACCCGAAACCCATACTTCTCATACAGCGGCCGCCCAGCCCGCGACGCAGACAGATACGTCTCCACCCCCTCCGCATCCGCCCTCTCCAGCCCCCACCGCAGAAGCCGCGAGGCAAGGCCCCGCCCGTGATACGCCGGGTGGGTGCCGAGCATATTCAGATCTGGGACGCGTTAGTACCACCCCCTCCACCACTCTTGGACTGGATTGGATTTGAGGTGCAGGAAGGAAGGGGGAGCGGTACAGTAGTGTGGTTTCCCGCGCATGATCTCCTCATGCATCTTCTGCATGCCACCGAAGAAGAGCCTGCAGAGGTCGGCGTCGGAGCTGGCCGGGTAGGAATCTAGCTCTGGCGCTGGCGCTGGGTCTGGCTCTGGCTCTGCATGCGGATTCCGTTGCTGTTGCTGTTGCTGTGGCTGGCAGGGGAGACCCCAGACCGCGAACGCGACCACGGCTTCAGCGTCGGTGTCGGTGTCGGTGTCGACAATCTTGAGGACGCGCTGCGCGGGGTTGGCGCTCATCTGGGCAAACTGCTTGTGCCAGTAGGCTGTGACGTCTGGGGTGGGCGGGAAGATGCGCTGGTTGAAGGGGTCGGAGAAGGCGGCGAGGAAGACGGCCGTTATGGCGGGCGCGTCGGCGGCGGCGGCGGGGCGCAGGTCGAAGGGCATTTTTGGGGGGTTGGTTTTGGAGGGGAAGGAGAGTGAGTGACTGGGGAAGGAGTGGGCAGTGAGATGATGGAGGGAGAGGGAGAAGACTGAATAGAATAGAATAGAATAGTGGTTTGTGCCAAGGCCAAGGAAATGGAGGTGGAGCGCTGAGTCAGTCAGTATGTTTAATGTAGGGTTTAGCACTTTGGATAGAGGCTTGAGTAAGGGTCGTTGGTATGTATTGTCACTATGGACGGTGTAGTTTAGCCTGATGGAGTGAAAGGTTCATCTAGGTCGGGCATCCCAAAGTGGCAACTCCGTATGCCTTGATAAGTCATGTACAGCTCTGCGACGCATGAACTGTCGTCACAAGCTCAAGCTACAAATACAGTATAGAGTTGCTTGTGTTTTTGAACAAGGAACGCGACAAGATCTGACAAGAGTTCTGAATACACTACTAGCATCGGGAAACTTGACGGATGATCCGCGATCCGCTTGATAAGACAACAGCAGAAAAATAGAAGATGACGTCGATATCAATGTCTCTCGAAAACCGGCTCCGGCATAGATATCGGACCGGCTGCATCAGGGTGCCTAGGACGTTCCGACCCTCGAGCCTGGCCCTGCGGAAGAAATGACCGCCGACTCTGCCCTGGAGCCGCCATCAGTCGATTCTCCCCACTCTTGGTCGCCTCGATCTCGCGCTTGACTCCCTCATACATCCCCTCGATGATGGAAACCTCCTCCTGGACGTCCAGCTCGCAGCCGTCCAGACAGAACTCCCGCTCCCGTTGCTCAACATACTCCCGGATATTGCGCCATTCGTTCTGGTAGCGCTTGAGCCGGTCCGGCAGCCCGGATCCCTTCAGGTAGGTCAGGATACCTGCCATGATGGTGTTGATGGCGCCGAACGCTGTCACAGCCGAATGCGGCCCACTCGCAGCCCCGAGTGCTGTCAGGGATGCCGCGACCACAATTTGGATGCCGAGACAGGTGTTGACAAGGATGCTGAAGAAGCGATACCGCTGCGCGGTGGCTTGCTCGGCGCGCACGACGCGTGTGTAGATTCCGATGTTGGGTACGGTGCGCTGGTTGTGATGCGGGATCGTCAAGGCTGGCACACTATCAATACCGGTGAGGGCGCGGAAGGCGAGGAGTTTGTCGGATGGTGGGATGAGGGTGTTGGGTTGTGTGGTAGCTACCGTCATACGACGTAGAAGCTGTGGTCGGATGGCGGATCCCGCTGCCTCCTCGTTCTCTGGGTTCTGAAGATCATGCATCGTCATAATTGGACGACGGCCCTGCTCCTCGCGATCAACGGGGTTAAGCATTGCCGTCTTTACTCGCTTGAGGACGCCTGGTCGAGGATATTCCTCTGACATGATGGATAGTTGTTCGGCCGGGAATGAGGCTTGTCTCTGCAATAATCGAGGACAAAGTTTTCAGACCACGGGCTTGTGACAACCATCAACCCGTGCTGGGGTCTTATTGAACCTTGCGCAGCTCCAGGAAAGGCAAGCATTTTATCTGCTTCCCTCTTTTTTTGCTTTGTTTGTCGAGGCATCTTGATTCAGCTAGTCTGGGGATTCGACATGCAGGGTGGCCTGCTATGAATGATAAGATTGGCAAATCAAATCAGAAGAATTGTTAGTGAAGTGAGATGAGTTGGGACCAATTATTGAGCCACTGCTTGTGCAGATTCCCCCAAAGTGATATTCAGCTGCAGATCAGCTCGTTTTGGGCAATCAAATTCGGCAGATCGCTCGCGACCTGTACCACTATGAACGCCACACGGAGCTGTCGTCCACCATAAGAAAAATCCGAATGGTTTGACTGATTTGGTTCTTTGATGACTTACTCTTCTTCAGAAAAGCAAAAATACGTGATTCGCATTGTCCAAGGATCAAATGGCTCGGTATTCTGAATTCTGATTGTGCGGTATGAAGTAAGTAGGCACCTGGCACAGAGACTTGGGTAAGTGACCTCTCCTCAGTGATAAGCTGTCTTGGCTATGGACGCAGGAACTAGCGCGATGATAAGCCTGAACCTCCCAGGCGAACTGCAGAGTACAGACTACAGAGGGAGGCACCTTCCACGCAGTGCAGGATGCGGACCGTGCTTGTGGAAATTCTCTTTACTAACCTCACGATGAACGATGATAGACATTGTCAAGGCGGGCCTTTCCTTGGGGTACATCTGTTACACCAATGGATTTAAGCATTGCTCGAGACAGATGCACTAATGCGTGGTTTTTGTCATCATCCTGCCAGATTTCGAACTAGTACGCAGTTATGGTGACTGAATCATGGACCGAAGGGCCTTGGCTTGTGCCAGCATGGGGGACAAGTCATGGTTTTTGAAATCAAAGACTGCGCCTATAAGCTCAGTTATGCGACTGGTTAGGTTTATTGCATAGATGATCATGGGTTCATCGTGATTCGAAAGCAGCACTTCTCCTCTACTGAAACGAGGTTCAACATGACCAGAGGTATGATCGTGGGGGAAAGATTTCCAATCGGGTTCCTTGACGACCTTGTCGTTTTGGAGCTGGCTATAGAATCAGCTCGTATGACTGCCAGATAGTTGACTAGCGTATCTTGTTAAGGCATCTCTCTAATGAAAGATGCCTTCAATGCTACATAGCACTGCGGTCGTTGGGCTGTACATCGAGCGCTGACTACCAAAAAGGTCACATTAGTTATGAATCAAACGATCTCAGTGTCAATGATGGATGAAAGAGAGATGGGGAATGTGCGGCGAGACCGACTAAATAACCTCGGCCCCGGGATTAGTCAGGAACTGGGTTACGATAAGCCCGATAAGGGAACCCCCCCCCCCGGCCTGTAGCCAGTAAGTGTCCTGAGTGTTTCCCCTCATCGTGCTCTGGTGGGAGATTTGCAATTGCTGATGAGAATTGCTCATCGGATGTCGGGTGTACTTGTATATATACGTTTGCGCTGTTGAGATAAGATAGGTCGGTTGTCTGAGGCCATTCTGTGTGGACTTGGTCTGCTCTCCCGTTGTTTATCGATCCCAGGACAGGACACTTACCAAGCGATCAGATCTTCGAGTGTGATCAGATCAGAAATTTAAGGTATGACGCTATCGTGTTTTCTTGACAGAATGGCACTGAGTGTGCAGCAACATGGGTGACGCGCCCCTTGTCAAGGAGCATCTGCTCATCGCCTTCCAGCGCGATCTATCACCGGCAGTCGTCGAGGATATCCACACCAAGTTCTCAGATGCCGAGATCACTATCATTCGTCTGGAGAGAGGCTCCCCGGTCCCCAGTGGTAGGTAGTTTCTTTGTATTTTCTTTGCTTTGGGGTTTGCAAGTCTAAATGCTGTGACTCAGAACTTGCGCGCAAAGCTACTATTCTCGTGACATTCACCAATCTTCCTACTGTTGAAGATGCTGTCAAGTATGTTCAGAATAAGCTTCATACATCACGCTCAAGGAAAAGCATCCTGGGCGATGCACTGACTACCATAGTCTCAAACTCATCCATACACTCTCTGCTGGCGTCGACCATTTCGTCACGCACCCCGTCCTCAGCAGCCACATTCCCATCTCCACCAGCTCTGGCATCCACGGTCCCCCGATTGCTGAATGGACGGTGATGAACTGGCTGATCGCGTCCAAGGAATTCGTGCGGACATATGAGAATCAAAAGCTGCAACACTGGGCCCCGCTGGATGCGTACATGGATAAAATCCACGATCAAGTGGGGAAGAAGGTTGGAATCCTGGGATATGGAAGCATTGGAAGACAGAGTAAGTTCGCCATTGTATAAATAACCCTACCAAGGTCCAAGCTAATGCACATAGTCGCTCGCGTCTCTGCCGCTCTGGGAATGACCGTTCACGCATACACTGCGTCGCCCCGCCCAACTCCCGAGTCTCGCCGTGATACGAGATACATCGTCCCTGGCACTGGCGACGCCGACGGCTCAATTCCGGTCTCATGGCACCACGGCACAGACAAGGAATCCATCCACGCGTTCTTGAGTCTTGGATTGGACCATCTGGTCGTCTGCGTCCCGTTGACCACCCAGACGCATCATCTGCTGGGTGCAGAGGAATTCGCGCTCCTATCCGCGCATGCACCAGTGGTATCTCCCAAGCCGTATCTGACCAATATCGCGCGGGGTAGAGTCCTCGACCAGGATGCGTTGATCGCGTCCCTGCAGTCCGGTGAGCTGAGCGGGGCGGCGCTGGACGTGACGAATCCCGAGCCTCTCCCTGCAGAGCATCCCCTGTGGAAGGCGCCGAATGTGCGGATTAGTTCCCATGTCAGCTCACTGGGCAAGGAATATTTCCCTCGTTCGTTGGGCATTGCTAAGCTGAACATGGAAAGGCTGGGGAGGGGCGAGCCGTTGGTGAATGAATATAAGCGAACCAAGGGCTATTAGCCTGTTAGCTGCTTGCTTGAATTCCACTTTTGATTCTCCACATGGCTGGAAAGCTGACGTATGCTTATTTGGTGTTTATACTTTATATGACCAGGTTCTTGGCTAGTTGGCAATAGTTCGATTATCTCCGAGATATAGACTTATTATTAGATCGCTTGAAAGACTATTGAGTATTGAGCATGATTGAACCCTGCATGGAAACCATTATAGTTTACTCTAGTTTCAGTCCTGCTGAAGTGGGAACTGTCAGATACATACTCTACTCCTTTGGGAGGAGAAAGAAGTCATCTTCGATGTTATTATTAGTTACAACAGGTAGGTTCTCAGAGGAGAATTGCTTATTCCCCTTATCCTACTGGCGGTGATTAGCCTCGTACAAAGACTCTGAATATCGAGAATGCAGAGCAATACACGCATGACACGCCACGGCATATCAATTAAATAGTTCAGAGATTCAGATTTCATATGCCGTCAGCTTTCCTTCGCTCTGTACAAGTGAAAAGTGAAATTACGAGCCATCAAGGGTCCGAGACATCGACCTCATGCTTGATGGCCAATGAAAAGGAATTTCCACGGGGATTCCTCTCCCCACAGGCACACCAGGGGGGTTCAGTCAAACACTGCCTATCGGGGAAAGAATGCAGAGTTTCCATACTCCATCCATAGTTCGTTCATATCGTCGATCTTTCAATTGACAGCTGACGACTATCGGGACAATTTCAGCGACTGTTTTCAAAGAAATCAAGTCAAATAACACAATCGCAAACGCTGGAGAAAGTCACCCCTGTCTGAGATGCCAAGGCTTCAGGCTTTTATATAGCTAGCTGGTCTGGACACCACGGAGATAGAGGGGCATTATTTGCATGGTCTATGTATCTATCTAGGTATCTATCTATCTAGTCTACGACTGATTCTACCGATCGAACCAACTAATTCATCTTCATATTCCAACTTCTTGACTCCGTCCTCTCCCAGTTTTTGTTTTCTCGTCTCTCGTTTTCCTCATCACCCAATTTCGCCCTTCACGTCCTCTCCTCCACCCACTCACTATCCATGAATTAAATCTCCTGCTACATGTCTCCCTTCCCCTTCCTCTCTCTGCCTCCCGAAGTCCGCCTCCAGATCTACGCCTACCTCATCCCCAACCTCCCCATCCGCAACTTTTCGCTCATCCGCAATAAGCGCCCGCCGCTGCGATCCGACGGCAAAAGCTGCTGCCCCGCCATCCTCCGCGCCAACCACGTCATCCACACCGAGGCCATCCGCGAATGGTACAGCGCAACCACCTACGAAGTCATCGTCGACGCCAAATACCTGCTCTTCTGCGGCAACATCCTCGCCCCCTATGAACCGCTTCCCTCCACCATCCGCCATGTCTCCTCCATGCGCCTCTGCATCGCCCTCCAGCGCACCCCGCAGCACCTCCTGCGCCCGACCACCTCGCCGCTTGAACACCTGATGGGATTCCAGGACCGGCTGGTCACGCTGGGCAAGGAGCTAGGGGATCCCGTGGGTCGGCGGCTGCGCCAGCTGCAGGTGGAGATTGCGGTGGACGTGCCGCTGTTGTTGAGTCTGAGCAAGACGCCGGCGGAGTTGGTGGAGCTGTTGCGGTGGAATCTGGATCCCGTGCGGGAGAATGTGCGCGGTGTGGAGGCGGTGCGGTGGGAGGTGAAGGAGCAGAGCTATGGGATTCAGAGCCGGGAGTTTCTATCGGCGTATGGGGAGTTGCGGACGGTGATGTATCGCTTTCTGGAGGAGATGAGGGAGGATATGATGGAGGAGGAGTTTGCGGTGTGATCACCGGGCGGGGTTTGGGTAGTAATGTATGTATTTATCACTTTTAATTATTGTATGTAATTGATGATATGACATGATGGTCATGATACAATTTTTAGTTCAGAGGGTTCTTATGGGATCTCACTCTTACGGGTCTCACCACATCAGGCTGAGTGAGACATCGGACTCGGGAACAAGCAGGGGAACTTTTGATTGAGCTTAGCCCCGAAACTAAACCTGCATCTTGGCGTCATCATCAGCCTTCAGCAATCCAAATATATCTAAGCAGGAAGACCCTCAGACGCCATCCATGCGTCTACTGCTTGCCTTTTACCTGTCTCATCCAAACGTTTCTTGAAGGGGGGAAAATGCAGCCGCTCACCGTAAGCGCCACCGAGCCCACAAAAGGCCGTCGTTGTTGGGAATGTCGACGACGCCGAGTGGTCTGCGACTTCTCCATCCCAGAGTGTAATAAGTGCCGCGCAGCTGGGGTCGAATGTCCCGGATACGATGCGAAGAAGCCGCTTCGATGGCTGGATCCAGGGAGAGTGTCTTCAAGGACGCGCAAGAAGAAGGTGGCTGTGGCGCAGCAGAAGAATGAGGGCGAAAGTACAGATGACCAAGATAAGCAGCCTGTCAGCGCGGACGATCAGCTGCAAGTCCGTGCTTCGAATGTTCCTCGTGTTCAACTGGTCGATAAGACGGGTACGATTGTCCAAGCTGTGTACTACTGTAAGAGGCCTACTGGATGTGTGTACCGAGGACGAGCGAAGATACTAACATGGTAGACAATTGTCATATACTCCCCGAATATACACCCCTTCTTCAACTGGGCGAGAATCCATTCATCATGGCATTTCCCATGAGTGGCGTGCAGTATCTCCCCCCAGCGATTCACAACACATTGGTGTCCATGGCTCTGGGTCATCGCTTCCACCAGCTTCTCCCCCAGAACAGCCGCAGCGATCTGTGTGAGTTGCGGACGCGGTATTTCCACCACAGAGGCGAGGCGATCCGGTCCGTCGGGGAGGCAATCGCAATGCCGGAGGCTTGCTGTACAGATCTCGCTCTCAACGGGGTCATGATGCTACTATTCACAGACGTGAGTAACGAGCCTGGTCAGCCAGACAAAGTCCATACTAATCTACTCCCCCGATAGTCCAGGCAGTCTACCTCGCCGGACTGGCGCCATCACTTCGCCTGCGCGATGAAACTAGTCGCGTATCGTGGCGGCGTGGAGAACCTTCTCCAGTCGGCGCCGCACCTGCGACCCATGCTGCTGTATTTCATGATGTAAGTACTTGTCTTTCTGGGTTGGGATCCAACGGTATGACGCTCATGAGCGTGTCAGAATCGGAGTCGTCAGCAACACGACCACGCCCCCCTCCGACCACATCCTAGCCAGCGCGGACACGGGTTCCATCAAGGACATCTCTCAGCTCTACGGAGACGGGTTCTTCCCCATCCTCCTCTGTCCTCCCACGTTGTTCAAGCACATCATTCGCATCAACCACCTGCGGCGCCAGGCATTCTCCTCCCCCTGCTCTCCGGAACACCTCCAGCCAGCAGCCACAGACCTGCTGGGACAAATCACCGCTTTCTTGCCCGAGGACTGGGCCACGTCTACCTCGGCCCCGGACGAGGCAATCCTCCTCGGCCACCTCTACCGCTGCGCAGTAACCCTCTACTGCCTCCTCTCACTCCAATCCCTCTCTCTCTTCCCGCACTCAGCCCAAATTCGCGCCATGAAAAGAGTCCACGCGGCAAATCTCACCCAGCATCTGCGGCTTGCCTGTGCGTCCCCGGGAATCGATAAGTGCATGCTTTGGCCGCTGTTTGTGGCGGGAATGGCTGCGGACGGCGATCTGGCTATTTGCGGGTTCATCGAGAAGAGACTCACAGCGTTGGCGGCGGGTGTAGGCTCGCCGATCCCGCTTCTGGCGACAGTGGTGCTTAAAAGGGCGTGGGAGTCAGGGGGCGTGGGGTGGGATGAATGCTTCGAGCGGCCGTACTGTTTTGTGGTTTAGCGGTTGGCTCGTGGATGGCTCGTAAGGGGTCGAGATGGGTGGCCTGCTTAGAAGCGTTTTTCTTCGCCGCGGCAATACTTGGACTGACGATTGCGAAGGGTGAAGATGCGGCTTGGTCATTTGTTGCAGAGCAACACAACTAACTCCTTCCGACGATGCCATCGCGTGCACGTCAGGATGTCTGGTCTGCCCGGTGGAGCTTGAATGAGAGAAGAGGAAGTATCCAAGGCATCAGCCACCAACAAGTAAGTCAATACTATCACATCATATTTAAGTATTTAAACACACTGATTACAACAGTCAACGAACAAGCGAAGTCCGAATCGCCTCCTCAACAACTACGCCACCAAGTCCACTGGCCACGACAGCCCACGTCCACGGGTTCGTCAGCTTCTGCAATCCAGGCCAGAAGCTGTTCTTCTCACGGCGCCACGTCTGCAGCTGCGCATACATATGCGGATCCTCCATCTTGTACCGCTCCTCCTGGCTCGCTTCGTTCTGCGCATCGCCGCCGATGACGCGCAGGAAGATGTAGTTTGCAACTGGTCCGATGAGGGTGAGAAGGTTGAAAATGTTGCCTGCGTTCAGCAGCACGAACGACAGATGGACAAGAGTCTCACCTAAGTAAAACTTTAGATCCATTATTAGCTTTGCTACTATGTCAGAGGAGAAAGAAAGGCAAAACCCACTTCGGATGCCGAACAATACTCCACACTACATGGCGACGCAAATCCGTCCTCCCCTGCCGATGCAGCTCCAGCTGCGTATCCGCCATCGTCTCCATCGCGAAGCCCGCGCTGAACAGACCCACACCCAGCGCGCGCAACACATCACTCGTTCCCGGACTAAATGCCACACTCGACTCATTCTCCCGGAACGGCAGGGTAAACGGCAGCGAGATGAGGGTCGAGAACGCCGCCTCAGGGAGAAATATCTTGAAGAGTGCGGCCTTCCAGAACTCCGGGTCCCTGTGCTTGAGTTCCTCGTAGCGCGGGTCGTCGCGGCCGCGCGCAATCGACCGCGACGCGATCCGGTAGGATAGGCGCGACTCCCACGCCGTTACGCAGCCCAGCATCACCTTCTCGGTCCAGGGGATCGCCTGCATCGCGCTCGAGAAGCTGAGCACGTTGTGAACTTGGACTCGCCGACGGCGCTCCACCAGGCGTTGGAGACTTGGCTGACGGGCCAGGCCCAGTCTTTGATCTCGACGCGATTGGTCGCCTTAGGGGCGAGGTAGGATAAATGTAGAGTGGAGGGTGAAGGAAGGGAGAATGGTGAATTGGAGGTGCCGTTCAAAGCCACTTGTGCTGATGTTTGTATGTTTAATTTGGCTTGGGTATTATGTTTTGGCATCTTGAAGCTTTTGTATGCCTATTAAACATTGTCGTCAGGATTGTTTAACTGATGTTTTCAAGTTGTGGACCACAGGGCCATGTGATTTCATGAAATCACACTTTCAATCTAGATTCCTCAATAGTAGTAGTATACATGCTATATTTATACTTCATGAGATGTCATGCTAAAACCACAACAATCAGTCACTGTTCTAGATCCCCCAGACGCCGCTGTAGATCGGAAAGGTTTATTTCAACTCTAGGTATCTCGGATCCTTGAGTAGTCCGATATGATTCTTTAATTAAGGCCACTATCTGGCCGTTCCATGAGTCAAGATGGATCATATCCGATGCGGTAAACCCTGCAAACCGATCTTCGTTCTGCGTATATAGATCCCGCTGGTATAGCTCCTGAAAGGCCTCGGCAATCGAGGACAGACCCCCAGGCTGCACCAGGCAAACATCATGCAGGTCATACCCGTCCGGTATCTTCTCTAGGGGCAATTTGCTCGTGTGGAGCCGGCGGATTTTCGTCTGATCGCCGGACGCTTTCCGCTGGTCGTGCATGCTCCTCTGGCGCATGAGATAGAACCTCGGGTCGTGCGGGTTGAGCCTGGGGTTAGGATTGCTGCTGTCGGAGCCCAGCATATCTTGCTCTGCGCTGATTCTGGGGTCCGAGTTCAGGGCGGCTTTTGCAGCTAGGTATCTGCTCAGGTGAGGCGAGTTCGAGGTTGTGTCGCGGTTGCTCTTTCTCTGCTCCCGGAACTTGAGGATCGCTTCCCTCTTGCGGTTCTCAAAGTCCATTGCCCTTTCTAGTTCCGCGTTGTGGTCGGGACTTGGCTGCCGGTGAAGCCTTGCAGACCACTGGTCTAGCCGTCTCGGTACAGCGTCTGAAGGACGATTGCAGCTGGGAGCCGATGGTGGGTGTGATGGGATACTCTCGGGCGACTTATTGGCGACTACTTGGATTGGGCTCGCGTCGACATTTCCTGATGAATCTCCAGACAAAGCTCCGCTCGCTGCAAAGCGCTCCTGCGCAAGCTGAGAAAGTGGAGCCTCGTCGGCGTCATTTTCGGGTTGCTGTACCGTTGGCTCTTCGCGGAGAGATACTTGTGTAGTCTTCTGGAACCATGTATCGAGAGCTCCATTACCATATCGCTCCCTGTCGCGTTGTCTTGAAGCTCTTGAACGAATTGATGGATTTTGTAGGGGAGTGATTGGTGAAGTCTGTGCTAGATTGGAAACGGATCCTGAGGATCGTGAGTCTGTTGGTGAGTCCGTAAGTCTCGAATTGGGTGTCGATACACTGGGCGAAGATGAAGCCGCTGTGTCTCTGTTTGCTGCTACCAGTGAAGGTTGCGGCTCCGAGCCCTGCTCAGGATGGCTTAGCTGTCCAGTCGTCGTAGGACTCTTATACGGAGTTCTGTGTGATGATGCACCAGTAGGGGCATACAAGCGAGTCACGGACCAGGGATTGAGGCCTTCCAAGTCCCTGCTTCCCGAGGTACCTGATGAGCTTGGGGACCCCTCTCCACCAAACGCTCGCTGTTCATTTGGGAGACTTTTCTGACTTCTTCTCAAGTGAAAGAGCGAGCTAGCAGAGATAAAATTCGGTGGCTTATAATCATTACGCACCGTTTCAGGAGAAGACACCACCGGCTCCTTATGGGCTAGGAGCAAGTGGAAAGCGTCGTTGTTGTTGTCCATTCTTCCCTTCCCTTTGGCGGGTGTCTTGCGCTTCCCTGCTTTGCCAGGGGCCTCACCATAGACATCTCGAAGCAGATCCGCCACCAGCGACAGGATATGCTCCTGGTCTTCGAAGAGAACATCGTCCTTGGCTGGTTCGACGTTTACATCGTAACAAGCTTCATCACAGCGGATGTGTAAGCAAAGAAATGGGTCTGATATATTTCGTGGATAGTCGTCATGGGAGGCAGCCGCTCGCAGATACGACTGATAGAGTTTTGTGATCTCCTGTCCAATCCCCCTTGTTGGCGAAAGTGGCCTACCATCAACGCTGACAAATTGCCCTCCACTACTTGCTTTTGAGTAATCTAAACCTGTCAGCTAGGCCATGCTATCAACGAGATGGAGTCATTACCAGCTTCCGGGTTGGCTAGTAGCGCTATCAACTTTAGGGTAGGCCCATTGGAGTCTCCAGTTTCATAATTTGAGTTAGAAATACAAGGCCACTGTCTGGATATGCAAGCGGAGGCGACTTCGGTGCCAGCAACTTTGAGTCCTGCATCCTTGAGCGTCGCATCCTTGCTAGGTGCATACACCCAATTAGCCTTTTCACTGCTTGCTCTGAGGACTTTCAGGGATAATCTGATCGTTGGCTGAGCAACGACATATGACTGTATAATTTTCTTGATTCGAGCGAGAGTTTTTGTGGTGCCTTTAAGCACCGTTTGTCTTCGAACGGGGATGTGCTTGAACAAGTCCGTGACCCGGACTGTAGTTCCCACAGGATGTGATGCCCGTTGAGTACTTGAACACCGTTAACATGCGTCTGCGTACTTCGTTGGAAGACTCACCTAAGGAGGTCGCCATTTCTCCCATATTTGAGGACGGACCCGACCGGCTCAGCCGCAGTTCTAGTAGTAATCGTCACTCCACCAGAAACTTCAGCAGCACTGGCCAGCGCCTCGCCTCTAAAGCCTAAGGACTTCCCACCGAGTCCGCTGAGATCCTCGACAGTGGAAATCTTGCTGGTAAATGCGCGTTTGCAGACCAAAGGATGATCTCCAGACGTAATACCATGGCCATTGTCCTTTACTTGAATCACATCGACCGTGTTCTGGGATACCTCAATGAAAACAGCAGTTGCGCCTGCATCGAGCGAGTTATCCAGCAGTTCCTTGACTATAGAGCAGGGATCTGAGACGACGGAAGTTGAGCCAATTGCTCGGACAGTGCTCTGGGGAAGAGCCGCGATTGGCATCCTCAGAAGCGATGATAATCTATCAATACACCATTATGCTTTGCTATATCAATGTGATGAGATCTTGATAGAACTTGATATATATGGAACAAGGAGAGTATGCTTGATGACTGGGATTGATAGCGCGGCATATTTCCACGCACGAGTCGAATCAATATCACGTGAGCTTAGTCACGCCCACCACGTTGTCAGCATCAACAACACTACACTGAATCCATCGATAATAAATTCAACACATCGGGGAGTTCGAATCCCACATCGCGATTTCCAAGGGTGTAGGAAGCTCTGCGGATGAGTATGCACTGAGGCGAGATGGCATGTCGCTCGTTTAACATCTCGCATCTGGCCTTACCGGTCGTTACCGCGCTGATAAGCTTTCTGGCGTACACGTCCCAACTGTTCTTCTATTACTTTGATGAAGCACCGCTTACGTCGAAGGAAACATGGTGGTTGAATATTTTTGCTTCCTGCATCTGGGTATGCTACTACCGCTCATGCACCGTCGATCCCGGCCATACACCCAAGAACTGGATGCCATTGGACCGTAAGCAACTGGAAGAAGACTGTGCAAGTGGTCGACAGCGATGGTGTCGTCGATGTGAGGCTTTCAAACCGCCTCGGGCACATCACTGCAAGACATGTCAGAGGTAGGTTCTCATAGATCAGCAGCTATGGCTTATGCTGATTGCTCCAGGTGCATTCCGAAGATGGACCACCACTGTCCGTGGACATCAAATTGCGTGTCGCACTTTACTTTTCCTCATTTCTTGAGGTTTCTCTTCTACACGGTCGTTGGCATGGGGTATCTCGAAACTCTTCTTTTTGAGAGGGCTTCCATTATTTGGGCATCGCGCCATCTTCCTAGTGTAAGGGACAGCTCAGCTCGTCTGCTGTGATTGCTTGTGCTGACGCCAACATCAAGTACCTCGGTCCAAGTCTGGTGCAGCTGGCTCATCTGTTCATTTTGCTTGTAGTGAACAGCTTGACATTATTTGCCCTGGCAATACTTTTAGTGCGGAGTATCTGGTCGCTGGCTCTCAATACAACCACTATCGAGTCGTGGGAGATTGAGAGACACGAGACACTGTTGAGGCGAGCCCGACACTTTGGTGGGTATCTGTCTGGGCCTGGAGGAATTCAAATTCGGATCCAGAAACAAGAGTTCCCGTACGACATTGGCATTTGGTCGAACATCAAGGCGGGAATGGGTGGAAGTGCAAATGTAAGTCATGCTGGTTAAACTCTCTGTTGCTGTGCTGATCCCTCTAAGATATTGAGTTGGTTCTGGCCCTTTGCGGCAACGCCTGATCGGTCAACAGGTCTCGACTTTGAAGTCAATGGCTTTGAAGGTAAAGGAACAGTTCTCTTGTATTTTTGATGACAACACATGAACTAACGAGAAATAGATTCTAACGTGTCATGGCCGCCACCCGATCCAGACCGCATTCCCTTTCCTGCTAAGCAACGGAATCTGGACGCAGCGATCAAAGCTGCCGATGCTTCTTACTACCGAGCTGTTGAAGCACGTAATTCTCAAAAGATTAAGGACGCGAACGATGCGCAGGTGAACCGAGGGATACATCGTCGGAAACGATTCCACGAACGGTTTGATCAAAATCGAAAAGAGGATGGTGATTTATCCTCTGACAGTGAGGCCTCTGGCAGCCGCACTTCTCAGAATGGTGAGGAAGGCTGGAGAAACTCTGAAGGAGAGCGTCTTCGTGACTTTGGCGTTGATGAAGACGTCGAGTTTTATGACGAAGACGACATCCCCTTGGGCATCTTAATCAAACGACGCCAGCAGAAAGCATCACAAACTGAATAGTAACGCTTCTTGTACTATATCTATCCTTCGTTCAAGCAGCGCATATATATATTAATAGCCTTCTTTCTCGACCCTTCATGCGACGTCCAGCAGGTCAGGACAATGCACCACCAAGTATCATTGTTTCGTTGCAAAGAATGATCCTGTCCCCAGAATATCTCCACCCTCTTCACTTCCCGCCTGAGCTCTCTCTATCCTCTCCCTCGTCGTCTTGAACAACCGCGGCATTCCCGTTTGCTCGAATTCTGCCCCCTCGACCACCATCTTCGCCAGTCCTTTCGCAGCCAACCAGATAACCGGCATGCCATGCCCATTCAGACCAGCGAGAATGAAATGACCCTGTTTCCCCGGAACAGCACCAACATGCGGATTCGAATCATACGAATACCCCATCACACCCGTCCAGACCTTATCGACCTTGGCGTCCGTGTGCTCCCACCCACGATACGTCCGCTGCATGTACCCATCATAGTAATCCTTCACCTCCTCAACAAGCACGCTATCATCGACATTATTGTACCATTGTTCACGGAATGGCTTGAACACCGCCGAAGCGCCTCCGACAATGATACCCCCGTCTGCGCGGGGGATGAGATATGAGAGCACATTGTCCTCCGTGCGGTTAATGTATGAGTTTGTGAGCAGCGGCGCGTCGCTCCCCTCGGGTACGGCAATGCGACAGCATAAGCCCTTGCATGGGATGATGTTGCGTTTATACTCCGGTAGCAAGGTCGCTACGTAGGCGTTGGATGCGTGGATGACTTTGTCGGCGTGGATGGTCCCGCGCGGCGTGGTGACATTCCACCCACCCTCTGGCGCGGCAGTCACCGAAAGCGCAGGCGTGTACGTCTGCAGATTCACCTTGCCTGCCGCTACGATCTTTGCGAGAAGCTGCATGACGAACTTGTAGGGCCACATCGTAGCTGCCGTGTAGGACGCGCAGGCAACAGCGCCTTTGACGCCGCAAATCTAGTCAAATCAGCTTCAATCATCTTGATAACAGTCGAAAAGAAAGACCCACCCTTTCGGCATTCTCTGAATAGAAAATCACATCATCCATATACCCAAACCCATGCTCCTTCATCCGCTCATAGACCCTCCTCGCCTTCTCCGCTGCCTCCGCGTTACACCACACATCCATCGTCCTCGTCAGCATGAAATCGCAGTCAATCTGCTCCCGCTCAATCAACTGCTTGATGGCGTGGACATGCGCGATCTCGAACTCGGCGATCTCCGCCCCAGCCTCGGCGCCAGCGCGCTCGATATACGTGGGGATATGCCCGTAGAGATCCGGGCGCAGATGGCCTCCATTGCGCCCCGTAGCGCCTGAGCAAGCTCCCCTCGCTTCAAGAATCGTAATCGAGCCAACGCGCTCGGTAAAGTCGGTGAGGAGATGGTAGGCAGTGCTTACGCCTGCGTAGCCTGCGCCGATGATCACGATGTCGCTGTGTGTGGGGAGGTGCTCGGTGGAGCGGTGGTTGTGGAGATCGTGAGGATTGGCTTGCCAGAAGCTGACGCTGGGATGGGGAGGAAGGTTGGACATGTTGATGGTGATTCTTGGGGAAGGGTACTAGATGATGCTTTTCGGGTGTGTCTGGAATGGAAGTTGTCGCTGGATTGACTGATTGTTCAGCCGGAGATGTTCCGGCCAAGATAGGCTGGGCTGATTGATAGTGCTGATTGTTTATTCCACAGGCTGGCTGGTACCGTGGTAGAATGGGTGATATTTATGTTATGTTTTCCCATCAGCATCACCAGGGAGATCGTCAACTGGCTATAGCAGTCAGTAATCTTCTGCTCTCTACCATCCCCCGCTGCGGGGATCCCTGCCAACTGTTCAAACTGTCAGCAGTTCTCCAAAGAAGACAGCCCCAGCATCATGTCCAGACAAGTATCACATCGTCTTCGACATCGTCGGGACCTAAGTCTCCTTTGACGCATACTACGCACGCTTCGCCAGCACCATCGGCGAAAAAACTACACGCGCACAGCGTCATCCCCCGCCATTTCGGGTACACGTGGATGGCCGCCACCGAGCTCGAATTCACCTTTCTGTCCATCTAATCGTCCTATCGCCTCTACAAGGATGTCATGAGCGCGCTAGTTTATCGCACGCTGTATATGGTCGGTGTATTGAACCTGCGCCAGCAGTTCACGGACAGCGACCGTGACGCGTGTCCGCAGGGATATACATCCAGGAAGTGATTGCACTGTCAGACGGTGGCACATATATGGATCTAATTAACACTTTGAGTTAACTCCCATCATGAATGGGTAGCACTTGAGCACCATCCTCGCAATACCAATCCTTCCATCCATCAACAGTCCTTCTGCGGATAAAATGACCTACTATCTACTAGTACTAAAGAGTGCTCTAGAATATCAAATGATGACGGCAGACCCTTTGACCAATCCAATCGCATGGTTTTGCGTGAGGAATTGGCATTTGAGCACTTCTAGGCCCTGGCTGCTATCTATCTAGCAGCAGGTAACATCCACATATCCAGAACAGATGAAACAGAGGACTCCCTTGGCGGTCCTCACGATGCTTGGCACGGAGGAATTCCCGATTCCCTGGAGGAACCAGATTTCTGTATGACCCAATAACTACCTGGTTGTTAGGCATGTTCAACAGACTGGACCAAACGAATCCGTTCCTCCCACCGGGTGATGGATGGAAAGCAGGGGCTACCAGGCGCTTGGCACAAGAGACCACAAGTCCGGGGTGCAGGTACCGGGTTAATGCTGTGGTGGACTGGTTGCGCTTTGGTGCACGTATGATTTACGGCGGTTTCACTTTGATATCCACTCCGCCAATTCTGGTAGACGCGGTATTGCAGCGGGACAAGCGAGGGAGTAGGCTCTATTTCACATGCAAGAGTCAGCTTTCTCGTCCTTAGAATATCAACACTAACTCGATCCTTCACAACATCACCCCAATCAAACAACAGCTTCAGTCAGTTCACCAGACCAGGTCAAAATGCTTCAATCACTCCTCCTCCTTCCTCTCTTCCTCACCTCGGCCTTTGCCACCCCCCATGATCCCACCGCCCACCAGGCCCTGGAGAAGCGCGCCACTTTCCCCATCCCTTCCTCCAAGGGCAGCGTGACCCTCCGTTCTACCCAATATGTCAAGGGCACTTTCGATGGTGGCATGAAGACCTACGGCCGTGGTGTCGAGTGTACCGGCCAGAAGGAGGGCGGCGAGAAAGACGCCGTCTTCGTCGTTGAGGAAGGTGGTATCCTCAAGAACGTCATTATCGGTGCCGACCAGATCAAGGGTGTCTACTGCAAGGGCTCCTGCACCATCCAGAACGTCTGGTGGAAAGACGTCTGCGAGGGTATGTTCTCTCTGCCCCGTGCCCCTCCCAATTCTCCCGCATTCAGCTAATCTCCATTCACCCAGACGCCCTCTCCCTCAAGGGCAGCGGCAGCGGCACCTACAAGATCATCGGCGGCGGCGCCCAGAACGCCGACGACAAGGTCATCCAGCACAACAGCGGCGGCACGGTCATGATCCAGGGCTTCACAGTCTCCAACTTCGGCAAGCTGTACCGCTCGTGCGGTAACTGCAGCAAGCAGTACAAGCGCTCCGTCCAGATCAGCGGCGTCAAGGCCTACAACGGCAAGACTCTCGTTGGCATCAACTCCAACTACGGCGATACTGCTTCCATCGATGCCTGTGCCAGCAGCGTCAAGGACATCTGTGTTGAGTATGAGGGCACCAACAACAACGGCAAGGAGCCCAAGAAGAAGTCGTCGGGTCCTAGCAAGGCTTGCGAGTACAATCAGCCTCTGAAGAAGTGTTAGATGGAGACAGCTGGTCTGTTGGTCCCGATGTCAGGCATGTCGGGATACACTTTGATTTCTGTTTAGACGGAGAGCTGGAGAGGACTATGTATATATTATATAAAAAATAAGAAGCTAAGCCTGTATATCTTAGGACAGTTATGTCGTTATAAATTGCCATAATCAAGGTGGAAATAGGACTTTGCAGCAAAGAATACTTTTTCTACTCAGCGCAGCTACCTCAGGCTATCCCGACAGCCATGTGACTTTGGGTTCATCCATCTCATTAGGGCGCACACTTCGCATTCCTTCGTTTACATAGGGGACATTGATTTGAATTCTCGAGTACACCCACCGAATCCAACGTTGCAATGTTGGGCGAGGTTACATCAAAGTTAGGGGAAAAGCAGGCTCTAGATCCCTCCTCTGGGAGAACTGCATACGACCACAAAATCCTAGGCTCAATTCTCATTTGACTGAACATGAATGTAAAGAACGGATTAATGGCATTGGCGAGCTTAAGAGATAGGTTATACAACATCATCTGCGCCTCCTCCTTCCATGAAAATAGGATCTTTTGTGTAGTATGTCTCATGTGGAGCGAGCCAAAAGAACCAGACCTCAGCCACAGGCGTAGCATTCTAGTATCCATGAATTCCTCGTGCAGCTGATAGCTTTGGCACTTTGCAGTAGCAGGTCTGGAACATTCAGCAGCTGCAATGGGCCCAGCCCACACAATGAGCAGTTGAGCAGCGAGAATTGGATCCATATGAGTGGTCGTCGACTCTACTGTGCCGTCAGGGAGCCAGTGGTTCGATGCTCATGTTGAGGGGAATGATCACAGGAGCCCCTTTGATACTATTCTTATTCTCGACTCTTCCTGGGGTCTATATTATGAACCATCACCGTTCTAGCCTTTTGCAAGACCTGATGAACTGAGCCTTCTCATCCCTTACTGATGCATTCCCAAGCAAACACCAAACAAATTCAGGCAACCAAGCATCCCTGCACGTTCAGAATTGTTATTAAAGCTTATTACAATTGATTGAGGTTATAATGGCTGCCCCCGCATTCCTCTCTGGTGCCGACATGTGCCACTTCCCCCAGGTCTTGGTGGTTCTGTCCCCACACGAGGCTTTTTGTACTACTTCAACGCACTCCTTGCTTTAATACTTTACAAGAATTGCAAGAACTACAGCCGTAAGACTGTTCTATCACCGAGGAGGGGAATCTGGATCATCGCGGCGAGACATCTCGGAGAGAGGATATATAAATGGCCATGGATTCCTAGACGATTCGTCATATCTACTACTCATCCTTACCATCACGCAAGCTTCGTACTCCCTGGATACTTACTACTCAACCAGCAACATGCTCTCCCGCACTATCTTCGTCGCCATCATTGGCGCTGTGGCCACCGTCAGCGCCCAGAACACCGGCTCCTGCAACACCGGCACCTTGCAATGCTGCAACCAGGTCGATGATTCCAAGAACCTCAGCGCCAGACTGACCGGTCTTCTCGATATTCTGGGCATCGATGCCAATAACCTGAGCGGCCTTGTTGGCGCGAACTGTAAGTCTCCCTATCACGAAGACTTGGCCCTAGTATCTTGCTGACAGATGCAGGCGTCGCGGTCATCGGCCAGCAGTCTTGCTCTGCCCAGCCTGTTTGCTGCACTAACAACAACTTTGTGAGTCTTGTTATGATATTTCGGTGAATATGTGCTAAGAACTCCCCCTAGAATGGTCTTGTTGCGCTTGGTTGCACTCCCATCGATATTCTGTAGATGCATGCAAAGAAATGTGGCGAGGGCCATGTACGCTGGGCAATGGGCATGGCCAAGACAGCTAGGTAGAATTTCAAAGTCTCCCTGATGAATAAGAGTTATTTGACGTAAAAGAATGAGTTCTTCGTTGCTACCTATAAGTTGGTAAAATATAGCCCAATGCAGTAACTAACATTGATGCAATCATGATCCTACTTCCTGACTTCCATCTGCAAACAGAGAGAGTAACAAAGGTACCGATAGCGAAGAAACAAGCTCACACCAAGCTATTAGCCGTCTCTTCGAATCGTATGACTATGATATCCGAATCCTAGGCTCAAACCAGGTATATGTGACACCGGTTAACCCCACCCTTTCATGCGAAATATGAAGCGTCAAAACAGCCACGAAACCAGTCTTGGAGACAGTGAACCGACAACTCTCCTCAATCCCTCCGAAGATTGATTGGCCATGAAGTATGGCCAGGGAAGACGACCTCACGGGGTTGTCTGTATGATTGGGCCATGTCGAGGTCGAAGCGTCATAAGGACATCAAAATCAGCTGACCAGCCCGGCCAATCCGTCAGTTCAACAAACTAGGCCTCGATATATATATATATATAACATACTCCAAACTGAACAGCTGCTTAATTAAACAAATCAACGTGTCTAAATTCTGGACGGTAATTCGCTTATTGTCTGTCGGACTCTTCACTAGAGTATAGCTTAACGCAATGGACGCGGCAGACGCAGTACACTCGGTACGTCTCATACTATCCCAAAGCATCCAGAATCCATCATATCCCAGCCATCGGCTGCTCATCCGAACTCGCCACCTTACCATTGACGACCGACGCCTAACAAATAACTCTACAGTATCTCTGCCCGCAAGAAGACACGATCATTATCCAGCCCGAGGAAGATATCACGCATTTCGGCACCGCCACCAAGAGCGCCATGAAGCCTGTTCGCGGGATCGTGCTGGCGGTGGGCAAGACGAAAGCCCTCGGGAAAGGAAGAGATCCCGCCGTGGATGTGCGGCTGGGCGATATGGTGGTATATACCAAGGTGGGATATTGTGGACGCGTGTATGGGTGCGTATTGACGTTTTTTTCGTAGGGGAAAGGCAAAGAGGTCCAAGTGGACAAGGACAAGTATTTGATTCTGAAGCGGGACGAGTTGAGTGCTTCTTTGGACGATCGGGGGATCAGCACTGACAGGTACCTAGGGTTGTGGCGATTACAAGTTGATATAATGTTCGACGATCTGGCTGGTTATGACTCTTTCTAATGATTGTGATTGATGCGGTTGCTGTCTAGCATGTCTTTCTATGTCCACCGATTTCAGCTAAGTGGGAGAGATGTTAACTAATACTTTGTCTTGCTAAGGAAGGCCTATCTTGAGATCTTGCTCTTCTTTTTCTCATAGTTGTAAAAGCTCCCTGGTTGGTTTATGGTATTAGCTGCTTGCTCGGTAGAAACAGCGTACTTCGGCCACAGAAGACTCGAGCTATGGAGATAAGCGATGGCTGACTGTGCATCTCATAGCCTGTTGGATTCGCTTCTCAAGGTCCAAACGAAGTACATGATGCTGGTGTCGACTATCACAGTGGATGGGGATCGGTTATTACCATCAGGTCAAATCATACTGAGAACATTCATTCTTTTCTTCCGCAGACATATTCATTCCGTATGACGGAGCAAGCAGAATGTGATATCCTGGTAGATATTCTATGTCTGCTGCGTGGATATCTCTCAGGCATTGGTATGCCATATCTTGTTCGAATATGATATCTGAATGTCCAAGGAAGAAGCAAGTCATTGAGTCATGCATATATCAACCTACATTACCACAGCCAAAAGAAGATATGCAGAAAGAAAAACTTGCTTCAGCATGGAAATGAATGAATAATTCATATGAGGATATTTTGTGAAAAGGAGGTGAGAGCAAAAAGGAAAAACAGAAAAAAGAAATCTCCCCGACAGGGAGTCGAACCCTGGTCTCCCGCGCTCGTTCTCATTTGAGTGACAAGCGGAAATCATGACCGTTAGACCATCGAGGACTTCTTGTTTTTCTGTCTTTATTTTTAAAAATATGTTCCAGATACAACTTAATTCAATCTCTACAACATGCTCTGGCCCAAGTTTTCAAGGATCCCCATACTGGAGCTAAGCAGTGTGCTACTATGTAGATTTGAAGTGGCGATATGACCCCTTCTGATGCTAGTCTTTTGGCTGGAAATCTCTATGTCAACTAAATATGGCCAGCTGAATCCGAGAAGAAAAGAGAAACTTCTATTTCTATTCAATCCGAGTCTAAGCGAGTCCATTCCTACTGTGACCTAGTATTCAGATCGGCTTCCCGCTCTGATCCAGAAACTTCAACCACTCCGGCTGCTTCTCATTGAAGACCATTCTTCCCGGGGGGGAGACCATATCGAAGAGCGCCGCCTTGACGAACGCCTTCCCAGGCGCTTTGGGCGAATTTGACATGATGGGACTATTCTTGTTAGCAAACATTCCGATTGTTTGTACCTCATATACACAGCTACAAACCTGCCACAATTGGAGCAGAAATGTCTCTGGTACGCTAGTCAGCATGCTTCACAGCAAAAACGGAGTCCAGGAGGCAGATCACATACGCGGACCACATTGCCGGAAAGGGATCTAGGATCGTTGTAGGTCTTGAGTGCGGATGATGGATCTTCGAGCTTGATGTCGGCCTCGTCGACCATGTAGTGGATCGAGCAGACTGTGGATGTTAACAGCGCATTCTGCGCAGGATAAAGGGGGTCGTCTATTTACCACCGCCGCTGGATCTCTTGCAGTTTGTGCTATTGATGTTTTAATAAGGAGTCCAAACCGGCACATTTTCTTGAGATGGTGGCATTACCATTGGCAGATGCTCGAGGTGGGAGGTTTCTCGGGCAGAGTGACGCGGATGCTTTCGCAGTTGCAGCGGCCGATATAAGACATGGTGATAGATATTGAATATATGCTGGGGATGTGTTTGTTTGGAGATGTTGAAGTGATGATTGCCATGATTTGTAATGCCACGGCAGCAGCGGAATCTTAGTTCAGCATTCTAGCAAAGGCGGTAGAAGTACGATCATAATTATATAGATTTAAGCATTAAATTATGTTTTGTCAAAGCCGAGACTATCTTGAATTATTGACAAATAACATGCTCTGGATCCTGGTAAGCAGCCACTCTTTCCTATCACAGCGCCGTAGATGGCCCAGGTCATCAACAGTACATTTCCCGCATTTCCTGTGTAATATTTGCAGAGGTATGGGCAAACTCCTCTTTGACCCAAGAATCCCAATCCCAATCAATCCACTCACCAAATTCCATCGCCATGGTTGTATCCCACCGTAGAAGAGGTGAAATATACTGACCCAGGAACAGGTTAAACTCGACAGCAATTGGATCATCTCTCCTGCGGCCAAAGAGAGCACCAGCGAAGTCATAAAACACAAGCTTTCGTTGACCCTGATCAACCATCATAACATTCCGAGGGTGCAGGTCCGTCAGCAATATATCTCGCTTGTAAACTTCGCTTTCAAACTCAATTACCGATTTCATGATTTGCTGGCGAGTGCGTTGAGGAAAGTCCTTAGGTATGGCCTGTTGCATTGATATCCCTGGTAAATATTCGATCAGGATCAGCCGAACAGTGCGCTTTGCTGAATCCTCGACCAGCAGATCTAAAGAGTAAGACCCATAGAACCTAGGGACGAGAACTCCTTGCAGATCAGAAAGCACTCCATACGCATGAACTTCATGGGTGTAATGCTTGTCCACGCAGAGAAAAGGATTAAGGTATCCCTCTTCATCGTCAAAGTAAAGGGGGTCGTATATTTTAGCCACCAGGTTTGCGTTCGATTCGGTACATTCTGGGTTGTCCACGCGAACGGTAAAGACCTGCGCGTTGCAGCCATCGCCGACCTTCAATAATTCAAGGACCTCCAAGTTCAGAATATGTGAGCCCTGCTCCCCAAGTAAAGGAGGATTCCGCAGGCACCGTTGAGCTGGGCTAAATTGACTCCTTTCATTCCTACCAACTTCGAAGTTGCGGCAACAATTCTTTGTCACTAATGTTGGCCGAGGAGGAATATGTGAGTTAACAGTGAATTTCCAACCTTTGGTATAAGGTATGGATGATTTTGGCAATTCAGTTGATGGAATATCCATATGAGTATAGATATTGTAACTGGCTGTCCTGGTGAGAGAAAAAGAGAGAGAAGTGCCCTTTCATCATAGTTTGTAGAGTGTGATGACCAAAGATTGGGTGTGACTATTCTACATATCCATGAGATCACACTGGGCTATCCAATGCAGTCCCATCTGTAGGCGCCTGTTCTATGCTCCTGTGTAAGTCAGGTATCTGTACTAATAAATAACCCTATACACTTTTAGTATGGCACCATATATTTCAGTAGACCATCTTACCTTTGCTTGCACCCTAAGTTCTTAAAGGAGGGGTAAGATTCTAGTGAGAAGTTTATCCAACTTATGTATCTTAATATTGTTAGCCTTTTTTATCTGAACTGAAAAGGCCTATTTAGAAAGATTCTTATATTCTTTATCTGCAGCCTCTATTAAGAGGTCCTTTAAAAGATATTACTTATTATTTTTAAATTCTGGTATGATGCTTTATTAAGTTTATTAGATATAAAATGCTTAGATTTGAAAAAGTGCTCCCTGAGGGAGAACCCTTAATTAATAATCTTTGAAATAGTATTACTATAAAGACTAAGAGGGGTAGGGTGGAATGGATGATAGGGTATCTAGATTTATGTAACTATATTAGGTATAAATACTAGTAAGGAAAAATAAAATCCCTTAACAGAGTACCTGTGACAATAAAGAATAGAATATAGTTAGGCACAGAAAGATATAGATTAATATAGAGACTAATCCTTGCCTCTCTATTAATTATTAATTAAGACTATCTTATAGTCTTAAAGTTATTAAATTATTAATATACTATCTAATTATTATTTAATAGAGAGTATTCCTATAGCATCCTAAAGTCCCTAAATAGTTTTTATTATAATTATACCCCCTTTCTTTAAGGCTGTCTATAGCTATTAAGTATAGGCCTTTTTACTTATCTTTTATAGGATAGTTACTTATAAATAACCTGGCATAGTTTATAGAAGGACTTAAATATATTATTATAATATATAGCTTTTATAATTAGAATATAGTATATATAATATTTAGGAATTATACTTATATATATAATTTAATATTATCTTATAGAAGTTTTAGAGATTTAGTATTATATTATTATAAGGTTTATATATAATATGCTATACCTAATTAAGAACTTTATTTTATTTTAGGTTATATTAATAATAGCCTATAAATTCCGTTATAAATACTCTTAATATCTTTATAAATATACTAGATCTTTATAGTTCTTTATTAAAAATCTTTTAAATTACTTTCTTTATATATTTTTATCATAATATTTCTAATTAATCCTTAGTAAGTTATTCTTATTTAGATCTTAAAGTTCTATAGCTAATATTATATCTATATTCTCTTCTTAATTAGGTATAGATCTAGGACCTATTTATTACTTATTAGTTATTATCCTTTTACTTCCTACTATTGGAATTACTGAGGGTAAGGTAGTATCACCAGGGGTGAAGAGAAATAGGCTGGGCTAATGCCTCTTTACTTACCTGGGGTAAGATCTTCTATTTATACCTAGCTACTGGCTATCTATCTAAAAGATAAGTCATAGATATTATAGAGATTTCTTAGGTTAACCTTAATAATCTAGAGTTAATCTTAATAATTATTAATCTATTTATAATATTTATTTACTAATATTATATCCTCCCCTACTTAAGATAAAGCCCATCCTTAGTAGGTTATCTAGCTCCTTACTAAAAGATTCTTATAGTTTAAGGGAGTAATATTATATATAGTAAGTAGGATTAGATTTACTCTTAGTAAGTAATATTAGATTATACTTAATAAGTAATATTAGATTACTTAGAGGGTAGTATTAGATTACTTAGTAAGTAGGGTTACTAGTATAGTTATTATAGTAAAGGTAAGATAAGGTTATATATTATTTATTTTAATTTTAAGTAACTCTACTTTACCTTACTTATTTTCTTTTTATCTCTTATATTTCTCTTTTTTTTTTCTCCTCCTATAAGCATCTTTCTTTTTATTATATTAATTATTATCTCTCTTTTAGTAAGTCTCTTTCTTTATATACTAATTTCTTATATTCTTCTTATACTTAGTAAATATAAATACCCTATAAAAGAAAGATAAAGGCTATCTTATTTATTAAGAGGATATAGTTACTTCTAGTAAGTTTAGTAAGTATTCTTTTTAGCTTTAGTAATTATCTCTTATTAATAATAAAAGCTTATCTTAGCAGACCTAATAAAAGTATATTAAAGGTGATAGATATTATTTA